CCTATTAATATCATTCCATACCGTATGTGTTGTATGATGCTTTTGAAAAAAAAAAAACCTTACTACCGTGGCACCCCGAAATTCTTCCGAGGTTCGGAAGTTGGGAGTCTGGGGGTGAGCCGTGACATCTGGGTTCGGACGTACTACCCCATGCAGGTAATCCCCTCCTAAAGAATGCTTGTCTATATTTTGTAAGCCTCGGGATGGAAGAGCCTCGGGATAACGGAAGTTCCTCGGATATAACTGGTAATTTTCTTGATATCCTACTTCTATATTGTACAAAGTACAAAGGAAGTCTCGTATATCCAGTTTACCCATGTAGCGGTGAGGCCCTGTGGATTTTTCTCACTATACGGCTAAGTGGAGATCTGATAAAAAATTTGCTGTCCGCATCTGGAGTGTGGGATTTTGACTCGCTGTCTCTTTCCGAACCCTAAATTTGCCTCATGTCAGAACATACAAAGTATAGGATAGTAAGACTTTAAATGTTTAAGATGTGAGGGTATTGATTATTGAAGCCAAATTCAAGTATGTCAAAAGAGAAAACCCATCTAAATATTTCAGCCAGTATATATTTTTGAATCCCTCATAATATCAACACTGTTGGAGAATCTCACTCGACTAAGCCTACCAGCAACAGTCGTAGATTTCAACCAATTGCAGCACAAGTTACAGATACTTGCTTTGATCTTGATGAAAAGAAGCAAAAGGACTTCGTATTGCATAAACTCTGTTCTGAATAGGAATGTAAACCTTCAATCTAATCTTTATAATCAGTCTCTTCTTGACCTATATAAACACATGCGTCTTTCAGTCTAATCACTTTAATCACTTTAATCGGCTTCCCTCTATAGGAAATCCGGGAGATCAAAAAGCTTAGAGTAAAGGAAATAGAGGCAACCCTAATTTGGCATTAGAGGTTCCTCTCCATTCTATATCGAGGTTCGGATGCATTAATAGTCTATGACACGCCCGTTGCTAAGTTTCTTCTGAAAATATATATATCGAAGGGTTGATATTCACAAGTATTCTTTTATCCTTCTCCTCGGGCCCTCAGCTGATACGTGGCAGCTTGCTTGAATTCGTCATTGGCACTGTTCGTTTCGCCATATTGCCAAAGCTTCGTTTCTCGATCCACCCCCCGGATACTGTGAAGGGAGAGTTGAACACACTACAGTGATCACTCATACGGCGCCTTGGGAGGAGGCTAAGTATGGAGGCCAAAAACGTGTAGACACATCTTATCAACAAAGATTAGTAAACGGCGCATTATATGCATACAGCACAGCCCCTTTCCCTCTGATCATACAGAACTAATCCCATAAATAGTGTAAAGCAGCATTCTTACAGAGCACCCCTCCATAGCCACGGATATACCGTACAGCGATGATGGGGTGCCAACCTCCTCCCTTGGACACCGATCTAGAAGGGTAGAGCCACCTCACACCCCGTACCAAGTATGCGTAGGTGTAGAATTCTAGGATCCCTTATGCTTTTCTTTGTAAAGGTGGTGAAGCTTGCCAACAACCTAGCCAGAGGCGACATCCGTGATGTTCACCACCAAACTGGAGGCCTTGATCTCCTCTCCAAAGAATCGAAGGAGTGATCGCTGTAGTGCAACCAACGCCCCTTTACGGCGTCCGCGGGGATCGAGAAACGAAAGGTTGGGAACATGGCCAGACGAACAGTGTCAGCGAGGAATTAAAACAAACGCCATGTATCAGCCGAGAGCCCGAGGAGAGAAAGAAAAGAGACAGACTCGAGAAAATTTGCATTGTGAAGCCATTATGGTTTGGGCAGGTGGGATTAGGGAAAGAACGACTTTGCTGTCTGCGGTCATAGTGTACTACCATACTATATAGTATACCAGTACATGGAACTTCAAACCCGAGACCATGAGCTGGCGGGAGTTTGCCATTATCAAAGCCGTAGACGAGATATTATATTTTAAAGCAATGGGGTTGCATGTGTCACCAGGAATAGCTGTGTGGAAAGTATCAGACACATGACCAGGGTCAGGCGGAAACTCTTAGGGAATATCAAAAGACGGTAGTATTTTTGTGGGATCTGTGGGATATGAGAGACCACACTGACCATGAACTACCTTCAAGTCAGCTTGGAAGTATGCATCGTAGACTGAATATGGCGAGCGTAGCATTATCTCTAGCCTTCAACAAGGCAGCGGAGTTCGCTTTCTGGTATGTCCTTGTCGAACAATCTCCACAATATACTCACTGGCATTCCCACCTGGGCAATCCAAGCCGTGCATCGAGCAATGTGGGGTTAAATTTCTCCGCAGTGCGGATGTCGGGGTTAATTCCACTCATCAACAGAAAACTGATCATTGCTTTTGAACTGATCCCTGGAGAGGGAATGATTCGGGATATAGAACTACATAGAGGAAATTTGAAAGAGGAGTATTCAAAAGAAATAAACTGGCAAGCCTTAAAGAGCCTCCCAATTATAACTCGAGTCATATTTCCATTTTGACCAAGGTTGTCGCTTAGCATATACCTAGCACGGGGGAAATGGTGCTTCTGTTTCAAAAATCGATATCTCACACAAATACAGTCAAATTTCTTCCGTGAGATTCTTCGCTGATTCGCTTTTTCAAGAATGAGTTCGACAGTGTACACGAACTGTGTCTGATATAACGTCTCTGGGGCGGCTACCACTGCTCTCAATGGAATGATGCCTACCCCAAGAACACCGCGATGGGGAAACATTGCAGTGATTAGAGATTATACATAACCCAATGCATCACAGGTGACGCTAGTATATGACTCCCGGACATGATCGACAGCTTTGATGAGGTCATGTATACCAAATGGACTTCGGGATAGCGGTGAGGAAGCAGATTGCGACACTCCGCAGTAGATACGCGGTGGGCAATATGGTATGCAAATATGAAAAAGTAAGGATATGAATGTATAGCAAGGTCCTCCAGGGATCAAGTGAGCTTTCAAATCAACTTCCAACACTGGATGGTTGTTATCGCACCCTGCGGGCGGTAATACCCAATCGGGAAATACTCTCCGTCACTATCGCTACTTTTCGCCTCAGGCACTCAACTAGAAGCAGAAATGACGTTTCTGCCATGTCCGGCCGCCCGGGGAAACGAGAATCTCAAGTGTCAAGTCCAGACTAAGAGCGCCATCCACCCAATCTACTTTATACAGCGAGTCTTTATATGATTTGATCCTGCCAGCAACCCCTCAATCCAGATCTTAGACATTGAACAACACCCCCATTCCGATATCCCTCCAGCCTCGAGCTCCGGGACGCAATGGCACCCCCGCGCCAGCGCACCACAGCTATCGTGGACGACTCGAGATCCGAAGCCTCAAGTGGCACGAGAGAATACCACAAAGCTACCAAATCCCGCAGGCCAGCTGCTGCAAAGGAGAAAACCTCGATCACCAGCGCACCCGTCGTGGACACCCAGCACGCCGAGGAACAGCCCCGGGTATGTTTGGTCTGAAGTGAAAGAGATTGATCAATCGCAACTCTACACACAACACAGTTCAGAGACCATGAACTAACACCATTTTTCTTTCTTCCTACAGCTCCCCTGGACAGACCTTCCCCTCGAAATCCTCCACTCTTACCGCCATGTTCACAAACTCCCCACGCCCTCCGCCTTTTCGAGCGACTACTCCCGCCTGATCCTCTCGCAAGGCGTCGGTCTTCGCTCGCCAACCTCCCTCGCCGCCCGCCGCGCTCAATATTCATCCCAGAACCACCCCCACTCCCACCGAGCCCACACCTCGTCGGACTCCCTCTCCGACTCATCGCTGCGCCGCACCCTCGGCCAAGACCGCGTGAGCAAAGACCAGTTCGCGCTTGTTGTCCGGAAGCACTTCAACAGCGCTGGTCTCTCGGAGCAGGAAACCATTGCGCGGTTTCTATATACTGTGCGTGAGGATAGGAGAGGGAGGCAGTTCCGATTGCGGTTTCAGCCGTAAGATGAGAAGTGTCCTGCTTTGGTCTCTTGCTCTTTTCTCTCCTTCGGTATCGGAGAAAATGAGATTATACAGAGCTTGAGATCGAATTAGGGCTGTATAGCTTCTTATCCCACCGTTCTGGTGCCCGTCCGTCCTGGTTGATGGTGCGGTTGGTTCGGTGCGTTGAACATACATTGCGTGTGTGGTTTGTTGGGTTGCCTTGCTTAGAGGATATGGCGGCCTGTTCTCTTTTTATATTAAGATACCCATTGGCGTTCAGTGTGTTGATCTTGGTTATTTTATCCTTATTTCTTGGTTTGCGAGTTGCGAACTCTGTCTTCTACTATGTATACTTTGCATATCATATAATTGTGCCAGACACAGCTACACTACTCTATTGTGTCTTTTCGGTAGCAACTATTCTTATATTTTGTGGCCATTTTATCGTAGAATATTCTAGTATGGAATCGTCAAGAGAGTGTGTTTCTAGATGAATGATATATATCAGGCCTGCCTTCCAAGCACCATACATCAATGACACCTTCAACTACATATCAACTAAGACTTGCCCAATAAAGCAGTTTACCATAATCAAATACCATAAAATAACCATGCACGTAGATTATAATCATGCGTCATTCAAAGTCGGGATTTCGGGAAGATACAGAGCACCACGTTGAAGAAACCTAATTTGAGAACGTAGGACCCTACGTATATATTTCAATTATCATGTACACAAGAGCATGCACGTCCTCTCCAATAAGCAAATAGGGCAGGAGAAAAAACAGTTAGATCCAAACCAAACGTGAGAATAGGACAAAGGCCCCTCCCCCAAACGAAGCAGTTTAGATAACACAATAAAAACTCGCGAAATAGCAAAGAATCAATCGAGGGTGACCCTAAAGTAACGTTATATGCCTCCCTTCCTGCCGCCTCCTTCCGTACATGTTCAATGTTCCAGTTTCCCAACTAGGTCCAACCAGACCTAGCACATTCTACCCTGCTATATAGCTAGTCTCAGCAATCTCTCAAACTCTCAGCTAGAGGAAATCAAGCTTATTTCCAGGCGTTGAGACCAGCCCATGGATCGGCGGAGGAACTGGACTGTGGCTGTGATTGCGATTGCGAGGGGGTCTTGTGGTGCCCGTACTGTCTACTCTGCGCATAGCCACCAGGACCAGAGGGATATGTACCACCTGTCGTAGGAGGGTAGGCTGTCTGCTGGGGGCGCGGCGGAGGTGGAGGGGGGATGTAGCCCTGGGGAGCCATATAGTGCGATGGCTGAGGACCAGCGCCAGGGGCCGGCGTGCCGGAATTCGAGTAGCCGCCGTATGGGGTCGGGGTTTGAGAGAAGAATTGCTGGTTCGGGGGGGGGGACACGGGGGTCTGGTAAGGATATGCCATGGGGTTGTAGCCCTCGGATAAAGGAGCCGCGGCGCCTTGCTGGAAATGCTGGGCTTGGTAAGCCCCTGGACCACCTCCCATGTACTGCCCATAGGGCGCCGGAGAGTGCGAGAGGGGCACGCCTGGCATGGTGGGCGGGTAACGGGGCGATGGCTTTGGAGACGGACCGGTGGTTCCATACGCGGGCGTCTGAACGGGCGGGGGTGGTGACTTGATTTTTGAAGGTGGTTTTGCTAACCCCGTGGAGGGTAAAGTCGACGAATTCTTAGGTTCCGTTGATAGGCGCTCCATGAGCTGGCGCAGCTTCTCTCGCTCGCGATCTTCTTGCTCTGGGACACCGCTAGACTTGTCGCGGTTGTTGGCGAAGGCTTCGGCATTTCTGCGGACAATGTCGGCATTTTCACCCATGCCCTTGTCCCGCTCGATCTGGCTGAGAAGCTGTGCACCTTCGGATCGGCGGTTGTTGATCAAGGTTTCGACATTTTTGCGGAGACTGTCGACATTTTCACCTATGTCCTTATAGAAAGTTCGTGCTTGCTTGATACCCGACGAGAGGCCATGGAATGCTTCGTAGACTTTCTTGTATCGAGCTTTCACGGAATTGCGTTGTCTCTCTATAGACTTGTACCTCGACTGCTCGGATTGAACTCTTTTGTCCTCGAGAAGCTTACCGTATGTCCTGTTGAGTTCTTTCATCAAACGTGATTGTTCATGATTCGCCTTCACAAGTATTTTCTGATGCGGATGGAACTTTTGTAACTGTGTCTGAAAGAATTCGGTTTCTTGACCGAAAATCGTCTTTTTGTTCAGAGTCAAGAGATCCGTGATGTCATCTGCAAGGGTCTAAATCATAGATAGTTAGGAAGTTGTTGTGGACAGATACGCTAGGATACTCACCTTATTTTTGAGATCTGTGAGCAGTTTGGACTTCTCTTGCTCCACTAGGTCCAATTTGTTTAAGAGCTCCTCCACGCTGGCAATCTGCTCTGCAACAGAGGCGCCGCCCTCATCATATACATCATCTAGCAGGGTACCTTGCGCCGGACTGGTAACATCATCCTTGTTCTTGCTATGCTTTGAACGGGCTTTGATCAGGGCTCGCTGGAAAAGCACATCGGCCTCATCTGTTTCACCAGCAGACCGCATCTCATCAAAATCACTCTCATACTGCCGAAATGTGGAAGACAACTGGGAATCACTCGCACTGGCCTCATTGATAGTATCTCGGTACGATCGAACATCCCCTCGAAGCATGGTATTGAGTCGAGAGCTGGGTTGCTGGCTCCAATCTGCTCCATACTTTGAACGCATCTTCTCACACACGCTCTCTTCCAGATCTAGCTGCTTTGAGCACTGGTCTAATTGAGATAGCACTTCTGCCTTGCGATCCTGCAACTCATCGAATGCCCTGTGGAAGGAATTGTGGCCAGCAAGTTCTGAACACCAGCGACAGAACTCCTCATCCGCTGAAATTTCCTGGTTCATGCCTCCCTTCAAGATATTGAGGGCACCTGGTAGTTCAAGTTTGAGCAAGCCAATGTCCATCTCACGACTGGCAGCCTCGGCATTTTTATTCTCAGCTCGACGCAACTTGGCCTTTTCTTCTTCGTAACGACTGGAGTTCTCAGTGACCCATTTAGACCTCAGTTTTTGAAAGATGTCTGGCCCGGTGATTCGTTGAATATCTTGTCCCTGGTACAATTCGCTGACCGGAATCGCCTTGGCAGCAGTAACCCTAGCAACTGGTGAAAGACCGGCCTCATTGGGCACTGGTTGGTGGTAGATAAAGTCATTGTCTTTGACCATGGTGGTAAGTAAAGCTTGCACATTTGTTTGATTATGCTTGATAAGGTCCACGAGTGAGGACCACGATTCTGCCGTCAAGTTGGTGTTCGCTGGAGGCGATGAGGGGAATGTCTTTGCCCAGCTTAGAGCAGTGGTGGACTGCCTATCAGCCATCTGTAAACGAGCAATAGCAACTCCATGAGATCCGCTCTCGCTGTCTGCAATCGCCTGGTAATATGATGCTATGGACCCCATGTGTGATGCCTTGGCCTGCACAAAAATCGTCCAGACCTTGTCAAACACATTCTTCTCGACCGAATTTTGCATTTTTTCGACACCCTGTGAGTAGAGGTACGCTGCCTGTCCAGCCAGCTTGGCTAAGAGGCCAGACTTCCTTTGATCTGCCACTTGTTTCTCAAAAAACACCTCTTGGGCTTGAGCTAGCGTGACATGTATTAGTGTCTGGACGGTGTCCACTTTCAGGTCGGTGGATGGCGGATGTACGAAGTTCTCATTAATATATGTAAACATCCCGGCGGATGCCTGGAAAGAGTGATAGGCGGTCTTGAGACCGGTATCGTCGGCCCGGCTTTGGTTGGCAGCATGGCAAGATAGGATGGCGGCGATGTTAAAGATAATAGATGCCTTTTCGTATGCCAGGGAGTATTGAGTGGTAGACGTATGGGTAAAAGCATTGTACCTAGGGGCAAATACATAAGCACAGGAAGAATATACACAACAAAAATACCCCTACCATGTGAACGAGATCTTGACGTTGTTGTCATCGACAGGAAACCTGAGGTCCAACAGCTCCAGCTGACCGTAGTAACGATATAATAGATCACGACCAATAGCGCTGTCTTTCCCTACTCCCCTCATGTCCTGGCGAAGCCGGTTGAGGGTCGCGCATTCTTGATTGTATTGCTCGGGATCCTCGCCATAGCTCTGGCGAATGTAATCCTTTAGGGGCTGGATCCAATCAATCTCGTTGGTCTGCTTCAGCGGGCACGAGAGCATCGGAGACTGCGCCATTGTCGGATGGTTGCCAGGAGCTAGATGCTCCCATCCAACAACAAGAAAACTGAGTGAGAGAAAAAAAAACGCGGGGCAGGGATGGTCAGAAGCTCCGTGTCTTGAGGGGATCGGAGTCGAGGCTGTGGGGTAAGGGAGGCGGAACGTCAGCACCTGATGGTCCCTATGTCAATGACGTCGGTCGATTAGGTATTCTTCGATGCAAGCAATTTAGAAGTTGACGAGATTATGCGGGAACTTTTGAGAAAAGAACAGAGTTGCCTAGAGTATTGAAGTGTGTGTTGGAAGAGGGAGAGGTGGGATGTGATGTCCGTGACCGTGGCTCGATGGGCGGCAAACCCCAAAACAACCGAGTAACGAGAAACACATAGTGAACATAGCCAATTATTGAACAAAACATTTGAATTTTGAGTAGTATAAGATAATTAATAGATGGGAATGATCATAGTACAGTCAGAAGTAGAGAAGCTTCTTAGACATCTATCACTCGATAATAGTAATACAGTATTCTGCCCCAAAGACCCCGGGCAGAACAGGTCCCCAATATCGCCGGCGCTATGACATGGGTGAGGTAAATACAAACGGATATAGAGTACATGATGATTTACAATTTTCAACTCGACTTCTTCGAGCTATCCTTGCTGGCATCGCTGCCAGCATCCTTGGTGGAGTCTTTCTTGTCGGCCTGCGATGGCATGGAGGAATCGCCATGCTTCTCCGTGAGTCGATGCCAGACAGATTTCAAGAAACCTTCGTTTTTGGTGGCATCATCTGCGCTACCAGAAGCAGAGGAGGGGCTATCGGCGTAATAAAGTTAGTACAAGAGTCAATATTAACTATGAACTGTGCACCTTACCTATCCTTGTTGAAGTTCATTGTCCGCTTCGCTGTCTTATCGTTCATCTCATCCGCGAGGACCTCCAAAATGGTGCGTTGATTGCCTGTCAAGTACTTGGGCATGGTCACCTTAAACTCGACCTTAAGATCGCCATTGGGGGTGAAACCACGGCTACGGCCACTAAGCTTCTTCATGCCCATTCCCGACAAAGTAATCCGGTCACCTGTACCCGTTCCGGTGGCCACCTTGACCTTCACTTGATTGTCAAGAGTTGGAATAGTCACCTCACCACCAAGGATGGCAGTGGTGAGGGGAATTGAGGCGGTATAGAGAATGTCAGACCCAGAGCGGCTGAAGCGATGGTCTGGAGCAACTCGAATGGAGACGTAAAGATCGCCGGGTTGGGTGCGAGCACCAGGCGGAACAGCTGTTCCAGTTGGCGGGGAGTCACCTTCGCCGGTCACCCGTAGACGCATGCCATCTTCGACGCCGCCGGGGATGTCTACCTTGATAGTCTTGCGCTCTCGGGTCACGCCATTTCCGTTGCAAGGACTGCACTCGGACCCACGGGGAACAGACATACCAGCACCTCCACAAGCGTCACATGTGGCGGCGACTTGGAAGCCTCCCTGCATGATATGAACACGGGTACCTGTGCCGTTGCACTGACGACATTGGGAGCGCTTGGCACCAGACTTCAACCCGTCACCTTTGCAGGTCCCGCACTTCGTCAACGGCGTGATGACAATTTCCTGCGACGTGCCCTTCGCAGCATCCATGAACGAGATGTTTGTTTGCACCTCAATGTCTTCGCCGACCAAAATCTGTTCCTGGAAAGGGTTCCGCCCACCCCGGGGTCCACGGCGTGCTCCTCCGGTAAAGGCTCCAAAAAGATCCTCAAAGTTGATGTCGCCGGAAAAGCCTCCGCCAAAGCCACCACTACCACCGCCAAACCCGTGGAACCCTCCCGCACCAGAGAATGGGTTGCCGCCAGCGTTTGGATTGAACCCGCCATTCTGATCGAAAGCGGCCGAACCGTACCGGTCGTAGTTCTCTCGCTTCTGGGCGTCCGACAACAATTCATAGGCTGTCTGGGCCTCAGCAAACTTATCCTTAGCCTTGGCATCTTTGTTGGTATCCGGGTGGTACTTCTTGGCCAAGCCGTAATAGGCCTTCTTGATGTCGCTGGCGGATGCTGTTTTATCCACGCCGAGGACCTTGTAAGGATCGGAAACAGCCGCAAGAGGAGAGGTAGTATGGAAGGCCTATCAATTAGAAAAAAAAACAGATGTTATTTAGCTACCCGAACCCTGACAACCTGTATAGATGACATACCCTAGCCGATATCACCAAAGATTCATTTCTCTTGCAAACTCCTTCCCGGAGACGCCGAGCCGGAGAAGCAGAGACCGTTGCATTGTAGTTTCTTGTTTGGGCGGATGAGTGAACACTATTGCTGGAAGTCTGCTTAGAGCATTGTCGCTGAGTTCGCAATAGGCGCGCGGGGAGAGCCGCGGCCTTGGGAAATGCCGACGGATTCATGAATAGTAATAGCCGAACAACGGATGGACGGCAGTTGTAGTTGCCAGGAGGAAGGGATATGCGAGAGGAAATGATCAAGAAAAAGAATGACAATTTGAACACGAGAAAATGGTTTCAAGAGCACCAATGACGTTTCAAACCAAGTTAAACTACTCGCCGGATCACAGAAGCTTCGAGTTCTTTGGCAGAGAGAAGTTTCTCGGAAAAACGTGTGGCCGGACGATGATGAAAGAGTTGCTTACCGAAGCAATAATGGGTGCTCCGACTACGGAATTCCAGCTTCCACTCTACCCATTTGTATCTAATACTTATTGCTGTCGTTTTTGGAGCTGTGCCACGGGCTGTCACGGTTCTTGACTATATCTTTTTTTTTTTTTCCTTCCCTCCCATTGCCCGGGCGTCCACTTGATACTCAAGGAGCATGCTCCGCGGCCAGACCCTCCCCTGGAGAGCCGTGCTCCATCAAACACCACGACCTCTCCTCCGACGGCCGTTTCTGGCTTCACCGAGATATAATGCAACCTTTCGATCAACACTAGTCTCAGCCTGTCTTGGTGACTCTCTTCCCTCGTCTTCCCGCGCCTTCTCTGCGAGCTCCATTCGGCGCAGAGAGAAACCCCCGCCAGAGGACCCTAAAGATGAACCGGAAGAAAAGGAAGAGCACGAAACCGGTCAGGATGATAAGGATAAGGAACGGGTTCCTGAATCGCGGAGAAAAGGAGCAGACTCAGGGAAGAATGTTCCTTCCGGAGATCAGGTAGCTCCCGCGCGGAGAAAAGATCGGTCATCCGATAAGGAGCGCGGAATAGAAGAGGAGGCCAAGAAGGAAGCCAACGCATCAGATGGTAAGAGGGACTCGAATGACACACCTTCGCCCATCCCCCCAAGTGATGGCCCGGCCGACTCCAAACCCAGCGGTGCCAGCAGTAGTGGTAATAACGGCAATGATGATGGTGGGAAGAAGAGCAAGAAAGCCTCCGGGGAGAAAGCTTTACAAAAGCCGGCAGTTCCGGACGTTTACCCACAAGTGATGGCTATTCCCATCGCGAAACGCCCATTGTTCCCTGGTTTTTACAAAGCGATCACTATTCGCGACCCGAATGTCGCCGTTGCGATCCAAGATATGATGAAACGGGGTCAGCCGTATGTAGGAGCGTTTTTGTTCAAGGATGACAACGCCGATGGTGACGTGATTGAGAAATTGGACGATGTTTACGACACTGGAGTTTTCGCTCAAATTACGGCCGCATACCCTCTGCGTGGGGAGGCTAGCGGTGTGACAGCGGTTCTCTACCCCCACCGGCGTATCAAGATCTCGTCGTTACTTCCCCCTGGGGAGAACACCAAGGCTGCTACACCTCCACCCGCGCCTACGTCGGAAGACAAGACGACTGAAAAGCGAGGTGACGTCGTGGCCAGCTTCGAAGAAAGCGCACCCGAGCCAGCTCCCAAAGACCATTACGAACCCACATCTTTCCTGAAGAAACACCCTGTCAGCCTTGTCAACGTGGAAAACTTGGTTGAAGAGCCGTTCGACAAGAAAAACCCAATTATCCGCGCGGTAACCAGTGAAATTGTTAATGTGTGCAAAGAGATCGCAACTTTAAACCCTCTGTTCCGCGACCAAATCTCAGCATTTTACACCGATCAATTTCCAGGAAACCTCAGCGACGAACCGGCCAAATTGGCCGATTTCGCTGCTGCTGTATCTGCTGGTGAGCTCCACGAGATGCAAGAAGTTCTTGAGACAATGAACATCGAGGAGCGTCTTCCTAAGGCACTTGTTGTCTTGAAGAAGGAATTGATGAATGCTCAACTGCAATCCAAGATCACCAAAGATGTTGAGGCCAAGATCCAGAAACGCCAGCGTGAGTACTGGTTGATGGAGCAAATGAAGGGCATCAAGAGAGAACTTGGCATCGAGTCTGACGGGAAAGACAAGCTTGTGGAGAAGTTCAAGGAAAAGGCTGAAAAGCTTGCCATGCCAGAGGTTGTTAAGAAGGTATTTGACGAGGAGATCAACAAGCTGGCACACCTCGAGCCTGCTGCATCTGAGTTCAATGTCACTCGTAACTACCTAGACTGGCTAACCCAAATCCCCTGGGGCCAGAAGAGCGTGGAAAACTTTGGCATCAAGAATGCAGTCAGTGTTCTCGATGAGGATCATTACGGGCTGAAGGATGTCAAAGATCGTATTCTTGAGTTCATTGCTGTCGGCAAGCTTCGGGGAACTGTCGAAGGAAAGATTCTTTGCCTTGTTGGCCCACCCGGTGTTGGAAAGACCAGTATCGGCAAGTCAATAGCTCGTGCTCTGAACAGACAATACTATCGATTCTCCGTTGGTGGTTTGACCGATGTGGCAGAGATCAAGGGCCACCGACGGACTTACGTCGGTGCTCTGCCTGGACGCATTATCCAAGCCCTCAAGAAATGCCAGACTGAAAACCCTCTAATCTTGATTGACGAGGTTGACAAAATTGGACGTGGCCACCAGGGTGATCCGTCCTCTGCTTTGCTCGAACTTCTCGACCCCGAACAGAACAACTCGTTCTTGGACCACTACATGGATGTTCCTGTGGACCTTTCTAAGGTCCTGTTCGTCTGTACAGCCAATGTGACCGACACTATCCCTCGGCCATTGTTGGATCGTATGGAACTCATTGAATTATCCGGTTACGTGGCAGACGAGAAAATGGCGATCGCTGAGAGATACCTCGCCCCTGCTGCTCGGGAACTGACTGGTCTGAAGGATGTGGATGTAAACCTTGAACGGGATGCCATTGAGGAGCTGATCAAGTCGTACTGCCGTGAGAGCGGTGTCCGTAACCTGAAGAAGCAAATCGAAAAGGTTTACCGGAAGGCTGCATTCAAGATTGTCCAAGATCTAGGCGAGGGGGTGATGTCCGAAGAGGCAGCTCTGACTGAAGCGGGCAAAGTTGCTCAGGAAGAATCGAAGGAGCATGAGCCAGCGGATCCTGCGCAAGTTCCAGTTGAGCCGGAGAAGTCCACCACAGAGATTCCTCGACTGGCCCTCAAGGTCCCCGACAGTGTGCATCTCAGCATCGGCAAGGGAACCTTGAAGGATTATGTTGGACCTCCTGTCTTTACTGCCGACCGCCTGTACGACCAGTTCCCTCCTGGTGTCACCATGGGTCTTGCATGGACCAGCATGGGTGGAGCGGCTCTGTACGTTGAATGTATCTTGGAGAACGCATTGAATCACAATTCGCGCCCGGGGCTCGAAATCACCGGAAACCTACAGAACGTCATGAAGGAGTCCACTCACATTGCGTATTCTTTTGCAAAGTCTGTTATGGCGCGGCAATTCCCCGAGAACCAGTTCTTCGAAAAAGCCAAGGTCCACTTGCACTGCCCCGAAGGTGCTGTTCCAAAGGATGGTATGTGAAACTTATATACATTGATCAATATTATTATCACAAGTCGGCGGCTAACCACTTCAACAGGACCCTCTGCCGGTATCACCATGGCTAGCGCCTTGCTGTCTTTGGCTCTTAACCATTCCCTTGAGCCAACCGTTGCGATGACCGGAGAGTTGACTGTGACTGGTAAGGTTCTGCGCATTGGAGGTTTGAGAGAGAAGACTGTGGCTGCTCGTCGGGCTGGTGCCACAAAGATCCTCTTCCCTGCGGACAACACATCTGACTGGCTTGAATTACCTGAGGTGAGTCATAAATCTATCCATTCCTGACGATTATCTTAGCTAACCATTTTATCTAGAACATCAAGGAGGGCATTGAAGGCCACCCAGTTAACTGGTATTCTGAAGTGTTTGATCTTCTCTTCCCCGGTCTCGACCAAGAGGCCGCCCGCACAGTCTGGCAAAAAGCACTGGCCAAACCCAAGAAGGGTAGCCACGAGGCTGACGAAGAGTAGCATGCTGATACCTTGTTTGGTTTGGGGCTTCCCCTTGGGTAATGTCGTATATACTGGTTGTGTTTTTTTACGTTGTATAGCTTTTGTATGATTTATTATGTACATGGCGTCTTTGTCTTCCGACACGGAATGCATGGTTGGAGTTGAAGGACTGTCAGTAGACCCTTTCGTTCCCATGTGAGATGTACTAGAGCGAGAGCCAAAAAAAGATTACTCCACTCAAAACAGGAACCTTGGAAGTATTCTGGTAATATGTATAGTATATAGTAATAGTTCCATGCAAAGATTATGCAAAGACTCACATGTACTCGAGTAATGTTAAAGTATCAAAATTTAGGGCGGCTGTCGTGTCATATAGATTGACGCCAAAATAACAGGGCGTGAACGGAGCCCCCAATCAGGCATAAGGGTCAGGCCGCAACGCATCCTCGAATTTTGATCTGTGCGCCGTTCGATGAATCATATCTTTATTCTATTTTTTTCTCCCTCACCCTTGTGTCCCTTAGAAGGGCTTCTGATTGATCTCCTGCAAGGTCCTTTTGCCTCCAGACATTTGAAGCCTTGCAGCGGAAGCATCTCACCACTATCAAACGGCTGCAGGCGATTCCTTAGAAAAAAAAATTATTAGAGAGGGAAAAAAAAAAAACTTATACCTAAAAAATCTCATCTTGACCGACACATCTCCCTCCCCTTTTTACATCCACCCTTCTACTTTATGAGCTTGTGCTGGGCCGGTCTCCCAGCCTCGCCCATTGCAACCCGACGTTGTGCGACACTTGGACGTTGGACCTCGACGTGAACCTTCCAACTCTTCCAACTCGAAAGGAAACTACTTGGAACTGGTGGGACGAAAACCGTGTTAGTGTGTCAGTACGACGCCAAATTTCCCTGGCTCCTTGACCCTGTCTCGATTCTTATGGACATCGGAGAGTCAGCCAGCGGGGTGTTCGAGTCGTTCCTTACACGACAGAGCGGCTTGCCGTATGGCCATCTCTGTTCCCAACTCCTGTAGCCCAACGCGGCTGGCTTTTTTGGACGACAAAGGCGGAAACCCGCCAAAACAGAGCATGTGGCATCGGTTGGGTTTGCGAAAATTATGGCAGGGCCGCGACGATCGAGACACGTCTGCCGGGGAGAGTCAAGACGAGATTTCTCCCCGTCCTTCTTCTGACAACCCCCGCACCAAACAAGACAACTTGACACGTCGACTGTCGCGAAAAGTTGGTGTCGGTCTACCGCGAACCACGCCATTTAAGCGACAGAGCTCCGATCTTGAGCGACTGGCTCCTCGGGAACCTGATCACCGCCGTGCCCTCTCCGCCGACCGCCGCCCCTTGAGTTCCCATAGAAGTAGGTCTCCACCACCAACCGTGGGCCCCCGACAGTCCGCGCCCGAGGTTCAGTGGCTCGGCCCGGTGCCCACAACCACGGTCGATGACGCCCCCGAACCAAAATCCGAAACGAACGATGCCCATGAGATTAACGATATCTCCGAAAATTCGAACCCCTATCCCGGAATGACGACGGATACCTTCAACCCCCCAGAGGAGGACGAGGAGGAGGATTATGATGATGATCACCACACAATTGATCTGGATATGGAGCTGGAACAACGGTGGATTTTGAACCTGAGCATGCACTTCCGAGATGGATCAGAGCGGGAAAAATTCTTTGTGACGTACGCGGAAACACCGAATCGATGGCGCCGAGTCACCATTTCCTGCGATTATCACGATGCACCACCCTATTCACTGGAGCAGGAACTGAAGGAGCTGCGGTATCAGCGCGACAAGTGTGCACGGATATACGAATCGATTCGCGAGTCCCTTCTTGCGATCCAATTCTATGAAGGTGTCACGAACCTCAGGCTCGAGACGAGTGATGGCCGTTTACACGTTCATGTTACGGAGGATGTAAACGAAACGATTCCCTACCCGCCCATCTCCAGTATCAGGCATTTGGTTAACGCTCCTATCATCCCCGAAGACTCGTTGCACTTCGAATCGCATTTATCTGGCTTTGTTTACAAGATAACCCTGGATGGACGCTTTTATATCAAGAAAGAAATCCCGGGCCCAGACACTGTTGACGAGTTCCTCTACGAGATTAACGCTTTACATGCGCTGAAAGACCGTCCGAGCGTGATCCAGGTGGAAGGAATCGTGATCGATGAGTGGCGAGGTGTCGTCAAGGGCTTGCTAATTAGCTATGCAGAGAAGGGCGCATTGGTTGATATTCTGTACGAGCAACGCGGGAGAACGAGCTTTAGACGACGCGAGCGATGGGCAAAGCAGATTGTCCAGGGCCTCTGTGAGATCCACGAGTCAGGTTACGTGCAGGGTGATTTCACACTAGCGAACATTGTGGTGGATGCAGACGATAACGCCAAGATCATTGATATCAACCGCAGGGGATGCCCAGTGGGGTGGGAGCCCCCGGAAATTGCCGCCAAGATCGAGAGCAACCAGCGCATCTCCATGTATATTGGGGTCAAAACTGATCTCTTTCAATTGGGCATGACGCTGTGGGCATTGGCGATGGAGGAGGACGAACCTGAACGACAACCGCGACCTCTTCGACTGAGTGATGACGCGAAGATTCCAGACTATTACCGACGGATAGTGGATATCTGTTTAAGCCCGACTCCACGACATAGACTCTCTGCGAAGGAACTTCTTGCTATGTTCCCCCCGCTGCCGGAAGCACGGGTATCCACACCCATTCAGCTACTTGAGACTATTACCAACAATTCTAGACACTTGCCCATTCACAGCAACTGGGCTCAGTCCCAGGATGTTGGGCTTGGACTGACACCGCCAGGGGGCATGATAGAGCAAGACGACCATTGTTACCTCCAAAAGGAGTTTTCAGGAAATTCCTATCATGATCTGCAAAACCCCGTCTTCTCTGAAAACCACGACCTCGTCAAGCGATCGACAATAACTCTCGCAGAATCCAACGGAGACATGGGATTCCCATCTAAGCCGTCTTCTTCATCTACCTTGAATCACCACGAACCTCACAACCATGACGAGTACATGGACTTCTCCCGCCATTTCAATGATGGCTCATCGCCCTACCTAGCCTCTGACAGTCAGAACCCTGAAGCTACTCCAGTTTCTGAGACAAGGCCAATAGGCAGTGGCTTCCACAATCACCCAGGGGAACCACCAGCCTTCCAAAATGAGCCTGTCCATCTCAGAAATGTCCCCGTGGATAATCAGCAAGAGACAACCAATGAGCCGACTTATAATCATAATTCCCGAGCTTCGCTTGGTTCTGCAATCACTGCGCCTCTACTCCCGCCCTCAGTCAGCGAATCTCTTGTTGAGTCACAGAAACAGGAGGCTCTCAATCAACCAAGACCAGAGGCCGCCAATGACAACGGTGACCTCGAAACCTCGGCCTTACCCATCAACCCTACTTTACGTGACTCCGTTACATCAAGCAGCACTCAGGCTATCCCTTTTTCAACAACTTCATCTTCAATGAAGCATGTAAACAAGGACAGTGTGGACCAGCCACGTGCAAAGGCCGCCAATGATAAGGATGACCTTGAAACCTCATCTTTGCCCCTCAGCCCTACTTTCCGCGATTCGGGGTTTAGCGGCCTTCAGAGCGCCCCTCGGTTGACAAAGGCTTCTCCCATCGAGTCGCCAAAGCAAAAGTATGCAGATTTACCACGTGCAAACGTCGAAGTCAAACCTAAATTTACTGAACCATCGCCATCATCATCATGTCTGTCTCGCTCAGAACTACCTATCAGCCCTAATTTCCGTTCTTCTGAAAATTCCATCATGGGTACTACAATATTGCCGAACTCTTTGCCTGTTGAATCGTCAACGCAGGATAACCTGGATCAACCATGTGCAAAGGCTACCACCTATATCAAGCCCATACCCACGATACCATCAGATTCAACACCTTCACAATCTTTCCCGATATCGCCTATCAATTCTACCCTAGCTCGCTCTGGGCCTTCGGTCGAGCTTTCGGGCGCCTCTCGATCAGTGGAATCTTCTCCTATTGAACCTCCAAAACACACATGTGCAAGTTCAACATGCGCAGACGCCGATATTAAACCCAAATTTACTGAGCTATCGCCCTCAGTATCAAGTCTGGCCCGTTCAGAATTACCTATCAGTCCAGCATTCCGTTCTTCCAAGACCTCCATTGACACTCTAAATGGCCCCTCTCCAGAGGGTCCCTCTCCTATAGAACCGTCAAAGCCGGAGCACGCGATTGTGCCACGTGAGAACGATACCACACCCATATCACCGTCGACGCCATCTCGATTTTCTTCAATGCACATTTCGAGCCTCCGTCACACCGGGGCATCCATTGGCTCGCTAGATACACCATTCGCAACAAGTCCATCTGTCGTTGGAATTGGACTGCTAAGGCGGCCATGGGAAAAGCCATCTGCAAATAATGCTGGTGTCAGACCCGCGTCGACAATGCCATCAGGGTCAGCATCATCCTTCGGGAACTTTCAGACTTCAAGGATTTCAGAGAGTGCTATTTCACCAGCTAAAGCGTATCCCGTCGCATCCCAGAGGAAGCAATCTTTGGGCCAATCTGGCTCAAATATAGCCGATATCATGCCTGCGAAAACAACTGCATCGAACCCCAACGCAAATTTGCTTGGTTCGAGGCTGCCCATCAGCCCCGCCCATCCAAATTCAAAGCCCAATTCCACCCATTCCGAGGTCGATATGGCACGTGCTGTTCATGGCCCAGCTTCAAGTCAGACCAGGCCGAGCATTTCAAGCCAGGCACGTTTTTCCTCGAATCCAATATAGTCACCAATGTATCCCCCACGAACAACTTTGTGAAACCCTCATGGGAAATTCCACACCTCGAACCAACGCAAGGTCACTAATATTTCTACAAAACAATCTTGCTACATCGGCCGGCTACCTACGACGCCACGACCCATTTCTCCGAACGAGCCCCATATTCGGGGCCGAGCACTCGATACCCTTTTGATTTGCTCTGCTTGTACAGTTTATGCCTCGTCGTTTGCCTCGTGTTATTCAGCTTTTGGGAGCATTTACACCGATGGCGGGCGAACCCCTGGAGTCCTAAAAAGTCTTTTGTTTTTTTCTTTGCATTTTGGCGGATTTTAATTGGTTTTTTGTTCTGGTAGCTTTTCTTTTGTCTTCTCTATTTCTTTTGTGATGTCTTTTCCTTCTTTCATTGCTGTTTACTCTATGATTTATCTGTTCTCTCTTCAGCGGAGGCCCTCGTTCTGCGTTCTGGTGTTCTCACCCGGAAGTCGATGTATATTGATGGGATCTTTTTATACCTCTTCTTGTCTGACAGGGTTGTATTATTCTTCTTTTTCGTTATTTGGCAATGCAATTATTGGTTAGGACTAGCTTTCGCATTCTAACCGTAGATAGGTCCTATTATCTCCTTCTATGGAGCAATGCCTTCTTTTTGCTTGATCGTAGACAATGAAATCTCCTCATTTTGCCACAAGACAAGATTCAAAACTCTCCTGCCAAGGTTCTACACTTGACCCTAGTCCACGTCCAATCAGCACAATCTTGCACTGAAGTGGTTTAGAGTTATCCTCGGTATCTATGGGCTCCGCATCTCGAATCTCGAACACATCCCGCACGGCTTGGATGATCCTGCTTGTCCCGTCACTTAGGGTTAGTATCCCCTTTAACCGATGAACCTCAAAGTCTACGGGGTGTGGCTCGGATGAGATTGGTTTCGCAGGCGTAGGGAACGTTGTATCCCACAAAACAGAGCGCAACCAGGCATCCACGCAGTTGACCTGATCTGCTGCGATTGGAGGCGTAACGATTGCAGTGGTAGAGATTGCCTGGCTATAGTTAGAACCACGAGAGCATTCCCTGATTGCAACAAGCAGAAGACAGAAGACAATATACACATACCGGGTCCATATGGCTATGTCCCTTCTTACTGAAGTCCAAGTCTGCCAAGTGATCATAAGCATGCAAATCTAGTACAACGCCCTCAATCTGCGGCGTCCGGCTGTGATCCGTCACATGAATCTTAGCCACACTGTTGATAGAGGTAACACGATCTCGCACAGCCTCTAGTTCCTGGTCCGTAACTAAATCCGTTTTGTTGAGAATCACCACATCCGCATGTGATATCTGCATATGCGCCATAGACAGAACAGGGCCAGAACCATGGTCGTGGTGCACGTCGTGTGACTCGGCCTTCTCTTCAGGCGCCGGCTCGTCGAGCAAGCGCATGATGTTCTTTGCATCGACGAGAGTGACAATTCCATCTAGGTAAATAGAGCTGCCGAGTCCTTCGTCCATCCAGAAGATTGGCGCGATGTTGCCCGGGTCGGCAAGACCGGTTGTCTCCAGAAGGATGTAATCGAAGGTACCGCGACGTTCCATCAATGACTCGATAGCCATTACACCTGAATCTTTCACAGAGCAACATATGCAGCCATTGCCGACTTCCATCCACTCGGTCACTTCTTGCCCACCCTGGTTTACTGTCATTGGTTTTTCAATATCCATTGCTTTGTCATATAATGTCAGAATGTAAGTTTTTGGTCCCTTTGGTTGGACACCTTACAGTCACCAAATTCTAAAAATGCATTAGCAATGTAGATCATATCTCGCAGCCAGATGTAACAAACGAACCGTTCATGATCACGGCAATTTTCTTGCCGTGCTTCTCTGTCAGTATGTAGTTCAACAGGGTCGTTTTCCCCGCTCCCAGGTAGCCTGACCAGCGCATTAGTCTCATCTCATGACTTAAACAAATATGCATTCAATTATACCGGTAACAAGCGTGATGGGCACTCGAGCCGTTGGTTCTTCATCTACCGATGTTTGGCCTGTTGGCATTGCAGACGCATCGATAAGCTCCGGAGGAGCATCCTCATCTTCAAACATGTCAGACATATTGTTCGGATCTTTGAATGTTGCGTAAGTATATAGAAGAACGCAGAGTCTGAAGAAACAGAAAGCTCTTAGATGCGGCGGATGACGTTGCTTCCCAAAATAGAAATTAGGGCACAGGGCTCGGGCGGTCAGCCGTTGTTATGTTGATGGCTGTTATCTTCAGCGTCTAGGTATGCTCTCAGCGTCTATGCTCTCAATACTTGTCCTTTGCTTTCAGTAAGACGGTTTAACAGGACGTCTAGGTACCATTCACTCTTTTCTTTGTTTCTCGGTTTCTCTCGTTCTATCTAGCGCCCTCTTCCTACTACCGTCATGACAACTGCGGGAGTCTCTCCGACAAGCTCCCCGCGGCTTCCCAGTCCTCCTCCATTTACTGAGGTTCAGATTGGACCTCAGTCTCCGTCAGTTGGCGAGCCCTTTAGCAAAGACGCAGACCTGCTTGGTGTTGCAATCGGAGGAAATGATGGCCCGACGCGCAGAATCCGGCCAGGGACCAGATCTGCCAACATGGCAGCTGCCCCGCCAGTGATTCCCCTTTCGCAGGTTAGTTGCTCTCTACTAGCTATTTTAGACGTTACTAATCAACGCAGATTAATTCTCCATCCCCGCTTCAAGAACACCTCAAATCCCAGTACTATGAGCTTGCAGCCCAGTACCCTAAACTTATGGAGAAGTACGATGTGCTTATGGAGGAGTACAATGAGCGGAAGCATAAAGCATCTGACGATGTTGACCTGAAGAGCGAGGTTACGAAAGAGCCGACAAAACCGGAGAGCGCCGCGGAAAAACTGACAGCACCCCCGATGGGAGTTGAGGATATACATTGGAAATACGAACTGTGCCGCTTCTTCACTATGGAAGCTAATCGTCTGGTGCAGGGCTTTCTGGACGAGAACCCGCCCTGCTCGGCACAGACTTGCCCTGAGATGCGAGTCGTCGAGTGGCAGTATATTTGCGCGGCGCATAGCGAACCACAACCTTGCTGCGCGATTGACTATTGCTGCCATACTCTGGATTGGGCCATGGATACTCTCACATCGGCAGATTTATTCCCTAGCAAGCTTAAGTTAAAATCTAAGGGTGCCGATAAATTGCCAGATATCTTTCGCCGCCTTTACCGCATCTTCGCGCACGCATGGTTCCGGCATCCTGCTGTGTTTTCGAAGGTAGAAAATGATGGCGGTCTGTACGTCTTTTTCAAGACCGTTTGTGTTCACTACGGTTTTGTTGGGGACTACACGATTCCCCTTAAGGCCGGAGGACCTGATGAAGTCGCAGCAGCCAAAAAGAAAAAAGAGGCCAAGGAAAGGAAGGAGCAAACCGAGAAAAAAAGCACACAAGGGAAAAGAAGCCGAGGAAAAACCTATCAACAGCAGCAGCCGTTTCACTATTCTACAGAAGGAAGGTGGAAACTCATTTGATACCACTGTGGAGAGTCAGGACCCGGCGCTCGTCACTGGCGCGACCGCCCGTCGCCACAAGCACAGCCCTTCAACTGGATCGCGTGTTAACACTATCGCAGAGGATTCGGAGGATTCGGAAGAGATTACACCATCGTCACTGCGTGAGTCCCTGAAGCAATCGCCCGAACCGCGACCTGTTTCTGTTTTGGGAATACAGACTAGACAGGAGGATGTGGGAAAATCTTCTGAAGAGTCGGTTGAAGAATCCCAGGAACAACCACCGCAAGAACCCTATGAGGAGCCGTCTGAAATTCCTGAAGACCAGGAAAAGAGTGAGCAGGCTGAGCAGACTGAGCAGAATGAGCAGGCTAGGGAACCAATCTCTGAAGAGTCGAGTACGAATACAGAATCGCCCATCGAGAAGTATGTAACTGAAGGCGATGAGAATAAAACTTCCCCCGAAGAGGCAACACAAGCCGAAGAGCCCGAAGCAAAGATCGAGGCGACACAAAAGCTTTCTGTTACCCCCGCAACCAAATACGAGTCAGAGAAAGAGGAGTCTTGATATCAGCACTCTTTCGTACCTTTCACGCCAATCTCACACTGATGATCATTGACTTTTTGTATCTTTCATTCTTCATGTTTCCTATTTGTTGTTACCCTTGCGGTCAGTGATGAGCAGCCAATTCTTTTCGAGGTTAACTATCGGATACTCTTTTTGTAATATAGTTCAGGATATTGTTTATGCCCAATGTCAATGATACCCATTCTCCTGTACTTTCTCGATACATTCATGGATAAAATAAAAGAGTTGAGTTTGTAGATCTTCTAAGATTCTGTACACTACCTACGTATTTACATGTAAATGTGTATGTACACATAACTTGGGCCTGTTTCCAAGATTGAAAGGAACCCAAGGTTATATGTATGTAGGTTGATAGAGGTCTTGATAAGCGCTTATCAACGGATGGGAAGAAAACCAACAGGACAACCTTCCCAAATTCACCAACATCACGTTCCAATTCCAAAATGTCAGCTCTCAAAGGCGCCACAGTACCAATCTACTTCGGTCCATTTGTGGTCACACCTCAGGTAAATCTACCCTTGACCCAGGCAATCCCCATATAGCACAGAACCAGTCACAGACACAAGGACAAGCATAAACATAACTAATCCCAATACACCAATCTAACTAACAACTGACTCTCAAATCTTCAGGTCTTCTACACAACCCCCTTAACCTTCGCCCTAGTAAACCTGAAACCAATCCTCCCAGGCCATGTCCTAGTCTCCCCACGGCGCGTCGTCCCCCGCGTCAAAGACCTCACGCCCGCCGAAACAAGCGACCTCTTCCTAACGGTGCGGCGAGTAGGCCGCATGGTCGAGCGCGTATATGGTGCTACGAGCTTGAACATTGCTGTTCAGGACGGCGCGCACGCTGGTCAGAGCGTGCCGCATGTTCATGCCCATATCATCCCGCGTAAGGCGGCGGATCTGGATCATGCCGGTGGCACGGATGCAGTTTATGACTTGCTTGATGGGGATGAGGGGGATTTGGGGAGGGTATTTAAGAATGCCATCCCAGCAGAAAGGGGTCGCCAGTCAACTGAGCCTGGGAATGAAAGTCCTGCGAATTTGGGGAGGAGGTCTAGGTTCCCAGTTGTAGATAATGACGCACGCAAACCTCGTGATGAGGAGGATATGATGGCCGAGGCTGAGATGTTGGCACGGGAGATGGAGAACGAGCCTCTTGATTAATTGGGTTAATGCCTTGGATATGAAGGTCCGTGGCAATTGTTTACTTGTGATTCTAATAGATAACAGATATGACAGTTTACCACTAATTAGGGCGCTCAAAGGAGTTCTGGACGGCCCCGCTGCTCAGGTCATTGGTGACCTCTTGATAGAATATTGGGAGGTTAGGAAGGAGGAATTGTCCCACGCCACGATAATTATCTGAAGGCCGTACATATCTAGGAAAATACTTTCAAAAGCCATCCATGACTTTGATGGTCTTACTCTTGAACATTAGTCGGTCATTCCTCCAATGCTCGGGAGAAAGAGGTCAGCGAGCCTATATACAGTCACCTCGTCCTAGACCAACAAATCAACAAAAACAGAGTCAAATAAGAATTTTACAACATGAATGAAAGCTAGTGCCTAACTTTTGTTGCGTTATACTACATATTTATACTAAACGCTTCATAGAAATCATGTATTCTCATAAATCGTCGTCTATGGTATCCAGAGTACTCAAAAAAAGAAAGGCAAAGATGAAAATAAAGAAAAAAACGCCGAAAATGCAATGGGTCTCTAAAACGATAAGCCCAGGGCATGCCAGATTCCCCCATCACCCATTTTCTGCAATTGCGCGCAAATCGCATGCAGATTTATGCTTTCTTCGGTCTCTCCTGAATGACCTCCGCAGCCCAGGCCTGAATCTCCGGCAACCGAATGCGCGAGGCGACGTGAGTGAACTCGGTGAGATCAACCTCATTAGAGCGCTCATACTCAACCATCTGCAACAACAGCTCCATCTTGTCGATATCGTGCACGAAGTGGGCCTCCAGAGTCTCGTCCTTCTCGTATTCCTCAAATACTTTCTTAATTTCCTCACCCGACAAGATGCCTCCGGGGACCTTGCCAAGGAGGGTCGTGGTGATGTAGTCCATAACGGAGGCTTCGCGACGAGCCTTCTCGGACTTGGTGATGTGGTAGTCGACTGGAGTGATATCGCCAACAAGCGCCTCGGCCATATCGTGGATCAAGGCCATCTTTGTGCAGTGCGGGATGTTGATCTTGGTTGCCAGAGACGGCGGGGCCATCATCGTCATGATCGACATGCGGTACATATGGTCAGCGATGGACTCGCCATTGATGCCGAAGCGGCGCCAGCCCTCGCGCTTGGTGGTCTTAAGGCGCTCAATCAAGTGAAAGAAGGGGACGGGTGACGTAGAATTCTCCTCTGGACGGTGCGGGAGCGTAGAGAGCACTACCGATATCAGCTTTGCGGGGTCTAAGAAGAGGGATTAGAGGCTTACCGGTCTCAGGTGTCCACGTAGAGTTATCGGACGCCATTGCTGATGTTGTTGAAGTAAGAGAGTGACTAAGAGGGAAAAAAAGAAACCCGTGGGCACAAGTAGAGAAGGCAACTAAAGAAATGAAAAACTAAAGAAAGAGAAACAACGAACGCGGGACTGATAGGCGCTGCAAACAATGCAAAACCTTCGTTATCTATGTTTATTCTCCGCCTGTTCACTAAAGTCCCCTTCGACACAGGATGGCTGCGACAAGGCCCGTTCGGCCGAAACCCCTGGATTGGCCGGGCCCCTCACATTTGGATGTGTTTATTCGCAATCTGAAGCTATTGCATCTGGATCAACGCGAGGATTGGCCCGGTATATCTCTCCGCACATTGACATCGACATCACAGAACCAACGACAACGAATCAGACTGATAGAATGGGCTCTTTACAACCTCTACACCATTTGGGATTCGGAGGGTGCCCAAAATGTACTGCGAACTAATTGTTAGCTTCTAATATTATGAAATTTGCTGACGTTTTCTGCAGAAACTCCGACCCTTCTTCCCTCCATTAGAGCCTCTACAGTCTGTCAACCTCCGCGCGGCGTTGTTTCGGTGTCTGGGCGAATTAAAGAAGAATGGCGATCTGGGAAGGGAGATTATCCTTCGCAAAACCATGCTGGATGATTGCAAAGGTGATAAATTTGAGGAGCTGCTTGCTGGCTTCTCTACCGCCGTTCTCCGTAGAGTTGTGGCGGTGTCTGCGGACGACATGCTTTGGAAGCCTACCATGAAACTTTCGACTGCCATAGCCATAACCCCAACCGACTATAAAAATCTCCTGCCGCTCATTCTTGCCCACCAGGTATCTCTCGGTTCTGTTGGAGAACGCCATATCCGAGTTCGAGATGCGTATCATCGGTTCTCACAGCTGCTAGACGATAAAATGGTCGAGTTTACTGAACGTGCAAATGAAGAATCAGCTGATTGCATGAACGATATGCAGAGCGACTCCGAGATCTTGATGCGTGAGCTACAAGCAAATTGGCTGGGCAGCGAGGAATGGGCCACTGCACTGCTCGAAGGCGGATCACAAAGCAGCACTGACGCTTTTCTGGAACTCCCTTTCTCAACGGCATGGATTCAGGCGACTGACTCAAACGTCGACGAGTTCAGCAGTGGGTTAAAGCAGGACCTAGTCCTTGATTTAGAGGCTCGGGTTCTACTCCAACGAAGTCGACTACGCAAGTGGCATGAATACAACAAGTCCCTCTCTAAGGAGAGAGACATTGATGAAATTAGCACAGCCTTACCTAAGGAATCACGTGTGCTATTCCGGGATCACCAGTCTCTCACAGTTGCTAGTATATCCAAAGCTGTTCGTCAGCCTGGGGATCGCGGGCGGACGTTGAAAGGGCCAGAGAAATATCTCTTATCCTCTGTAAATGAGGCCATATCCCGTATCAACGGCAAACCCCGCGTCAAGCCTGAAATATTTACCCCGGAGGTAAAAACGAGCAGCAAATTACAATTCAGAAGCTCGTCGGGCATCACCAGTTCACCATCAACAGAAGCAGAAGACTACCACGCCGCAGGTCATCTGTTAGGCCTGGAAACCCCAGAGCTCCACCCAGAATCAGAGCATATTCAACCCTCGTCTCCGGTTGTTCGGCTCTCCCCAAGCCTCCCCTCATCAGATAAGGAACCAGCCCCAGAACCCCTCAAGCACAACCACACCTTAGCCGAGCGCACGCGCAGATCGATGTCTCTCCTCCCACCCGTAGCCCATGAAGCATCCCGGCCACGCCGCAGACCCCGCCCGTCCTTCCCAGTCAACCAGTTCGTGACTCCGCGGAAGACCTCCGCGCACTCGGCTTGCTCGAGGGATGAGCTCTCACGCGCTTCGACGCCGCAGGATCAGCTCTTTGCGGAAGACGCTGAGTACGCGAGTGTCTTCAAGTCGCGACCACGCGTGGCGCTTAGTCCTATTTCGTCACCAGCTGTGCATGTCAGCCCTTCTTTTGAGGAGGAGAGTTTTGAATTAGATTGCGAGGACGGTGATGAGAGTGAGGGTTGTGAATGGGGGGATGTTGATTCGCCTTTGACTGGTCCGCGGTTGAGGGGCTAGGTTGTCAAAGTATAGATATATACCTGCACGTATCCAGCTACTCGGTTGAGCGTCAGGAATTGATAGTTTGAATTTTATAAATCCTCTCTCTGAGTCTTTGTATCCATGCTGAACATACTTTTAGGCGGGGGTGGGATTAAAGCATGTATAAGTAATCCTAACTATGTGGATTTCAGTCCCTTCTTACGGTGCGTACCCGCGTACCCGGCCCTTCGCTTCCGCCCCTAAACCCCTTGCGTGGTGAGGGGCGGAAGCGAAGGGCCGGGTAATATAATACTATTTGCTCACTTTGGCGTCGCATTATGTGGAAGAGCGTATATGATTAAAAATATAGCAGTGTCTGAATATATCTTGAGAGCAATCTATTCATGGAGGCCTTCGGTTGAGAAAACATTATCGTAGTGTACATATGTAGTTGGTATATAAAGTTAACCACGGAGTACCCACGGAGTTTATGTGATTGGGTAAAGAGTGTACGAGCCAAGGCTAGCGTCACACCAGGTGCTAGATCCTAGAAAAATTCCAAGTATCACAAGCTATTATCCAGATTTCATCCATGGCTAGTTGCAAGAAGCATCCGAGACATTTGTTTCAAGGTGAGAGCATTTGCTAGCTTCAATATAAATCGATGTCCATCATAGCCATACGAAATCAAATATCAAATAAAGTACTTAATTTCACAATCGTGATGGGCTTTGTATGAAATGAATAAAATTCTCCGGGATATATCTCGATAGCCAGACTTTGTGCGACTACCTAGTAGCTCAGTCTAGGTCATTGGCCTCTTTTGCAACTTCGTCCGACTCAAGGCCTATTGCTTTTGAACAAAGGTGCCAATGTTGGCAAACATACGGCAACAATCCCAACTGAGATCTCGATGAATGACCAGATTCCCGTAAAAACAATATTCCTGCCAGTATTGTTAGATTCCGTTCTCTAGGATCTATCTAAATGGAAGGATGCTCACAACTGGTGTCCCCATATTTTGTTTTGAGGATCACGACACACCGGACAATACCGAAAATACAAACACTGCATGTGTCAGTCACCACATACGAGTGCTGGTATGGTCTATATGAACACTTACATTCCTCCTAGAAAGAAAATTCCCATTACCTGAACCTTGCGCTTCGTTTCCATTTGCAATTGTATCACTGGTCGCACGGGCAAAGCCAATATAAGAACGTCTGTGATAACATTGACAATACTGTCAATCAATCTCGGTCAATATGAATCACTGACCTGGTGTGTGGCCTATACTCACGCTAGAAGCTTGAAGGCGAACCCTTTATCAATACAACTTCCTGGTTTTCCTGTCCACATCGAGAATAGGGGAATGCATTGCAAAGAAATCACAAAAATGACTGCTAAATTGTATGCAATGACTATTAGTCCTAGCACACAAGAGACTACATGCAGCCACTCCAGTTTGAATATTCGATGATAGAAGAGGAGAATGGAAATTTTCGTCAGCATCACAGTAATTGAGTAGCAAATTACTGAGACAATGTATTCCTGTTTTTCGCCAATTAACAAAGGTGCTCTCGATAAAAACTGTATGTCATGTTATATTCACCTGGATAAGGCTCTTCGGGCTCTTAAGAAAAATGATATGTCGGCCCTTGCCGTTATCGATTGCCAGTGCCACAATCGCTACATACGCGATCATACACAGCTATGTCACAGTTAGTGTGTTCTAAACGTAAGAATCCATGATGCAGACTGTAGCCAAGAATATCTCGTCCAGTCGTCAAAGCCGAACTTCGTTTGCGTGTGGAGTCGGCAGATAAGACGTGCAATCACAGCACTTAGTGCTAAAGTCAACCCACACACGTAGGCAGCGATCTCGTTGGGCCGTCTATCATCTTTTATATTGTAGCTCATAAGGTATGCAAATTGTTTGATAATCGATGATTGCGTAAGTTGGCTCAACTTGGTTAGCTACACTATCATAAACGTAAGGACCTAAAAGAACATCATATGGCACGATAGAGTTTAAAAAAAAGCCTACGGAGTAGTAATTATCACGTAGGGTGCCGAATAAATGGCATACTTGTAGCAGGTGTGATAAATAAATTTGTGAGGATCGAGGCATTGGGGGTCCTGTGAGATGCAGTATATAATTACTTCAACTTCCATGGGCAATAAAGATGACCTCGGGGTTATATGCAGGGTTCACCTTGTAAACAGGCTTGTGCAACCCTATTCAGGCTGCAGTTATTGATTGCAGAGACCTCATTCTTGTAAGCTCTCTAGACCATTTCCTAAATTTTGGGGTAAACTTTTATCCTCAACTATCGTTTTTCTTACGCCTAGATTTCCCAGAAAAGGATTGCCTGTTGTAATTAACTAGTACCATAACATTCTATCAAGGATCCCTCTATAATACCATTGGCTTCTTTACCAAAATACCTGGCCATACAAATTACGAGATGACTTGAACCAAATCAATCTTTTGTTTTGCCATACCAAGAGAATGGTTGGAACCGCATGGAAGGCGCTATCGGCTGAAGAATAGCTTGAAACGCAAACTCCATTGCAAGATCAATTGTTACACAGAGCCCCAAGATTTCAAACATCCCCTCGAATCCATCATCAGCCATCACCCACATTCCAATATTCCCTTTATGGGTATAACTGTCAAACCGCCTGTTACCTCAGGTGCCCAGCAGATCTCTATTTCCTTTGCTTGATAACATAGAGCGTTTAGGGGTAGTGAAACCAAAATTTATTAAAAGTTGTTTGACATAACGGGAGATACTTCGGCTGCTCATCCGTCCTTGATGCTCAGCTCAGATAACGGACTTACAATGTGCTTATAGTAGGCTGGTTCTTTTGAAGAGAAGCCATCAGGTCTCCATCAGAGAGCCTCGCATAGGGTTGATAGGGTTTAGCATTTTATACTATGCGTGGGTAGAGTTAGTGGGTTTCTACAAATAGCAGTATGGTGCTTTGTTCAAAGTTTATATTGACGACCCAAAAGAATTGACAGAAATGAAGATTTTACGGGATATCTCTCCAGGCTGCAATATAGAAGGAGTTGGGTAAAACAACCTGGATCTTCACCTCGACGCCCGCATTGAACGGTATCTTCACCACCCCGGCGTTTTCCTTGAATGCAGTGGCCTCGGGCATCTGCGTGGGTCCAGGCCTCATGGACAGATCTTGATGACTATTTATATAGTGTACCTAGTTGGGAACCAGATCTTCTCCTACATATTAGCTTCGCTTGTTCTTTCCACGATTATTATTGCGGTTTTTTTATGTAAGCATTGATGTAGGTACCTACCTAGGTAGGTAGGACACCTAAGAGGAGCAGATAGCTATAGATTAACAATACGCACTCGTACATCTCTCTAGGTTCATTTCTTGGAGGGAACGTCCGAAACGCCCCCTGCCGCTCCCTTTTTCCTTTTTATGCCTTGGTTGGTATAATGCTGATTTGCGAGTGCTTAATCGACCCGTATGCCAAATAGCATACAGCCTTGAGCATTTCTCTCTTCAAAAGGTAACTACATATATAGATACCCCTCCACTCCTCTCCTCCTTTTCTCTCTTCCTCTCTTGGTCCCTCTCTTTCTATAGGAATCTTACTTCCTGTTTCCCCATATGGATTATCCATAAAGTAGCGACTTTGAGACCTCTGGATATTATTTTTAACTAGCATATTCTTAGTACCTAGATTTCAGTGTTTATGCCTGATTGTAGTCACTGCTTGTTTGTTTGTTTGTTTGTGAGGCGAAGGCTTCCCCCGAGCTCCTTCCTCCCTCTTTCTTCTTTATTCTTTTTTCTTCTGTTCCTCTATTATTTGGTCCTTTCCAGGTGTTAAGCTACGCTCTAAAATAAAATTGAAAACAAAGCAATTGATTGAGGAGAAAGAAACTATCTGTATATCAGGACCAAATCTATCTGGGGTAGTGTATGGCTGGGCAGCAATAAGGCATCCAGACAACAGCACAAAATTAAGTGACCCTACACCCGGAGGGAACTAGGTCTCTTGTCAAGGGCCGGGTAGTAGCTTGCAAGCAAATTCTTGGTGAATTCTTTTCCTGATACTGAGCCCTCCCATTGAGACATCTCTATCACCTTAGCTTTCCCCTTTAATGCAGTGGCCTGTTGTGCGTTTTCGGCATTGGCATCAGCCCCGTCATTAAGTAGCATCGACACTATTTCGGCGCTCTCTATTGACACAGCAGCCTGCAAGGCACTGCCGTATTGTCCACCCTGAATATTGGCACCGGCCCCCTCGTCAAGTAGCACCCGCACTGCGTCGACGCTCCCCATTGACGCAGCGGCCTGTAGGGCGTTGCCGTAATGCCCACCCTGAATATTGACATCGGCCCCCTTGTCGAGCAGGATTTGCATCACATCATCGCTCCTAGTTGATGCGGCGGCCTGTAGTGCGCTTCCGTATTCACCACCCTGGGCATTGACATTGGCCCCCTTATTGAGCAGCATCTCCACGACTTCGGCGCTTCTGTTAAATGCAGCGGCCTGTAGAGCGCTGCCGTACTCACCACCTTGGGCATTGACATTGGCCCCCTTATCTAGCAGCATTCCCACCACTTCGACACTCTTGTTAAATGCAGCGGCCTGTAGGGCGTTGCCGTATCTACCACCCTGGGCATTGACATCAGCCCCTTTATCTAGCAGCATCTCCACCACTTCGGCGCTCCTCGCGTATGCAGCGGCTTGTAGGGCGTTGCCGTATTCACCACCTTGGGCATTCACATCGGCTCTCTTGTAGAGCAGCATCTCCACCACTTCGGCGCTCCCCACGTATGCAGCGGCTTGTAGGGCATTGCCATATTCACCACCTTGGGCATTAACATCGGCCCCCTTGTCGAATAACATTTCCACCACTTCGGCGCTTCCCGCAAATGCAGCGGCCTGTAGGGCATTGCAGTATTGACCACCCTGGGTGTTGACATCTGCCCCGTTTTGAATCAACAAGTTCACTAAGTCTGCCTGGCCGGTTGATGAAGCAGCCTGTAGCACATTTCCGGCTTTTTTTGATCTTGTGCCGGTGTTGGTTTCCTCAAGCAGAAGCCATTCAACAAATTCCACATGTCCATATCTCGCTGCTTCCTCTAATGGCGTTGTTCCAAAGATACCCCAGGTACCCGAAGTATCCCAGGTACTCTTTCTGTCATTTGCGCCCCTTCCCTTGAGCATCTGAGCCACTTCTGTATGACCCCATCTCGCTGCTAAATGAAAAGCTGACTGTCCCATGATATTGGTCTGATTGATGTTCTCATTGTTTTGGATTAGAAAATCTATAACCTCAACCATGTTGGCAGCTGCCGCCATATGGAGCAGCGTCGTTCCGCGTTGGTACTTCTCATCATAGACTGATGACCTCAGTACCATGTGGATATTGAGCCATTGGCTAAAAAAAGCCTGTAGTGTTTGCATTTCATCATGTATAACATTGAAATGAGAGCAGTTGAGAAGATTGGCGGTCGTACGAGAGCGCCCGGCCTTTTTTGCATGCACGAAAAGATTCAAGGTCGCATATTGAAGAAATTGTCGATTGCCAATCAACTGGACTTTGTCACATTTAGGATAGGACTTGCTTACTGAACTGACTTGCTCAAGGTAGACAGGTGTACCTCGTCTGCCACGACAGCGCGGTGACACCTCTCTGTTAAGATAGATCAAACATGACTGGTAAAGCGTTGCATGGCATTCAAGCATCATTTCTTTTCCGTTGCATGGTGGCTTAGTGATGGATGTATGGCCGTCATGAGCAAGTGAACGCAAGTGAATGAGTCCCTTGTCACGTAAAAATTCATCGACTGTTTGGTGGACTACCTGTATAACATCATCGCCGCGGATTGATGTGATTTCGGCCAATCCACCGGAAAGCGCCTTGATCCTGCGCATCATATCATCGTCTGACTTGACAAATTTGCTTATCTGCTCCCATGGCTGGGTTGATGTTATCGTGGCATTTTTTGTAGCCAACGCATATCGCATTTCTCTCAAAGTGAGGGGTCGTTCAGCCGCACATATCCACTGAAAGAATAAGAAAACCTCCTGCTCATCCTCTATAGCCGTTATCTGGTCCATTATTACCAGATACATTTCTTTGAGCTCTTCTGGGACCTCCTTTACCCATTCATGGATACTTTCAGCACAGTGACCATGACGAACTTTACGCTGGATATGGGGCATGATGATATGGACCCATTGGAACACACCATTTGCCTGCTTTGCCAGTTCATTTGTCAATTTCTGCCAAACATGTTGGTCACGAAGTCGATTAGGGAATTTGTCCTTGATGTAGGAGGAAATGTCCTCGTAATTGTGATGTTCGACTGTTATCTCAGTCGCCTCGTCACTGTCCACAATTGGATAGTGTCGGCACGAGAAGCATATTTTGAGGGTAACCTTGTCACGGCCCGCAGATTTATTAAGCTTGTGGAGATACTCAGCCAGCTCCTGAGCAGGGATCTCGCCGGTCTCGTCCAAAGCATCCACGAAAATAGTCACATGCTGACGAGTCGCTGAATCCAGTATTGCCTTTTTTAGTAAATCCTCCAACTCCTCTTTTGCCCATTTCAAATTGCATTTGTCACTCCCAAACTTCTCGCATCTTCTTTTGTATGCCGCACGCACCGAAGGACGTATGGCCGCATCGTTGAGAAAGAGTTGGTTGAGCAACGATCTGAGCATCCCAAGGGGTGTTTTTTGCAGGGCGGTGCCACCGGCGGTAAAGAAAAATTCGAGCTGAATTCCTTGGCTCTTGCCTTGCGATTCCTGAAATTTGTTGTACAGAAACGACATCAGTGTTGATTTGCCGGCTCCTGGCTTGCCCTTGATCCACATCAAGGCCTGAGAGCTGTTCATCCAGGAATTGTACTTTTCGAGCCCCAAAATCCACTGGCAAGTATTTTCATGGCATCTTTGAATGCCTTCTCGCCGTTGGAGCATCTCGGGAAATGCTAGTGACCCAAGGATATCTGCCACTGCGATTAATAATCTCCTCCCTGACTACCTAGGTAGATAGGTATCCGGGGCAGTGCGAACCATTATCCATCTTTTTTTGCTCTAAAATATGTCAGTATTATTGATGGTATGTATCAAGAGGCTGCACGCATAGGTTGCATTGCATTGTAAGGTCAGACTGACCTTCTTCTTGTTCAAGCTCAGGGTCCACATGGTTGCCGGATATATTGACTGCAAATTTCAGTTAGGAAAGGCATTGTCTCTAGCTTGCCTTCGGTCTTATTACCTATGCAATCGTTGTACTGTGCCCCGTTGGAGTTATTGTTGTATTGGTTTTTGCCGTTGATATTGGCGTTCTGCACTCCATGGCCACGGTTGTCGAAATTGATTCCTGAAAATGGTTGTGGACCCATTATGGCCACAAATAATGTGCTTGATTATAGAAATCTCAACACAATAAAATCCTAGGCTATAGCAGGTATATTATAATTTAGGAAATGCCTGGATTGGACCAGCGGGAGGTTGTGCGTATAGGGACATCATATGTACATATTATAATAAGCGCCCGTGAGGGGTCATAACACGCTAGTCGTGTAGAATAGATTAAACCGAAAATGCTGCTTTGAATAGAAGTGTTTTCATTTAGCTAACGTTTCGCTTTGGAACCCCCTGTGTACCTCCCCCCTCGCCCCCTCACTCACAACAGCTGTGGCGGTTGTGACCGGAAATTGGGGGCTCAGCTGGTAGCATAGAACCAGTCTATCCTGCTGCCTTGGCGTTCTTGCCAACGCTGTACAGACCAAAATTTCAAAGATAGACCCTGGAGTTTCGGATTCAATATAAGCATAGTTGGCGCCCACGATCATCATTTGCAAATAGAGTGCCAAAATAGACAGCCAAAGAGAAAGATTGGTTAATCACCAAGTTGGCAAAAGAGGTACCTTCGAGAGACCAAAACGACAATAATACACAAGCGCTTTCGTGATCAGGGTAAATGCCGATGAAACCCTCCATGTCAACCTAAATAAGCAATCACAAAAGAGTGATATCTGCCCGTCGCAATTTCACTCATTGATGGACCAACCATCATGACCCTCTTATCATGCATGATTTAATGGGCTGAGGCCTAGTTGAAGTACAAGCCTCACGGCTTCAGCTCCTATTATTGGTAATCAACTCACTTGCTGCCCAAAAGGAAGATTCTTCCTGATTTGCTAATGACCAACAGGATCAACAGGATCAACTCGACTCTTTTCTCCATAAGCCGACAATGTGCTCTTGAGCCAGTGACCCTGCAAAATAACCCCAAATGTTGTTTCCTGGTCGGTCGTCAAATTCCTTGGTTGCTACTCCGTACGCTTCGGTGAGATATGTGTCTTTCCCCAGCGCTGACCTATCTCCTTCCCCCTCTCTTCCCTCTTTTCCAATTATGTAGCCCAGTTTTGTATCCAATGATAGGGCCTCTTTCTGAGTAGATTTTTAGCAGGGGTCAACTTCTAATACCAAGCTTTTATTCAAGTTATTTTAGCACGCTCAAACTGGCTCAGTTGTCCTGTCTAGGCAGAATAAATAAAAATGACTGCTTTTGAATTCTTTCCTCAGAGGGGCTAGTAACAGACTGAACTTCCAACAATAAGGCTAAGCTTTTAAATTCCAGCAAATTTAACAGGAATTATCTTAAAAAAATTCCACGGTGAATATCATCAATGGGGTTGTTGCGAAGAAAGCTGGAAGCCGTAGATGGGGCCATGGAACATACTCCCACTGCCGAAAGTGTTATATTGGACAGCTGAACCATTGTTCGTGGTTATCAAACCGTTCGCATAGTTGTTAAACACAGATGGCGAGCTTTCTACTACCGTCGAATCATTGTTCTCGCCTGTTCCAGTATCTGACCCCGGATCATCACTTAGACACGTTAGTTGACATATTTAGAAAGATACACTGGGTCGCTCTGTAACACACCTGTTTTCACTCATCCATCTCTGGAGTTCACCAAGCAAACTTTTGTATCCGTTGTCTTCCTTGGAGGCAAATTTCACCATGTCACTATGATTGGCATGGATACTGATGGAGTTATACCCATCTAGAGTCGCCGATTCTGTGCACACCACTTTCCTGCCTATAGACAGAGGCAATTCCTCGTAAAAGCATGTCACTTTGATATTATCACATCCACGCAGCATGTTCATAAAGTCAAGCTGGACGGAGTTGAGCAATTCACTCTTAGTCTCCAGCACCTTTATCAACTGATTGGTAGACTTCACAATCCCCAAAGCTGAAACGCTAATTTTTGTCCAATCAGCCATCCAAGAGCCCTTGTGAGGCGTTCCCATGAATAAGATACCCTTTAAGGAAGTAAACAGTTCCCGGAGATGAGTGTCCGGGTGAACTCGGGAGAGGTTTATAGCTAACTTGCAGACAAGACCGCCTAAGCTATGTGTGACAAAAATCAAAGGTCTTGATGATGCGTTGCAAGAGGCTCTATCTGTCGTCAAGTTATTCAAGAGATTTGTGGCGTGATCCCTCAACCGATTCGATGATACGACGGACTTTCGCAAAACATAGGCATCGTAGCCGTAAGTCAATATCCGAGCTCGAGCACTGAGATCAACAGGTAAAAATTCCTGTGGCCATGGAGTTGGTTGTTTATTTGCAGTCCAAGTAGTTCGTCGATCTCCGGTCAAACCATGGATAAAACAAATATCAAAGGATGCTTCGGGGCAGTCGTATAAGACTTCAACCCCATCCGGAAATGAAGGGACTGGCGGGGGTTTATGCGACCCTACGCTAGTCGTGGCATTGTGGGGGACTTTGTGGCGTTTGAACCACGAACGGCCAAGTTCAGGCATACTAGAACATGAGATAGACCGGCTTGAAGAGTTCCGATCGCAAGATTTTTTGAGTCGACCGAAATTAGTTCTCAAATTGACTCGAAAAGGGCTAGTGTGATTGTTTGTGTTCGGCTAGACTAGAATGAAATTGAATTGATTAGGAAAGAGGGGAAGTTTGGAAAAGACTCGTGTATGGGCCAGATCAATAAATCCCCTGCCATGTCATACTCGCATATTATTTTCAGTCGATTGGTCAACAGTTGCCCACTTCAGATACTTAAGCGAAACAGAGAAGTTCATGGCTTGTTGTAATAATAATAGCACGGGGCATGCATGAGTCCTGTCTGAGCCCCCTTCATCGAGGTTAGCGGCGGGGTATCTATCAAGTATTAAGATACCTCCCATTTCATGTACTTGGGATCTTTTATAAAATTGATACCCTATGGAATACAGGTTATATCCCATCCTCCAACCATCTCAAGTCTTTGCACTACAAATTACTTATTCTGGAAGCTTCTATCCTGTCATGTCATTCGCCGACCCTACACACAGCCGCATTTTGGCTGAGACTATCAACGCCCTCGAAAAGGCAGAGAGAAACAGTCTTGATCCAAATGGAAGAGACACTCCCCCTATTTTTCGCGAAACAGCCAAACACATCCCGTCCCTCCTGGCCTACTTCGGAAAATGCAAGCAACAGCTTAATGAAACTATGATGACCGAAGAGCTCCCTCAATCAACGATTGACGCTATGGAAATTTGCGAGGGGAACGCTACCCGCGTAAATGAGATCTTCTCAGGTGTTGTGGGAAGTTCAAATGCAGTGGAACAGTACCGGAAGGTTGCACGAGGAGACCAATTAGAAGTTTTAATGAAGGAAATCCTTGAGAATGCGATTAAAATTTCGGAGATCAGACAACTTGCTGTCATAAGGGGTGTGGAGGTTCAAAAGCTCAGCACTGCTTTAGGTCGGTTTACTGAGATGTCTGCGTCGTCACCTGAAGTCCAGTCGCCGTATTCTTTCTACAACTCTGGAAATGGGCATCAAAATATCAACACTAGCACGGGGCACCAGTACAACAACTCTGGACCCGGAAATATGTTTACTGGTGTGATTCACGGTTTCCAGATGTCCAAATAATACGTGGGAACCAAAACTGTTGTTCGATCACAGTAAGCCCTATATATAACGAATGCATATACATATAACAAATGCCGGAACGCGTGTATAATGAGCCTAAATAGTTGTTATAATCAATTTATTATATCAATCACATTTTTTTAGCCATAACACAAAGTTCGTTGTCTGCTTATCTCCCTCATAAAATTCGCTATGTATCTCGAGGCTAGGTCAGCTGGTCTTAGTCAACTTGGAAAATCCATTGATCGTCTCCTATGGAATAGGTAAATCCTTCCTCAATGTTAGAAATTGCAGTTCCGTCTCATTTATTATCATGCCATTGGTGTTGTTTCAAATATAGCAGTAATTAACCGCCAGCTACAAAATTAGCGCCGCAGATGCAGCTTGCTTTTACTTATGCAGTGTACTTCACAAAATCTGCACCATGTTGCATCGCAGGTTTTTTTTCCCTCCAATTGCATATAATCCTTTTTCTATTGTCGGAAATCGACATGTTGTTGTTTCTATATGATTTATAGAAAGTGAGCCCATAAAATATGGGCTCTTTTTCCAAGATGAAGGTAATATATAACTCTAGCATTGAACCTTGCTACGACCAATGATTTTTATATTTTTCTATTCACCTTGCTCCACCATTGGTATTATCTCAATCCTTCAAATAATCATTTACTAGTAGGATCGTTCGAATCACGTATATACAGCATATATATTTATATTAAGCTACAGAATAAGCTTGAGGTTAAACCTTATCAAGACTTCAGAGTAACATTGAAAACCTTAAAACGAATGCACATGAACAAGAGATAAATAGCTCCTAGACAGACATACTGATAGTCAATCAATAATTGATACAACAGTTGAGTAGAATTCCACAGAAAGAAATATCAGCATACATGGCGAGTGTGGAAATATGTTTGTGGAAGAAAGAGGGCCTAGGCATATATCTTTTATGGCCTGAGGTCATGTTCATGCCGGGAACGGACCACGTGGACCTGCCAGGAATGTTCAACTAAAAATGCACATATTGCACCTTCACCTAGGCAAGCTGGTATATCTAGCAGTCAAGGAGATCCTGCTACTGCTGTCGCTATAGAGCAGAAATTAAGTGAATCTAGAGGAGGAAATTAGGTTCTCTATATGATGCTTCTAGAAATTATAGCGAGGTCTTAGAGTGCTAAGAGCAGGAGTGTGGCTACGGCACAATACTAAAGGCTAAATCGGCAAGAGATTCTTCGGTGCCAACTTCTATGACATATCCAGTCTGTGCAATGTTCTTTCAAGGCAACTTGTCCAGCCCAGTCCCTCCCTTCATTACCCGGTCCTATGCGACATAGTATATCAGTAATCAATTTATGCCAAAGAGAAATGGATAATGGAAGAACACAGGGCCACTCACTAAAACGGTTGTCGGCATATACTTAGATGTAAATTTCACCATGGAAGCCATCGCGCCATGCCACACTGGTCCCGACGCTCCTCCAAAGATATCCTTGACAACCTCGCGAGCAAATTCCGCCGGCGCGCTCCTACTCGAGACATCTTTTCCGACGCCGCGTAGTTGAATATCCGAGAGTGCCTTCTGGTAAAGTGAGTTTTCTGGCAGGGTCAGGTCAGAATGCGACATAATATTTGTGGCGACGGCTCCGGTGACCAGGGAAATAACCCGGATGTTGAAAGGCTGCAGTTCCAACCGGAGAGTCTCGCTCCAAGACATTAGAGCGGCCTTTGAGGCGTTGTAGACACCTGATGCGAAGTGTCAGCAAGTCATTTCGGATATTTTATATCACAACCGCTGGGTGGAGAATACCTACTCATCCAGGGGGCGTACAAGAAGCCCGATATGGAGCAAACGTTCACGAGGGTACTGCCATTCTTGGCAGCCTGAAGCAACGGCATGAAAGCCTGGGTGACAGCGATGACACCCCAGAAATTCACATCGAAAAGACGCTTGGCCTCATCTATGGAGGTATCTATGGCAGGATAGATGAGAGATTGCCCGGCGTTATTGATGAGAATATCGAGAGAGTCACCACGCGAAGACAAATCCTGGCGGACAGTATCGATGGCAGCGGCAATGCTGGTCAGGTCAGCGACGTCGAGGGTAACAAGAGTAACATTGGGTAGTTTTGCAAGGTGACTCATTTTGGCTGGAGAGCGGGCTGTTGCGTAAACCCTCAGCCCTTGAGCGTGGAGTTCCTCCACCAGGGCCGAGCCAATGCCTCCAGCGCTACAACCGGTGACGAGGGCACAACGGGGCATTGTTAGATTAGTGATGAGAAGAAAGAAAGATAGAGGTGGAAGAGAGGCGGAAAGAGGCGATTTTAAAAAAACTCTTTTCTTTCTTTGTTTTTCTTGCCCTCTGTCGCTCAAAATGGAAAGTTCCGGAGTCGAGGAGAGCAAAGAAGCTGCTTTTCGTTTGCAACTACTCCATAGCAAGCCCCTCACGCTGCTCGATGCCAGGTAGAATGGGTTTTCCAGTTTCCAAACAACCTGCAATTCAAAAATTGCGGGTCACTCCTGAGAGAAGTCATTATTTGTGTCTGCGTGTGCTTGGTGTGTGGATGGAGTCTAATGATCTACAAGACAACCAGCATTGAATTCAACATCAAATATAAGATTGCCCGACCGGATCAGATCAAATCTCATTGTTCGCGGATATTCCCTCTCTTGGATTGACAACGTCAAAATGCCAACCCGGGTTAGACTCCATGGCGGATTCGGGAATTCCCCAACAAGGGCAACAGTGCGATTGTCCCCATAAGGCCATTACACCCTAAATTTTGCAGATTGCATCGTGTAAAACAGACATTGTATCCAAATATGAAAGTAGGCCGACCTCAGGGGCCATTATCGCTCCCATGATGGGAATTGGGTGGAAATTCACCAGGGGAAAGCTTAGACATGAGACCAATGACTTCAGGTTATGTTTTTCATCTAGTAACTTCAGGGCTATATCAACGGATTACGAGTGTTATTTAGCGACCACAGCATATACAGATACCCCCCTATTCCATATCTAGAATTAGAGTACTTTTTATAAGTGTGGGAACGTCCTCAGGAACCGCTTTCATTATTCTGTTGGCTGTTTTGGATCATCGAGCCGATAGCCGTATCAAGTAAGCGGTGATAAAAAGTACTTCAAAAGATGTGTACTGCCACGACAGCTCCGAGGTTAACACCTCTCAGGCCAACAAGAGCCGCTAAGTCTCTAGCGATCCACCAGTTGGATTTGGGCCAGGTTGCGTTCGCAGGATAAACCCAAAACTGAGCAGTTGTTGCTTAAGGTAGCTTTTCTCTCCATGGTATAGAGGGAAGATAAAATAGATAGCGCGCGTTTTGAAGTTCAGCCTTTCCCGTTAGACGACCTCGGTCAACTCGATCGCTCAATGTTCGGAACCCTGCGCTACCAGTCCGAGAAGAAGACCGGGGAGTTCCTCGAGCGCGAATCAGGGTTTGCGGGGAATGTGGCAACCAACAAACCTCAACACTCAGCCTGCGATAACTGCCGGGTAAAAAAGGTGTGTGATGTAAATGCTGAAAGGCTTCATGCATTCATAGGCCATGTTCGAAACAGCTAATCGGGGCAATTGAGACGTATCAAATAGATCCGCTGCAGCGGCCGAAAAGCGGGATGTTCACAGTGCAAAACACACTCTCTCCCTTGCAACTATGCCCACGTACCCACGCGGAAAGGCAGGAGGAAGCAAGCGCCCACCTCTTCTGAAAAGAACAATGAGACTGAGACATGTCCGGAAATTGGTGTGGTGGGCGCCCAATCTCTGGCGAGGGATTCTGCAGCTACAGCTGCTGTGCAGCCATCCCTGTTGACGATGGAACTTCATGGAGTCAGCGAGAATTGTATCGGATTGGACAATGCAATGCACCCGGTCCAGGATAACCTGGAATTGGCCCTGGATCCGATGTTCAAGGAAGCCTCGACTTGGTCCAGTCACCTCAATTGGGCTCTAGAAGGGGAGGACAACTTTGTGCCGGACTCGGACTACCCAATCGCAGGGAATCCACAGGTCCCGGCCGATTTCTTCAATTCTGGGTATATGAATACCCCACTCTTGTCGATTCCGGGACCGTGCTCCAAGAATGAAATACTAATGGATGACAGTTACTCTATGTCTGAAAGTACTGTACAGCAGCAGCCGCTGCCGCTCGTTTCCAATAGTTTCACACACCCAGATCTACTTCCGACTCCACCGTTAACCCATATTCTTGCCCCAACCGTGAGCACAATCCGATCAAATGAGGATATCGTTGGGATTACTATAGACGAGCAATCGTCCTGCTCCTGCGTTACCTCAGCCGTCTTCCTACTGGATGAATTGCAGTCGTCTCATCATGAAGGGGGTCCCGGTGGGCAGAGTCTTGACTCCATTCTTTTGATCTATCGGGAAGTACTCTTCCTATGCAATCGCATGATCAACTGTGGCTCCTGCCAAGGGAAGTCGGAGAATATGATGGTGCTCAGCATGGTGATTGAACGATTAGCCATTCTCTGTGGGGAGGTGATTAATGCTTTTATCGCACAAAGGGAAGCAAGCAGTCCGGAGGCAACGCCCATACCGGTACTCATGATGGAGAAGCAGCCTTTAGCCCTGGGCAAATATGAGATCGAGAGTGGGGACTACGAGGTCATAATGGGGGTGCTAGTGACAAGGCGGCTGTCAGAGTTGGAAAGCATCATCGCCCGCATGAAGATGATCGGTTCCCTCACCCGCCGTGCGCACCAGCAGGCAAGAATGGCGCGCGTTGATCAATATATTAAGGACTTGTTTCGGAAGATCACGTCCATCTGTCCTTTTGTTACAGAATTGCTGGTCGATCCGAATAGGCCAGTGGCCGAGGATGCTGGGAGAAATATATAAGTTATGGAGTATACGACTGTGGATTCAAATTGATGCATATTGATACAACCGTCCTCTTATCAGATGATTCTTTACGATCATCCGAATGAAGTCTTTTATGCCCGGTCCAGGATAGGAGATCTCCAAACTCATCATCAACGGTAGATCCATATTTGTGGGGATCAGTATCTCAACTGAAACTAGTAGGTTTGCCTTTAGTTTCAAGTTGATCAGAGGAAGTCAGCCCCTAGAACGAAATTGGGGTGAAATCAGGGAAGGGAAAGAGGAGATGGATTCGGGAATTGCCCATTTAGGCAAAAATCAAGCCAAGTTGGGTACCCTTGGAAATAGCTTTCTGTCAGCCAGCTATTGACAGGCTATTTCAATGCTGGCTCTCGACCAAACCATGCGACAAAAAATGGGGGTGAGCTAGGATTATAAACCAACCAGCTTGCTAGACATCTTCAAAATGATGTTTGTTCTGGTATTTCCAATATATGGCTTGCGCTTCTAGCATTGGACTATCCGGGTGTATATCTATCCGTGAGTTCGCTTTTGTGGGTTTCTATGGGAATATTTGGGGTATTGAACATATAAAATACATAAAAGAAATATGGAGGCAAAGTCATATGCTGGGAGGTGTATATATCTCGAGCACTAGGACTTTTCTCGCGTATGCACAGATTCCTATTGCTCCAGTCTTCCCTTGAATTATTTATTATTACGGTATACATCGAGTCTAGGTGAAGCAAATGACTCTCTTTCTCTTTACTAATTTACTCAACAAAGCTCTAGGGCTCGGAAAGTAAAGAAAAACAACTGGCAGACATAATCCGGTACATACTCTCAATTTGGAAAATAAAACAAGGCTTTATATAGGCCAGCCGCTAGCCTATGTTATACCAACTCATGGTAGTTGGCCAATTGGCCTAGTGGTAAGGCATCCGTTTCCGGTGCGGGAGATCGTAGGTTCGAATCCTGCATTGGTCGTTACGTTTTTGCTTTTCATTCTATGTATGAAATAGTTATTTCATTTTTTTAATCAACTGGGACGTTTTTTCAACGCTTTTGGTCTGTTGCCTTTGTTTGGAGCATTTTCATCCTCCTCATACAGGGAGAGCGCAATCCGTACATGTAAGAAGCACAAGCTATTTACATCCATTTTCTCTACCAAGAATGAATGTTTATTTAGAAGCGTCCATTCTCAAAAACATGATCGATATTGTATCTGGGCATATTATATATATCTATGTATTTTACGCAGCATTGGTTTCAAATTGATTCGTGTGGGATAAATATATCTGTTGTCGCGGCAGCTTGTGCTTGATAAGTTGGTTTTATACGCATGTCAAAACATCAGATTATTTTGTTCATATATACCAAGGACCACATGACCTTTTTCATTCAACTCAATCAAATCCAGTTGCATCCTTGTAAGTCTGTCTGTCTGCCCGTCTGTCGCCTAGACCTCTAAATGATGAATGAGTGAGTCTACAATGTACGTACTGTACATACACAAGCGAGCCTTAACCACGTTGCTTTTTTTTTGTATTTTCTTGCCCACCAATCAATCAACAACTACCACCAATTTGGTCATAATAAAATCACATCCCAACTCAACATCCCATATAACAAACATAATAAATGCATTTATCTAGATGGGTGTGGGACATTTAGAGGGAAGCAAAAAGATAACGACCAATGCAGGATTCGAACCTACGATCTCCCGCACCGGAAACGGATGCCTTACCACTAGGCCAATTGGCCGCCTTGTGTATAATTTGGTCGGATTGAGGAATCAAGATGAAGAGAGATGTTTGAAGAATTAGCTAAACCGAACTGGCACTGGCCCCTTCAGTGGTTAGATTGTGGAGATGGCTGAGAGAGAGGAATTTATGGTCTGCGCAGGCAACCTGGTTTTGTTGGTCCTTTTCACCTTTCTCAGGTACTAGCTTGGATATGGAGCCGTTGTGGCACTCAGAATCTAACAATGTAGGTTGTAACTATGGCTTTAGCACATACTGCGGTTAGCAGGAGATGAGGATTACAATTTTACGTGTATTCCAAGTGGCCGTTAAAATGGCAAACAACAAACCTCTGAGACCTCAAGCGGGAGAGAAAGCTTGAAGGCGGAGGGTGTCTCTCAGTAACAAACGAACCACCCCTTGAGGAGGGCGTATTGACCATCACCAATCAATTCTCCGGAAAGAAACTCGCGGGATTAAATATTTAGAATACAAGCATCAGCAGTGCAGGTCCCGAACCTACATCATCTCTCATGATTAGCCAGGGTAATCCCTTGCATAGCAAGGAGGTGAAACCATGATCGACGGGGAAATTTGTCGAGATTAAGCATTGGTGCATTCCTGTCGGAGGAGAAAATAATCCAGCCACCCTGTCAGAGCCGTGGAAGAAGCCATCAGGATTTGCCGCGAGGGATGGTGATATCGATGCACGGGCAGCTGAGGGGCAGGTAGGACACAACAACGCCCCTTGGTATCCCAGCCATGACAGAATGTCAGCAAGACGGCCCGTCCTGGAAATATTAAAGAAAGTCTGGAATCCCTCGAGGTGACTCCCATTCCTGTAGACGTTCATTAATACCGCTTCCTTTTTTCCCCTTCCTCGTTCTTTTACCACGTCTAGCTTCGTCGCTCGCCGACATTTCCTTTCTTTGAGCTTGATACTCACAACAAAGGTCATATAGCCGACGAAATGGTCAAGTATACTTCCGCCCTTGCACTTTTTGCGGCTGTCAGCTTGGCGGCTCCTGTTGCGCAACTTACTGGCCGTGCCGAGAAGCATGGTTCAGTTGAGCACAAAAACCTGATTGAAGATATTCCCATACTTGGACCTATGCTTGCAGGGGTATGTCCATTTTGAATAAGATAAAGAGTCGAAGTGCCATGAAAAAAAGGACTGACACCAACCGACCAACAGAAGCAGGAAGCCAAGCGTGATAGTGCTCAGCCCGAGCACCATAACCTGATCGACGAGCTTCCGATAGTTGGCAAGATTTTTGGCAACGTAAGCTTGACCCTTTGGTTTCGAATAAAAAATTGGAGGTGCTTACGATATTACCTAAATAGCAGAACCAGCGTCGAGATATCGGAAGAGATGGTATTAGTGGCTTGCCAATCGTCGGAGGGCTGTTCGGATCGGTATGTACATTCTACCTTCATTCATTCGAAGGGGCGAGAGTGGTTGACGGAGCCATAGCACACACACACTGGCGGTAAAAATGGCTTGACAAAGCGCCGAAGCGTGGGTCAGAATGGAGGCGAAGACTGGAAGCGTGACCTGGCAAGCAGCCTCAGTAGCCTTCCCATCATCGGCGAACTGTTCGGAAAGGTTCGACACGCATTCTTAGCCGTTGGAATAGCCAGAATCAGAACACCAAAGCTAACATGATTTAGGAAAACAAGAACCCATCTCATAAACAGACCGAAACTCCTGCCAAACACCTCGATACCAGAGGGGCGGGCCATGCCAAGGGTGTCTTCGGTATTCTGCAGTCTTTAACCAGTGGTGGTGTAAGTTCTGAACCCCAGGCCGACTTGCATTTGTATAAGTGCTAATCATTCAAATAGTCCATTTCCAAGAGCCACAAGCGTGGCCAGGAGTTCAACCAACTGGAGCCAATGGGCGATGTTTTTGAAGGAGCTGTTGCGTCTCGTATGGAAGCTGAATCTCCAGCCATGCCAGTATGTCATAATACCAGATTCGAGGAAGACCCGATGGTAGCTCCAATCAACTGATTATACTGACATTTAAACAGATGCGCCGGGATGAGTCCGCTGCCGCCAAGGCCGACGATGGTAAGCAAGGTAACCAGAAAGGCAAGGAGAGCAAGACCTCCGGCGGTCTTCTCGCCCAACTGATGGGCAAGGAAGGCCTCGGTTCCATTGCAGGCAACTCCCACCACGGTGTTGGCCTCTTCCCAGTACGTGCCGTCTAAAAACACAGCACAAAACCATCAAAAAGCTAACGTTCGTCAGATGCGCCGTGACACCAACGAGCTTGAGGCCCGGCAAGCCGCTCCAATCCAGGGTTCAACATTGACCAGTGTTCTCCTCCAGAGTGGTGCTTTGGGGAAGGTCACCAATATGCTTTCTGGAGGTGCTGCTGCCAAGCCTGATACCAACTCCCCATCCAAGATCGGCGACAGCACCACTGCGGGTCCCCCAGACCCTGCGTCTGGTGCTGGACCTCACTCTGGCCCTGGCCTTGCTGCTGAGCAGAGGGGTGCTGGTGCCTTTTCCATGTAAACTGTGCGTGGTACATTCGGGTGACGTTATATTTCTTTCTATTAGTTAAACAGATTGTGATGAGGATTTTATGAAATTAGTTAGACTGGCTGACCAATATTGGGGATGTGTAAACGGTTATAATCTTCAGCTGTTGAGTTGTTATTTATTCTTCCAATGTCAAGTGTTTTCCTTGATTCAATGATAAACCGAAGCTTCAGCGCATAAATCACAGGCAATTTTGAAGGTTGGACACAGAAACCCGCAGGAAAACCCTGCTATTTAATGAGACAGGCAGACGAGGCTGCAAGGAGCGCACGTAAAGAAGCAAAACAAAGAAATCGTAAATCGTGATCAAATCAAAACCGGGTTTTCCGGTCCGGACCACCCAGTTAAAGAGCGCCCTTGGGGGTATCAGGTCGTTACACGCGATGAAAACAAATACAACCAATTTACTCGGGATGAAACAAGAGGCTCCAAAAGGCAAAGACCAGCCTAATCAGAGTCGTACATATCGACATCATCCACTACCACCGTCGTCCCCAACGCCTCCTTACCTTCCCGGATCATAGCCTGCAACTGCTTGTTCAATCGCTGAATACTGGCATCTTCTTCTCGTTCCTTGCGGCGCATCTTAGCAGCCTGTCGCTGTATATCAGCAGACGCAGGCACATCCCTCAACCGAGGGGATGCCAGGCCCCCCTGTCCCTTAGTAGGCGAGTGGGGTCCGGCTGAATGATAAGCAGTTCGTTTAGCGAGCCGAGGCATCACAGCAGATTTGCGACGAGGACTCGATGCCTGGAAAGTGCGTCGTGTGCGAAGGGATGGACTACCAAGGTCATTGCTGCCCACAAACGGATCCGAGCTCTCGGGTACTACGACCCAGCTTCGATCGACCTCGTCGTCTGGATATTGGCCAGGTACGGGTGTTGAGCAAAATGTGTTTGGGCTGTACATGTCTTTCTCGGTGGACGGGCTGGTTGAGGCCTGCCAGCTGGACTCGAGAGTGGTTGCTGGTCCAGATGACATGGCATAGCCCTGCCCTCCTCCTGCATAGAACCCTCGGAATGCGCCCGCCCAGCATAGATCAAGGACTTTGGTCACGGCTTTGATCACGGTCCGGCCCCAGCCTGTGGCCGTTGTGGTATTGGACCCATCGGGGCTTGCGGATATAATGCAAGAGTCGCGGCGGCTGCGCTTGCGACTGCCGTTGTAGTCTGCTAGGCTTGTTGACTCGTCGCTGGAATCGAAGGAAGGCGGGAGGAAGGATTCGCGGTATCGGTTCGGACGGTAGTCTAGCTCGGCAGAAGCGTGGAAATCGTTCCCACTTAAGCTTACTGAGCGGTAGTTGGAGTGGATCATCGGAGACCCAGCGAAATTGGACTCAAAGTGCGACGAAAGTTTCTCTTTGTTACGGCGTGGTCGTTTGCGACTGACCGAGAGAGAATATAGTGAGGTGGAAGCCGTGGAGGCTGGCACTTGGAATAGCTGAGAAGGCGCATTTGAAAGATCGAGTTTAGGTGGTGAAACAGAGTTGAAGATAGCGTGCATGTCGGGCATTTTAGAAGGGAATAAGAATGAAAGTAAGACGAAAAAAAAACAAAGGTCAAAGATCAAAAGATCAAAATCGGAGAAAAAAGAGAAGGATTTCTGAGGGAAGAAAAAGAGAGAGGTTGGATGTTGACCGTGTCAGGATTAGTGTTCCACCTTCCTTTTGTCTCACACTATTTAAACCCCTACATGAAATTCTCGAGATATATCCCTGTAAAGTATCTCATATGGATTGAATTACAATCGCTGACTGGTCCACTGTACTCCAGCTGCTTCTAATCCCTCATCACCATCAACTAACACACACCATCCCTCGCTACCTTGTCCTCCATCTCCCGCAATCACTGCCTCAAAGTGGCTGTGAGCGTATTCTAGCACTTGATTGTCAAAGGTACCAGGCTGTAACCAGACTGCAGGAATTCCCACCGAGTGCGCCTCCTTCAGTAACTGGAGAGTCACAGCCGGGGGAGTCACCACTGACAGGGAAGTCTGCGCCGGCGATGGCAAACTGGTCGGCGAGGGGACTGTATCGTAAGCACGCGAGGGGAGAGCGATCTGCGCTGCTCGGGGATTGAGAGGTGTCACCGGTAGGGAGTGTTGATGATACCAGGCGAGGACTGTAGTGATTTAGTTATCTGTATAGAGCACAGCAAGGAAAGGGTTTCCCTACTCTTGTATCCAAACTTATGAGTGTCATTGCTGGCCCCTGCCACCGCAAAGCGGGGGGAAGAGAAGAACCGCTTGACTGCTGCCATGACTGAATGGAGCGATTTAATTTTATGTTTTCAAAGAGTTAAATAATTTTATAAGTGGACCAGGGGTAGCAGGTGTAAATAATAACAAAAATTGAAGAGTTGTAAATCGGCAGAAGTTGTGAAGAAAACAACCTCGGCCGATGACGACTCTCCCTTCATCTCCCCCATCTCCGACATTCGGCGACCCAACCTATTACTTTACATCTTCACATTCATTCGCATGCCACCCTTCGTCCCCCGCAAGCGCGTATCCTCCGAGGACCCGCCCCCGGCCAAGCGCCAGGCCCGGCCCGATAATTCTCATCCCCAAGCTCCGTTCCACCTCTCCGACTCCGACTCCGACTCATCTTTGAGCGATCCACCTGAAGATCTCCTCAACAAGGACAATGCTCCCCAGGCAACCGAGGAATCCGAAGATGAAGAAGAGGATATTGACTGGGAGGATGCGATCGACACAAAGACCAGCGCCACTATACCTACCGTCGCAGCTCCGGAGCTACAGGACCTAGAATTGACCCTGGATCAAAATGAGACACACGTGTCCGATCTTCTGGATGGCAAGAAAGGGCCTAGTAAAATTGAGCGCCAAATCCGGATCCAGACACACTGTATGCATGTCCAATGCTTGCTTTTCCACAACGCTATCCGCAATGCCTGGAGCAACGATTCCAAGGTCCATGAGATCTTGCGCAAAAAGTTACCCGAAGGGATCCATAAGGAGGTCAAGAAATGGCGCATAGCATCGGGTTTAGAACCCCCAGAGCCAAAACCCGGACCACCCAAGAGTAAGAAAAAGGGCAAGAAGGCCCAGAGAAATAAAGACTGGAGTGAAGAGTCGGAGCGATTGGAACCAGGGAAGCCAGATATGAGCCGTGGCGATCCAATTATTACATTGATAAAAGTGCTGGTCGCATACTGGAGGAAGCAGTTTCGGATCACGGCGCCAGGACTGCGAAAGTATGGATACCGGCCAGTATCTGCTCTCGAAACTGCAATCACCGAATTTCGCGAGGAAGAACATGATCCAGAGCGCCACGGTGAACGTATCGCCAACCTCGATGAGTTCCGTGCGACCGCCGAGCATATGCAGGGCTCACGAGACGTCGGCGCACAGCTCTTCACGGCTCTCGTCCGTGCTCTAGGCATTGAGGCCAGACTTGTGGGTAGTCTACAGCCGCTGGGCTTCGGCTGGACCAAGGGAGAGACCTACACACCCCTCACTTCTTCCGAGGCAGATAATGACCCTAAGAATAACGGGGAATCAGAAGGATCTGAGCCTGAAACTGACACAGCTGAAAATAAACTACCAGCAAAGGACAAGCGCAAACAGTTTGACGCGGATCTGCCGTTTCCCATTTATTGGACCGAAGTTGCCTCTCCGGTCACGAATGAGATCATATCTGTAGACCCGCTTGTACTTTCTAACCCCGTGGCGCCATTTGGAGATACAGATCTACAAGCAAACTTCGAGCCACGCGGTGCAAAAGCAGACCGAGCCAAACAAGTTATATGCTACGTTGTTGCCCACTCGTCAGATGGTACTGCTAAAGAGGTCACAACAAGATACCTTCGACGGCGGACCTGGCCCGGTAAAACGAAGGGCTTCCGAATGCCCCTGGAAAAAATACCCGTAGGACCACGCGGGGACTACATCGCCTTCGACTGGTTCGGGATGGTAATGCGCGGATATCAGCGAGCCCGCAAGAGCAAAACAGCAGTCGATAAACTCGAAGAAACCCGAGATCTACAACCCAACCAACCTGAGAAAAAGAAAACAACCCAAACCGCTGAAACCCTCCAAAGCCTCCGGACCTCCACCGAGTTTGTTCTAGAGCGCTTTCTTCGTCGCGAAGAAGCTCTCCGCCCCGGGGCCGAACCCGTACGAACCTTCATCTCTGGAAAAGGCGCCCGGGCCAAAGAAGAACCCGTGTTCCGACGAGCAGACGTGTTAAAATGCCTCTCCGCCGAAAGTTGGCACAAAGAAGGCCGACAGACGAAACCGGGCGCTGTGCCCCTCAAGCGCGTGCCCATCCGCGCTGTGACGCTCATACGCAAACGCGAAGTTGAGGAGTTGCACCGCCAGACCGGCGAGAAACCCCTGCAGGGTCTGTACTCGCGTGACCAGACAGAGTATATTGTCCCGCCGCCTATTCAGGACGGCCGAATCCCTAAGAACAATTATGGTAATATCGACTGTTTCGTGCCGAGTATGGTCCCCATGGGCGCGGTGCATGTCCCCTTACCTGGTACCGTGCGGGTGTGCAAGAAGCTTGGTATTGACTATGCGGAGGCAGTGACGGGATTCGAGTTTGGGTCAAAGATGGCTGTCCCAGTTATTCAGGGCGTTGTTGTTGCGGCAGAGAATGAGGGTTTACTTAGAGATGCTTGGAAGGTTGAGGCTGCGGAAAAAAGGAAGAGAGAGGAGCTCAAGGCCGAGAAGAAGATCCTGCAGACATGGAGGAAGTTTTTATTCGGTTTGCGGATTATGGAGCGGGTGAGGGAGGAGTATGGGGGTAGGGATCCGGATGCTGACCGGGAGCGTGATTCGCATAATCCCTTTGCTGTACAAAAGAAGAAGCGGGAGGAGGAATCGGATGATGGCAGAGATGCAGAAATGTCTGATCAAGGGTCGTCACATAATGTGATTGATCATGGCGGTGGTTTCCTCCTTCCTGGCCATGAAGATGATGCGGACGATGAGTTGATTGTTGAGCACCACGATCAACGGATTCATACAGGCCTCTCTCACACTGATGCTGATGACCACGATGACAACGAGCCTTTCGAATCTGGATGTACTGCTACAGACTCTCCGCCTGTGTCTATCCCCTCGGATTCCGACAATGAGGTGGATACCGCTAAGGGTGAAGACTCAGAAGCTGAATACACACCTCGACCGACCCGACGAACGCGAGGTCGCTGATGGAATTAATTAATGTATTAGCCATGCGGCTGGCGTTGGAAGAGGCCCGTGTATCTTACTATTTTACCTACATACCATGTAGTACTAATAATCAAAGAGATTAGAGAACAGTACCAGCAGTGTTTTGTGTCTTGCACTCAGTAAAATGGTTGCAAGTCGAAAATTTAAAACAGACAGAATTCACATGTGCCCCCCCTAAGCCCATTCTAGAACTTACCAACGGATAGAGAGAAATAACTTTGACACACCTGCTTAAATTACTGTGGGCAAGGTGCCATTCCATATATGGACTGTCGAACTGTTAGCACGCTGATACACAATCTTGCTAAGCTCTGCTTTTACATGGTATATGTGTAGGCGTAGTCTTCTCAAAATATAGCATATCATCATCACTTATATCCATTCGGAGAAAGCACATATTGTGCTGTGTAGCATGAATAACTATAAGGCTGGTTTTTTGGCGTCGTAAAGAATGACCACCATCGTCAATGGCGACTATCTGCCGGTTCCTAAAGATTGTAGTAGCCGCCACCCTTGTTTTAGCGTATGGGAACTCTATAACAGTGGGTCTTGACGCTAAGTTTTGACGCGGGGCAAAATATAAGATATGTCGAATCACACCTGACACGAGTTGTAGAGTGTCATCTTTTGGTGTTATCGCTAAATAGTATGTATCAAGGTCGACATAACCCAGAGAGGACCCCCGAGAACCATCGTGCGAGTGGACTAGAGCTAAAGTGTATTTCGCTGGAATCAATGAAGTCTGGCTGGACTATTTGTCGTCAGAGACGCGTGGATTGCCTTCCTACAGCGTTATTATCAAGATCGCTTCCAGTTTCCCTACATAGTAGGTAGGTCTAGCACAAGTCGGTCTTGGCTCCCTTTAAACATGGCCATTGCCAGAGAGATTCCACAACTGGAACTTCGTACCAAGTTGTGCTCACTTTCAGCCGTAAGTGTCACGTCAAGTCCTTGCAAGAATGATGTGATTTCATCTGACAGAGGCTGCACTGTATAGGGTGTATATTGCGAGATGATAGGAAGCAAATTGTACAATGACTCTCGCCTGACCACGCGACATCTGAGCAAATGAACCCTACCCCAGCAACTAGCAGCCGCGTTTTCTAGCTCTGAGAATGTCTTCCCATCCTCGGTTTGGAAACGAGCCCTAAAGGCAGTTTCAGAGGTGACAATGCTGAAATAAGGAGTAGGAGGCATATTTCATATAGTGGAAACTTGGAAAAGGTTGCCATTGTTGCCCCGCGAAGAAAAAGGCCTCGCAGTTGCTACCTAACCCGTCCAAGTTTACGATTTTCTTCGTCTGATAATAGTATTCTAGCGCCTTGTCCAGGAGCACTATGCTTGTACACCCTGGCCGGGGTTGTCTAGCGAAGGCGGCTCTGTTAGACGGTGAAACCATCTGCTGGCATTATTTGTCCATCAGCTAGACAGAACCAGCGTGCATGATTACCATCCTAGCAATGGCGGTTGATTCTGGGCCAAAGTCTTTTCGTGATATTGTGCGCAACAATAATCGCTTTCTCGTCGATCCTCTCCAGTGGACTTCACGCCATCTTGATCTGGTAGGGTGTCGGTTCGAAGATATCGCAACTACCCCTGTCTACACAAAATCGACTCAAAATGAGAGAAGCAATGATGGCCAAAACCCCACGCTTGCATCTACATATTTAACTGAAAATGAGAGGAACAAGAAAGACCAAGAAACTTACCCGAAGCCACTTCAATCTAATGATGCTGAAGCCCTCGCTACGGGGTTGTTTCCTGAGACAAAGCGTGATTGTCTCATCAAAATTTTGGTAGTCAACATTGCCCATTTGCACATACAAGGTAAACTACAGCCTGGCAGTATGGCCGATATATTTATAGGGGTAACTGACAACTCCATGGAGTAGCAAAGGACCTCCATTCTTTTTTGACGGGCGATCTGTTCACCGACCAGAATATATTGTGTTTCATCATCACAAAGAATCGATCGATCATATCAACAATCGTTCGCCTTCATTATTAGGCTATGTGCACTACACAATGGTCAATGGAGCTCGCGATCGGCAATTTCATCCTTGTCCAGGTCTAAGGGGAGCTAGAAATAAGGTCGGTTGGAGCATTCGCTAGAAACGACTAGCTCAGACAACTCCAGACGAATGGACTGAAGATCCATATTTTGTACGTCACTTGTTGGCTCTCGCGCAGCTTCAAGAGCGCAACCTCAATCCATCAAAACCAATCACTTACACCGTATGTTCTGTCTGCTCATATTTCTATCAGTCTACCGTACCCAGCTCATTCGCCCTCAGTCGCGTCTTCTCGTTACCAATGTATCAGAACGGGAATGTATCATATTATATGAAGCCAAAATTACTACTGAGCTCCTAAATGGGTTGAGAAATTGGATGGATGCAACAATCCCCGTTCAATGGCCCATAATTCAGCCGAAAAGAATATCATATAAGCCATATGATACATTTGCTAGCCGACTCAAAGCTGATATAGGGGAAATGGAAATCAGCCCTTGTCACTGTCTTTCAAATACATCAGATAATGTGGATGATGTTGATGAGCACAGTACGAAACGCTCATACAAATCAGAAGATAGAGGGTCATCTAAGATGAGAAAGATTTGAAAAAGAAGAATGGAGGGTCTAGTATAAGGCAGCCTGGGCATACTATATTTATCTGCATATTGGGGACCTCCTTTGGGCGATCAATTTTATGGGCGTTTCAGCGGGAATTGTATCAATATTTTGCATGTTTGAATGATGAGTGATGACGTGTACTAGTACATATGTAATATTCGAACAGCTTCCAAGCTTACTTATGTTTCTTCGATATATGACTTTTTGCTATTTGCGTAGTCAATAGGTATCCCTTGAGTTATTGGGCGGTCATTGGATTTTTTCTTCTTGCAAGCTACCCTAACTGAACACACCTGACGAATTTCTCTGAAAGACTGCGAGCCCTCGGTTTTTAATAGGGAAAGCGAAACATTCCACAAATGTCAACTTAGATACCTAAAGAGCGAGCTTTTTGTCGAAAAATATGTATTTACTTCTGAGTAGCGTCCTTTTATGAAATCCAAAAATGAAATCATACGTGCAAGCTTGATATGAAGAACGAGGCAAAACCAATTAGAAAATACTTTCAATCATTGCGACAGCGAAGATAAAATAGCTAGTGGAAGACATGAAGTTAAACATGCGTGTCATCTACACATTCACTGCCGTTGACAAACACACACCGCCTCATTTAGCCAGGGGCGTGGCCGAGGTAGTTGGGCGACTGCCCGGGGGTGGGGGGCCACCGCCGGGGCCACCGCCAGGACCACCGCCAGGACCACCGCCAGGACCACCAGCGTTCTCATTCTCAACGCCACCCTCTTCGGTGTAATAAGCCGCAGGGGTGACAGTTGTGTCCTTTGTAGGGTCGATACCAACCGAGATCCAAGCGAAGATTCCATCGGAGACATCATCGCCCAGATAGACGTATTCCATGAATGGGTCAATGGTAGCGAGCTCTTCGCCGAGAATGCCGTCGTCGGCGTTGGTCATCAAAACCTGTGTGTTGGTGGTGTATGGGGCGACCTCCTCAACGGCGGAAATGAGATCCTGGTCAAAGAAAATCTGCCCAACGTGCGACGAGTGCGTGGTATATAGACCGGTGATGGTTCCGTTTGCGAGAACTTGGGTCTCGTTGGCTGGGTGGGTGAGGACTATTGATCAAGTTAGTGAATGTTGATACATGTTCGAGCTGGTAGTATTTGGTAGAGATAATTTGTGGAAATAAGAAAATAGTAGAGGCATAGCCATGAAGAAAGGATCTCGTAGCTGGGTACCATACCGTGGATGTGAGTTGCCCGGCCAGTGTAATGGCCTGGGAAGGTTGTCTGGAACTGGACAACACCATCTCCATTACTCTTCTGGACACCCCGGTGGAAGGTCGTGTTGAGGTTAGTATCATCGTCAGAGTTGCCGTTTCCATGAGCGACGATTCCAGAATAGACACCCTGTGATGATCGACGTGAGTGGAACTGTTCATACTGTGATACAGTAATACTTGGAGTAGAAAGTTTACTTACGGTGGAGTTGCAGTGCCACGCATCCATGTAGATCTCCGGAATGGGTTCGCAGGTGTTGGTGTTGATCAACTGGATGTCCATGTAGAGAGGAACACCATCCTGGGACTCTGCGATGTTTTCACGAACCAGTTCACCCGTGACGTCTAAGCCGCATTAGTAAAACGCAATCATAAAACAGAAATAGGAAACTAACAGTAAGGTCCTTGGGTGACATCAGGTCCGAGGATGCAGGTCGCATCGGTGCCAAACAACACATCGGGGTCAGTAGAGTAATCCACACCCGTGAGGTTGGAGTGATGCGAAATATCAAGGCCGCTATCGGCACTACGCGCCTTGAGATAGTGGGTGGCTATCAACGTGTTAGAATGTGCTGGTGTTTGGACTTGGCTTTGAAACATACTAGACTCAAGACCAAGACGGCGACGTATGTTCTTCACGGCCATGTGGCGACGGGCAACGTTTCGGCTGTGATGTCCTCGACGCTGAAGATGAGAGGCACATTGCGCAAGACTGCGCGAGTGAACAGGGGCGCTCTGCAAGAATGCAGCTCGCTCGGCAGCTTCAGCCCTGACATCATGTCCTGGGTGAGCGGACACAATGGCAGTCAGACCAGTCAGGCCGATGGCCACAGCAGATGCGAGATGAACCATGGTCGAGTTATAAACTCGATAACAAGCCTTCAAAGGGCAGGAAGGAGAAAATGGAAAGCAAGGAATTCAGGTCCAAGCTGTTAGAGCTGACTGAATGTGATGTGGAAGTTGAGGATACCATAGCTGGGGGTCTTGGGGTTATTTTATACCTTGCTGTTGCCTCTCCCGATAACACCCAAGGCGGAGCATGGCTCAATTCAGGATAGTATAAATGTCATTTTTATGAAGCTGACGAGGGATATGGAGTAGTTCTGCATCGGCATTGCCAAATAAAACGCGGGTCATTTCTCAACAAGCAAGTCTTTCTGATAAACACAGGGCCCCGCAGTGGAGCTCCAACAATCCATCAATGAAATTGCGACATGCCAGGGCGAAGGCTTGCAATTGCTTGCAGTTGATAGGGCATCGGTATATTGTGGGGGAAGGAGATGCTTGGTTCTGCAACAACTCTAACCAACTCTGATGAATCCACCGTCGATCATCCTGGCACTAGTGTCCTGCCAAAGGAAAAATAAGCCACTGGCATATTCGCAATTTCCCATGCGGGGAATTAAAGACAAGGCCCAGGTATCATCTCCATAGAATAGGTCTTTCTCTGCGTGACACTGGAGCAAGTGATCGACCATGGTGACGAGGCTCCTTTCATCCAATTTAGAACTGATCCATCTAGGGTCCGTAGAAGGGAAATAGGTATTCAAACGCAGAGGCATCACCACCAGATAACAAAGAGAGAACTCATCTCCGTCGGCGACCGCGAAAGGCCGTGGCTGGGCTCGTCACAGATACGCTTAATGGCATATGACAGATAGGTCCCCTGTACCCAACCAATCAGTTTCCAAAATAAGCCCATTCCATCAAAGTTGCGATGTAACGGCCAGAGGGGGTGCATGGGGAAGTCTTCGCCCTAACGTGCGTGGTAGTATACGTATTCGGTCTTGGCGGTCCCGTTCTGGGGACCCCTGTAACAACAGTCAGCGGAGAATCGAGTCCCGATATCTTTGGCTGCATACTTGTGTCAACAATCAACAGTGAAGATGCCGGACTCCGAGACTTGGTGCCATAAAGCTTTATATTCTTATCAATGCAAGATAAGAGACACGTGAAGGTCTTCACTTTATAAATAGCGCATTTCCCCATCAAATCTGTGTACTTGCGCACGTCCAGAATGATGCTCGGACCTCAAATTTCCAAGATTTGCCAAGACGCTGACATAACTCCAAGAAAGGCTTGGCAATTGCTTGCTGCTAGAATATCTTCCAATATATGAGAATGTGGCAGATGGATGCATAATGGCGTGGCTGGTGTGGTTGTGGTGAGTGTATTTCAACCTTTCATCTTTTTCTAGAAATGCATGTCTCATCAGCTACACCTCCAGAGGTATTTTTCTTGGCAGACACATCGTCTGACGACTTGATCTCTATTTAACATTTACACAATTAAATGGTCGCCTACAAATAGAGAGGAAAATTAGTACCAAAGAGGTAACAGAATTAATTTGTTAATGGTACATGCATATTCGTGGATATCGGGGGCAATGTCGCATGAAACCGTCAACGCATGATAGAGGCAAAATTAGAACCAAGACCCACTGAGAGTGGGCCAGAACTATGTAAGGGGCAGAGAACGAGAGAACCACCAGTACAGAACCAGTCCGATGGATTAAACCTCGTGCTGGGTAACAGTGGGGAGGTGAGAAGCCTTCTCGTCCATTCCAATATCGGCAGCAAAGGTGCTGGTAGGCTTCCACTTGGCGGAAGTGCGAGGAGTAGTCTCTTCCATCATCTTGTCCACCTGCTCAAGGGTCAGACCCTTGGTCTCGGGAATGAGGAAGTATGTGTAGACAAAGGCGCAGGTGCACAGCGAACCCCAGATGAAGAACACCTTAGCACCAAGGTTACCCTTGTCGGCATCGGTCATGTAAGGAGTGATAACTGCGATGATGCAGTTCCAGAGCCAGTTGGAGGCGGTGGAGAGGGCAACACCACGGGAACGGATGGGCAGAGGGTAGATTTCACCAATGACGACCCAAGCGCCAGGACCCCAGGTGCTGGCGAAGAAGAAGATGTAGATACAAATGAAAGCGATCATTGCACTAACAGCCTTGGGGTTCTGGCCATCGGTAACGCCGATGATGGCGACAATGAACTGACAGATAACCATACCAAGGGCACCCCAAAGAAGCAAAGGACGACGTCCGAATTTCTCAATGGACCAGAAGGAGATGGGGGTGGAGAAGACGTTAACAATTGTGGTGATCATGCTGATCAGGAAGGGATCATTAATTGTGCCAAGCTGAGTGAAGAAAGTGGTTCCGAAGTAGAAAATGAAGTTGACACCAGTCCACCTATGATTCATTAGTTTCTATTCGATAGCAGGGGGGAAGGAAAGTGAGACATACTGTTGCATCATCTGCAGCGAGGTACCCAAGATAGTACGACGAAGGTTGCTGTTAGGGTGCCAAAGGCTTCCGCTGAAGCAGCTCATCCAGGTGGTGAAGTATCCACCCTGGGGGATAGACATAAGTTCGTACTGGTTGTTGGCATCAATCTCATTCAGCTCGGTCTCAACAAAGTGTGAATCTTCGGGCTGGCCACGGATACGGGCCAGCACAGTGCGAGCCTTATCCTTCTGGCCCTTGCGGATATAGAATCGAGGAGACTCGGGAAGCATGAACAATCCACCGGCCAGAATGAGAGCCCAGAGGAGCTGAAGGCCAATGGGGATCCGGTAAGATCCACTGTCTGTGCGGTTCTGAGTGCCATAGTTCACGCACGAGGCCACCATCATACCAACGGTGACGCAGAACTGGTAGCCCGAGACGAGCGCACCACGGACCTTGCGGGGTGCAATCTCAGACATGTAGAGAATGATAATAGCGGAGACGAAACCGATACCGAAACCGGCAACGAGACGGCCGGCAACGAGAAGTCCCAGGCTGGAAGAAGCAGTTTGCAAAGCGACACCGACCATGAAAATACAACAGCCAGCAATGATAGTAACCCGACGACCGAACCAATCAGCCAGATCACCGGCGATGATGGCACCGAAGAAGGTTCCAGCGGAGAGAATAGAGACGATGAGTGACTTTCGGGAAGAGGGGATAACGAATTGATCCTTGGGAGTATCATAAGGCTAGATACGATTAGTGGGATTCCAGGAACCATTGGGGAGATATTGATGACTTACAAGGCCTTGGAACTCGTGGATGAAGTACTCCATGCCGAGAACACCGTTGATGTAAGCAGAGTCATAACCGAAGAAGATACCACCAAAGGCAGCAAAGGTACACATCATGTAGGCCTTGAATGTGACCGGAGCCTCGACGCGCGTGTCGTCGACAGGCTCGGAGATAACTGCTCCACCTGGCATGGTAGCGAGTCGATGGGGGTATTCTAAGATGTGTCCAAGAAATCCAAGAAGTGATGAATTGAGATATCCCCAAGGAAGATAATGTGAGATGTGAGATGTGAGATGGAGAGAAGAGAGGAAGGAAACTGAGGGGAATGAGAGAGGATTTATATCCTGGGGGTAACAGCCACTTTGAGAGCTTCACTGTTTGTCTCCCCCAGACCTCCCCCATGTCCCAGGAAAAAGAAACGAAAAAAAAAAAGAAAAGAAACTCCAGGAAAATAAAAAAACGGATAATGTGTAATCTAAACCATATTGGGCTCACTCTCATCATAAAATACAAGGGAAATGTAAAAATCGGCTGAAATGACTGGGTGTAGCTAAGTCTGTTCTGGAAATTTGACCACGCGATAGAAAACGTCAAAAAACGTCAAAACCATCGAAAACAGACCTAGAAACATACCTCGAAACGGCAAGTACAGGGAAACCGGGGAAGTTGCTGCACGGCCCAAGCCGTAAACTGTACTATTGAAAGATATGATTGGTTGGAGCCCCCCAGAAACGATCCGCCGATCCCTGTTTTATAGACTATACCTAAAAGAGGGCCCTGGGGCAAATCAAACTGAAAAAAAACCATATAATACGTCTAGAACGAAACAGAGGCTCGGGTTGATGAGAGTACCCCTAGTAGATCGGGGAGATATCCAATTTGGGATATACTTCCGTAAGAGGAAAAAGCGTTGATTGGTTAGTTCTCATGGCACATAGCGCCACGTGCCCCATAATGTCTTCCATAGTTTTTCTTTTTCTTTTCTTTTCCCTTTTTAATTTATAATTTTGTAATTTCTTTCTCTCTTTATCAAGGTTCATCCTCGGGTTTTTATTTATGGAGACTGGGGACTCCTTATATAACATATTTATGTTGGAGATTCATATGTCTTAGGTTATTGTTACCCTTTCTAGCTTACTAGTATTTCAAAAAAAGAAACAAAATAAACTGACTCGGTTACCTTGGGTCTTCTGACCCTTGGGAAGGAACTGTTTATAGTTCAACACTTCCAGACCACTCTGTAGGACCTATTTAGGCACTATGCTCACATCAATGTCACATCGAGGGCCGTCCACAGCACAGACCTTGGGCGCCACAAAACTACACTCTCCTTTAAGGGAAAAAAAAAAATTAAACCACTAGTCTTGGCGTAAGGCAAGCTGACTCCTAGTAGGGACAGGGAATACACATGTGCAGTAAGAATCACAGCGGAAATTAGTTTCATGACCGGGGGGTTGATTGATATTACATACTAATCAAAATTGTACATATTCCTAGTCGTGTATAGTCAAAAAACCAAAGAAAGGAACCCCAAAAACCCTCCTCCTAAACTCGAAACCAAAAATGATCAACACTGTCAAAGTGGCTCGTAGCTCGGGCATGGCCGAGCCATTTAGTGGGGCTATGAGAATACAAGATTTTCGAAGACCAATATGGGCTTTCAAGGCTTTCTTTCCCACGGGGAAACCAACCAGTTATAGATGAAGGACCACACCTACCGGAGGCTTGGCGCTTGGCATGGAGCTTTTCATCTCCGCTCTATGTCTTGGCAGTCACGTGAAGGCGAGTTTTTTCCCAACCTGTCCCGTGCCGAATAATCGCCACTAGCCGTATGAGCGGGCTATTGTCGGCAGGATTTTTGTGCCTTTCTCTTGGTTTTTCTTGGCTGCTCTGCGCTGTCTCGGCGCGCTTGAGCGTGGCATGCTATTTGACGTTTCTAGAATGTGACTAAAACTTCCGAACACCTGTTACATGCTGGAGCGCCCAAATACAGCAAACGCTGCTAGTACCCGGTACTCTACGGGTCCGCATTCGGCTTACGGAGCACAACGGAGCCGATAGTGAAACTTACCATATACGTTTTCTCGGCTAGAGTCGTGCCATGAGACCCACCATATTCCGAAGTTGGGGAAGACAGAAAGCTGGAGATTACCCCGACCGAAGAAAAACCAGAATCGGAACGAGCCGAGTGACTATTTGCCGATGCCGGTGACTACTTTCCGTTAGAACATTTGACTGTCCACTTTTTGAGGGGGAAATACCGAAAAGCACGGGGTTGAAACTCGGTTGTTCCTATGTACTCCGTACTTATGCGCTTACTAGGTTTCTTTTGAATATATGGAGAACCCTCCGTATCTCACGGGCTTTTTCTGGGGCAAAATAATACCCCGGCACTTTTCTCTTTTGAGTAGATCTGGTCACCGGTTAGTCATTTTGTAAATTGCCTGTTAACTACGGAGTAGTTATTCCGTAGTTACATTCGTCATGATATTATGTGTTATTATTACCCATTCAATATCCCCCTTTGGATTTCAAATAGTCCTGATTAATGTATTTCTTTCTTTTTTTTTTTCTAAAATGTGACACATTCATTTTAGATCTTTTGACTAGGGTTGATTGGATTATAATTCTCTTTGTACAGGGGGTCCTGGAGTTATTGGACCTGCTTGGTCACACCTACAAGGATTCACCTGCATGGCTCCCCACCTCTGCAGGTTTCATTTTCGGTAAAACCAACGTTAGGAGCCAAGTTAAAATCAAATCTGCTATGCCTCATGTAACTGAATATCAAGTCCGGTTAACCCCATCTGTCGCCAACCCTCAATCTCTTTCACATAACTCTTAATCCCCTCTCCCCAAATACTGAAATGTGCCGCTTGCAAGGCTTCACGGTCAAATTGGAGTCCCGCCCGATTCATTAAACCCGGAGTGTAACCCAGAATATCTCCTAGTGCTCGCGCTCAAAACCTTGGAGGTCCATTCTCCCGTTGAGCGAGAGCTAGGCTCAATAGTAACCCCGGTGACGGTGATACCTAGGTTTTGCTCCGAGGTCAACCTGCTTGCTTCCGAGATGATGTGGGCGACATGAACGGTAAGTTGATCGAGAACATAGGCCTGGTTTGCTGATGCTTCTGCTTGATATCGACGGGAAGAATAGATGAGGAAACCCATTCGCCATTACTCCATGGAGTGAACCCCACTTCTGCCATTTCTCCTGGAGGATTTGGTCGTCACGTCCGGTGACATTCAGATCCGCTCGATCCGCACTACCTCCAAGACTGTAGCCGGTCCGAAAAATCAGGGCATCCAAATCATACTCTTGGTCATCTACCTCTACCACGATCCCCCGATTCGTCACCGTGCGGACCCCTTTTCTATCAGTGGGAAACATTAGACCGGTTGAATACTATAAGAAAATCCTCACTGAAGCACGGCCGTTGACACCACCCTGGATACCACGGCTTCAAGGCTCGAGCAGTCGCTTGGTCGGTCACTGTGGTTTGGGGATTCTCGTTCGAGGTGAAGGTGTTAAGATTCTCCATGCACTCCCGTTGCCATCCAGAACCTCTTGCTTGGACCATTTTCGCCTACCAGGTGCGATCGGTGGATTGGGTTTGACGCCACTCCATGGTGTGCGCTGGAACACAATGGGTCTCGCAATGTGTGGGATTGCTTGGATGGCAGGTACACCCGTTCCGACAAATCCAATTGTCTTGTCTTGCAGTCCATGCACAGCTGGGCTGCTTGGACTTCCTTCCGTACCCATAGTCCTAGCGTGAGGTGTGGAAAACCTTGCCCTTATGGGCCTCAAGGCCGTCTAAGTTATGGTATTTTCGGGGAGTTCGGCAACCCGGTAGCCAAGATGACAAAATCCGATTGTATCGCCGTGGGTGGCTGGCCATGTGGTGTGATATGGACTGTCCATTGAGAATCCTGGTCATTAAAAGCCAACTTATTTACCGCGGTGTGGAACAAAGCCCGCTCAGTGGGATTCCATTGACCAGCAATGCGATTCGTGTGTTCTCCCAACTCAGGCCCGGTGGCATACTTTTGTGCATGTACTTGGTTTCCTCTAGTAGGGGCATGTAAGTGTAACTTTCAACATCACAGGCCAGGCCGGGATATTTGTCCCACCATCGCATTCCTCCAAAGCCACCTGTTGTATCCACAAAGAGGATCTCAGTCGTGTAAAGAAATCCCGACTGGAGCAGTCGCACTGCGGACAGCAGTCCTCCAAACTCAGTACCGACAATAAGGACTCAGACCTGCTTTTTCTGGAGCAGGTTGTTGTCAATCGCGATATTTCCGTTGAAATTGTGATTGTTCGTGGATTCATTCATTAGTCAAGCCCACATATTGGACTGGTCCTTCAGGGCGCAGGCGTTTCTGGCGTTCCGCGTTATACCGACCTTGGGTCTTCTGCAGATCATTCTCGCTCGTCTTGGTTATATTGGTGGTAGGTTGCTTGAGAGCAGGATACTCTAGGTCAACAGTAGATAGTTCTAGCATTATGGTAAATTGGTGGAGAAATATTCCCTGGATACAGATAAGCTACACGAAAAGGGAGATGTAAATGTCATCGTGAGTTGTGTGTCCGCCGTTCAATGACATGCATAGTGCTTAGCAACTTGTTTGCAATTTATGTACTATTTCCCGACAAATCAGCACAAGGCACGAGCAAACCGAGAGTAACCAGAAAAAGAAATAAAACCGAGAGAAAGAAAGCAAACAGACTAAAATATCACGCTCTTATCCAGATGGTGAAGTGTATGTGAGATGTATATGCCGAATCCAAAGGATCAAAATCCAATCCTAAGAGGTTACACTCAACCCTCGTATATCTTAGAATTGGACCAAATATGCTACTGGCTTTGAATTCGCCGTATATAATAGGCTACACGAACTGGATGTTGTACCCAGCCATTGACAAGAGACTGTAGGTGTAGGAGATTCTTGCTCAATGTCAATTTTCTACCACCCACCATCTTTACTAGCTTTTTTACCTACTGCTATGCTTGAAAGAAACGTTAGACCCGAAAGAGAGTATTGACCTTACTATTCCTGCCTGGTAAGCGAAATAAGCAAAAGAAAATCTACCTACGCTATTGCGCAAAAATATCAGTGTTCTCTATCGCCTACTTTTATCTTGAGGTTCACACGCGGAGTTCCCATTTGACACGCTACTCTTTTAATTTTTTATCAAGTGAAGTATGAGTAAATGATAATCCGTTAGGTAGCTATTGAGATACGCCAGTCACTACTCAAGCATTTATCTATTAGTTCAAAAGGCCATAACCAAGTCAATTTATATAATTAGCTCAGCTGTAGGGGTATCCGTCCATGAATATATATATAGAGGTTCTCCACCAATGTGATTGATGTTGGTACGCTCTACTCTGTATAACATACATGTATGCTCTAATAGATATATGCTCTGGGACCACACCGTAATAGATAATATTTAATATTTACTTTCTATTGACTAGGAAGGTAAGTGGTAGGTTCAGTTAGAGAGGTGGTTAAAACCCCATTTCAACTAGCCTACAATCACAAGCCCCTACCCGTACTATAGTTTATTTATACTTTGGATGATACCGTATGTTTACTCCGTACTAGCTAAGTACTTATTAGTACCTTTTTTTTGGCTTTCTTATAAGCCTTGTTAAAAAGATACATAAAGCATTGGGGCGTTTAAAATTGACGCTGAGCAAGAGGTTCAGTTGAGCCGTGTGTACACCCGAAAGGGGGTAGGTTGCTTGGCTAGAGCCGGGTAACGGGTAATAGGCCACCGCAAGGCCTAACAGGATCCACTTCCAAGGATGTTATCTAGCTTGGCATCCCCCACGCTTAGTCTACACGAGGGAAATTAGACGAGAAAATGAACATGATCCCATAGCAAGTAAAGAGGACATCGTTTATGCCAAGTTCTCTTTGGATTTGATTAGACATGTTCGAGACCCATATCAGCACTACTATCTAGCGTGAACCCTGCGGCTTCAGCCTCATGGCATCCTGGCATATATTAAAATATAAATAAGTAGCGCCTCTTCCAGGGGCACTTTGTTGCAGGGGAGTTTTTTTATTTGGCTTTTTTCTTTTTATTTATCACGTCAAAATACCTGCTAGTATGAGTCTTTCATCGCGTGCGCTGTTAGCTCTAGCAGCCTTTTCTTCTCTATCTCTCGCCAAGGATGTCGGTTATTTCGAGGCATCCGCCTGTGCCGATCCCAAAGCCTTTGAAACCTGCTACAAGAATGTAGATACCAACTACGCGAACTGCGCAAACAACAATTGCGCCGGGGGAAGTCAAGCCTGCTACAACTCATGCGGTGGAAACCAATCTTGCATGGACCAGAATTGCCCTGGCTTGGGAATGAATTGCATCAATGCTTGTGAATGTGAAAGGTCCGCTCTCAAGATTGATTGCGCAGGCCAGAGTTGTTGGAATCAGGTAATAGCCCGGTTTTAATTTTCGGAGCTTCCAAATTTGACACGCCTATCTTAGGTCTACTCCTGCGAGTACCAAAATACAGTCCTCGACTTCCTCAACGTCTGTACCAACCCCAACCAGGACGAGTCACCATATTAGCCGACACCAGATGACGCCCCTAGTTCCTGTTCCTGCAACATTAGCAAAATTGACCAAAAGGAATACTTGATCAGCAACCACATAACCGAGTGCTCGAATAACAGTACAAATATCGATCAATTCACTTCTACTAACGCAATGATTGATTACGGAAATGCGTGCCTCTGTTGTGGAAACAGTGCTATTATCTCTGCGTATTATCTTGCACCAAAGCTTAAAGGAGTTCCTTTTGACCCTTCTGTTGCTAATTATACTATTCAGTATCTGGGATACCTGTCCTGAAACGAAACCCTCTCTACCGAGTGCAGATGAATGGTTCAACTCTGTTCTCATTCCCGGCGACTGGGATGAGTGTGGACCATACCTCAAGGCGTATGATTGTGCCAGTGATCTCGGCTATGTTCGTGCCGATGCCGGTGCGAACACCAAATTCTACCATCCTAGCAGCATGCCGAGCAATGGCACGAAAACCGCCTCGAATGTGGGCGGTGTTATCTCCGCCCCGGTCAGTGGTAATACTTTCAGTTGGACCTTTGGTCAAACTACCAACTCGGTGTTGCATGTTGTGACTGTGTCCTCAGCAGATGCTACTGCTACCGGTACAAAGGCTAGTGCTGGGAGCGATGCTACTGCAACAAGTAGTGCGACTGATACGGCAGAGAGTGAGGGAGAGGGAGAGGGAGGTAGTGACGCAGAAAGTGATGCCAAGCCTGGAATGGGCTCTTCTTTGATCATTCCCTCTTGGATTATCGCTGGAAGTGCTGGTGTCTTCATGTTATTGACTTTATGAGGATCCACTGTATGAATTATGTATGGAGATTTCCCAAGTTTATAGAATCAATAGATCATTTCTAGGTGTTTTGTGATAAGCCAGTAATCATAGATTGCTGCAATTCGCTATATACATGTGTAGTAGGCCTAAAGATAAGGTTCGTATGACATGCGCTAAAAAAGTCCAGTCTTGCTTGCCTCTTGCAATCCCTGTCCTTCCCTCAAGATCCATTCCGCTCTGCTCTAAATACATGTGTGGATGCCAGGCAATCAGGAACTCCCTTACTCGATAGCAATATCGGCACAAGAGAGATAGATCTGACCAGTCTGGAAAGAGTTCCACTTCCAGGAGAGCAAAGTGTGGTTCGAGACGTAGTCTGGAATCTTGACTTGCTTTGAGACAGTGTAACCGCCGGCGATTGTTGTCTCGCAGGAGCCAAGCTCAGCGTTGTCGACACCTTGGCACTTGGTATCGTCAAAGCCGTTGCAAGTGAACCAGTCATTGCGGTGGCAAGCCTCATCATCACCACAGTCGGCACTGTAGTCACAGGTCTGTCCATCCACACCGGTGCACTCAAGAAGACCTTCATCGAAGCAGGCCTCGGCCGCCTGCTTCTCCTCGTCGGTTGGCAGGTAATCCGGGTCGAGGAACTTGTCCACGATGTCCTGATCTTGGCAGATACGGTATGAGAACATGCCGCCGTGATCACCGTTGTGATCAAGACACCACACAACATCAATGACATCGCCAGCTTTGTAAGTCTTGACAATATCAGTGCCCCAGCTCGCGCCGGGTTGGTTGTAGTCGACGCTCACACGGGCATTGTACCCGCAGGGTCCGCTGCGGCCAACGGGGGCTGCGTCGAGATCGGGCCAAGAGGCAACAGGCTCGAGGATGGTGCACTCAGGGCATGTGTCAGTTCCAGCCTAGATAATGTCAGTCAATGGAATATCCTTGATATTCAGTTCATCTAGGAGTCTAACCTCAAATCCGAGCTTTGTTCGACTGTCCGGGGTGACAAGGTAGCCATGTCCAGCAACAATGGTGGACAATGAGCTCACTAGGATGACTGCGGCAGACTTCATGATGCTGAGGGAAGATGTAGTTTGTTTGAAGCAGAGTGAATGTTTGGAATTGGATGCAGAACAAACTAAGTGTTGGGGATATGTCCTTTTATAGTATTATGACTCGCTCCCTTGTACGTCGAACCCCATACCTATTGGGTAGTTGCTTTACGTAGTGCAAGATCTGATCCTACATTTTCTACAGGGTACGGACAAGAAGGCCAATCATGAAGAGTTGTTTTATTGGGTAGAAGAACATTCTGTGAAGAACGTGTCTCAACTAGGCCACCCTAAAAACGATCGGCATCGACGCTACCAAGTGTCGAGCGGGTGAGGGGTTTCAAATTGTTGGTCAGAATGTCTGAACATAATCATCACGGTTAAATTTGATATTGCTCCTGAGTATGCAGGGTCAAGACGCCGCAACGCCGCTGAGGAAATCCCAGGCTTGGCGCGGCAGTTACTTGGCTGAAGTATGGGGTGCCCGACATATTTCCGCCAATTAACAGATTTAGATCGAAAAGATTAGATCCAAGTGCAAGACGAATGCAGCGTGTATAATTTTAGAGATGTTTCTACGAATACCAATTCATCTATGTCACACGGGACAAGTTAGTTTTTTCTTTAATTTTGCTTCACCGCAGGATCGTCTATGGAATAGACCTCTTCTTTCTCTCCATATACTATGTTCTTCATCTAACTGAAACCTTGGCTTGTTGTGGCTTTGGTGGCTGCGGGGTATTCAGCCTTTTAACGCCATGGCGCTCGGAACAGAAAGATCGCCATCATCCCGGCTTTACTGGGGTTTCCCGACTATTTCCCGACAAGTGTGCATTTTTGGCAATTCCGACGTCTATCGCTCGTCGCACGTTACAGATGTGCTCACAGTAGGTATCAATTAATTCGGAAAGGATTGCCTAAAATGCTTTTGTCTGCCGCGGCCCTTGTTCGGGAATCCCCCAGCCCCAGGAGTCGGAATTGCTTCCTTTTCTGGCTGATGACACCGGATCATCCGGTGATAATGGTGTATGGCTGGTTCCAAGATTCAAGGTATAGGGGTGGGGTTTGTGGGCACTGATACTGCGGCATTTTTCATTTTGTAGGACGCGACGCCTGCTCACTGGATGCCCGAGCTGCTACTGCATCATTGGCAGGGCTCGGAGATACGTGACTATGAGCCTCGCGGAACTCAGTTTCTGGAATATGGGAATGCGAGTGCAAGACGCAAAGAATATACTGAGACATGAGTCTAGGTAACAGTCGCACCGCTAGCAGCTTCATTCAAAGCCTTGAAAGACTTGGCTCTGTGGCCTAATATATCCACCGTGTTTCCACTGCAACTTCTCGACTTTGCCATTCCACTTGAGCACTCCGGCTTCATCGCCCGTTGTCATGTACGCATACAGATAGATAATATATAAAAAGGGGATCTATAAGACCATATGGAATTTCACAGGAGATGAATGATGCGACACAGGTAGACTAGGAGGGCTCTAAATCATGACGTCCAATGGAAATTTCCATGTAATCAGGCTAGCCTTCATTGATTTCGGGCTGTTTGCACTAACCCGGCTCGATGTAGTACGTACTTGGCTTCTCAGCAGTATATATGTTTGTGGTAGCTTTTATGTCACTGAGGGAATAGAGATAAATAAAATGCTCCATACTGTAAAAAGAAAACAAAGAGCAGAAGCATAATCAGAGTTTCGGGATCGGGTAGTTCATATAGTGACCATTTGCCTCTACCTACTCCGTACATGAAGCTACTCTTTTATTTAGCGAAGCATCCATCCATCATTATTAATACACATCGTATCATGACTATGACCTAAATGACAAGTCTTACTGGAAGTTGCTGATCCTATGCACTATCTACAAAACACAGCTTGTCCCATAAAATACTAAGTATAAAGCGGCATTACTTAGCAAGAACACAGCCGGCTGCGCAAACTCATCCGCAGTTGTAATACACAAAACAAGAATATGATGGCTACTACTCCTATCCTGACTCTATTTATCTAGAATCTCCTAAGTAATACCAAGTAGATGCGTTTAAATATCTCCACTAGGTCCAACTTATCAGTCAAAGAGATAAACAAAAGCGAGGAAAATGGCACTCACAGCATTCACCCTGATGTCTGCCTAGGTAGTAATTCAGCACCATTGCTAATGTATCGATCTAATACTACTGTAGTAGACGGGTTAGAAAATATCCCAGTGCATTCAAGAGAGAGGGGGGACCTACTAGATAAACTGGGGAAAAGATTAGCGGTTATTGTGCTTATCAATTCAATAGACGTGCCCACCCAGGTGCTGGGCTCTGATTCGATTGCATGGGTGGCTATAGCAAGCACTTCTGGCTTCGGGGTCACAAGGGATAGGAAGGAGTACACCGGGCGGTGGCGCAGCCGATATTGCATAGCCCGATTACGTAGAATTTGTCTTTGACAGAGTCAATTCTTGGGCGTTATTTAAGAATGTAGGTGTTCGGTATATTGAAGAAATCTAATATATGGGAGTGTGTATTTAGATATCTATTGGCATTGAAGGATATAAATGAATCACCACAACTCCTGTTAAGCATATGTTGAAGAACGCCTACCCACAATGGGATGTTGAGCCCCACAGATTGTACAATTTGAGGATCTACTTCGTGGAGGCCAGACAGTTTGTCTTAGTCCGATAATTCCGAAGACAGCCATTCAATCTAGAAAAGGGCAATCTTATGTCCAAAATATGAGGCTCTGCAGTGACGTTCGTGTTTTGCCCGGTAAAACTATGCGCCCCGGTAAAATGGAAAGAGATAAGATGATATGGCTGCAATTACGATATATGATTGGCCCATGTAGAATGAACGCGTTGCCCAGGTGGTCATACACGACCTTACAGCCAATCAACTTAGCTCATAACTCAATGTGGGCGAAGATTCCGAGATGCATACAGAGTATACGTGGGATTATGTTACCCCCTCGGACAATTACACTGTCACAACTGCTCAGTGCTACTCTATTTAAACCGTCAGAAGCCCCGTCACTAATATCTATTCCAGTCAATTTCCAACCTCATCAAACACTCTTCGAGTAAGGGAAACATTCATCGTCTGCTCCAGAACTTTGACCTGACCACAAACTACGCAATAGGAATTATACACCAGGGTCTCTCGACCACACATACCCAAATTCTCAAGAACCCAACGGTATCTCTTTCAAAGCCCGCTTTTCTGCTCCGTAAAGGTTGACAGTTCATACAGACCAGACCAATTATGAATACCGAGGCTGAACGGAAAGCGAGACGGGAGGAAAGACGCAGGCAGCAGGCAGCTGCGGCTACAGCCGCAGCCGCATCTGAATCTGCATCCAATGCCGCTGTATCGACTTCAAGCTCGTATGATACTGGATCGAGCTCGTATGGCGGATCGAGCTCATGTGATACTGGGTCGAGCTCGTATGGCGGATCGAGCTCATGTGATAATAGTTCCGGATGATAAGGCGAGGCAGACTCGCCTAGTCTAGAACGGGACAATAAGAATTGATTATTACTATAACCCATAAATATCCATTATGTCTTGTTTATCAGATATGATAACAATATTTTGTAGACAGTAAAGGTATAGAGAGCGGGGGGTTTCAAAAAAAAAAATTAAAAAAAATAAAAAACAGATATCGTATTCTTTTAGTTGCTGTGCAATCATGGAGATGGGAGATGGTGGGCAACAGTCCCATTACTTTGCAATAATCAAGCAATATAATGGAACCGCTATATTGAGGCGACTCCCGGTTACCATATCTCATTCTGCGAGTTACGCTCTGTTGCTAAAGACAGTGATGTCGGCCAATTCGTCAATTTTCCACGCAAGAAGATTTGTGTGGAAAGCATATGTTCTTCGTAGTTAGATGTGATAAAATAAATCGGAAAATTGAAATGTTACCCAAATAGCCGTAAACAATGGTGATTTCTCTTGGATGAATCAGCAATTTTATCTATCCTAATTAGGAAAGGTGATATTGTACACAAATGATCTCGGGCGGGCCCGGCCTCCAAATGTATTTGCCGAGGTCAAAACTCGAAGAGGACTACCGCGCGTATACAATAGAGACCTACATACTGTAGCACCTATAGCGTGGACATTCACTGTTGCTAACATTATTCCACAGACGAATAATTGATAGTAATAATGCGAGATCCTTGCTACTCACCGGGCCAGCTAGTCCCGGACAGCAATTTTCTTTTCATCCATACTAGGCTCGATCTCCTCGCTCGTAGGCACGGTGTCCAATGCATCGAGAGTAATGTCAACACGAGGACCGGTGAAATTCTTTCTTCCGTCCACGGCCCACTGGAACACGGAGATCATGATAATAACAGCGAATGCTGCAATACAGTAATCTGGATGGGCAGGTTAGTGAACAGGCTGTCATAGATAATCCCACAGCTAAACTCACTCATGCTGCTTCCCGTGACAGTACTTGATGGAGGGAAGACAAAAAGGACAGTAGTCAAAGCGATATATGATAGAGAAACCTGGTCATGATCAGAGATGATCCACTTTATTCAAATTCATTCATGGCTGCAACATACCAAATCGACAAACCATCCAAGTGCATTAGGCAATTTCCATTTTCTTTCAGGGAGCGATTTGCGCCCCTGAAGACAGTTGATGGCAATGGGTATTCCGTAGGACAGATCAAGAGCCACGACCGAGGCAGAGATGATTGCGTTGAAAGCACTAGATTTTGTAAGTTACCATTCGCACTGTGGCCCATGGATGGTGATTATTACCTCGTAGAGCCCAGGAAGATGCATCCGAATGCGATCACAACAACAACACTAAGGATTAGTGCGTTGAGGGGCAACTTGAGTGTCGGGTGGACTTTTGCAAAGAACCGAGAGGCAGGAAGGCCCCCATCTCTGCGAATCATTAGTCTTCGCGTTATATGCCGGAAAGAATATCAAATACCTTGCAAAGGCAAAAATCATTCGGCTGCTAGTGGTCATGACGCTGATTATAGCAAAGACCAAGCAGACCAGAGGCAACCTAGAACGTCAGAGTGGAAGCCCAAGAGGGAGAAAGTCTCGCCACATACATCAAAAGGCAGATACCTCCCGCGTTGCTTTTAGTCGCATCGATCAGGATCTGTAGAAGAGGACCGGCTGCGGAGGTTGTGACAGTTTCCATATTTCCTGCGACGAAGAGAAGGACTACCAAAAAGATCCAACCGGTGAACACGCCGATTCCCACGCAGCTAACCATAATTTTTGGTCCCTCGATTTCAGCGTTGGGTACCTCTAAAAGTGCGATGTGTTAGTCACTTCCTCTATCTTCTCATACCCAGAGCAATCCTTTACCTTCGATCATGTGTGCGACCGCATCCTAAATAAAGTTAGCTGGATTGATTTGTTATCACAATGATCACGATGACTTACAAAGGCAGTCACGCCAAGCCCTCCTTGAAGCAACTGGAGTATCTGTCAGTATCATTACAGCATTGCGGTGAGCGTAGTAAACATACACCTAGAAGCCATGCGACTCCATCAGGCCCTGAGCCGAGTTAGCAAAATTGTAATAATAGAGTTATAGGGGGAGCCATACAGCCTGTTGTATTGACAAAGTCACAAAACACAAAGCTGTGGATGTTAGTTATCCGCCATAACTTGATTCTGGCATAGGAGCTCATACTAAGCTGAGTTGTAGTTGGGAGAGGCACATGCGAGACATGTAATTGACACAATCACAAAGCCTCCAATCGACCATATGACTGGATATTGTTAGCAATAGAATGAGTCACACTAGACGAGGGTAACCGACAAGCACCGCGGTAAATGACTGGCAGGATGGAGTTCATAAAAGCATTGATGACGAAAGAGCCAACGGTCAATCCGATGTAAATGAGGAATTGATGCCAACGTTGCGGGGCATAGTTCTACATATCACGTTAGTGCTGCGGTAAGAGTGCGGAGTGATCTTGCTCACCTCATGAAGGACGGAAATGATGCCAACGATAAGCTGACTAGAAAGAAGGGAATTTGTTGCGACGAGAGCAACCTGGCCGTGTTAGTTTGAGTACCACATTGAATGATTGCCTTGCCTACCCATCCCGCCACATTGATCCAGCCTGTAATCCATGATAATATTGGTACTGTGCTCGGCCATGCAACTTTCAATTCATTAGTATAAACTGTGGTGATGTATCAGAGAGAAACATACTAGCTGGTGTCAAAGTTAGCGTTGGTCCGACTCGCATAGATTGTAAGTACGGAGCGACTTACCTGCAACCCAGTGATACTGTCCACCAGCTCTGTAAAAAAAAGAGAGAATCAGTCTGGTGTATACATCAAAAGGAGGAAACTTGAAGCATACGTCGGATATGCCGAGAGAAATTCAGCTAGCGAACATGCGATACAAAGATTGCAGAATCCTGCAGTGACCAGTCCTAAATTTTGCGTGTCAGCGATATCTCGGAAACCAAGTATTTTTTTTTTAAATACACCTACCCCAAATCACACTTGTGCTTCCACCAGATGTAAGACTGATCGACAAACTAGCCGAAAGAGCAGTCCATGACTAGTCTCGTTAGCTAAATAACACGGTCGCGATGCATGTCCGACCTACATTAAGAACTGCAAAGGCCAAACCAAGCATCGACCTAAAAATCCCCGTCAGAATCAAGCCTTGCATATTGCATATGCTAGCGCATTCCTCTTACCATGTGGAATGACTACGTTGGAGTTCAGGCCGATGGCCCATGGCTGCCAACCGGGCGTCATCGCCTTGGAGTGGACCGTCTTTCATATTGGCTCACGATTCGAAGATGAGAATATTTACAAATCTCAGAGCTGGGGAGAGGATCAATCTAAGTATGTCCCCCGTTTCAAGCGTATCAGGAAGGCATTGCCACACAAATTCTCCTTCCGATAAGGGGGTTGGCTATTCCATATGCGGGGAAGCTGTTGCGAAGCCTTATCTTAGAAACTGCTTGTACGCGCTAAGATGCTAGGCTGGTCGCATGGACTTGCCCAACATCGTATAGTCTTTGCTAACAATTAAAAGACGGCAAAAAAGGGGCTTCTGATTGAGTGTTTTATTCAATAGACTAAGGGAGTTTATCACAGGTAATATTATCAAGTCGTTCACTATCTTGCATGCCATTTCTTCACCTGTGGGTTTTCGGCGTTCAAGTATTAGGTGATGTAAATGTGTATGGGGTAGATATAGATATATATATATCACCTAGACAAATATTCCCTAGCCTTAAAAGAGACATCATCTACAATATTTGGGATTGTAAAGTTATTTGAAATTGAAACTAATAATAAATATGTGATCGTGTTGATACAGCAATAACTCCCCAAAATATGCGCCTGTTCTTAAAGCATGTGATGGCTTGGAATCCACAGAATACACCGAATCTCAAATCCCAAATGCCTCAAAACTCCATCCCAACGCAAATGGCAAAGCAGAAAATCCATCCGCCACTTCAAGACTACCAGCATCCTGAAGTATGGATCGAATATTTATCGAACATTGTAGGCGTCGAGTGCATGCTGGACATCATGCAGACTATTCTTGTCGCCGTATGCATCCATCAACTGTTGGTTTCGCGCCAGCCGTTCCTGTTCCTCCTGCATAGATTGTTCCCGTCGCGACTGGGCCGCGACGTAGTAGTTGTATGCACCGAAACCTGCACGTGACAAAGTCAGTATGGTCCCTACAACATAGGAAGAATACGAGATTAAAAACATACCAAGCCCAATTGTAGCCATTAGAGGAAGCAGTCTAAAGCGAACAAAGTCAGTCGAATCGACCGAAAAAAAAGGGGGCGGCACAACTTACAGCCGCCCATTCCGAGGCTTGAGACTAGGGGTTTGGTGGTTTCCGTATGATTTGTTCGGGAGGGCAAATTGAGACATGATGTATATTTCTGATGTCTGAGAGTGTGGGTTTGGATATTCAAGAGTATTGAATTGAAGTAAAGAAGTAAAGAATTCGAGAAGTCGAGAAGTAAGTGAATTCAATTAGCGGAAGAAGCGGAATGCGGGGAAATCATGACGTGAAGGTCCGAGGATCGCTTCCGAGGATCGCTCCCGAGGTCTTATAGGTGATCTGGGGGTCTCATCATGCCACATTTCATTTACAACTTCATCATACAATTTCAATTGCATGTTCTAATTTATAGGTTATATTGAAGTATAATTGAATCATAGTGTCGTAGGGGATCCATATTGGGAGAAGATCAAACCTGTCTATTCTCTGTATGGTTTATATTGTTAATTTCAAAAAATTGTATTTCTCAGAAATATCATGAGACCTAAAACCTGAGAGTTGATCATGCGATTTATGCAAGTTAATTACCGTTGTTCTGAGGCGCAGGGGTTGCCGGACCCTCTGGGGTAACATAAGCCTGATTACATATATTGGTTAGCGCGATCCTGACGAAAGTACCCTATATACGTCACACTTACCTTGGTCATTCCACCGTCAACCACGAAGTCTGTTCCATTCACAAAGCTGCTCTCATCGCTAGCCAGGAATACTACGGCATGGGCCTGCTCGATGGGTTCACCAAAACGACCAGTGGGGAAGTGGACCTCCCGACGGGACCGCTTTGCCTGGTCATCACCCAGCCAGTCTTGCAGAAGAGGGGTGCTATACTATCATGAGCTGATATGAAAAAAAAAAAAAAAGAAATCAGACGGAAAAAACTTACTTCAGGGGGGCGGGGCACAGAGCATTGAAACGGAATCCCTCACGGGCATGAACGATGGCCAACTCGCGAGTCATTGCGAGGACCGCACCCTTGCTCGCCGTATACGCAAGCTGGGGAGTGGCAGCGCCAACCAAGGCAACCACACTAGCTGTATTGATGATACTGCCACGGGTCTTCTTGTGACGACGCAGACTGAGGACGGCGTGCTTGCTGCCGAACCAAACACCCTTGACATTGATATTGTGTGTGAGGTCCCAGATCTTCTCAGGGGTATCGATGGCATCTGCGTCGTCGGCGTGCATGATTCCGGCATTGTTGAAGATCACGTCGGTGCCTCCCCAGCTATCCTGCGACTCGACCATTGCCTGCACGTCCGACTCCTTGGACACATCACATCGGATTGACTCGACTCGACGGGCGCCGGGAACTACTTCCTTGACTCTAGCCAATGCCCTAGCAAGGGCGGGCTCGGAGACATCGGCCATCAGGACATTAGCACCCTCACGGGCAAAGAGGATACTGGTTTCGAGACCAATGCCACTATCCAAGTTCGGAATCAGTTAAGGCTTTTTTCGGGGCGACGATATTTGTTAGAACAGAAGAATAAACATACCCTCCAGCACCCGTAATGATGGCATTCTTGCCTTGGAGACGTCCTTGGGAAGTAGTGGCAGCCATTATGACCTTATCTTGGAGCTTTGTTTGTCTAATTGAGGTATAGGTTAGTAATGACTTAACCACCAAAGTAACAGTAGTGTAGCGTATTCACGGAATATATTAGAGAGAAGGCCACTCACACGAACTGAAAATAACTGAAAATAACTGAATCAATATGAGAGTTGTTGATCACCGAGTTTGTTACACAGAAGGTATACGCGGGGCATCCATGGATCGTGGATCCCGTTAGGTAAGCGGTGACGATGTTGGACCAAAGCGGTAAGGCGTCACCGATATCTCGCTGATAAGCTTCCAAGCTGCCCAGGTGTGTTGGCCACTACTCCGTATTTGATCGGAGTTCCTGAACTTGATTTACCTGATTAAGCGGCTGACTTGAAACGTGACTTTTACTTTTCTGTTCCTTTTCTCACTATCCCCTATCCCCGCTCTGTTCAATACTTTGAATCCTTATACTCCTTATCTCACCCGCACTTTGGCCCCGATCCATTATGTCAAGCCCCGCGGACCCCGAAGTCACAGTCGAGAATGTCGCCGAGGTCCTCCAGAATGACACAAAAGTGAAAGTGGCAGGAGTGGATGTGGATGGCATACTGCGCGGAAAACTCATGAAGAAAGACAAGTTCTTATCCATCATTGCCGAGGGCTTCGGCTTCTGCTCTGTCATCTTCGGCTGGGATCAACATGATGCGACATATTATAAGGAGCTGGCGATCAGTAACAAGGAGAATGGATATCGTGACCTTGTCGCAATTCCAGATCTACGCAGTTTCCGTCGCATCCCTTGGGAGAACAATGTGCCCTTTTTCCTTATCAGCTTCTTGGATCCAGATACGCGGGAGCCGGTGTGCGCCTGCCCACGAGGATTGATGAAGACTGCTTCCGCCAGAGTCGAGGCGGCAGGCTATCGGGCGATGGCAGGAGGTATGTCTGACCGCAGACCAGGGTGTGTGTAATTCAACAGCTGATTGGACCGATTTTACCCAGCGGAATATGAATTCTACCAATTTCGTACGCCAGGCAACCACACCACCCCTGAACAAGGGGCATCTGCAGCCGCCGCCTTCCTCCAGTCGAATCCAGCCGATGCCTTACCGCCGTTGACAGAAGGCATGTTTGGTTATTCAATCACTCGGCCCCTCCACAACCAAGATTACTACTATGGCATCTTCGACGCCTGCGAGAAGTTCCGATGCGATATTGAAGGTTGGCATACTGAAAGTGGACCAGGAGTCTATGAAGCTGTTAGTCACATGAGAGAGTAAACGGGCCGCATTGGGACTAAACGTCGTGATAGGCATTACAATTTGGCGAAGCGAAGGACATGGCTGATAAGGCGGGGCTGTTCAAGTAGGACTATTCCTTTGCCAGCAGTTCGGGTTGCTCTTTTATCATGGGACATTGCTAACCATGATGTTCGCATAGATACGTCGTCAAAGCATTCGGAATAAAGCATGGCATCACCCCATGCTTCATGGCCAAACCTCGACAAGGCCTGCCAGGAAACAGCGGACATATGCACATCTCGCTCGTCACAGCTGACGGAAAGAATGCCTTCAATCGCGATACCCCGGATCCCTCCCCCATGTACCCCGATATCGCTCATCTATCGGACTTAGGTCGGCACTTCCTTGCTGGCCTTCTCGTCGGCCTGCCGGACATTATGCCGATCTTGGCCCCGACGATCAATTCTTACAAACGCCTGGTGGAGAACTTCTGGGCGCCGGTTACGGTCTCTTGGGGACTGGAGCACCGGGCCGCGTCAATCCGCCTGATCACCCCACCCACAGCTAGTCCGAAAGCGACCCGGTTCGAGGTTCGCGTGCCAGGTGCGGACACTAACGCACATCTCGTCCTAGCGGCGATCCTGGCATTGGGATGGCGTGGAGTCGAGAAGAAGCTCGAGCTGCCCGTGCCGCCTCTTGCCCGCGGTGAGGATATGGGCGGTGCCAGTGATAAGGGTGTGCGTCTGGCCAAGTCCTTGAAGGAGGCGATCGTTACATTTACGCGGCCGGAGAGTGTCGCACGGGAAGTATTTGGTGATTCATTCGTCGAGCACTTTGCCGGAACTCGGGAACACGAGGTGCGCTTGTGGGAAGAGGCGGTGACTGATTGGTATGTGATATCATCTACTGAGATGGATGTCCATTTGGATGCTGACTTGACATGTCCACAGGGAGATGAAGCGGTACATCGAAACCGTGTAAATGCCGAATATCCTTTTTATATCGATTTTCTGATTTACAGAGAGACGCAGGACCCGGAAGGTATCGGGGGAATAATTGTACATAGTCGCATTGGCCTAGAAATGGTCGTGTAAGGGCGCGTAAGGGCACGTCAGTAGCAGGGATACTATCCCAGATATATATACTAGATGCCTTTCAATATTGGATCGGATGTTTTCAATTTACCAGAGTTCGGATGTATGTAGAATCAAGACATGATTTCACTCCCGAGTCACATCACATGCGGTCACATGCCGATGAACACAGTGTGACGCAGAAATCCCCCGGGACAAGTCGGATTCGGATATGACTCTTTTGAAACCTGCGAGATATAGATGATCAAAGTGAGCCGCGGCTGATTGGGGTTTCCGGGGGGTGCGGAGAGTATTATGCAGCCACTTTCGGGTGAAGCAGGCGTGAAGGTAGGAATAATATTTTCTTCTTCAAGATTTTGCATATAAGATTCAAGAATTGGTCATGTTATATGTTATCGTGAACCCGATTCAAGCTATATAACTGACAGGTATTCCCAACATGTTTTAACATGTTAACTGAAGTAATCAGGCCGATAAGACTCCGTACACGGCGTAGGAAACTCGGTATGCGGCGTCTACCGTTCTGATTGGGAGTGACCGCGGTGCCGAATAAGAAAATAATAAGCTTAAAACCGGGGAACGGGAAATGTCGGCCGAGAGGAAGAGTTCCCCGCGGGAAACATATCAGAACTACATATAGCTTTACTATGAGAATAGGCACGGTCAAATGGGGTTTCGGCTCTTATCATTGCGGCGGGTCCAATGAACCGCGGCAACTTCGAGTGGCTCTGACGTATTCTAGACCATCCCGACCTCGGGCAGATGGCGATAGATAGAAATATTAGTCTTCTTCCTCCTCTATTTCTTCTAGTTTCTCCTCTCAATTTGAAACATTTGTACTTGACACTGGTCTAGTGCATGGAATACGCATAAGCTGCATATATATACCCTATACACATCATGTCTCACATCGAAACACAGCTCAAGGATGTCGCTATCCTGGGCGCCATCAGCCACGATGCTCGCAAGATCCTAACTAAGGAGGCATGCGCCTTTTTGGCTCTGTTGCACCGCACCTTCAACCCCACCCGCAAAGCTCTTCTCCAGCGCCGTATTGATCGCCAAGCCGAGATCGATAAGGGCAATCTCCTCGACTTCCTCCCCGAGACTAAGCACATCCGTGAAAACGATGCATGGAAGGGTGCTCCTCCCGCTCCTGGTCTCGTCGACCGCCGTGTCGAAATTACTGGCCCAACCGACCGGAAGATGGTGGTGAACGCATTGAACTCGGATGTCTGGACTTATATGGCTGATTTCGAGGATTCGAGCGCCCCGACTTGGGACAACATGGTGAACGGCCAGGTCAACTTGTACGATGCTATCCGCCGACAGGTCGATTTTAAGCAGGGTGAGAAGGAGTACAAGCTCCGCACTGACCGCGCCCTGCCCACTCTGATTGCTCGTGCCCGTGGCTGGCACTTGGAGGAGAAGCACTTCACCGTGAACGGTGAGGCTATCTCCGGCAGTCTGTTCGATTTCGGTCTGTACTTCTTCCACAACGCCAAGGAGCTGGTCGCCCGCGGCGCCGGTCCTTACTTCTACCTCCCCAAGATGGAGTCACACTTGGAGGCTCGTCTCTGGAACGACGTCTTCAACCTGTCCCAGGACTACATTGGTATGCCCCGCGGAACCATCCGTGGGACTGTCCTGATTGAGACCATCACTGCCGCATTCGAGATGGACGAGATCATCTACGAGCTCCGCGATCACAGCTCCGGTCTCAACTGCGGCCGCTGGGATTACATCTTCTCCTTCATCAAGAAGTTCCGCCAGCACCCCAACTTCGTCCTCCCCGATCGCTCTGATGTCACCATGACCGTGCCTTTCATGGATTCCTACGTGAAGCTTCTCATCAAGACTTGCCACCGTCGTGGCGTCCACGCCATGGGTGGTATGGCCGCACAGATCCCTATCAAGAACGACCCCGCCGCCAACGATAAGGCCATGGAGAGTGTTCGCGCCGACAAGCTGCGCGAAGTGCGTGCCGGCCACGACGGCACCTGGGTTGCACACCCAGCACTTGCATCGATCGCCTCAGACGTCTTCAACACACACATGCCCACCCCCAACCAGCTGTTCGTCCGCCGCGAGGAAGTGAACATCACCGCCAACGACCTCCTCAACACCAACGTCCCCGGAAAGATCACCGAGGAAGGTATCCGCAAGAACCTGAACATCGGCCTCAGCTACATGGAAGGCTGGCTCCGCGGCGTCGGCTGCGTGCCCATCAACTTCCTCATGGAGGATGCCGCCACAGCCGAGGTTTCCCGCAGTCAACTGTGGCAGTGGACCCGACACAACGTCACCACCGCCGAGGGCAAGCGCGTGGATAAGGCCTTTGCGCTGCGTCTGCTCCAGGAGCAGGCTGACGATCTGGCTGCCAAGAGTGGCAAGGGCAACAAGTACCAGCTCGCTGCTCGGTACTTTGCCGGCCAGGTTACCGGTGAGGATTACGCTGATTTCTTGACCAGCTTGCTCTACAATGAGATCTCCTCTGCCGGAACTGCTTCTAAGCTTTGAGTGGACTTTTGATTTTTATGATGATGAATACCCTTTGTTTTTATTTTGCCTGGTCTAACTTTTAATATGACCCGATCTACCATTTACCATCTCGAATTAGCATAGTTGTATAACAATTCTTTTTATTTAAATTACTTTAACAGTGTAGTATGTAATATCGTCGGCGGTAATACTGCCGCCTCGGGTTGCGATCGACTCCCGGATCACAGGGTGATGAATGGCGAAGAATGATATTTTTCCTCGGAGGGCATCATTTACCTCTGACAACAGCTACTAGCAGCCTAGTATAGCGCCCTGAATAGCAATTAGAAAAAAAGCCATTCTATACATACAATCAGTATAGTTATGATATGGTGTATTTGTGATCAACTATGAATGGGATGCCCATCCAACCATCATAGAAAAGAAGCTCACATAGAGGAAAAACACGATTAGATACAATAGGCACTTAAGTGACTGCAATATTGGAGGAATCAGTGCGTAGCCTTAAATTTACCCTCTAATCCCCGGGGCCATACCAGCGGCACACATTCATATATGGTTTTCTACCATTATACAAGGCCGGCAATAGAAAGGAAAATGTAATCAAGCAAGTATTAACCAGAAATTTCCTAAGAATGTACCTATGGGTGTTTTCTACGCGTAAAAACATTATCCTAGAGCCTACAGAATAGCTAAGTTATGGTCATAAGACTGGTCCCTAAACGCTGGGCGTCACTAATTTCGACGTAGGTTGGCCCTGGCAATGCTGGGCACAGTGCGGACATAATTAGCATTACCTTTCCACAGAGACGGTTTAGGACCTCCATATTCTGGCCTAATTGATCCAAGGCACTCCTTGCTATCCGAATATGGTCAAGTTCATTTTAACATAACTGAATGACCATTAATTGGCTCGTCGTCACCTTGTTAGAACCAGCTAGTAGGCCAGGGAGCAACACATATTTCTGAGACGTCGTTCTTCCTGCGTCACAGCTATAATTGCACTAGTAGCTTGGATACTTCAGACATCCTGATATGACAATATTAAGTAGATAGTTCTCTCTCCTCTCTTCTCTTCTTTCATCCATTCTATCTTTTTTTCCTCATTCACTCTCTGATATACAGTTGTCTTTTTTTCATCAGTTTCATCCCTAGAGGTTAGATACCTGTTATATCTTTTATACTCTCCCGCACACGTTATTTGGAAGCCCCATAGCGGGACACATACGGAGTACTGCCAATTACAATCCATAATCCCAATCCCCGGGATATTGCGGAGTTAAATTTAGCCAATCGCAACCCCGTCCTTCAGCCATCCGATCATTAGCGACAGCGATCAACAATAACTAGTACTGACCGGGCTGCTGACACTAAACCCGACACCAATCAACAACACTAGCCAACAGCCCAATCTTCCGACTGAGGATGAAGGTGTTTCAATTCTAAAGAGGATAATGTTGATATCGAAGGAAATTGAGGAGGAGAGAAGGGGGGAAGAGAGAAAGAGAGAGGGGGGGGGGGGTTATACTCGCAGGTGGGGAAGTTGCCCTGTTTCGATCCATGGATAGCTTCATGCAGTCTTACCCGTGGACCTTCCTATGTAGGCCGTATATCAAAGTATTGAGACTGAAGTCCATCAAATTCTTCATCTGAAAGAAGATACTCCAAGATTGAGAAAAATATTACTGGCCACATCGGCTCTAGATATCACAATATGCGTCCTAGAAATGGCCTCCTCTCTCGAGGAATGGTACATTGCAAAACCACATAACAAATGCCAGATAGGGACCTATTATTTAGGCGTGTTATCTGCAACTACCTCAAAGCGAAGATCTACCGCCCAGCTTCGCGCCTCACGCTACGCACACTAGCAGAATGCCAAATATGCTTTGAGGTCTGCCAGAATGTTATAGAGAGTGCAAAGGATATGTTGAACTCCAATCCCACTACACTCATGCATCCATGGTACATACTCTACATTCTTTTTGACACCGCAGTAATCTTGCTTGATGCTTGTTGGCAATATCTCTCCTAGCTTTTGATGAGGCTAGCAGCATCCCATGCTCTACTTGTCGTGATACCGAAATGCCCTGAATTGATAGATGAAATAGGCAGATGGTAAGGTAGGGCTAAGCTCTGTGTAACCTGCCTTCAGCCAATGACAGAAGAAATGAATCGGTCATATAATTCTTCCTACATCGAAACCTCGGGCTCTTTGTCTCCATCTGAGATAGCTACAACTGAGAACCTCGAAAATTTGACATTGGATAGGATACCCTATGGCTTGTCGGAAGATGTATTTTTGGAACTTGGTTCGCATTTTTTTTGATACTGCGATATACAATTTGAATTTCCAAGATCTGCAATAGGGCATTTAGATAATCTCACCATCTTGATCATAAACCTTGTTCATTTTCACTCTAGAGTTCTCATGTAGGTCATCTTGACAGAGCAAAATTTATGGATAACCAAGGGATCTCCCAAGAGGAATTGATTCGGACGACACCATTTAGCTAAAATGAGTAAAACTTAGGAAAGCCATGGCGCTTCAGGCAAAATAGCCATGTCGGTGCTTTTCGCACCGCGAAACAACAATTCACTAAAGAAAAAGGCGTGACTAGGATTTCAGACTGCCAATGATTCCTATATGTGTAATGGTGAATACAAACACCACAAAATTTAAAAATCATGCTGTGTAATCAAAATGCCAAACCCCAGGGTCCAACACTTTACAGGTACTCCCAAGCAACAGGGGTGGTAGTGTTGACAGCAACAGCCAGGGCATCAAAGCCGAGGCAATCATTGACGTTGCCAGAGGGAACAGTAGCGTTCTGCAGAGCAGCATAGACCTGCCACTTAGGGGCGGCAGCAGCGCCCCGACGAGAACGGCGGTAGCCAGCGGTACCGTTGGTAGTCGGGCAAGCCATGAAGCCAGATGAACCCTGGCCATTATAGCTCCAGTGGCCAAAAGAGCTACCGGGAGTGTAGACGAAGGGACCATCAGAAGAGCCAGCGGGCTCGTAGCCGGAGTGGGGAGAGGTGAAACGCAGAGCACCCTTGTTATCCACGTAGATAGCCTGGCCACCGGGGACCTCGACGTCCTGGGTATAAAATTAGCAAACGCGAACATTGGAAAGATACGTGTATGAGTAACTAACCAAGAAGTGGCTATTGGCAATCACAGTCTGGTTGGTGTCGGGAATTCCGGGAATGGGAGAATAGGTGTGGGCGTTACCACCGAGCCAGAAGTAGGTTCCACCGGCATTGAGAGGCAGCAGGTGGACGGGAGAAGCAGAGCGAGCAGAGATGACGCTGAAGGCAGCGTTGGAGTCACCGGCCTGCTTGTTTTGCTTGGGCTGCTTGGAGCCGGGGATAGCAGCCACAAGAGGAGCGAGAGCGAGAAGGGCAGAGAACTTCATTTTGAGGGATAGTAAAAGTAATTGATGTTGAAAAAGAGTGATAGGTGCGTGAAGGAAGATATTCGAGGGGATACAGACTCATATATAATATGGGCGCAGAAAAGGACCTGCTTGGGCAACTCGATAAGCTGATCCATCGGAGAAATCTTGTGATCGACATTGAATTCTGGTGTTGTGGAGCCAAAACGAAGAATCAAGAAACAGAGGGCAATGTTTTGATCCACAATATAAGCCTATGAGGGAGATAGGGAGAGGGGAGTATACTTTGTATAGAGCTGCGAGACCTAAAATGTGAAGAAAGGCGAGTTAGATAGCAGTAACAATAAACAACTCACGTACAGCCCAGCAGAATATTTCTACTTACTGTCTGCTTCATCTATTAATTGCTTCGCATTCGAAAACATGACAGGGTCCAAGTCGGCTGCTGAATCTCCACTGAAAATCGGACTAAATGGAGCACACAATAATAATTTGCCCGTTTCGGTTGTTTACAAAGCACACCATATTCCCCTTCTCTGTGTAAATTGACACCCAAGCAGTTCAGATTAGCAGAAGATACCCCGGTTAATCCAAAACATACACGGTAGGACTTTGAAGATCGTAATAGAAGACCCTGAAGAGTTGTTTCAGAGAAGTGATGAAAGTTCAACAGTGAGTAAAGATCGACAGGACTTATCGGAAGCCCGACATTTTACCCCCAAGGAATAACAAGAACAAAACATGAACCTCTTAGCTGCGCCATATGGGGATCCACGATATCCACATTGTCTCAGGGCACATCGTGCTTGACATCATTGGCTTGTGTTGCCAGTTGCGCTGTTACTAGTATGTTGTATTGTATAACTAGTATAATTTTAATTGGAATGAAAGGTCTCGACTTAATATAGATGATATAAGTCGTATAGCTGAAGCAATTGATCTGACGCCATCAACTTTAATTTTTCTTATACAATGCTATAGTCGATCGATGGGAATTAATATAGCCATCATCCCCCGAAACTAGGCCATGTGGAGTTGATGATGTGGAATAATAATAATAATAATAATAATAATAGAACAGCCCTATCGGGACACCCAACTCGGAAAAGGATGGAAAACATGGGTTTATACAATTGTAAACGGACTATAATGTATGTTGTAGTTTACACGATAATTCCACAATCATCCTCGTACATCCCATTTGATATTGATAAAGATAGGGGCATATCCATAGGTATTCGATATGACATGATGTCAGGTGACCCGCCATTTTCTCCGTGACGCGTTAGAGCTAGGACAAGAACCAATCTACTGAACTTGGACTTGATCATTTTCAGAGAGTCTGCAAAATCATGGGCATCGAAGATTGAATGGATTTCCCACGTGCTAAGGTCGAAGCCTCGCGCTCGGTCGATTCCTCCAACCCTCGTACGCGTCGCGGTTATACGTCACTACAGAATCCAACGATCGAACAATCAACGTCAGAAAGCAGTTGGGGACAAAATGATGACATGGACACCCCTTCAAGTGGAGACGAATTCTCCGATCAGGCCAATATAAAACTTCTACCTTTGAAACAAGAGAGAGCTCGAGATCCACGATCCTCGAGCTCCAAAACAAATGACCCGAATTCCACTTCCGCCGATGTCCCGGACGATGAGCGTGATATTTCAAAGCGCATAAAAACGCTCCTTGACGCAGATCGCACCCTACTGTCGGATTCATTTGCTACGGATTTGGAGGAAGGACACTCGGGTAGAAGTTCTCTGGCTCTCAGTGATCGATACAGCGACGACTATGGCATCCCATCCAACAAGGACTCGCTGTTGAAAGGCAAAAAGAGTGAGGCTGAAGAGAAGGGCTTTAACTGGAGGTCATTGTTCCGTCTGCATTCGTGGTGGAACGTTGCTGGCATGTTTACAATCGCCCTGTTGGTAGTATGGTTTTCGATCAAGGGTTTACCCTGGTCATCTGTGGAAGTGGCCGTTGATGAATTTGTAGGTTTTTTCTCCTTTTCAATTGGTGACTTGAATATCCAGGAATCAATTTCTAAGAATCACAGAAAGCGGTGCCCTGGTACCCTACCCCCCTCGGTGGAACAAGCGAACAATGGAAGGAAAGTTATGTCAAGGCACAAGAAATGGTGAGAGAAATGACCCTCGCGGAAAAGGTGAACGTCACAACTGGCACAGGTTGGCAAATGGGACTATGTGTTGGCAATACTGGTAAGCCCTTGCTATCTGCTCAATACTATGGAAATGCAAATACTGATGCGAATTGTGTTGTCTAGGACCTGCCGAACTCGTCAAATTCCCTTCCCTTTGCCTACAAGACGGTCCACTTGGAGTCAGATTCACGCAAAACATTACAGCCTTTCCTGCAGGGATCACCACGGGCGCGACATGGAACCGTGAGCTTATGGGAATGCGGGGCTTTGCACTAGGCGAGGAAGCGCGGCTAAAAGGTGTGAACGTTATACTCGGTCCATCCATGGGACCGCTTGGCATGATGCCTGCCGGTGGTCGTAACTGGGAGGGATTTGGTTCAGATCCAGTTTTGCAAGGCGTGGGTGCAGCAGAGACCATTCGGGGTATCCAGCGGAACGGGGTCATGGCCACGGCGAAGCACTTTATTGGAAATGAACAAGAACACTTTCGTCAGGCATTTGACTGGGGTACTCCAACTGCACTCTCGTCAAATATTGATGATCGCGCATTGCACGAGGTCTTTGCCTGGCCCTTCGCTGAGAGTGTACGTGCAGACGTGGCCAGCGTCATGTGCTCCTATCAAATGGTCAATAACAGCTATGCTTGCGAGAATAGTAAACTTATCAATGGACTTCTGAAAGACGAGCTCGGCTTTCAAGGCTTCGTGCAGTCAGACTGGTTGGCTCAGCATACAGGCGTTCACAGCGCCATTGGGGGCCTTGATATGAGCATGCCCGGTGATGGCCTCCATTGGGCCGACGGTATCCCGCTCTGGGGAAGTGAATTGACTCGCGCAGCATTGAACACATCTGTTCCCATGGAGCGCTTGAACGATATGGTCACTCGTATCGTGGCCGCCTGGTACCATCTCGGACAGGACTCGTGGGAGCCCCCTGCACCAGATGGCAACGGTGGGCCGAACTTCTCGTCCTGGACTAAGGAGCGAGTCGGACATCTGCACGAAGGCTCGCCGGATAACGATGCAACTGATGTAGTCAACAAATTTGTTGACGCACAGGGAACAGGCGAGCATGCTCATTCTATTATTGCTCGCCAGATCGCTGCTGAAGGCACCGTGCTTCTGAAAAACATCAATAACACTCTGCCCCTCTTGCGCGACAAGTCCACACCGAATGGTAAATACCGGGTCGGTGTATATGGTGAAGACGCTGGGCCTGGTCGAGGACCGAACGCTTGTATCGACCGTGGATGTAACCAAGGAACCTTGGCCTCTGGTTGGGGCAGTGGAGCTGTAGACTTCCCGTACTTGGTTAGTCCGTGGGAAGCCCTGCAGCATGCGTGGTCGAAAGACTCTGTCGATGTTAAAGCTTATTTGACGAACACTGTTGTACCTCAAGACCTTGGAGAGCAGGATCTCTGTTTGGCTTTTGTGAACGCCGATGGCGGCGAAGGATATATCCGCGCTGATGGCATTGATTCAGACCGAAATGACCTGTTTCTACAGAAGAACGGCACTCAATTGGTTGAGGTTGTAGCCAAGCACTGCGGCGGTGGCCAAGGTAAAACAGTCGTCATTGTACACTCCATTGGCCCCGTTGTGATGGAAACTTGGATCGACCTTCCTGGAGTACACGCTGTAGTATATGCCAATCTACCGGGACAGGAAAGCGGCAATGCGTTGGTGGACGTTCTATTTGGAGATGTCGACGCCAGTGGACGACTGCCATATACCATCGGACGAAGGCTAGAAGACTATGGTCCAGGGGCGCAAGTCCGGTATGAGAATCCAGACCCATCCGTTCCACAGGTGGACCTCGACCAGGGTCTGTATATCGACTACCGTTATTTCGACAAGTTCAACATTACTCCCCGGTACGAGTTTGGCTTTGGCCTATCATACACAACCTTCGACTACACTGCACTCAGTATTGAAAAACTGCAGAAGAAATCCGAGTGGCCTTCCAAACGACTCACAAACGAAGTTCAACCTCCCGCATACGACAACAAACAGGACAACCCCACCAGCAGTCTATTCCCTCCTGGTTTCCGTGCACTCAGCAAATACATCTACCCCTACCTCACCACTCTGGAAGGAACCGCACCGGGCCCATACCCATACCCGGATGGATACAACGAACCCCATGACCCATCCGCCGCAGGCGGCGGACCAGGTGGGAATCCGTCCCTCTACGAGCCTATGCTCGAGCTCACCGTCGAAGTGAAAAACACCGGCACGCGCACAGGACAAGATGTGATACAGGTGTATGTCTCCTTCCCCGACGGTGTCGCCGAGCACCGCGGACTGGGCTGGTCCCGTGAGGCAATTGAGTTCCCCGAACGTGTTCTGCGGAATTTTTCCAAAGTCCTCCTACAACCAGGCGAGACCAGAAATGTCAAGATGACGTTGACTCGGAAAGACCTCAGCTATTGGAGCGTTCGCGCGCAGAACTGGGTGTTGCCTACAGAAGGTAAATTCCGGATCTGGGCGGGGCGTAGCTCTAGGGATTTACCCCTCGTGGTCGAGTTTTAATGCTTTGCAGGACTTGGAATACCGTTATCATTGTATTATATATAGACTTGTCTGGGCTTACGGCTTTTAGAGGTCTTTAAATGTAAATATGTACTATCATTAATTCGAGAATCGGGACTTCCCCAATGTGTCAGATTAGAAAAAGGCACACATTCCAGGGTTGAAACAGATTGACTAATTGACTATATAGTAAATATATGTAGCGCTGGTGAAATCAAACAAACTCAAATAACGTGTAAACTTTTGCTTTGACATGGTAGATGCACTAAAGTATCTATCCGAAACATGTACAATACTGGCGAAAACGGCACATAAGGAAATCTATGCCGGAAAAATCAAAAGAACAGAACGCCAAAACACCTTCTATCAGATCCAATGCAGACCAAAACATTAACATGGTGCTCATGATGCGAGGATATGATCGGAATCATTCTCTCAGCGATTACGAATCATAATGTTGAAGCACGTGGAAGCACGTCTATTCATCGTCGGAGTCGGCAGGCTTGGGGGTACCCTTGGGGGAATTCAACTGGAAAAAAATGTTAGCATACTGTAGAAAGGATAGATATGAACAAGAGAAACTTACCCATTCGATGTAGCGCAGACGACGGCGAATCTCACGCTCCTTCTGCTGAGCGCGAGTCATCTTCTTCTTCTTCTTAGCGCGGAACTTGAGGTCGCCTTCATCGCCAGAGTTGACAGCAGATGGGGCGGCGCTGGTAACGGCTGAGCCAGTAGCGGGGGTACCAGGACCGGAAGGCGAGTTGGTAGCGCTGTCCTCGAAGCGGTCGAGGCTGATAGCGTTGTTGGTGCGGCTGACAACACGGCCATCGGCAATGTGCAGTTGCTCAGGGCAGAGAGCGCCCACGAACTCCTCGTTGTGAGAAATCATAACAACACCACCCTTGAAGTCACGGATGGCAACAGCCAGACCACCAAGGGAGTCACGATCCAAGAAGTTAGTCGGCTCGTCCAGGACCAGCAGATGAGGGTTGTTCCACATGGCACCAGCCAGCACGACCTTGACCTTCTGGCCACCGGAGAGACCGGAGATCTCGTTGTGGTTGGCGATCTCGGGGTCCATACCAATATCCTCGAAGTGCTTGGTGATGGTCTTAGGGTCAAGAACACGGAAGCCCAGACCTTCACGGGAAGCCTCGTGATCGTCGAACTCCTGAATCAGCTTGAAGAAGCCAAGCTCAAGCAGAGTCTCACGCGAGATCATGGTGTTGTACTTGGGGAGAAGGCCAACCCACTTGACCTCATACTGGAAGGACTTCTTCCACTTCTGACGACCAATCAAGGCCTCGATGCGACGAGCACCGCGGCCGTCACCCAGGTCAACTGGCTTCTCTAGCTGCGCCTTGTCCTCATCGGTCAGAATACGGGTCTGCTTCAGGAACACTTCACGATCGTCGCCGTTGGCGTAACGCCACTGGAGGTACTGGCTGGGAGTCTTCTCCAAGTGCATCTCCACGTGCTCGAGAGCGTGTTGCTTGATGTAACCGATACGCAAGTTGGGGTGCTTCTCCACCTTTCCAGTCTGAGGAATGGTCTCACCAGTGAGAATCTTGATGAAGGTAGACTTGCCGGCACCGTTTCCGCCAATGATAGCGACACGGGAGGAGAGCGTAAGCGACAGCGAGGCATCGTGCAGCGAGGGGCGAGGGGCGCCCGGGTAGGTGTATGAGACATTGCTCATGCGCATAATGGCACGAGTCATAGACTTGATACCAGACAAGATTCCGGGGGAGGGAACTTGAACTGCACATTGGATGCAGACAGAGTGTAGTAACTCTTGCCCTCGGGCTTCTGCTTGACGAAGGCGGCAAGGTTACCCTTGTAGCAGACAAGCTTCTTGCTTTCGTAGTGGTAGATATCTGTGCAGACTTCATCGAGGAAACCGGAGTCGTGACTGACGATCAGACTGGTAATCTCAGTGTGCGACTTGAGGTACTCCTGCAGCCACTTGACGTTTGCCACATCCAAGTGATTAGTAGGTTCGTCCAGCAGAAGCACATCCGCCTTCTGGAGCATAGCACGGGCCAAAGCCAGCTTCATCTTCCAACCACCGGAGAGCGAGCCCACGGGCTGGGACTGGCGGCCCTCGGGGCCATCGGTGAAGCCGAACTCGAGAAGAACCTCGGAAATGTGCTCGGAACCCTGAGAAGCAATCTTGGGGTCCTTGGCAACATACTCGAAGATAGTCAGATTGGCGTCTTCGCCCTGGTTGTGCTCCACGAAGCAAGTGCGCACCACATCCTGGGGTGGGAAGCCTTCCAGCTTCTCGTTGGCAATACTGCGCATCAGGGTAGACTTGCCGGCACCGTTGCGACCACAGAGACCATATCGGTGGCCCTTGAGGAGACGCAGGTTGGTGTGGGAGAGGAGAAGCATACCTCCATAAGCAAGAGAGAAGTCGGCGTTGACAATCTCAACATCATTCGGGTCCTCAGGAATGGGCTTGCCAAACTTGATCTCATCCTCTGCAATGTAGTGGGCCTTGACAGCAGTGGCAACGGCCTCTGTGTTGCCATCCGCAAGCAGACCGCGCAGATAGGGATCAATGCGGTCGGGAATACGGTCGTGCATGCGGCAGTTAATATCCTCACGGACCATACTGGAAATGAACTTTGTGGCCAGATCCTGCAGCTTAGAGTCGCCAAAGCCACCCAGACCGCCGTGTTCCTGAATCTTTGCATTCAGCACGACCAGGACATCCTCGGGAGTGATCTTAGAGATGGAACCAGAGGCAAGATGATCGTCTTTCATGGCAGTCTCGATAACATCAAGAGCACGTGTGGCGAGCTCGCGAACCTCAGGCAGGGAGGCAGTTTCCTTGACCGACTTCACACCAGGCTGGAGGTTGGGGAGGAAAGTACGAGCCTCGGCGGGATCGTGGACTAGCTTGGTCAAGTTCTCCACAACAACCACAGTCTGACGAAGAGTTTCTTGGGGAGTAGCCTTGGTATTAAGGGATCGAGCAAGGAGAGGAGTAAGCATGGCCAACACGGGGGATGTGACGATGGCGACAAAGGTGGTCTGAGACAAGGCGTGGATCGCCTTCTGGAGAGTCTGAGCAGAGGGGTTTTCCATAGCCTTGATCAGAAGAGGAATGCGGGGAGCAACATCGTCGTTGGACAGGAGAGTGGTGAGGGCAGTCATAGTCTTGCAAGACTGCTTGCTCACTTCGCTCTTCAGGTCGTGCATGCCGGACTCGACGATGGGGATGAGCTCCTTCAGGGTCTTGCCCATCGCATCGCGCAGCAAGTCCTTCTGGCGCTCCTCGTCCTTGGAACCCTTGCCCAACTGCGCCTTGACCGCCATCTTTTCGATAAGCGAGTAGGCGCCGACAAAGCCCTGCCACTTGCCAGAGCCCTTGGCCAGGTAGCGCTCGAGAGTGGGGATCAGACCGTTGACCATGGCCTCAGGGCTGAGACAACCAAAGAGCGCGTCAATGGCGTACTGGGCAGCATCACGCACGACGGCACCCTTATCCGCCAGGGCGTCCAGGGCAATGTCAAAGATGCCTCCATCGTGCAAGAGGAAAACAGCTTCGCTGAGAGGGAACTCTCGGGGGAAGCGCTCGAACAAAGCACCAATAATGAGCATAGCACTCTCGCGCTTAGCGCCATTCTTCTTATCAGAGGCAGCCTTGCGGACATTAGCGAGAACATTGTAGTTCAGCAGGCCTGCACAGCCGGCGCCCTGGATGAGCAAGTTGGCCAAGGCATATGCGCCATCAAGAGACTTCTGGGAGGTGTCGGATGTGAAGATAGTGTCGAGGAGGGAGGAAATCTCTTCGGAGGTGGGGGGCACGCCGGAAGGGCCCTTTGCGACAATGGTCGGCATGGCGGGTGTCTCAGAGGGGGAGACAGTGTGTGGCATTTTCCAGAGAACAAGAGACTCGAAGATCGAGTGTCGATATCAAAGAGAGATATCGGGGGAAAAAAAAGATGAGAGAGATATGAAGCCCTTGGGAAAAGAGAGGGGCAATTCGACCTAACGGAAGATAAAGAAACTGTCCACAGCGCAACTTGCGCAGACAAACAGATAGTAGGATCGGGTTGAATCGTAGAGTATATACAACACGATTCTTAGATACCCAGGAGACCCGAAACACAACGAACAAAAAGAAACACAAAGAGGGGAGAGTGGTCTAAAAAGAAAGTAAAAACAATCTTCGCCATCTTCGATTGCTGACCCACCGGGGACCGAATTTTTTTTTTTGCTTACTCATCCAATCAGCGGGCCCGGCGGCGCCATGGGGCGAAAAGGCCTCTAACCGGATTCGTCTGATTGGATCAGTGACATTGATGCCTTGGTGCCTAAATGCATTGTGGCCTTAATCCTTATCTCCATTATGCCTGAGGTATGAATAAACATTTGTATCCTGCCTGAGGCGTTCACATTTCTACATCAGGTAGACCGACACTTCTGACGGGTAAATGGATGATGTTGTATTTCAGCCTGGTGGTCACCGAAACCAATCCGATAGGTACGAAGCCCCTAGGCTTATCTCCATCAATCCGAAATGCAAGTCCGAGGCTAGCCTTCACCAAGTATGTTAGCATACCGTATATACTGGGCATGCCAATTGAAAGACATAACGATTTCTACCACTACTCTATACGCTGTAGTGAGTTAAATATCAAATAACCCAGATATACACCGGTCCCCCGTCTTGATCGTATATTTCACCCCTGCTTAACGTACAGCACAGGTCTCAGCCGAGATGGCCGCATGGCCCCGGGCCTCGGTAGACGGTTGAACCCCCTTGTACCCCGCGTCCAACCGACCTGCATTGGATCAAGCCGATCACTCAGTCTGACACTTTTTCTCTTCTTTTCGTACATTTATGATCGTCAATTCCACTCAATTCACTCAATTCCAAGGTTGCTCTTCTTTGTTCCCTTCCATCCTTCATCCCCGCAATTCAACTCCGCCCCCGCAAATCCACCCCCGGACTCCATCAACATACAACACAAAATGGCCCTTAGCTGGAGATCAACCCGGCATGTCTCTAAAATTGCCCAGGTGAGTGTGCATATAGATTTATGTTGTTATCTGGCGTTTCGTTTTATTTCTTATTTTTTAACTCTTTACAGGCAGCACGACCTATACTTTCGGCGCGTAACTATGCGACCGCCGAGCCCGACCTGAAGACCACCTTGAAGGAGGTTATCCCGGCTAAGCGGGAGCTCCTCAAGAAGGTCAAGGCACAAGGCGATGATGTGATCGGTGATGTAAAGGTCGCCAATGTCATTGGTGGTATGCGTGGCCTCAAGGCCATGCTCTGGGAGGGTTCTGTCCTAGACGCGGATGAGGGAATCCGCTTCCACGGCAAGACAATCAAGGACTGCCAAAAGGAACTACCCAAGGGCACGACTGGCACAGAAATGCTCCCCGAGGCCATGTTTTGGCTGTTGCTGACGGGTCAAGTGCCCTCCACGGGGCAAGTTCGTGCCTTTTCGCGCGAGTTGGCCGAGAAGTCCGAACTTCCCTCTCACATTCTGGACTTGATCAAGTCTTTCCCGGCCTCAATGCATCCCATGACCCAGCTGTCAATTGCTGTAGCAGCCCTCAACACCGAATCCAAGTTTGCCAAGGCCTATGAGAATGGCATCAACAAGGCCGACTACTGGGAGCCAACATTTGACGACAGCATCTCCCTCCTTGCCAAGATTCCTCGCGTGGCGGCACTTGTCTTCCGTCCTGGTGAAATCGATCTCGTTGGTAACCAGAAGCTCGACGCCGCTCAGGATTGGTCGCACAATTTCGCAGAGCTGCTGGGCAAGGGTGGTCCAGAGCATGCTGACTTCCACGACCTGCTCCGTCTTTACCTAGCTCTACACGGTGACCATGAAGGCGGCAATGTGTCAGCCCACACGACTCACCTTGTCGGAAGTGCCCTTAGCGATCCCTTCCTGAGCTACAGCGCTGGTCTTATGGGCCTGGCTGGCCCACTCCACGGCTTGGCAGCCCAGGAGGTTCTCCGCTGGGTGAATGCCATGCAAGAAAAGATAGGAACCAAGTTCACAGATGAGGATGTCCGCACCTATCTCTGGGATACCCTCAAGTCGGGTCGTGTGGTCCCTGGATATGGTCACGGCGTTCTGCGCAAGCCCGACCCTCGTTTCGAGGCTCTGATGGACTTTGCCGCCACCCGCCCTGATGTTTTGGCAAACCCGGTGTTCCAGCTGGTTAAGAAAAATTCGGAGATTGCTCCCGTTGTGCTTACTGAGCACGGAAAGGTATGTTCAAAGGTTGAAATCCAACACTACAAATTCTCGAACTAACAAATTTCATTTTTCTACAGACCAAGAACCCATACCCCAACGTCGATGCTGCCAGCGGTGTCCTCTTCCATCACTTTGGCTTCCAACAGCCCCTTTACTATACTGTCGCCTTCGGTGTCAGCCGTGCTCTTGGCCCACTGAGCCAGTTGATCTGGGATCGCGTTCTTGGTATGCCCATCGAGCGCCCTAAGAGCATCAACCTCTTGGGCCTGCTCAAGAAATAGGTGCTAATATTTTTGCCTGATGCGATCGAAAACTCCTTGGCCTAGATGGTTCAAATACCTTTGATTTGAAGCGATCTTTCCTGCTTTTTTGACTTTTGTGCTGTTCTTGCTTGAAAAAGCTACGTTCAATTTTCCTCTCCTGTGTCTTATCTCATTCTACTAGACAGAATTACGCCCATAGACTACTTACTTTGAAATGCTAAGTTGGTCGTCTTTACGGGGCCTTCTATATAGATACCAACACTGTCAGATCGCTTTCGGATTTTAAATAAAGGTGCACGGGTAAGATCTTTGGACCTAAATAGACTTCCCAGTTCGAAACCAGCTATGGCTAGCTTCTTTACAGCGGCAAGACCATCGACATCAAACGAAATGTGAGCCGAGGTTACAAGATGAGTCGGTCAATAATGCACTGCTGCACCACTCAGCAACGCTGAACAGACAGCCTCTGTAGCGGCGACGGAAATAGTACTGCAGTCACAGATGAAAATTGGTGTATTATTGTTCCTTCCCAAAACCAATACTTGTATTGAGCGTATGTGTAGTATGTAGGTGCGGCAAGCCCTGACGATACATCTCGCCATGAAGTCATCTGCAGTGCCGGATTTTATCTCTATTCTATAACAGAATGGTGAAGCCATTAGATGTTAGGAGTTATGGCATAGACTGCGCGTCAATATTATTGGCATATCAGCGCGCTCGCTTTGGACGGTGATGCACGCGGGCTGCGCTTTGGCGGTCCTGAAAGGTTCGGTCTGTATATGGAATGGAAAAGTCTCAGGCCACACCAAGAGCAGAGGAATGTGATTACACCAAGCAAATTACATAAGAAAGTTGCTCGATTGAACATCCTAAAATAGGAATTATGTGCAATAGAATTCTGATATGTCCATGATCTCGATGTCTGGTCAAAACAAAATAGCATTCGTGCTCTTCAAAATGTGTAACAACTACGTAATCTAGTTCTGGATATATAAAATGACACCACTCACAATCGAACACTCCCAGTCGACAATTTCTCCCATTCTTTCTGTCCATACGGTGAATAACTGTCATCACCAGGCGCAATCCACAAGAAATGGTCATCTTTACCCCCAGGGGCTTTAGTCCCAATCAAAGCAGTATCCACACCCTCGTCACGAAGGGGTACCTTGTTTTGCTTATGGTTGTGTATGTGCGTGGGATTCTCGACAATGCGAAGGAATAGCGGAACAGCATATTTTGGCAGCCTGGAACGTATAAATCTTGCAAGCGCCGTGTAATCAAATGCCTGGCGGGCATCCGGGCTGATTTGAATTGCTGCACACCCAGCGCGTCCCTCGTGATTGGGAAGACGGACGCCGTAGACATTGGCTTCGGTGATACCAGGGAATTGACCTAGAACCTCTGAAACTTCGGCGGTTGCTCTATTATATTGACAATAGTATTAGCCGTGTTCCCAGAACTCGCAGGGGGCTTTGCAACTTACACGTTTTCACTCTTCCAGCGGAAAGTATCCCCAAGTCGGTCGAGGAAGTACCAACGGCCATCGCTCTGCCGGCGCAGGGCATCTCCAGATCGATAATAGAGATCTCCCTTCTTGAAGACATCACGCAGAAATTTCTTATTGGTGGCATCGTCATTGTGCCAGTACCCCTGGAAAGCCTCTTCGCCGGGAACGTTGACGATAATTTCCCCTCCCTGGTCATAAGACGCGCGAACCGCAAAGCCAGTCTTGGAATCTCGCAGGATATCGCCCGTCTCCGGGTCAATGGCAACAGGAACAAAGACATTATGTAGCAAACCCCGCATAATCAAACCATGGTGCCCGACACTTCCAGAGGTGAAAGGACCACTGTTAAAGTTGAAGAGACCGAAGACACCTTCTGTGCTATTAAAGAACTCCCCAACTTCAGCGATTCCAAACCGCTCCTGGAACCGCTTCCATATATCCGGCCGCAGACCGTTACCGTACATACATCGGACCTTATGATTTCGATCTTGGGGCGATGGAGGCGGCGCAAGCAAATACCGTGCAGTCTCTCCGACATACACGAAAACAGTCGACTCCGAGTCACGGACATCTGTCCAGAATCTACTGACGCTAAACCTGGGCGCGATGGCAATGCTTATACCCATTACCAGACATGAGATCAGGGAAATGGCCGCTGTGCCATGGTACAAGGGCATACAGCTATACCAGCGATCACCGGCTGGGCCGACCTTGTCTCTCACCGAGTCACGGCGGATGAAGAGAGCGATATAGAGCCTGGACATGGTAAAAGCACAGCCCTTTGGCATACCCGTTGTGCCAGATGTGTATAGGAGAATCGCCGGGTAGTCGCCGGCTACATGCTTACCCAGCTCCTTGGGTGGCAGGGCTGTTGGGAATGTGCTGATATGCGCCTTCAGGGAGATATCCAGGGTCATCAGCTTCATTCCCAGATTGTTCGTGATAGCGTCGTGGCTTTCTTCAACGCGGGCACGACAGTCTGCATCTTTGTCAACAAGGAGAATGGCCGCATCGCTGATCTTCAAACAATGCAGTAATGCATCGCCAGTGAGGTTGTAATTTATCGCGGCGGGGGCACAGCCAATGCTCCAGAGGGCTAGCCACGCGATGATGTATTCGTCGCTATTCTGGAGGTAAAGAGCGACGAGGTCACCTTTTTTCACGCCCTGTGATAGAAAGAAATGGGCATATTGGCAGGCTTGATCTTGCACTTCTTGGTAGGTGTATGATATCTCGCGAGTCCAAAGACAGGTCATGTCGGGGTATTGCTTCACGGTCCGTAGGAAGACAAACCATGGATTCCCTTCATTTTGACCAACTAAAAACTGTTCAGTATGTTGCAATTGTAGGGATAGGATATATACCCATACTGGCATTGGCATACTGTCGTTCTGCGTTCTTCACCGTGGCCAATGTCGATACATCCTTCTGGATGTGAAACTTGGCATTCAGATATCCTGCGACTGTAGCTCCCCCGAAGAGAGCAGCAGCGGCAGTTCCTGTCATTTGTCAGTAAGATCAATTGTTGGCAGCGTTTCACTGCGCACCTATATCCATCTTCCTGGTATGTTCCTTGTTTTGGTATATAAGTAACCAAAGGAGTATTCACTTTAACAGTATAAGTACAGGAATGAGGGGATCTCAGTGATTGCCGCTGACCTCGGCATAGATTGAGCTCTCCGCACTTTTGATAGGTCTATCTAAAAGGTTAATATATCTATTAGATCCCGCTTTGGTTGGGTTTGGAAGAAATGCGGGGAAGAGGCTAGTAATAATCCTGGCCTCGGTTGCATATATTATGCGTAATCCTCTACCTATTTCATCATTAATATTGATCCCTTACGTAGAACATTTGCCAACTGTAAGAAGTTGTAGTACTCAACCTGTTTGTAGAATTCTTAATAAAATTGCTAATTGTTGAGGTGGGACTCGATTGTCCCAACATAAAAATTTCCGTGGGACAATTAGATCTGCAAAAATGGAATATGTTGAACTTTAGAACTATCTTGAATTAATGCTATAACTAGCACCTTTTGTTTCATTACTTAGAACAGAGTCTCGTTTTCAATGAGATCGGATATCCAAGGCTAGAAGTTTTATGAAATAAACTTTGACTTATTTCCTTTTCAAGTAACGGCGTTGATCTAAACATAGGTCCACAGCCCACAGGGGTATAGACAGACGACTCAGAGAGTCCCATTATCAAATAATATAGGGAATTAAGCCTCTACAACTACCACAGCCAGGCCTTGACAAGTGCTACAATACCAACCGGGTTTTGGTACTGTTTATCGGTACTGCAGCACTCCGTACTACCTTACAGTAGTATCGATATAGTACTACGAGTGTATAACTTACCAAGAACTTGCTAAGAAATGTCCTTTCAAGCTGTATAGTTAGGATTACAGAAATTTACTACTTCAATTTCTCGCCTTTTACTAGTAATTACTATTAATATTTGATGATTTCTTCTTATTTGCTCTGTACTATATAAATCCCATAAAAAAAGTAGGAAATAAGGTGTTGTTGTAGCAGTCGTTGTTGCAGTCGTTGTTACAGATTTGCAGTAGTTTTTGCAGTAGTTTTTGCAGTAGTTTTTGCAGTAGTTTTTGCAGTAGTTTTTGCAGTAGTTTTTGCAGTAGTTTTTGCAGTAGTTTTTGCAGTAGTTTTTGCAGTAGTTTTTGCAGTAGTTTTTACAGTAGTTTTTGTAGTCGTTGTTGTAGTCGTTGCGTTGTCGTTGTCGTTGTTGCAGTGATTGTTGTAGTAGTAGTTGTAGTAGTGAGATATACTCCGTAGATATATATATATATATCCACACTTCATTTTCTATCACAGTTTTATAATTTTATTTCATATAAACACACCTAAAAGTCGCGTTTTTAACGCGTTTTTACGTGTATCTTAGTAGGATATCTCTACATACTATATAATATCGTCACATATGTACTAATTAATTCTACCTCTCTATTAGGGACCGCGTTTTCCAGGCCTATCGTGATTAGAGACCTGATACACTTGCTATTCTACTTTGTACACGACCTTCGTCGCTCATTTCGTCGATCGTTTCTCCAGAACACTCTATCGCCGCAAAGAGAGAGTCTATGTCTGAGAAAGTGGAACTTCCCAATCAAAGGCAATCCACTTCAACCAGAGGCTCTGATCTCTACGAAGTACTGGGGCTACTTCAGATGTACCAGCAATTGACTCTTTGGAAGTCAGGCCAGATGATTTTGTCGCAGACTCTCAGGCTGCATTGGACCGTATTGCCGAGAGTAAGTAGTTTTTGTCCGATATCTATATTTTTATTGTTAGATGCGCTCTACCATGTGTATTCTTATTTGGAGCTTGTCTCCACTTTGCACAATGTACGTTCAAGTTAAAGCTCCTTGTCTGATACTTGGATTAGCTATAATCCACTACCCTTTCGATTCATATTATTATTTCCAATTCGACTTATTTATCATTGATTTGCTTATCTTCCTTATCTTGTTACTTTTCTTTCACATGTTTTTCGATTTTTAGACTTAACTGTAGAGAAAGATAGCGGGAGGCTTTAATTGGCGAAGAAAAAAAACCACCTTTCTATGTGTAACTAACAATTCTATATCAGAATTCAAGAATTCCGATGTTCTGATGCTATGAAGTAAGAGGGCTCAACAATAACCTTGGGACATAATGAACTATGTAGGTACTGATCTACTTACAGCCATGGAACCTCTATAGCTCCATGGGGACCTTCCAACCTTGGAACCTTGGAAGCAAATATGTATGACTCAGCGTAAGCAGGCACCTGGGCATTTTCATTGGTGGATAATGTGGATATAGGGCCTTAGATGACGCAGAGCGAAACAGGAAAGGGATTACATTACTCCGTACTCCGTACCTGATTTGACAGGAAGCTATGGTATAAAGATGTAAGGGGAAAAACTAAGAAATAATAAGTAATTTGAAGAAATCATATATTCAATCTAAAAATCATATGGGACATAGTAAAATATAAAGATATATTAAGAGGATTTAAAGATTTAAGGTCCGATTTGCCCTGGACAAATAAGAGTCGAGTTAATGCCAATCTCCCGGACCAAAGGAAAAACATAAAGTACACAATGTTGGGAGGATTCAACAGAGGACTCAACATATCAGCAGATAATTATCACATGAATTTTAAATTAACAAGGGCAATTTAACTTCCCCTAGTAAACCAAAGTCCAATAAGCCCACATTTTTTTCTCCACACGATTGTCCGGTGAATCATCTCTGCCCCTCTCGAGTCATCCTATATACGGAGTACCTTGTACTCTCTTCCTTTCCTCCTTCTACACCTCACCATATCACAATGTCACTTCCAATTCGCTCATTGTCCCGAACGTTGGTACGGTCCTACGGTACTGTCCAGGGTTCCAGTGCTGCCTCGTTGACCAGCATCCCCCTCACTCTGACCGATGCTACGGGTGCTACCGCTCCCCGGACCACTTGGACTCGAGATGAAGTCAAGCAGATCTATGAGACTCCATTGAGTCAACTCACATATGCAGCGGTAAGTGGGATCCACCATATCCCCTAATATCGACCTCCAGCTAAACTGACCACCCTTCCAGGCTGCTGTCCACCGCCGCTTTCATGACCCCGCAGCTATCCAGATGTGCACCCTGATGAACATCAAGACCGGTGGATGCAGTGAAGATTGCTCGTACTGTGCCCAGTCATCCAAGCACAACACAGGTCTAAAGGCCACCAAGATGAGCCCCGTCGACGAGGTCCTCACCAAGGCTCGTAATGCCAAGGCCAATGGTAGCACTCGCTTCTGCATGGGCGCTGCATGGCGCGACATGCGTGGCCGTAAGACCAGTCTCAAGAACGTGAAGCAGATGATCTCCGGAATCCGCGAAATGAACATGGAGGTCTGCGTGACCCTAGGCATGATCGACGGAGACCAGGCCAAGGAGCTGAAGGAGGCCGGCCTGACCGCATACAACCACAACCTCGATACCTCGCGTGAATTCTACCCTACCATCATCACCACCCGTTCCTACGACGAGCGTCTGAAGACGCTCTCCCACGTGCGTGATGCCGGCATCAACGTCTGCTCCGGCGGTATCCTTGGTCTTGGCGAGAGTGATGCCGACCGCATTGGTCTCCTGCACACAGTTTCCAGCCTGCCCGCCCACCCCGAATCCTTCCCCGTCAATGCCCTCGTACCTATCCCCGGTACTCCCCTCGGCGACCGTAAGATGATCCCCTTCGACCGCTTGCTGCGCACCGTTGCTACTGCCCGTATTGTCATGCCCAGTACCATTGTCCGCCTGGCTGCCGGTCGCATTGCGCTCACAGAAGAGCAGCAGATTGCCTGTTTCCAAGCAGGTGCCAATGCTATCTTCACCGGTGAGAAGATGCTCACTACCGACTGCAGTGGCTGGGATGAGGACCGCGCCATGTTTGACCGCTGGGGATACTATCCCATGAAGAGCTTTGAGAAGCCTGCGCCCAGGCCTGATGCCAATGCTACTGCCCCGCCTCCTGTGACCCCCGAGGCTACTTCTGCGCCGGTCGCAGCGAGCGTTTAGACTTATAGTTAGATATTTTGCCTCTATATGACTGCGTCAATAGTTTGGATCGAAATGATCCTGCAAAATGCAATTATCTATTATACAGTTTTCAATGAGGGTTACACTTTCGTCCCCAAGTACACGCTCAGCTGGTCCAACCATAGCGATAATAACGTATCAGGTCAAGTCCCCGCGATGATGAAGTGATTGCACTTTTCACAGTGGAAGGGTAATCAAGTTCAGGAACATTTGGTAAGTCATCTGCCCATTTACATCCAGAAATTGTGGACTACACGTCTAAAAGCTTTGGCGGCCTAAAAATTACGAGGAACATGAACCCACTCGAAGCCGACCTAGCATCAAACTAGACCGAGGCTCATCCAGTCGCTTTGGGCTTTTATTTTTCGTAATTTCGCACCGCCATTTTCCTCGCTTCTATTTCTGCTGATATAATGCAGAGGCTCCAGGGCTAGGGAAAGTGTTGGTAGTCTACCCGGACACCATCATCCTGCTACCAACATGTAGTTTCCTTCGAGAAGAATTCTTGCCAAGCTGTTTGCACTAAACCAGATGGCATGGTACATTGAATCAAGTTACAATTGTGCACTGTATGTCTCCCAGAAAAATGATATATATGACACCTGTCATGTAAAGAGGAACCCAAAACTTGACCGTTTTACATGATCTCAGATAATGAAATCGTCATCTTTCCCCAACCTATGTGAGTTATGTATATTGATGAGCTACCTCGGCCCATGTGTCTCGCCTACTATTGGGTATAGATCATTCTTCACAGATCAGATCGCAATGGTTCCCCTTTTGGTTTCAATGACGATCCCATAAACTCCATTTTAATGTCCAGGGGAGGTTTAGCCTCTCAACGCCAACTTTGCGGGGAATTCACATGCAGATGTCGATCCTCGCCAGATTCACGTAGATCCCTCTATCCACCTCCTGTTCATTTGGTGTATTGACTTTGTTGAGGTAAACCCGTCCATATAGGGAAGTTCATGCCTCGCTATTCACATGGCCTCTTATGACCGATATCCTTTTGGAGATGATATAAACGCAATAACCACCGCTATGGCTGGCTACAGAATCTAACTCGAGCATCTATAATGGATTCCAAACAGCTATCCAAAGATTCTATGCAATCAACATGGCGCACAGCCCCTCGCAGCGAATGGAACATCAGTCATTTCCTGCTTGATGCGCTCAACGCTCACCCCATCGACCTAAATAAGGAGATACCAGTGCACAGTAAAGATGAGAAAGTCCCATACATGCCCCAGTGGTATCTCCAACGTTGGGTTCTCTTCTACTCTGCCCTGCCCCTCCTCCTTCACGAGACATACATGTCATTCACCGGCTGTACCATAGGCCCATTTGCCGCCTTCAACTTCTACTTCTTCACCTTCAACGCAACGGTGATCTACCAAGTGCACATCCTCCGGCGTCTCGGCCACAAATACGGCTTTCTAGACGGCGACAAGCACGAACGAGACGGCGTTCCCGACGTTGGCGTCGCTAAAGTAGTAACATCTCTATACAAAACCACAGGATCTCGAATGATCCTCTCAATAATCCTCTCCTACAACAAAACCCAAAAGCCCTCGCAGATGTCCTGGCTCTGGCTACCCCTCGAAATCGGACTATACGGCATCGTCCTCGACTTCTGGTTCTACTGGTACCATCGACTGATGCACGACGTGGGCTATCTATGGAAATACCACCGAACGCACCACTTGACCAAACATCCGAATCCGCTCCTGGCCGCGTACGCAGATCACGAGCAGGAATTCTTCGATATGGTCGGCGTGCCAGTAATGACGTACTTCAGTTTGAAACTGGTTGGTTTGCCGATGGGATTCTACGAGTGGTGGATTTGCCATGAATACGTTGCGTTTGCGGAGGTACTTGGCCATAGTGGACTACGGATTCATTCGACTGTGCCAACGACGCTGAGTTGGTTGCTGCAGATCTTTGATGCGGATATTGTTATTGAAGACCATGATTTGCATCACCGGAAGGGTTGGCGGAAGAGTTATAACTATGGTAAGCAGACCAGGCTGTGGGATCGGGTTTTTGGGACTTGTTTGGGGCGTATTGAGTCTGTGAAGGAGAATTTGGATTATGAGAATACGGCTCAGATGCCTTTGTTCTAGGGGGAGAAGTGGTTGGTTCTCGTGTGCATTGGAATGGGAATATACTTGGATGGTGATTTTGAGTATTTTGTATATAACTCGTTCTTTTATGAATTATAGGAACACTATAACGATCGGGATATCTAGGATGAGATATAATCGAGGAAAGCAGACAAGCTGTGAAACATTTGAGGGCTCTCTATTTTCCTTCATGTTACTGCAACCCTACTTCATCTCTGGTTTCTTTTGGATTATACGTAATGGATCTCGAGTGGAAATGGAGGAGTGATTTGTATTTCAAAGGAGGATCCCCTAGCGTCGAAATAGATGCCTGAATGTTACGATTAAAGTACTTTTAGCTCCTCACCTCTGCATCAGGTAAGTTCGGGAGATCTCGCATAACGCATGTCAAGCTTCTTTCTCAGCTTATATTGATATCCTTCAGAAACAAGGGGGTCGATTAGCGTAAGACTGATTTTTTATACCATGCTTGACGACTTTTATAGTGCACACAAGGGTATGAGTTATTCGTGATGGCGTAAACTAATCTAAAAAGAGGAACTAGCTCTAGAACAATCAAATATGAAAGGTCTCCAGTCTAACCTCGCAAATCAGAGATTACCCATATGTTTCACAGGTTGCCTAGCATCTGAGACAACCGAAATCTCCACCTGCTTCGTGATACCGGGAGTGGAGAAAGTAGGGGAATCAGGCGCGCCTCCTATAGATGTACTGGTATGCGAGCTCCTATTACGATCCAGAATGCGATCGATACTATCATTCTCGACATCAGAATTGAACCAGTGCGCGTGGCGCGACTGGCTCCTCTCGTTTGGGGTAGCAACAGCACCGGATTTCCGCCCACTAAATGGCATGCTAAGTTCGTAGGAGCGGGATAATTTGCCGCTGGAGATCTTGCGCACGGAAGAGATGATCAAGGGGCGGATGCAGGGGATCGAGGAGGTGATAATTATGATGACATTTTCGATGTATCCCCAGCGGATTAGTTCAATGCCGCCACTGGCTCCGGTATTGGTGATGCTGGGGACGGCGTTTAATTTGGTTGTTTTGATGATGGATGCGATCATCGCACTGTAGCATTGCGTTAGTATATCGTGGCTGTGTCTTTGATAGAGGTAGACACTTACACAATACCCAAACTGAGAAGAAAGATTAAACTGATCTTGATGCGTAATTTCAGATTCAAGTTCCAGAATACCACTGTTGGGAAAACGGCCAAAAACAGATCGGTGGCTGAGTTGAATGTATTGGAGTAGTAGGCAAATTTGATAACTGCATCCGAGTCGCCGCAGGTCGTCGCAACTGCGACTGCTGGGTCCCATAGAGCAGCCACGTCGCGACAGATGCTAAGTGGCAGGACGGCCGATGCAGCGTTCCCGGCGAATTGTATCGCCCAAATAGTCCATAGCGCGACCTGGTAGTACTTGTTGGTTCCGAGGAGCGGGAGGAGATAGAGAATGAATGCCGAGCGGGCGAAGGTGGTGCTGAAGGTGACGATTGGCACTTGGATTGCGATGTTCTTCAAGACCGCTTCCTTGTCGGTTGGTGGTAGTGTGCGGAGATTCTTGCCGAACCCATGCTTAACCGACAAGGTCAAGAATACCGTTGACACGATTGCCAGAATCTAGAAAGAATTAGCGTCAGTCTATGAAGATAATCCACAAACTAGTCAGGGAGATCTACCTCCGCGAAGATCATCAGGCCATCATCGATGCCAAATCGTTTGATCTTGATTTTGGCAAATACTCGTAAAATAACGATTACAGCAGCGATAACCACCGCGACCCAGATCCCCTTCTCTAGGGCTGGACCTAGATCAGTTTGTGACATTGCGTGAATACAAATCTAGCAGCATTGCCAGACAAACGATCCCTAATATAAATGGATTTGCAGTTGGAGTAGTCCACAGGTGCCTTCAGGGCCGAAAGTCCGGAAAAGCAAGAAGAAACCCATGGATTGACTCGGTCATCGACCCCAGACAAGCAACTTGCTAGCAACTTGGTTCACCTGATTCATAGCCAATAAACAACACTGTGCTCCTGAAAGCCTAAAGAGGATTGGTCTACGGATTGATGCATACCCTTGGACCAAACCTTGCGTTTCTCGACGATCCTTTCTATTTGAGTCGATTTAACAAATTCCCGAACTCCCGAGGACAATTTTGTTTTCTCCAACTACCTCCAATTTATGAGGCAAGACTGATTTTTATCAGCCAATGGGGTAATATAGTGAGAACTGGTTCTTAACCCGTCTACAGTTGGAGTGAATACACCATACAAAATCATGATATACAGACCAACCTTGGAATTGTTCAGGTCAGGTAAGCTATAAAATGATATTAAGCGAAATTATTAGATGTAAGCTTCAAGCCACCAAAGCATCAGAGACACAGATTCAGGGCGATCTGAAGTGGAGCTGGGTGGCGTTAAGGTAAAATGGTGATTGGAGTACATCTGTGTTACACTGGATCAGATCTCTTTTCCCTGGGAAGAATCCAAGGAAGATGATGTCGATGGCAAAAAACACATGTTCCTAGAAGGAGATAATATCCATACCGAATCACGGCTGGTATAGATCCTGCCGTTGGAGATCGTGCGTCCACAGGAACACCATGAACACCTACCTTTTAACTGTCTCGGTTCAACCGTGAAATCCTCCTATCCACAATACTCATCGGACTTAACACGCTAGGAAACATCTCCGAATTGGGCAAAGTCAAGATTCACAAGAAATGCACAGTGTATAAATAAAACAGGGTGATCGACGCCTGTACCTCCATTTTGGACAACTTATTCCCTTTCCTCCACCATGAAGTGGACATTAACTTCCCTCGTGGCTCTCGCCGCACCGACCATTGCATCGGATTGCCACTGTTTGCCGAGTGATAGCTGTTGGCCTACTCCATCGGCTTGGGCCTCACTTAATAGTACGGTCGGTGGTCGTCTGGTTGCGACCGTACCAATTGGTAGTCCCTGCCATGTACCCAACTACGATGCTGCCGCCTGTGCAGCGCTCAGGGCCAACTGGAACAAGCCGGAGCCTCAGTAAGTAGTGCTAGTCTGGGACAATTTACATCGCTAATCGCTGCCAGCCTTGACTCCTCTTCATCGGTAATGCAGACGTACTTTGCCAACCAGACTTGCGACCCGTTCACTGCTAAGTCTAAGCCCTGCCACCTCGGCAACTATGTGAGCTACGCTGTGAATGTCTCTTCCAGCGATCAGGTTGTTGCTGCTGTGGATTTTGCCCGTGATAACAACATCCGCTTCGTTATCCGTAACACCGGCCATGAGTAAGTCGCATCAGCAATATTTATACAGATCAATACTGATATTGTGTAGCTATCTTGGTCGTTCAACCGGTGCCGGTGCCCTCTCTGTATGGACTCACCACTTGAATGATGTCGAGTACAAGGACTGGTCGAGTTCGACTTACCAGGGCCCTGCGTTCAAGGTCGCTGCGGGTGTGGTTGGTTACCAGGTCCTCGAGGCCGCATCTGCCAAGGGCCTCGTCGTTGTCACTGGAGAATGCCCTACGGTCGGTCTTGCCGGTGGCTACACCCAGGGTGGTGGTCATTCTGCCCTCAGCACCATGTTCGGTCTTGGAGCCGATAACACCCTGGAGTTCGAGGTGGTCACTGCTGCTGGCAAGCTGGTCAAGGCCTCACGCTCAGAGAATGTCGATCTCTTCTGGGCACTTAGTGGTGGTGGTGCCGGCAACTACGGTGTTGTCATGTCTATTGTTGTCAAGGCACACAAAGACGCGCCCATTGCCGGTGCTGCTCTTACATTCACCGCGGCAAACATCACCACCGATATCTTCTACGAAGCAGTTTCGCAGTTCCACTCCCTTTTGCCCGCCATGATTGACCATGGCGTTACTGTCATCTACGAGATGACTTCAAGCGTCTTCATCATCAACCCCATCACAGCTTACAACCAGACTACTGATGATGTCAAAGCCATCCTCGGTCCATTCACCTCAAAGCTCACCAAGCTCAACATCAATTACCAAGCCAGCTTAAGCCAGTACGACTCGTACTATGACCACTACAATAGGTACATGGGCCCTCTTCCTTGGGGTAATCTAGCCGTGGCAAATTATCAGTACGGCGGCCGTCTGATTCCCCGCAAGACCCTAGAGCAGAACTCCAACGGGATGGCCTCAGCACTGCGCAACCTGACTCAGGCGGGGCTGATTGCCGTCGGAGTCGGGATGAACGTCTCTGCCCCGGTCAACGTCTCGAACGCAGTATTCCCAGCCCTGCGCAACGCAGCAGTGACGATGCAAATCGGCACACCGTGGAATGAGACCGCGCCGTGGTCCAAGATGATCGCAGACCAACACAAAATGACGACTGAATATGTGCCTCAGCTCGAGGCTGTCACACCGGACAGTGGCTGTTATCAGAATGAGGCTAACTTCCGCCAGCCGAACTGGAAGCAGACTTTCTTTGGAAGTAACTATCCCCGTCTGCTTGCTGTCAAGCGCAAGTGGGATCCTTCGTCGTTTTTCTATGCTCTCAAGGCTGTCGGTAGTGATGTCTGGTCTGTGTCTGAGTCGGGACGGATGTGTCGTGCTTAAGCTTATTTGGGCTTGACACCGAGACTGATTTTATTCAATGACGCGACGCGAGATGGCGATGCATTCTTGCCAGTGTAGATATCAATGATATTTTGTTTTCTCTATAGTGATTATATCATGAGCGTGTCTTAGCAGAGGATGACTTCCCCAATGCAATTTTCAAATTCAACGCACCGAAATCCCTCAACGTTTTGGAGATCTAGATCGCCGAGCTCCGTCGGATCTCCACTTGCGCTTAAAATATCCGGCTCTTGCTCGGACCGAAGATCAGGCACGGAATTGCACAGGCGGGGCCTCCCGAGGTTGCAAAAATATATTATCATTATGCTTCGAGATACTACCCGATCAGTGCCTTTGTATCCAGGCTTTAAGGATATATTATGTGGCACTTTTCCAAAATAAGAATGCGCAAAATATGCTCAATGCTGAATCCATATGCAAAAATCTATATAACCAACCCAAATAATATTGCCCAGCAACAAAGTGTGCATCAAAAGATCTTATATACAAACAACAAGCTAAACCTCGGCATTGCTAGCACAAGAGAAGCTGTTGCTGGAGGCATTATCATGAATAGCCTTGCCGGAAACGTAAAGGCCAAGACCACACATGCAGCCACCGATCAGAATAATGCACACGTTCACAATAGTGAGTGCGATCTTCCGAGGAGAAGAGAACCACCTGCCCTTGTTGATGTGCAGCCAGTACACACCACCAAGACCGTAACTGAACCAACTAGCGAACAGAGAGCTAATCAGACTCAGCAGATCACTGAAGACGGGAACGGCATCGGCAATGATCCAGGCAATAACCCAGCAAACGAAGGCGATGGTAACCCAGGTGCCAATAGCAAGCCAGTCACGCTTGTGCATGCGGTCAGTGCCACGGAACAGACGGACGTAGATGTACTTAAGACCGATGTGGCCGTTGACGACACCAGCACCGATAATCTAGGAGAATTGTCAGCCGCTGAATATGGGATAGCATAAGTGGATGCAAAAACGTACAGTAGGGATGGCAATTCCATAAGCAACCTTCTTCAGAATAGGACCAGCCGAGCCAAGAGCGGGAGATGTGACATCCTGACCAACGTAGTAGTAGATCACCACGGCAGCAACGGTGTAGAAACAAATCTCAAAGGTCTGTAGCAAGACCAGAGCCTTGGGGAAATCCCTAGGTTCCTCCATCTCAGCAAGCAAACCGAAGAAGGCCACGTGAGCACAGTATGCGAAGACGATGTTAGTGACAGCGCTAAAGGCCTGGAACAGATCGGTATCGACAGTAGCCTTGAGGTTCTGACCACCCTTGTTCTGAACACCGACTGCAACCATAGTGATGATGACAGCAGTGACGATACTGGCGAAGGCTATAGATGGCAATTAGCGACGATTCCCAGCGGCGGAATTCAATGGTACATACACATGCACGAGATGTAGGTCATGTTCTTCATAGTACGGGGCAGAGAGCAGACGAAACAGATGACGAATCCAACAGCGGTAAAAACCATCGTGCAAGTTCCGTGCTCGGTAACGGTGTTCATCATGACACTGAAAGTCAAGATGTGAGAACCCATGATGAAAATCGAGAAGAGCAGCTGGCCGATGCCGAACAGCTCGCGTCCAAAAGCACCGAACAAGATCTCGCCGGCGTCGGCCAAGTTCTGGATGTGGGGGTATCGGGCGCGGAATTGATGAATTGTGTATCCAGTGTAAGTCGCGAGAATGCCCAGTCCAATGATCAGGATGAGAGCTGGGGCGAGGCCTAGCTGGGCAAGGGTCTTGGGCAGGGACAAGACACCCAGAGAGACGGATTCGGCGATCATGACTAGATAATGGTCAGAGTTGGCTCATACATAACTATTGATCAATTGATCAATAGTGTTGTTTGATGCGCGTATTGCTAGCACTTACACATTCCCGTTTGCCTGATATAGAAATTAGTTCATATTCTTGGAAGGTTATTGCTTCATTGCATGCACTTACCACCACTTCATAGTTTTATACTTGACCTCAGCCCCCTCCTCATCTCCAAAGGCATCCTGATACTGGGGATTCTGATCCCCCAGCATCTTCTTTTCATTATATCCCGACTCCGAGTCCGGCTCCTGGCGTGTCATTGCATCGAAAGTCATGTCGGACACGTATAGACTGACAGGGGAGCCAAAACGGGAATAAAGAAAAGAAGGAAGAAGGAGAATGGTATGTACTTCTATATGTGCAAAGAAAATTCTCCAGGTGGAGCTTTTTTCCTTGTCAACCGAGACAACCCCGGCTTATCTTGTATGGAGAGTTGGGGCGCATAATTCTGCCCGGATCTTCTGGAAGGGCTTATCTCTACGATTGAATTTCTATTGCATATTTGCATTGGATAATAATTTACTATATTACTGCGTTAGGTATGTATTATTGCGGCTCAGCCTAAAAAAAAAGAAAAAAAAAGCTTTGATATGCCAGTTATGCCCACCTGGGCAGATTCCACAGAAATTAAGCGTCGGAGGATCCACTTCCGCACAGGAAAGTGGGGTTCTTGTAATCCACTATATTGACTAGTAACCAATCAAAGCCTCGGCTCGGAATTCTATTATCTAACCAGAATTACCGGACACGCGTGGCTGGCCGAGAGTAGCCGCATAGTCTAACGGGCCAATCCCGAGTCTCAAATGTCTACAACCTGTTACCAAATGCCAAGTCATGCTTTGATTTATTTGCAAGTCTACGGGTTAGTGTTGATGATATTGGAAATATGAACCGTATGAACACGCATGTACTTTGTATATTGTAGGTTGTACCTAGGAGATGGCAAAAGTAATCAAGGTACAGTGGCTAAAAAATGTTATGCAAAAGACCAACCGTGGGCCTGGCGGGAAGCTCTTGCCACCAAGAAAAAATAAATTTTAGCCAAGCCTTTGCCAATTTTCTCTAGTAAGACAGTTACGGTTCGGCTCTTGTGTCAAGCCGCACATCCGAATGTTAAGGGTTACTGTGATAGGTATTACTCACCGGGATATTCTTTCCAAGGTTGGTAGTTAGGGTTTGGTATGTTCCTTGACCACAACCAATGTATGTATGTACTTTGTACCTATTCTGTAATCCGTACTTTGTAACAACGAATCTGTTATATTAATTAGGTCATCCCTTCCTAATCTGGAAATTGTATATCACAAACCATGACATTAGCATCCGTACCTCCACATTCTGGCCCCTGCACCTCCAAAATTCCCCCAGACAACCCCAAGTTGCAGGTAATTCAAAGATAAGTGAAGATTTCACGCGAATAATCCATTCTCCGCCATAATCCACTGTAGTTATCATGCAGTCTGTGACGAAAACTGGTTAATGAAAGTGTCGATCTCGCCACACTGCTCCACAAAATCCCTAGTACGGAGTATGCCACCCCGTATGACACTCCACGGACGAAGGCCGAAATTATCCATGAATGAAATAACGACCAGAACGGCCAGATCTTCATACCCCAGCATACTTTGTAGTCATACATAATTTAGACGGTGTAGCAAGGCTTGTGACGCGATCAAAATCCCACTTCTCCCACTCAGGAAGACAGTGTCATAGCTCGTGAGGTGGATCGAGTTTGGGGCCGACAACGTCATTCCCATGACAGTGTAGGTCCATACAATCTACTATTTTGTGGGGAAAGTCGACGAAGCTGGAATTCATCCATCTGTAGTGGCCACGATATGTACATCGTACATAGACTTCTAGGAGGGCTTGACCTGACTAATCGGTGAGCTTACTGCCGTCATTTTCGAGGCTCCTATCTGTGGCAAAAAGGATTTAAAAAATATTTCGTTGATAGCTGCTGGATATGCCCTCGTCGTCGCACCTATTGGTGCAGGTGCAGCGTGTCCTGGAGGGGCTTTAGGGCAGTACAATTTCCCCGACGTCATTTGAGTTTCAGTAGGTGTTCTAGGGAAGGATTCTAGTGCAGACATTTGGAATTCTTAGGTAACGCCTGAGGACATTCCCTCCTTTTTGCTCTGTTAGCGCAGCGTAGGTCTGTCGGTGGTTCTTGGCTGTAATCATTCCTTTTATACGATATTATTCTCAAAGCAGACAAAGGCTGTATTGCGAATGTAGTCTAACGCCGAAGGGCGTGGAAGACAGCAGCTTCATATCAATTTTGAAGGAATAAATAAAATGTCCAGAAAACAGCAGTGAACAAAGCTAGAGGCATCTATGGCAATGATATTTGCTAATAACGGCTGCAGATGTAATGCACAAGATGATGGATGAAATATCCAATTATCAAGTTGTAATAAGTATTCTTATCTATGACTTACCTACACCAATGCCGATCGGAGAAGACGCTCCATCTCTCGGAGTGACTCGGGTTTGGAAGTCACACTGGACATCAGGTAAAGAACATTGCCGAGAACGCGCGAGTGAACATTGAACTGATCACCGCCAACAGCCAGCTTCTGCTGCAGTCCCTTTGCAACATTAGAGGTGTAGCCTGCGAGATTGTTAGCTTTATCAATGCTTGGTTTCAGGTCTCAAGAACATACCTCCACCAGCTGCATCACGCAGCGAAATACTAAGCACAGTTCCAATGGCAAACACGCTCTCCACCGAGCTTGTGGAAGACAAGTCCTGAAGCAGACCATGCGACCAAACACTCCACACATCCGGAGTAGAAGATTCAACAGTAGCAGGCGAGCTGCTACGCCAGTCGGCGCGGTATGCATCCCACGATCCATTGGTATCAAGCTTAGCCATAGTCTTCAAGGAATCAACAGCGACAGTGCATCCAACTGCATGGGCAGTGTAGCTGTGACCATGGAGGAGGGCATCGCTCTTCTCCGGACTCGAGAAAGCATCGAAAATCTCCTCGCTAGCGACAGTCGTGCAGAGCGGTACCAGCCCGCCCGTGAGGAGTTTGGCGTTGACGGCGACGTCGGGGTGCACACCCAAGAACGACGCGGATGTCGGACGACCGAGACGGTACAGTCCGGTGAAGACTTCGTCGAAGATGATTGGTAGCCCGGACCACGACGGAGATTGTTTGGGAGCGGGGGCGCTGGTGGAGAACAGCTCTGGGTGGTCGCGGACCACGTCGGTCAGGCATCTCTGGAAGAGGGGATCACTGGAAGGAGGCGGGTTAGCATATCTGTAAATGAACGGCCGTGCCACTGGATTCTTACCAGAAAAGCATTCCGCCCGCACCGAGGATGACAGGTTCCAGAATCAATGCTCCAAATTTCATTCCTTGGCGCTGGACCAGATCTTCAATAGTGCGACGGATGTAGTCTCTGTAGCGCTGGGCAGTAGCAGACTCAAGACGCTGGCTGAGGTCGAAGACCGACCCCAATGAAGCGAAATCAACATCCTCGCCGAGTTCTGCCTGCAGTTCACCAGGGATCTCAACTTTCCAAGATCCATTAACCATCTTAACAAGAGGGAAGTCAAACCAATGGCCACGGCCACGATACCATTCGACCTTCTTATTGAATGTTGAAGGTTCCGAACAGTCCATCACACCGATAGTGTCACCATGGTAGCTACCCTTGAGTCCAAGAATACCAATCTGCTCCTGGCTGGCATCCCAGCCGTACCGGTCGCAAGAAGCGCGGAGACCCATCTTGACAGCAACTTCCATCCCCGTGCTCCCATTGTCTGTGTAGAATACCTTACTAAGCCTCGGGTTTTCGATAATTTCCAGTAAGTTATCGGCAAGCGCCAGTGCTGGCTCATGGACTGCCCCTGCGAACATGACATGCCCGTACCGACCGGCGGCATAGGCAGCAGACAGTGACAGCTCGGGGTTACCATGGCCCAAGCCTTGTGTCCACCAGGACGCAGATCCGTCAAATGTCGGGCGCAGTTCGCTTTGGGTATCTTTGGATGTGTTGGAGACGAATGTTTGGAAGTAGTCATCATATGCTGAGTCGATGACAGTAATATCCTTAGCCTTCATGCCTTGGTGCTGGGTAAAGGGGTACCATATCAGCTCTTGCGCACGGTCGGCCATCTCTTCTAGGCGCTCAACGCGTTTGGTATTGTTGACAGACATCTCTTCAAGCAGTCGGAGGACCTCTGACTCCTTTGCGGATTTTTGGTAATAGCCAAGCATGGCCTCCTCGTCCCTCAACTGGGAGTCGGCATCCAGCTGCGATGGTCTGGGTGGAGGTGCTGGTAGCGACACCAGGGGGATACTCTTTTTCTGGAAGTAATCACGCAGGTATTCGTGATTTTGGTAGTACTCATCTCGGAACAATAGAACTGATGAGATGTCATAACCACGGAGGAGCAATGACTCGTAGGCAGAGATCGAAGAAGAAATACCCCCTAGACGAGAATCTGCTACCAGCACGATTGGCAGCCGGAGTGGTCGATACAAATCTGCCTGTGAGTTGCCATTGGGGCCCGGGGAGTGCACACCCCCAGCAGTCTCAACAAGGGCGAAGTCAATGTCCGACCCCGCCCAGCCGGACAGCGTGTTATGAACGGATGCGAGGAGATCATCGTCTCGCGGAACCTGAGCAATGAGCTTTTTGTCTTATCATTAGGCCAATGGGCACCTACAAATTTATCCTTGGCTGCCAAATGCGGGCTCACTGGGTCATCGAATTGGTAGAGACATTTGGTGAGCGTCCCGGCGCCATAACGTTGCAAGTGCCTGCGACCGTCAGCGATTGAATGAAATTAAATGCAACTGAATTCAAAAGTTCCCCTACCGATCATCGGCATCGTCCAATGCTCCTGTAGACACGGGCTTAAGGAATGCGGCCCGTTGTTTCTGACGTTGAACGGCGTTACACAACACCGTGGAGATGATTGTCTTCCCCACGTCCGTGTTAGCCCCGTAAACTTGATGGGCTCGTAAACTACGCCATAGCGCTGCGCCGACCGGAGGCATGATGAGATTGAAGTGAAGTGAGTCACGATGAAGTCCAAAACAGACCTCGGGACAGTTGAGTTTCCGACTCCACGCTAAATCTCCACATTTTCTGCATTTCACCGGATTCCCCTTGTTGGGTTCCTCAACGACTCGGACCTCTTTGAAATTGGGGAATAGGGAGATCTGCTCTGTCGCCAATCTCAACAATATTCGAATCTGAAATTCAAGTGGATAGCCTGTGGATTACCCTACCCGCCAGGAACAGGAACAGGAACATCAGAGCAATTGACGTTATCATGAAAGCCGATATGACTGCTGCTTCATCGGAACCATCATCGGGGACATTGAGGACAACATCGCCTAAAACCCTCGTTGAATCACTAACCGCCACATTATCGCGCCGGGAAGCCAAGTCTGCCCGTCGCAGGCTGACCATTTTACCCCGAACAGCTGTGGATTTCTCTTCCAACGACTTCCTATCACTGTCAACGTCCTCTGCATACCGAGAACGCTTTCTGGCACTTTTGAACAACACCCCACCATCGTTTCCCCTTGCTAGTGGGGGTTCTCGGCTATTAGACGGGAATTCGGCGTACGCGGAAGAGCTCGAGAACTTTGTCGCGACGTTCCATCAAGCCCCGACGGCACTTCTATTCAACTCCGGATACGATGCCAATGTCGGCGTACTCTCCAGCCTTCCTCAGCCAGGCGATGTGATTTTGTATGATGAGCTCATCCACGCCAGTGCTCATGAGGGCATGCGTCTGTCGCGGGCCGGTCCTCGGAAGATGTTTGCCCACAGTTCGCCAATTGGCCTAAGAGAAGCTCTGCAGTCGCAGATAGCCGAAGACCCAGCAATTGTGGAAGGTGCGCGCAATGTCTTCGTGCTCATTGAGTCCATCTACAGTATGGACGGCGATGTCGCTCCCATCAAGGAGTTTATCGCGGTTGTTGATGAGCTGCTACCTCGCGGCAATGGATATTTCTATGTCGATGAAGCGCATGCGACTGGTGTATTTGGACCGCGGGGTGCTGGGGTGGTTCAGGAGCTCGGCGTTCAAGATCGCATGTTCATCCGAGTGCATACATTCGGCAAGGCACTAGCGAGTCATGGAGGTAATTTGATGTTTTTATCGCCCCTTGAAATACTCAACTGACCTTTATCCAGCCATGGTTCTCTGTGGACCAGAGACAAGGGATTACCTGATCAACTATGCCCGGAGTTTGATCTATACCACCGCTCTGGGATTCCCATTCCTGGCATCAATTCGCGCAGCATATGAGCTCCTGTCATCTGGTGAAACTGAATCAGTAAGTCGATACTGTCTTCTTGACGCTCATACGCAATAGCTAACTGGATAACAGTTACAAATCCGGCTTCAGGAGTTAATTCGCCATCTCCGACAGCGGCTTGCTAGTCTCCATACATATCAATCAGTCATGTTTGAAGTCGACCATTTCCCCACGTCTCCCATTATATCCCTTCGCACATCGCAGCCACGACAGCTGGCGAGTCTCTGCCAGGAAAACGGATTTATTGTTCGAGCGATCATGCCGCCGACGATTCCCGAGGGAAAGGAACGGGTGCGAGTGTGTCTGCATGCAGGAAACACAGAGGCTGAAATCGATGGTTTGGCGCGTATAATTCAATCGTGGCTCGATCAAAGTCACAAAAGTGCGTCGAAATTATGAAAGTATGTACTTTGAGCTTTATATCTTCATAGTTGATCGTATTTAGATTCCCATATTATCTCACAATCCACCCACTACCTCACCCTCGCGGGGAAAGCATAAGCCAACCTAATATTACCTTCTTTTAATACCATTGCAACACCCGTGGCATATAAGAAGTCGTTAACAAGATGACAGAATATCTTCTACGTCGGATCAAAGCTATGGTAAGGTCCCTTCAGACTCCATTTGTCCCTAGGAAGCTCAAGCTGGCGAGGTCTGCAGACAAACCACCCAGTGGAATCAACTGCCAAATAATCCAAATTTTCAATCTACAGGTCATTGTTGTATGCGGAACCATTGCAAAGAGAATGACCACTCAATCTTCTCCTCCCTTCAGGAAGATCATATTCACTTTGGAAATACTACATTGAAAAATCCATCTATTTCTAGATGTATTGTTTACGAAGCTTCAGCTAGACCGATCATCTTACTCCACTGAATTGCACCCGCTAACTATCGGGTGATTTTCGATCGGAACAGCCTTTTTTACGCTGTCGTTGGAAATACCACCCTGGTCAAATGTGTCTGGAAAAGAAATGGGCAATCCCCGCAATTATCGCACCATTCCAGAGACTTACGTGAACTGAGCTGGGTTTGAATGAAAGTCATGAATTCCAAAATAAAACTACTTGGTGGTATATGTCTAATGAACAAGTAATCTTCAAACGCAGCAGAGAATCTCAAATCAACATAAATAAATGCACGCTATAGGATAAATGCTCATCAAAATCTAGATCATCTAGACCATAGATTGCTCCACCTTCGCCTCACCAGCCTGAGTATCCGATGAACGATCCATAGTGGTATAGCGGCTGAAATCTCTCATACCGGGATGCTCACTGCCAGGCTGATCACCTTGGCCCGCAGCCTTGCGGTCCTGGCGACGGAAGTAAACACGCTTGCACCACTTCCAGCTCTCAATACCCAGGAAGAAAAGCACTGTCTCGACAAAGACAATACCCCACTCCCAGGAGATACTGCTGTGCATGAAGACCTTGTGGTTGATCACAGGGATGTAAATAATAGGGAACGCAAGAACGAAACCAGTCATGATACCAAAGAAGAGGAACTTGTTGCGCCAGATATCGTGCATCCACTGAGTATAGCGTTTCTTGGAGTTGGGCTGCATGTGGAAGAAACTGCGGCGCAAGTGCATCATTTCCCAGGCAAGGAAGAGTGCGAACCAGGTCATGCAGGTGAAGGTAGTAGCGCGGGCGCGGAAAACTGTCTCACAGTTATAGGGTTTGTTGGGGTTGTTATATTCTGTATTGCAGCCCATGGCGAGATCGCCGTCGCCCCACTTGAACATGACGAGAGAGAATGCTGACAGACAGAGGCCGGCCATCCAGACTCCGTAGACGAGGGTGTCGATAATGATTTCCCAGGTGAAGATACCTTGTTTCTGTTTTTTGTTAGTACATTGCATTGTTAGGGAAGGGGAGTAGAATAACTTACGCTTTGCGGTGGCCGGTCCATCACTTCTGCAGCGGCAATCTCCATTCCCAAACCCATATCAGGGAGACCAGAGGTAATCATGATGATCCAGATGATCTCGACAGGGGAGATAGGGAACACAGACTGGTTACTGTCATCCTTAAAGGCCAATCCAATGAGCAGGGTGATAGCCAATGCAACATTTTCCGCAAGAAGATGCAGAACGAATTTCTGGATATTATCGAAAATGCGACGACCTTCCTCAATACCGTTAATGATAGAAGCAAAGTTATCATCAGACAACACCAGTTCAGAAGCATCCTTAGCCACATCAGAGCCATTCTGACCCATAGCAATACCGACATCAGCCCGCTTAAGCGAGGGAGAGTCGTTAACTCCATCACCGGTCATAGCCACAAAGCGCCCACGACGATGCAGAGCATCAATCATGCGAACCTTCGTATTAGGCGCACAGCGAGCAATAACCAATGGAAGGGTAGGAAGTGCATCAATCTCGTCTTCGGTCAATTTGTCAAACTGGGAAGCCGTCATGACCATAGCATCAGCAACGTCCTTGGCGATCATATCCATGTTTGCAGGAATGATTCCGACTTGCGCTGCGATCGCACGTGCAGTACCGGGGTGGTCGCCGGTAACCATGTGCACGGAGATTCCAGCCTTGTAGCACTGGGCAATAGCCCCAGCCGTTTCAGGACGAGGAGGATCGTAGAGACCAATCAAGCCGTAGAGAGACAAGTTTTTCTCGACCGCCTCGCGGGGAAGAGGATCGCCGCCTTCTGGAGCAGGATTGGTGTTTTCGCGGCCGGCCATAGCGAGCACACGGAGACCCTCTTTAGCCAGAGCCTCCATGTTCTGCAAGATGTCGTCCCGAATTTCGTCGGTGATAGGGACCGGGTCAGAGTCAGCCGTCCATTTGATATTGATGCATGCATCGAGAACTCGCTCGACAGCGCCCTTGGTGAAGATCATTTCGCGACTCTTCTCTGAGTTGTCGTCACGCTTAGAGAAAATAACAGACATTTTCTTCACGCTAGAGTCGAATGGATACTCAGCCTTTTGTTCCCAGACGGGCTTTTCACCCTTGGTCAAGCGGTCCAGACCCCAGTTGAATCGAGACGCGAAAACCTGGATAGCAATGTCGGTGGGTTCACCGCGAGCCTGCCATCCCTCAGTGGCACTTTGATGGAGATGGGCCAGGTTGGCCATGGCAGTGACGTTGAGGAAATCCTTGAGCGTATCGTTGTCTTTCAACAGGTCATCTGGAGATGATACATCACCCATTTCTTTTCCAGCAAGTTTGACCGGGGTCTCGGCCATCAAGCTCAGATCACCGTCGTGGGGGTTGAGAGGCTCGTTTGAGGCACCGACTAGGTAGGTTCCTACAGATGGAAGCCAGGCCCTCTTTACGACCATGCGACCTTGGGTCAGAGTACCAGTCTTGTCTGAGCAGATATTCGTCACAGCACCGAGTGCCTCTAAGGAATCCAACTTTCGGACAATGACATGACGCTTGACCATCTGTTTCGTTCCCACCGCCATAGTGATTGTCAACACAACCACCAAGCAGGCTGGAATCATAGCCAGACCAGTCGCGACCGCATAAATAATAACCTCGTTATCACCGCGCCAGTCGTTCGATGCAGCAACAACAATCGCGAAAACAACAGCAATGCCAAAGAGCAGAAGCGCCAGCTTAGAGAGTTTCCGCTGCAAAGGCGTACCAACATTGGTACCCAAAAACCGGCCAATAGCATCAGTGGTTGTCAATGTCCAAGCCTGGATATACCATCTCTTCTTTGTTTCACCTTCAGGTCCGCGCTTAACAGGGCGACGCTTCGAGTCGGTTCCACGGAGAGCTTGCGCGATAGCTCCGATCTCGGTTTTCATTCCGGTTCCTACGACGACACCACGAGCGCGTCCTCGGGTAACCGTTGAGGAGCTGTAGGCGATGTTCAGTCTGTCACCTGGACCGGTGTCGACCTCGAAAGTAGCATTTGCGTCTTTCTGGACCGGGAGAGACTCGCCGGTTAGCAGCGCTTCGTCGGTTTCGAAATTAAATGCTTCAACGAGTCTGTGAAATGTTTGGTCAGATCCGGGTTCTGATATATTCTATTCGGGGATTGCGGTACACACCTGACATCAGCAGGAACAGTGTCTCCTACTTTCAGTTCGACCATGTCACCGGGGACGATCTCATTTGCCGGGACAGTTGCTGTTTTGCCGTCGCGAGAGACCACACCTGTGGGCGAACTGAGGGATCGCAGCGAGTCCATAGTCTTCTCTGCGGCATAATCCTGGTAGACACCAACAACGATGTTTAAAGCGATGACGGCGGCGATGAAACCTCCTTCGATCCAGGACTTGATACCAAAACTGACGGCCATGGCGATGATGAGGACCTGCCATCATCTTAGCAATAATTCATTGAGGGTTCTTTCTGGCTTCTAACTTACCAGCATCATGGCATTAGCGATCTGTCGAATGACAATCTTCGCCAAGGAGACGCCTTCGTCTCCTTCAAGTATATTCTGGCCATATTTTTCAAGGCGTCGCTTGACATCTTCAGATGTCAGACCATCATCGGAATTGGTTTCGAGTTCGTTGATGACATCTTCGAAGGTAAGACTATGGGCGGGCTGGGATAGAGGTTGTTGTGTAGGATCAACAGGGCTTCCAGAGCCTGAGCCTTTTTGGGCCTCAGACATGTGGGGAGTGGTGGAGAGAGTGTCTCTAGTCGAGCGAATTGAATAAATTGAGTGAAAGATGTACTTCTATGAGGCTCTTAAGGGGGCAACATATAGAAGGTATCTGAAAGAGAATGAGAGTCCATACACTGGAATTACTTTGAGTAATAGGTACACTTCTATGGAAACAGCCTTCTTTTCTTTTCCTCTGGGGGGGATGTCTCAAACTATAAATATGAACAGAATCCTAGTCGATGGCGAAATCCATATTAACCGGCTGTTGAGACCGGAAATAATCTGATGGAAATGGCGTCCGACGTCCGGGGAACCAATAATCATGCTATTATCGTATCCAATCAGCTTCATCAACCAGATATCGGTATCAAGCGGACACTACTTGGCGCAGCATGCTGAGTTTCCCTATTGAGTTGATGACGCAGATGACTCTCGGCGACGTCTCAGCTATCGCCCACGCTATAATTCTCCACCTCTGATTGGTGCGGAGATTTCTTGGCATACTCTTGGCTGCCCAGGTCCTCGCTTTCTATCTCTCTAATTTATTTCCTATTGCTGGGCGCCTTGGCTCTTGGCTCTTGGGATTTCTTGGCATTTTGGGGCTCGAGAGTTCCTCCGCTTCAAAGTCACCCACTTCTCCAGGGACATTTTTCTGTTCTCATGTGGCAAAAAACCGGATTGAACTTGTTTTGTTGCCTCAAATAATGGGCTATCAATTGTTATTGGGGATACGGTACCTGAATACATGATTGTCCCGACTGATCCGATCCAGGTTGCACACTGTCTTACGTTGCGCGATCCCCTTATTTTCATTGGATCTATTGGGCAATACTCCAATTCTTTATTTTATTTTTCCTTTTCGTATCTTCTTCGCTTGGACCCAAAACACATATGACCCTCCACTCATGGCGGTCGACTCCATGCCCCGAGAGGAGATAATCGGGGTTGTGATTGGGGCCGTTGCGCTGTTTTCCCTGATCAGCATGATTCCTGTGTGAGTATGGAGGCGCGATAGTCTTGGCTCCCCCGCTTCATGCAGGCGGATTGTTCTCGAAGTTCTGGGTTTTGACGTGCCGATCACTGATTTGTATTCTCTATTCAGGATGATCATGTGGCATCATCGACGACGTGAAGCCATGCAGGCAATGGCCGAAACTCGGGTACTTCCACCTGTTTATCAGGTACAGTTGCAGGATGTGCTCGGCCAACCTGTGTCCGTGGACCGATGGTTGGAAGAACAAAATGTGCCCGCCAATGCCCAGCAATATGGCCAAGATACTTGGTAAGTCGGTGATTTTTCAGCATTCCACCGTCTCCGATTCCGGCCCCCTCCTTGAATTTCTTGGCCCTGCGGCTCGATGATGTAGTGCGGGGACACTAGGGCTGGGCTCTGGGTTCTCCGCCCTATCGCGATCGGCGAGTTCTCGTCGAGGCGGGTTCATGTTTCTGGGCAAGGCTTTCACTCGCAAATGACCCCTCTAATGCAAATTCGCTTCGTTCCTGGATAAACACATTGTGGTCTTGGCTAGATAGCAGACCGTGCAAATGACCCTGGATAAATTGCGTGAACCTTCTAGAATCAAGCTAACTCACCCAGCCCCATCTGTCTCTCAGCACTGTCGTCATCCCCATATCTCGCCTGTCCCGACTCAGCCGTTCTAGCTCACGACCAACACAATCACGACCCGACTACACGGACGGCCCTCCGCTGCACCTGCGGGGCACAACATTCCCCACCCGGTAGCGAGGTCCTCGTACTGAATCGCTGCAAACATGCCTTTCATCTAGATTGTCTGAAATCTTGGTTTGAATATCGTCGGTACAAGTGTCCGATCTGCCAAGCTTCGTATTCGCCAGAGGAAGAGGCACGAGGATAATTTCCAGATAGAATTGACTGGTTGCATCCATGATCATGCGGGGGCGCTTGCGATTTGCATTGATATCCTCAGTTGTTATACCCTCCAAGGTCTGGCCAGTGGGATCACTACGGCTTGGCTTTTTTTGCATCATTTGCTTCTTTTTACTTTGCTTTTTTTTGGGCCTTGCTTTGCTTTGAGATATCCCAACGTGACACGAAGCATTTTCATTCAATTCTTTGATTCAGATTTATATATATGTTTCCGTCTGTCCCAATAGGCCTCAGGGCAAAACTTCTGTTTTATGTATACGAAAACATAATAGAAGACGCAGCATTGCACAATAGAGGGTACTACCTGTGAAGGCTCACTACAAAGTACAGTGGTCATACAAGGTGTATATATTGTATTCCGACCGAATGGGGACCTTGGTGGTGTAGTTTGATTCCTTCAAAGGATGACCAAATCAACACTTTTCTCCTAACCTTCTTTTCATGCCAACCTTTTACACCAAGAATATATACTGCAAACTAATATGGCTATACATATGCAGACTCACACTTCTCACAATCAAATCTGAGAGCAATCGGGCACCGGAATAGGAAATTTATTTCAGAACCCCACTATGTTGATAACTTTTAAGCTGCCCTTTTTTTTATTTCTCTAAATATATCAAAATTCCATGCATATCAGTATCTAAACTCTCCTGATCAAGGGCATATCATCATATCACATATACCTCTATCAAAAATCAAGCATCGAATCCCTTCATCCATCACCATGAGCTTGACTCCCGAAGAAATCAACCTCCTTGAGGTTGCAAGAACGACAATCAACTCAATCCCCAAATCAGATACCCACAGCGTAGCCAGCGCGGCTCTTTCAGCCAACGGCCAAGTTTTCACCGGCGTGAACGTTTTTCACTTCACAGGCGGACCATGTGCCGAGCTTGTAGTCCTCGGTGTGGCCGCCAGTGCTGGCACTCCTCGTCTATCGCATATTGTTGCTGTTGGGGAAGACGGCAATGAGGGAATTATTCTCAGTCCCTGTGGTCGTTGTCGACAGGTACTACATGATTTGCATCCTGAGATTCGGGCTATTGTGCAGAAGGGTGGGGTGGTGAAATCCGTCTCTATTGATGAGTTGTTGCCTTATGCTTATGAGCCTAGGGAGTAAGGATTTTGTATATACATAATATATATGCACAAATACCACGCCATTAAAGTAATAACAGTCGAGCGAGTTAAAAGTACATCTCAACAGATTAAAAACTAATCTGGCTCCGTAGTCAATTAATAACTCGAATCAAATCCAAGTAGCGTAATCACTTCCCAAAACCGTCTCCTTTGTAACCGCAGCCGAGATAGGAGTCTCGTACAGGCGGGCAGAAGTATCCGACCCATCCCCAGAATTGTTGAACTCAGAAAAAACTGGAGTAGCTCCCGCTGCCATTGTCGCCCATCCCTTGGGATTGATCAAACTACCGAGTCTGGAGTTCTGGTAGATGACGCGAGCAAGCACTCGCCACGGGCGACCGAGGTATACAGCGCCACCAATGCTAGTTCCAGACCCAGCCTTGATGTTGCAGTCGTCAATTACATACCAGGTGTTGTCTGTGGGTTGCTCACGCGAGTTGGCGGTGATATAACCAGAAGCGACGGAAACGATGTCGCAGTTGGTGAACCAGGCAGAAGCGGCGCCGAAGATGTAGTCCACTGATCCTGGGGATTGTTAGTATATAAGAGTGGGGTAGATGGATGTGATAAAAATGAAGTCACTTGTGACTTACCCTCAATTCTGGAGTTGGCATAGTGCTGGGTTCCCGACTTGGCGTACAGGGTATCCTGGTATCCAAGGAACTGACAGGCAAAGAAGCTTAGTTTATTGGCATTGGCGACGAGTCTGGTATAATAGTCAGTCAATAATTCAAATATTGAAGCAAGAAAGAGATACTCACGCAACAGCTTGTGCTCCAGTCCCGTACCCATTCACCACATTGATGTTATGCATCTTGAATCCATTGGAGACAACATTCACAGTAGCACTCTTGTCCAACGAGCCAGCCTCAGGCGAAGAGATAGTATGGGTAATGGTAACAGTGTTCTGCTTGTATGTCTGTGTATCAACAGTCTCGCCATAGAAGGTCAGAGCACCGGAATATTTGACAGTAATCTGTTCCTCATACGTGCCACTTGCAAGATAGATACAAGCTGCTGCTGAGGAAGAACCAAGGGCAGCCAGTGCCTCGGTGATGGTCGAGTATGTTCCACCCGAACCCACTGTCAGGCAACCTGCGGGGGCAGTAGTCCTGCTTGAACGAGTGGCTAGTTCGGCGGGTGCACCCAGAACACCCGTGCCGATGGATAGGGCTGTGAGGAGGAAGTTTTGCAGATACATTCGGTAGAGATCGTTGTTTTACCGGAAAGAAGGGAATGATTGTCGGGTTATGTGCGCCTTGAGAGATATTATATGCAATAACAGGGGTCATGCGAGTGCTGTTTCAAAGGTTAGGCTATATCTGGGTCCACCGGAGCTACGGTTGATGAGATAGATTCTCCACTTGGGAGGTATTTCCATAAATAGGAAGCTTTCCTCGGCCATTGTTATCGTTCCTCAGGGGTAAATGTATTCAGGCAATTATATCCATAGTAGATTAATTGTCTGACTGGTCTCACTCTGATACTTGTTTCATGGCGTTCCACTGTATTGCAGAACACGTGGCTTCAAGGAAAAGTGTATATGCAGTCTATACATTATGTGCATACTATATCCGGGGAAATCAACGCCGAAGATTCACCGGATAACAACTCGTTTGGTCATTACTGCTGGAGAATGAAAAAATGATGTTCAGTGAAGAAAAGAAATTCCTCGAATGACGGATGGCGCTAAAATGGAGGCGTTTCAGGTAGTTTCATTTCTCCGCCGACGAAACATTGGAATCGTCCACATGCAAAAACCCTTGACAGTAAAGGAGAGCAGAAAAGCTATAAAAGATGTACGAATTCACTAGATATATAGTTATTACTAAACTCTAGTTGCGATACCTCTAATCACTTGTGCCATGTCGATAACAAGATCCCTCGCAGCCTTTGCGCTCCTCACCTTGACTTTCGCCCTACCAGATGGAATAAGACCTCTCGATACTCGTGCTTCAGCTTGTACACCAGTAGCAGGTGGATCCGCCTCTATCGATGATGTTCCCGCCATCACATCAGCAATTGCCCAATGCGGAAAGGGAGGCACTATAGTCATTCCTGCTGGCAAAACCTACTACCTGAACAGCGTACTAGATTTTGCAGGATGTGTTGGATGTGACTTTCAGATAGAAGGCCTGTTGAAATTCAGCTCTTCGACTGCGTTCTGGGAGGGAAAGACAGCAATGATCAATATCAAGAATATTGATGGACTCAAGATCCGATCTTTGACGGGAAGTGGAGTGATTGACGGAAATGGGCAAAATGCGTATGTACATACTAATTCTTTCTCTTTTTATTTTTTTTTCACTATTATTTCAGTTTACTGATATCATATAGATGGGACGTTTTCGCAGCAAACAGCAGCTACGCCCGCCCAACCCTTCTCTACATCACTGGTGGCTCTAACATCGAGCTCTCAAACCTCCGCCAAAAGAACCCGCCCAATGTCTTCAATTCGGTCAAAGGCAACACCAAAACCGTGTTGTTCGCCGATCTCAAAATGGACGCCACATCCAAGAGCGACAATGAGCCGAAGAACACGGATGGCTTCGACATCGGCGCCAGCACAGATGTGACCATCAGCAACGTGAACGTGAAGAACGACGATGACTGCGTAGCGTTCAAGCCCGGTGCAGACGGTGTCACGGTCACGGGTATTACCTGCACCGGAAGCCATGGACTATCTGTGGGATCGCTGGGAAAGAGTTCCTCCGATACGGTGAAGAACGTCTACGTGTCCGGCGCGACGATGATTAATTCGACCAAGGCCACTGGAATCAAGACATATCCCTCTGGTGGAAGCCATGGCATTTCAACAGTGAGCAATGTTACTTTCACGGATATTGTGGTTGATGGGTGTGACTATGCTATTCAAATTCAGAGTTGCTACGGAGAAAATACGGCTTACTGTGTGGATAATCCTGGGAATGCGGTTTTGACGGGCATTGTTTTTGACAATATCAGCGGGACGACCAGTGGGAAGTATAAGGATGTTACGGGCAATCTTGCTTGTGGATCTGGTGGAATTTGTGATGTCAAGGTTAGTGCTTATACTGTTAAGGCGCCATCAGGGGGGAGCCAGGTGCTGTGCGCTAATACCCCGTCGGGTTTGGGAGTTACATGCACACCAGGTGCCTCAGGCTAAGAATAGAGGAGACCTAGTATGCATAGTTATCTTGTGGATAGGAGAGTATTGGAGAGAAAAAATACTGAAAAAGCTCTATACAATTTTACGGTATATAAAAGATATGTTCGTCTTACACGTGTGATTTCCAGCACAGTACACCAGACCACCCCTTCATTCAAGTGTTTACGAGGAGGCAATAACCTTGTCCTTCACGTAGAGGTCAACATACTGGTCGACATCATAGTTCTCCAGCTCAGAGCGGTTCCAGCCCAGCTTCAGCAGTTCATCGACACGAGCCTGGTCAAAGTGCGCCTCAATGTGACGCTTATACTTGGCCAGAATCTCAGGCTTGGCCTCCTCGCGACGGAGACGGTGGCCCAGAGGAGCCTCGACGACGATCTCCTCAAGGACTGTCCCATCGTTCAGGGTGACGGTTAGCGCATTGGGGATGGTGCGCTTGCTTGGGTCGTGGTAATCGGTGGTAAACTTGGTATCTTCAACACAACGGATCTTCTTGCGGAGATCCTCCAGCAGAGGGGAGGTGGCGGCCTCGGAGCCGTCAGCATAGTCGCTAGCGGTCAGGCGGCCGAAGACGAGCATGGTGGCAACCATATACTGCACACAGTGGTCGCGGTCGGCGAAGTTGTCCATCTCCTTGAATTGCTTGTCAATGATACGGATGCATGCCTCGTGTGTGCGGTTAGTGATCTCCTTGATGTCCTTGGCACTCTTTCCCATGGCTGCAAGCTTGGCGTTGACCTTTTCAGCGGCCTCAATGGCGGTCTGAGAGTGGAATTCGGCTATTGAAAAGAAGTTAGATGTCTCCAATCCTCACACAGTACCATATTCTGCAAAATATGCTTGCACGTACCAGGGTAGGAAACTTTGAACAGAACGTTCTCCATGACATAACTGCCATATGGGCGCTGGAACTGGAACTTCTTGCCCTTGAACAGAACATCATAGAAGCCCCAAGTAGGAGCAGAGAGAACGGTGCGGAGACCGCCCTCACCCTTCTGGACCTTGAGAACCAGGTTGACAGCACGCTGGCAGGCGTCACCAGCAGCCCATGACTTACGCGACATGGTGTTGGGCGAGTGGCGGTAGGTACGCAGAGACTGGCCGTCCACCCAAGCCTGGGTAATAGCATCGGCAGTCTGCTTCTCGGTGAGACCCATCATCTTGGAAACGACAGCAGTGGTCGCAACCTTGACGAGAACAACGTGGTCGAGGCCGACCTTGTTGTAGGAGTTCTCCAGAGCCAGAACACCCTGGATCTCGTGGGCCTTAATCATGGCCTCCAAGACATCATGGATCTTCAGGATCTTGCCATTTCCAAGGTTTCCACCGGCGCGGTTTGTGCGCGAGATCCAATCGGCCACAGCCAAGATACCACCTAGATTGTCCGAGGGGTGACCCCACTCGGCGGCGAGCCAGCAGTCATTATAGTCGAGCCAGCGAATCATAGAGCCAATGTTAAAAGCTCCATTTACGGGGTCGAGCTGGTAAGGAGTGCCAGGCACACGGGTACCATTGGGAACAACAGTACCCTCTACAACAGGGCCGAGGAGTTTCGTGCACTCCTTGAATTTCAAAGCTTCCAATCCACATCCAAGGGTGTCAAGGAACACCAGACGAGCAGTGTCAAACTATAATCAATAAATTTTATAATCAGCCAGTACGCCGTATACCCGAGCCGGGCTGACTTACTGCCAAGTCGGAATCCACCTTATAGTCGTGGATATAACTGGCCATATCCTGAATTTCCGGGTCGTAGGACTTGGTGGTATGAACCGCCGGGGCGGCAGATTGACGGGCGGCCATTGTAGAGAAACGAGGAGTGCAAGAAATAGAGGTACGGGGAATGGAGAAGGAAGAAGCCAAAGTGGGCAATCTGGAGATGCGGGCCAAAGTGCGGGGAGACGTGTGGGTCAGACGTCTTACCGCAGGCAGGGACATTGTGAAAGAAGAACTGGGAATAGGATCGAAATTGAAGACCCAACAATTGACAAAATTGGAGAATTGGAGAGGGGGGAATGGTTATTTAAAACAATGGACGAAAGGAGAAAATGTTGGGGGGGGGGAAGGGGGGAAATGGCCGGGGGAGAGTTCCAAGCTGACTTCATCCTACCGAGGGTCGGTTACAGTCGGGTATTACTTCACTTTCCCTCCCTTTTAAGCCCTGGAGATTGTTTATGAGATCAATTACCTCGTCTATAGGTTGACAGGCCAAAAATTGCACTAGTATTACTTTTTCAATTGGCCGGTCTTATTATTGCTACATTACCGTCTGTTGAGCTCCCTGGTGGAAATCCGAATATCGGATGTAAACAAGAGAGTAGCAACAGACAATAGCTGCAAGATGCAGCGAAATCGGAATATGCGCGGTCCGAATGTGCAAGAAACAAGTAGAGAGTAAAGAAACCATTTGTTCGATGGAGCTCACACCGGCTCACAGCCCCTTCGCCCTCGGCTGAGCTGCACGTGCAGATCATCACCCAGAGGGCGAAGCTCAAATCCCCAACACCCCTGCCTCTTCCTACTGCTCTTCCTTATCTCCCTCGCCTCACTCTCGCTGATAAATTAGTGGAATATTCCCATGGCCTCCTCTGTATCAGTCTTACGAAGAGACTTGACAACCTCTCCGTAGATAGCTTTAGCGAAGAGCGGGGGCACAGCATTCCCAATCTGCTTGCGCATGAATCTTCCAGTAAACTGGAAGTTCAGGGGGAATGTCTGCAAGAGGGCCATCTCACGACTGGTATAGGGCCGGGTTCCCGAGGGATGGTAGTTGTATTCGCCGCCCCCGCAAGTAATTGTTCTGGCTAGAGAGTTGCGATCAAACGACGGTCGGTGGCTCAATGCCCACCGTGCCAGGGCCCCTGCAACATTGTGGTCGTCGGCATCAGGAGGAATGTTGTCAATGGTAGACGAAATGGTCTCTCGGGGAAGTAAACCTTGACCAATACCGTGAGTGGGTTGGGCATAATGTGGCAGAACTTCACCGGGCCTGTAGGCACGTGGTTAGATACATAAAAATGGAAATACGAAAAGCTTCGTCTTTCACTTCACTTACCCCGCAGCAATAAGAAGCAATCTCTTTCGCTCCTGAGGCACACCATATTCATCACACCCAAGCACCGACCAGCGAACAGAATACCCAAATTCAACCATGTCCAGTACAACTCGATTAAAGATAACGGGGAATCGTTGTGGCAACCCCATGGTTTCCTCCATAGTCAACACCCGGGGACGGGACTCCTGGATCAGACTTCCAGCCGAAAATACGCATGCAGAGTTGGCGTCATCGCGAGGACAGGGCACAGTATGAGCAGGAGACCAGGTTTGGCAGGGGGGTGAACAGTGTGCAATATCCACTCGCAGGAATGATGGATCGTTAGTAAGAAAACTGAAAAAATCGGAGTGCTCGACCTCCACGTCGTTGAAATTCAGCTGATAGGTTTCCAGTGCATGCTTGTCAATATCAACGGCCCATTGGAGCTTTACGCCGGCCTGCTTGGCCCCGCAAGATACACCACCAGCGCCACAGTAAGCGTCACCAAAGGTATATGCACGGTTAGGGGCAGTCAGATCAATCACATCAGGGGCAGTCAGGTCAATCACACCCTGTTGATTAGTATCCATAGCCATGGAAGATGCGCTAGCCTCACCGAAAGGCACTGTCTCGCCTCTCCATTCGGAACGCAGCTCATTTGCGCACTTTCCAAATCCTGGATCTGATTCAGCGAAGGTCAACCATTCAATTGCACACTGCTCTGCACTCAAAGGTGCATGGCCAGGAATAATGATGACTCCTTGTTGGCGAATGGTGAGCTTCAGTCGACAAGTCAGGTCCCCCGATATAGGGTTATTAAAGTCAGTCCGAAAGTTCGTGAAGCAAATGGGCACACTCCGTCTGACTTTCTTGATACTGACATGGTCGGTGTTTTGAGTGAGCCAGACCAATTCATCGTTAAGTTTTGGCAGATATGTCTTGGCTTCAGGGTGCGTGGTACGGTAAAGACGCCGGCCGAAAAAGCGCAGGTCGTGAGGCTGAGGAATCATGTCCTCAACCCGCATGAAAGAGCCATCATCAAGCTCTAGACATATTCCGCGTTTGAACACAATACCCCCGATTTTTATTTCTTGCTGGGCAATCTCTGGCGTTGGGCTGCAACTAGCGGACTGGTTGCTGATGAAAGATGAATTGCCGGAGGAAGACCGATCACTCGGCGAGTCATCCCCGGCAGCAATTGCGGAAGGAGCTGCAACATGTGCCATGTCAGAGGTCAATTCCTCAATGGCTTGATTGGTCTCATCGTCGCAAGTGAGGTCGATGACGACCTGCAGGTTCTCGGTGGGGCGGAGGAAGGTGTGGCCGGCCTCCTGCACAGGTGAAGTAATGAAGATCGCAGAAGGATCCGACATGATTATGTCGTCGTCGGTCATTGTCGGCTCATGAGTTACTGCTCGAAACTCTGCAGTGCTGACAGGGATTGGGTCTCCAAAGGGAGACACTGAAATACGGGATCGATCATTGATATCGGCCATTGGTGTGATGGTTGACTGATGAAAAACTTCAATACTTGGTTTGTACGAGGATTCAAAGTCAAGGTGAAGAAATCGAGGTAAAGAAAACAAATTTCGATATCGAACCGATGGATGATCCCAAGCTGATAAGGCCTCAGGTAGATGACTTCAGAAACACTTCTACTCCTATAATCGGGTGTTCGAAACTAGCCTTGCGCGAATGAACGCAATTTCTCTCAGGTAGCAATCTGAATTGAAGAGAACTGGTAGAAGGCTTTGCCAGACCTTCTATACATAGCAAAGTTCTAGAAGCGATTCATATGGATTCGTCTATGTATTTCTATTTGGTCAACAAAGCAGAGATGGCATCTTGTCTTGTGCAGCATGAAAGACTATAATAAAGCCATGGTGTTCATGTATTTATCTCATTGAAGGTCGGCATGACCCGTCCAGGCTGGTTTGTACATCAATCTATATGTAGGTTGTATGTAGTATCAACATCCGCTCTATAGACGCTTAACCGGTTCGGGACAGTACCTAGGGCACAAGTGGGGCGCACTGCTTACTCAGTAATGAGTCAGCTCCCCCCATTGGGGCCTCCCACCGAAGTCGGCCCGGGCGGAAGAGCGAGAAATTTTCATTCTGTGGGGCACCACGACCGAAGAAACACAACTGCCATGGAATATTTCCTTCCCTCTCTCTGTCTTTTTGGGGTGGTGTTCGTTTCTAGTGATGACCATTCTCTGAACTTCCCTCCTTCTTTTACGTGATTTGGTTTTGGTAAGTGGCATGGTTTTATTGTTTTCGACTTTCAGCTTTATTCAAGCTTCTCACCCCCCCCCCCCCCCTGTCTCTTATGATGAATTTTGGTTTTTTATAGATGTTAGACTTCCTAAACAATTGTTGCGGATAAACACCTGGACTGATTTGAGACACTTGCAATCTTGCTATACACTGTGAATGCAATGGATAAACACTAGTACTAATTCTCTTCGTCCATCCCAGAAAACCTACCCTCCGTCAGGATGTGTGGTATCATTGCGCTGATCCAGGCGAACCCCTCATCTGCGGCCGCCGTGGATCTCCACGAGGCACTTTACCTTCTCCAACGTGAGTTCCGGCCAGAATATATACACGTGCGACCGCGAGACTAAAGGTTTTGGTATCACAGATCGTGGTCAGGATGCAGCCGGTATTGCAACATGTGCATCCGGAGGTCGCATCTACCAACTCAAGGCCAACGGCATGGCTGCCAAGGTCTTCCAGGAAGGTGCTAAGGTGACCAACCTGCCTGGCTCCATGGGTATTGGCCACCTACGGTATCCAACCGCAGGATCCAGTGCCAACGCTGAGGCCCAGCCGTTCTACGTGAACAGCCCCTACGGCATCTGCTTTGCGCACAACGGTAACCTGATCAATGCCGGGGACCTCAAGAAGCATCTTGACCTTGAAGCCCACCGTCATATCAACACCGACAGTGACAGCGAGCTGATGCTCAACGTCTTCGCTGATGAGCTAAGCGAGACCAAGAAGGCCCGTGTCAACCACGAGGACCTCTTTGCCAGCTTAAGCCGCATGTACAAGCGTTGCGAGGGTGGATGGGCTTGCACTGCTATGCTTGCTGGTAAGTTATGAAAATCATGTGTGATGTCTTATAGTCCATAGTACTAACACGCCATCTAGGCTTTGGTATCTTAGGTTTCCGTGACTCGTACGGTATTCGCCCCCTCATTTTGGGCTCTCGTCAGTCCGTGGATGGACCTGGCATGGACTACATGATGTCTTCTGAATCAGTAGCTCTGGATCAGCTAGGTTTCAGTAACCACCGTGACATTCAGCCTGGTGAGGCAGTCATTATCGCTAAGGGTTGTGAGCCGGTCTTCCGCCAGGTAGCCCCTAAGAAGGCATATGCTCCGGATATCTTCGAGTATGTCTACTTCGCGCGCCCTGACTCTGTCATGGATGGCATCAGTGTGTACCGTAGCCGGCAACGCATGGGTGACCGTCTTGGTGCACGAATCCTCGATGTCCTGGGTCCCGAGGTCGTCAAAGACATCGACGTGGTCATTCCTATTCCTGAAACGGCGACCACGTCTGCGACCAATGTCGCACTGTACCTTAACAAGCCTTACTGCCACGGTTTCGTCAAGAACCGTTACGTCTTCCGCACCTTTATCATGCCGGAACAAAAGACACGGCAGAGAGGTGTCCGCCGCAAGCTCAATGCCATGAAGGCCGAGTTCAAGGGCCGCAACGTCCTTCTGGTTGATGACAGTATTGTGCGTGGTACCACTAGTCGCGAAATTGTCAACATGGCCCGGGAAGCCGGCGCCAAGAAGGTTTACCTTGCCAGCTGTGCACCGGAGATCACGCATGCTCATATCTACGGTATTGACCTTGCCTCTCCTCAAGAGTTGGTTGCGCATAACCGGAACTCTGAGGCCATCGCCAAGCACATTGGCGCGGAGGCGGTTGTCTTCCAAACTCTGCCTGATCTTAAGGATGCCTGTGCCGAGGTCGCCCGTGAGAATGGTCAGGAAGAGCCCACAAACTTTGAGGTCGGTGTCTTCTGCGGCAGCTACATTACCCCCGTTTCATCCGGTTACTTCGAACATCTGGAGGCTGTCCGTGGCGAAGGCCGCAAGGTCAAGGCCCTTGATAAGGCCAAGGAGGCTGTCACCAATGGCTTTGCCAACATGACCGACTTTCAGATCGCCGCTCACGGGGTCACGATGGACACTAATGGCAAGATTATCCCTAACATGGAGAACGAGGCGTCTACGATTCGTGACGCCAAGAATGCTGCCCAGGCCGAAGACCAAACGAACCCCAAGGTCTCGGATCGCATGGACATTAGCATCCACAACCAGGCTGACCATGAGGCATGATTACGAGGACAGCTGATTTCTATTTCTTTATTTTTTTCCTCCACCATTTTGGCAATTTGCATTGGGTGTCTGGGCGTTTATTTGGGAGCATATATGTGAGGTGGCTGTTTGCTGCTAAAGGATGTGGAAATGATGTGGAAATGCATTGAGAATACCAATACCCGGTGTCTTGAGATACACTTGTCAATATTTCCTAATGAAGCTAAAATAAAATGCAATATTCTGATGTTGTTGAAGTCATGCTGGTTTTCATTTGAGTCATTTTGAGTTTGATGTCCCAAAGAGGCAGGTCACGTGGCCAAGTCATTCCAAGGTTGGCCAGTAACATCATCGCATTCTCTCCGCATCATCAACCTAAGATACAATCATCTGTATTTTAACCTTCTGACTCGAGTGCGTTGTGGTTAAAATTGATGTACCTCAATATAATATACCATATATTGAACGAAATTGACACTTGCTGCAAGCACACTGGCCTGATCCTCTATCATGGAACGCCGCATTACTCGCTCTGCAGCACGAGCTGCCGCTGCATTGATTGCCGGAGAAGAAAACAGCACTTCTGTCCCTCAACCACCACCCAATCCCGCAATCAAGCAAGAGAAACCAGTATTGCGCCCAGCCTTGTTTGATGAACTCCCCCACAACCTAGGGCCTGTGCCACCCACGTTATCTATAGGCACACAGCCTGCACCTTCAATTGCTGAATCTGACAAGGAAAATCAAACTTTGAAGAGCAATCAGGTTGCTAATCTAGCTACCGAGCTCCAAACCACTGTGAACAATGCTACAATCAAGTTGAAGAAAGAGCCCAAGATTCGAACTACCTCAACCGGCCGCAAGCCAAAGAAGAATCCTTATGGTTTGACCCCCGGCATCTCTCCTTTCCCCGAACTGGTTCGACCAACCGCCGAGGAGTGTGAAAATGTTACTCAGCTGTTGTCCAGCATTCATGGCGTAGTCACTGCTCCAGCAACTATCCCTGAGCCCTCTCTGACAGTCACCGGGTGCGGTGAGGTCCCATCCGTCCTGGATGCTTTAATCCGCACTCTTCTCAGTGGTGCCACCACGGGCAGCAATGCTGCCAAGGCCTTTGGCGGCCTTGTGCAACGATTTGGCATTCTTTCAGAAGGCGTCGGCAAGGGAAGCGTGAATTGGGATGCTGTACGACAGGCTACTGTGAAAGACGTTTTTGAAGCGATCAAAAGTGGTGGCTTGGCCGACATCAAAAGCAAGAACCTCAAGGCGATCCTTGAAATAGTCCACGAGGACAACCAGGCGCGCCGAGCTACATTGTTAAATTCTGAGTCCAAGAACGACTCGATGTCCAAGCTAGTAGTACCTGAAAAGGCTGATAAGGACAAGCAATACGAGATTGCCTGCGCAGACCAGAACTTCCTCTCCCTCAACCATCTCCACAATCTCACCACTCAAGAGGCCATGGCCGATTTGATCAAGTACCCTGGAATCGGACCCAAGACAGCCGCCTGCGTGATCCTGTTCTGCCTCCAGCGGCCCTGTTTCGCTGTCGACACGCACATCTTCCGGCTCTGCCGCTGGCTGGGATGGATTCCTGTTAGTGCAAACGAAGTAACTGCCTTCAGTCACCTGGAAGTGCGCATCCCCGACCACTTGAAGTATTCACTCCACCAGTTGTTCATCCGGCACGGAAAGACCTGCCCCCGGTGCCGAGCTGCCACTGGCGAGTCCAGTGCTGGCTGGCAGGACGGCTGTGTCATTGATCACCTTTTAACTCGCGACGGGAAGCGCAAGGGCAATGGGCCTACTATGAGTTCTAAGAAGAAAGCAACCGCTAAGAGCGCGGCTGGTAAGCGTAAGAGAATGAACAAGGACTCCGAGGAAGAAACTGAGGAAAGCGCGAGTTCACTTTCTGAAGAAATGAGTGACGAATGAAGGAATTTACGGCAACGAATCATGTGAAATGAAGGTGGGATCTTTACGAGATGAGGATTGATCGCATCAATCTATGACGACAAACGGCTTCAGGTCCAATATCTGTACTCTATATTATTATTATTATTTATTTACCACCTCGCTGTTGCTTTCCACCGAATTTTATTATTATTGCTAAACACAAATATCAATTCCTCAAATTAAGTGTGATATTTCCTAACTGATCGCCAGCCTAGGTACCTAGGTAGTAGGGGTATGGCACGACTAGTACAGGTAAATACTTATCGCCTTATCGCAAACACAAAAAGCCTCCAGGAACACCCGTTACGCTCCCAACAACACTTTCCAGTTGTCCAATTGAGCCAATTCCCGCCATGGATTGTCTGGCATCCCACATTCCGCCCTCGCTGCGCACTCTTCTAGAGGCCTACGCTCCTCCCGGATCGGCGGAGTATGCCCCATACGTCGGAGTCGCGTTGACCTCCCTTGTCGCCGTGTACGTGGGGTACCTCTACCTCCAGAGTTGGAGAGAGGCAGCAGTCGTTTTTAATGTCCCTATCCCATCCGAAGTGCGCAAAATTGGGTCTATCAAGACATGGGATGAGGTTCAGGGGCTGCAGAAAATTGTGTTGCAGGATCAAGCTCGGGGGGTGAGTTGACAAGCCTAGTCTTTGGCTAGGGATCCTTTCCTTGTGGCTTCTTTTGCTTGTGCTTGAGCTTGAGCTAACTGCTGATCTACTACACAGAAATGGAACAATGAATTGATTATGAGCTACTGTCCTGCCGATGGGAGAGTGCTCGGTAAGGGAATTAAGCCCGCCACGGTCGAAGATATCAACGAAGTCGTTCGGATTGCAGGAGCTGCTCAGCCGGAGTGGGCAAAGACCACATTTGCAGAGCGCAGAAAGGTTCTCCGGACACTGTTGAAGTATGTGAATTGGCATATTTGCTCCACCCTATGAATCCACTGTGCTTTGCCTACGGCACCCCATGAAGCTTGTCCACCTAACATCTCACAGATATGTCCTAGACCACCAAGAAGACCTCGTTACCGCATGCTGTCTCGATTCGGGTAAAACAAAAGTTGATGGCTCATTTGGCGAGATCCTTGTCACAGTGGAGAAACTCAAGTGGACAATCGACCATGGCGAGAAAGCACTGCTACCAGAACGGCGGCCGACCAACTTCCTGATGATGTACAAGAAGAACACGGTCACGTACGAACCGCTGGGTGTGGTGGGTGCCTGCGTGTCCTGGAACTATCCATTACACAACTTCATTGGTCCGATCATCAGCGCGCTGTTTACTGGTAACGCGGTTGTTGTCAAGCCTTCTGAGCAGACCGCATGGTCTGCAATCTATTTCCTCGAAATGGTGCGCGGCGCGCTCTCTAGCTGTGGCCACTCGCGCGATCTGGTCCAGTCGCTAGTTTGTCTACCCAATGTTGCCAATGCATTCACCTCGCACCCTGATATCGCGCATCTAACCTTCATTGGATCCCGACCCGTCGCCCACCACGTCTGCGCATCAGCAGCAAAGTCCCTTGTCCCCGTGTGTGTCGAGCTGGGCGGCAAAGACCCGGCCGTGATCCTGGACGACCCCCGCACTCTCCGCAATATGCCCTCCATCGCGTCTCTCCTCATGCGCGGTGTCTTCCAATCATCCGGCCAAAACTGCATCGGCATCGAGCGTATTATCGCTCTCCCCAGCGCATACGACCGACTCATTGAAATTGTAACCCCGCGCATCCAAAGCCTCCACCTCGGCTCTGTCCTTCTCGACACCGAAACCCCAGATGTTGGTGCGATGATCTCACCTACCTCCTTCGCCAATCTCGAAACACTCATCAACGAAGCCGTGCAACAAGGCGCACGTCTCCTCGCCGGTGGCGCCGAATACAAACACCCAGTCCATCAACACGGTCACTACTTTACCCCAACCCTCCTAGCAGATGTGACACGCGACATGCGGATCGCGCAGACAGAGCTCTTTGCCCCGGTCTTCCTCATGATGCGCGCCGAGTCCGTATCCGACGCAATTGCCATCGCAAACTCAACGCCATACGCACTAGGAGCCAGCGTCTTCGGGCACCGACAAGTGGATGTACAAGCTTGCGTGTCGAGCATCTCCGCTGGAATGGTAGCGATCAATGACTTCGGTGCCTTTTACGCTGTGCAGCTGCCGTTTGGCGGCGTCCGCGGATCCGGATATGGCCGGTTTGCGGGCGAGGAGGGACTGCGCGGTCTGTGCAATATCAAGGCTGTTTGCGCTGATCGGTTCCCTACTTTAATTGGCACTGGTATCCCTCCACGCGTGGACTATCCTATCCAGAACCGAGCGGACGCGGCGGACGCGAAGGGTGGGATTGCGGCTTGGGAGATGTGTAAGGGTATTGTTGAGATGGGATATCAGTTGACGCTGGGTGGGCGTATTGCTGGTATTCTACGGTTGCTGAGGAATCTGTAAGAGGTTTGCTCTTCCGGAAGTCATTTCAAAATTCTTGTTTTATATCGATATTTTGTACTTTACATACATAGTCCATCTTGCTATGGGTAATACCTCTCTGGCTGTTCACGGGTGGGAACATTTAATTCAAAGTCAATGATTCTTCCGAATCTATATGTGGGAATATACATATGTTACATCACAACAAATCCAAAATCCGGGTATGACTAGCGCTAACAAAAAAGTCAATATACGTCTAGAACAATCTCATGGGAGAAGAGAAGGGCCGTTCTTCAGCCAGTGACCCTCAGTCTGGAATGAACTCTCTACCAACCAATTCCCCAATGGTTCACGGCAGGGTCCAAGAACCTCGTCGACAAATCGAGCACCCTCAAGATCCATGACATCCAACTGGCCACAACAGAACAGCTGACCAGTTGGGAAATCATGGGCATACTCAACCTGTGCGGGAAGACGCAGCACGAAATTTGACAACCAGCGTGCAAATTTACCATTAATTTGGTTATAGGCACTCGGGTTCTTCTTCGCGAGTTCCATATTATCGACAGTCCACTTTGTGATCTCAGACGACCAACTAGGCAAAGACTCCGCACTAGCACGGAGGAGAGCCTCGAAGAAAGCTAAGTTAAGATGTGGTTTGTCGCGGCCAATGCGGGTAACAGAGAGGAAGTGTTCGGGCGGGATCGTATAATAGACACTGCGACCTTGGTTTTCTGCTTTATAGCGGAAGATAAACTCATCGATCTTGAGGAGGGAGAGCATGGCGTTGAAGTTCTGGTGACGAATTGCGTTCTGGATTCCTTCGTTTAGGGCTTTGCGGTCGACTTTGGTCAGGGTCGATGGCGACAAGGAGCTCTTTCCAGGTGTCCAATTACGCGAGGTCATGCGCAGCATCTCCAAGAAATCAACGTCTTCTGGAAGGAATCCGTTGCTGCGGCCTCGGAGGAGATGGGACGGGAATCTGCACAAGTCCAATGCAGGGATATTGACGGTCAATCTCACATCTACACATTGGAGCTCGGTGGCGACCATTGGAATAACATTGAGTTCGTATTCGTGGATACCTTTCATCGCGTTCGGAGCCAGCTGGAAGAACTCTGGGGGCATGCTAGCGAGTTCCTTCATTGGTCTGCCCTTGCCGTGGAAGACGCGGACGCTGTCGTCCTTACGTGCTAGAAACCTTTCAAAAGCATCCTGTTCGTCTTCCTTCGTCACGATACCGGCGTTGATCCAGCGACGGTGGATAGACAAAATCTGCATTGTCGGGATCTGCTCGCGCACACGGTCCACGGTACACCACTTACACTTGAAGACAGCTTCCTGCAAGCGGGCACGCTCGTCCAGTTTGAGAGGAACGTATTCGAGTGGGACCATCATGCGCTCGACGGCTTTGCTACGGGGGTAGTCGAGCGAATCATTCCAAAACGCAAGGAGTATGAGAACGCGGTAGATGTGTTCGCGGGAGAGGGCGCGGGATAGGAATGGCGACGCTCGTGGGAAGTTTAGATTGAGCGAGTGCAGAAAGATCTGCTCGATGATCTCAACGGGGAGGGCCTCGAGGAGGGACATCCTGCGGGGAGTATGCGGGCGCGATATCCTGGGTCTGGGCGAATTTGAAGGACGGTCATATGGACTTGACCTCGACCGAGAGGACCGAGCGGACCGAGCTGAGCTGCTCCGAATCGGGTGCTTGAAGGTGCGGCCTGGTCGGCGCTTGGATTTGGGGATAGCAGAAGAATTTGAGCTGCTTGCGGGCTCAGGCGGAGCAAGCTTTGGCCGCGTCACGGTTGCATCTTCGCTTTTTGGTGGGCTCATGGAGCGATTGAAATTTCTCACTATCTAAAGTACATCAATCTGGCGTGAATCATTTCAGATTCGTGTACGATGAGTGTTCAGTGTTGTAGTATGTTGTATCTGGCATATCGACTTTGGAAAGTATACAACGTCTCAGGGAAGGTCCGAGCCTGACCTCGTCTGATTGGCGGGAAAGAACCCGACAGTTAGAGTCTTGGCTTTAGGGCTTGGCATTGGAGGGCTGGGAAGTCACATGGTATCATGTGATAGCCCCCGCTATGTGGTTAGATTTGGTTTAGCCTGCTATCAAATGACGTCAATGCCTATTTGTTCAAGTACATAGAAGGCTGTCGAACAAGAACAAAATATCATTCTAAAAGGTTCAACATCGTTAAATTTGAAATTAAAAGGGGGCTATTATTAAACAATAGACAACTCATTTAGAATTTATTCCCCCATTAACCGATATAAACAGATTCTGCGCTTTTTAACCAAATCTAAAATCAAGGAATGACCCCGGAAGTCTCCGTCGAGATGACGGAATGATCAGTTGTGCAACACCCCTGGTACCTTGTAGCCATGCGTTACATTACAAGAATTCACTGCATTCTCTGTTTCGGGTTTCCTTTCTCATTCTTCAACAGACCTTAGAATTCTGTCATAGCTTCCCTAACGACGTCACTGGTGTTTGTGATTTTCTGACGCCACAAGCTTAACTGCACGAACTTGTCTATCAATCGCCTTTTTTAGCGCACCACTTACGTATCTGAACAAGAAAAATTTGTCCTTGTCTGAGACGATCGTCATTCCCATTCTTTATTTAAACCACCTCTTCATCTACTTCAATACCTTCAACATGCACCCTTTCAGTGATCCAACTGTCCATACACACGCTTCTTCCAGCTCGGAGTCTAATCTCACCTCTAAACCGAAATAAACCAACACCTTGATACAGAACAGCCCCGAGAAAGCTCTATATCATCAATATGGGTGCCGTCGTCTCTTGCGTACGTGAATCCCCATCTACTTTAAGAAAACTCAGCTAACATACCTGTCTCTAGATCCAAAGCGTCTTTCGCGCCATCGGTAGCTGCCTCATGGCCATCGTCAATGCCATTGGTTCCATCTGCCACGCCATCATCAGCGGCGTGGTTACAGTGATCGATGTTATCATCTCCTGCCTGACCTGCGGCTACTGTGGAAAACGCAAACGGGGTCGTCGATCAGCAGTCTAATAGGAAACAAGACCATGCCTACACACCTATTGAGTCCATGAGGATAGAAGGGCTGGCTATGGGTTCTATTATTGTTGCGCCGGCGCGAATTTTCTTTTTGTCATCACATCTTCTTCCAGTATATACCCCGTGGCGCAGTTTTTAATTGTGAATCATGTACCAAATTTTGAGATATGAAATTCTTTACATTGTTTTATCTTCTGTAAATGATAGACATAATTGTAAGATTACAGATACACATAGGAAGTGTTTAAAGCATGGGCATAAAGTTGTGTCAATCCTGTTTTAAAAAAAAAACAGCCATGTCAACTTTCATCTTGCGGCGTGGACGACTGGACATATTGCAACAAATCCTGCTTTGCTTCTGCCGGCAAATCATCCCAACGCTCATTTAAGATGACATTTGCAAATGGATCTCCAGGTCCACTCCCATGGCGCCGGACGAGGGAATAATGTGAATGCTGTAGCGGCCAACGAGCAATAACACGACAGTTTGCAGCGCGAAACGGTATACTCAGCAAGCGACGAAAAGGCTCGATCTTGCGCGTTCGAATGAGACGGTATGTGATCTCAGAGGAGCGATCCGGCTGGGCCTCATCCTCATCCAGGTAGAAGTCCGCAGAGAGCAGCTGCAAGAACTCAAACTGCGCATCTGACCAGGGCATGCGCAAGACTTTATCTGGAATGCGGCCAGGTCCAATAGCCACTGAGCACGGCAGCCGGAAGAGATCGTTCTCGTAGTATATCTCACTTGGTTCACGGATCTGAACGGCGCCAAAGTGGAACCATATTGCCACTTTGCGGTCGACGGTGCGGGACGACAAAGTCCGCGAGGTTTTCTTCAGCTGCGCGGGGATGACCAGATCCCCTTTCCCACGCCGGCCGAGTACGGCCCAGTCACAGGCCTCTAGGTTTTCAAAGTGTGGTTCCAGATTTGATAGCACTGCTTGGTCGTCCGGATGGAAGACAAGGCCGGCACATTTGCGTCGGATGGCATGGTCAACGTACTCACGCTGACATCTCCGGAATAGGGGAAATGTGCACCACCGACATGCCAACAGGTTAGTCTGTAATTGTTGGCGCTCTTCCCAGGATAATGCCCAGAAGTCCAAGGGTGGGGGTAGGAAATCCGGGGTAAAGAAGCCCTCTCGTGAGCCTGAATTGGGACTGCTGAATGCAAGCCGAATGAGCCAGGTATAGAGCAATGGAGTGGACAGTACTTGGCTGAGGCGTAGTGAGGCACGAGGGAGGTTCACTTCAAGGCTGTGAAGAAATATCAACTGCAAGATTTCCACGGGCAATGATTCAAGGCGCGAGCACGGGTGGTCGGCCAACGGATCGGAGAGGCCGAGGCCCATTTGCAACAGTGAGTCTAGAGTTGATGTGTTCTTATATAGCTTGCTCACAATAAGATGGTTCTCAGTTATATATCACACGGTGTTTGTATACAGTTGTAAAGCGTCAGGGAGGAGGAAGAGCAGAGACGGATATGGTCAATGGAAACACAGTCCATACGATATTGGCTGCAGACTTCGCATAATCTTGACCCTGTAGCTCCTCGTGACGTGTAAGAAAGCTAATTGAAGGCGCTTCCAGCGCGATCTCCAATGAAAAGAATTGAAAGGAAAAAACCCGGCCCATTACTAGGAGAGGGGTAGGGGAAGTGGGTAAACTGATGCTAGTTGCATGGCTTGGCAAGACGAGCTTGAGAGCTCCTCATCAAGCGAGATTATGTATGTGGCTTGATCGTCTATTGCATATGAATAGACTATAATAAATAGTATATTGCCGCCTAGTACTTCTTGTCAGGGTTTCAAAAAGAAACAGCTCGCCGAATACACCGCTATATATCTCGACTCGATCTACATTTCCGGAGAGACCTTGCGTGGATATATATATCAGACATATCAGATGCTGGATGACCTTATTTTGGTTTGAAAAGAAACCCAGTCCATTTCTCGACTATTTGAATAATAGACTAGTTGATAAGCTACGAGATTACAATAGAATCTATTAATGAACGCAGAAACGACAAATGTATTGTTTCTATACACATCCCAACTGCCCCACCACACTATCGGAGGTATCTGACCACACAATGGCTGAATAGCCTTTTTTTGGGCTCCAAAAATAATGATCACGTAGTGTGATGGAGCGAGGAATAAAAAGGCGGATTTGAGGCCACAAGAGTCCACGTTTAAACGGCGGACAGATCGCCGAAGCGCTCCTACAAAAGGGAATGGTATAAGTATTGAAACAGACGCATTGCTTTTAGCAAGATAGTCAATACATACCTTGTAGCCAGGGGGCATCCACTTGCCCTTGGAGACGAGGGAAGCGGTCTTCTCGTCGATCTCGGGCTGGGCGGCGGCAACCTCGTCCTAAAAAAGAAGTCATATAAGTAAAGATTCCAAGTCTGTGATTTGCAGCAGATGATACGTACGACAGTGAGGTCCTCGAAGGGACGGGCGGTCTCGATGTTCTCGAGGGTCTTCTGCAGGTTCTGCAGCTCGGCCTCAACCTTACCCTTGGTAGCCTCGGCGTTCTGAACAGCCTGGGCCTCGAAGGCATCGATGGCCTTCAGCTGGCGGCTGACATCGTAGGTAGCGGGCTTGAAGGACTTGAAGTGGTTCTCGAGCTCGTCGATGATGGCCTGGTTCTTCAGGATGCCGCGGTAGTGGCTGAAGTCGACGGTCTGGGGCTGCTCGGACAGGACCTGAACCTTGCGGCGAGCCTCGTCATTGCGCTTCTTGAAAGCTTGGAGGGAGGTAGCGGTCTGGCCGCGGAGGCCGAGGGAGGTTGACACCTTGGCCCAGTCGATCTTGAGAGCGGCGCTGCGCTGTTTTCGGGTGAAGGGAGTTAGCGGGAGTTATCCGGATGAGCTGACAAGGGTATGTCTTGTCGAAGAGCAGGAGCAAAACATACAGCAGCCATTGTGACGGGTATGATAGAGGTTGGGGGTGGGGAAAAGAGAGGGGAGTTCAATGTGCAGGGAGGTGCCGAACGAGGAGCGACCCGGAAGGTTTGGATTGTTCGGATCACGTGATGTCTATTCCGAAATCCACCGTGTACATATTACAGGCAAAAGACAAACTACAGAGTGACCGTGTTAATTATTGTAAATAACTTAGGGAGATGTTATATATTTTTTCAATAATTACGCATTAAATATATTGATTTGTTGACTCAATCATGGGTTCAATTGTTTTTTGGGCTAAATTGTGTACACTATGGGCGACAACATACCAGATATCTTGCATCTGGCATTATAACCCAAGTCCCTCATAGAACCTTAAATACGGTCACTCATTATATGCTGAGAGCCATGATGGAGTTAACAATATCGTTGTCGTTCTCCCGAAGAGCCTTGACGGCCTTCTTGCGGGAGACGTTTGCTTGTGCCATGACGAGCTCGATATCCTTGGACTCAAGGTTGGACTCATCAACCTCCTCACCATCATCCTCCTCATCCTCATTCTTATCCTCGGTCTCGGGGGCCTTGGCCTTGCCGAGAACCTCCTCGTGGTCGTGGTCGTGACCGGCGTGGTCGCCAGCGGCCTCGGAGGCAGCGAGCTGCTGGGCGGCGGAAGCCTGGGCCTGGGAGTTCAGGTCCTCAATCTTGGCCTCACCGAAGATGCTAAGGGTGTGTTAGTTTTAATGCCGTTCACATATGAATGACTCCAATTGGGCTCCACATACATCCAGCAGTTGCTGTTGGGGGAACGGTAAACCTCGGGCTGGTTGACAACGAAGAGGATCTTTAATTCCAATAATTAGCATTTCCATATTGAGAATGATCAAGATAATTCATCCCAATAGTAGCTAGCGTTGCGGTTGATTATCGCAATCAAATTGTAGCTGGCGGGGTAGAAATTCTCATGGCGGTCGCATCGGGATCACGTACGTTCTTGGGGCGGCGGAGAGTGACACGGGTGATGCCAGGGACGAGCTTCAGGCCGAGCTTGCCAATGGCCTTGCGGGCCTTCTTCTCACCACGGGAGTGGACAGCGACGGAGGCACCGGCGGGAATGTTGGGCTCATCGCCAGCCTCGGAGCCAGACTCAGAGGAGCTGTCCTCAACGGTCTTAGCGACCTCATCATCGTGGATTTCTTCAACGCGGGGATCAGCCATTTTTGCGGTGTAAAGGGGCCTAAGAAAATCCGAAAAAAAGAGTTGATTAGTTGGGTTGTTTCGTTCGCAATGGTGTCAAGGCCGATTGAATGGTGTGAGAGCGGGCATAGTGGGAGAGATTGGTTAACCCCCACGAATCGCACAACATTCTCGGGAAAGGGCGGAATTTGATGTTGAAAAAGCGAGAATTCAGTCGACTAAATACTCATACATACCTGAAAGGTAAATATCAAGCTGTTGTGAATGGGGATGGATTTTGTTGAAGTTGAAGGTGCGTAGCTGTGCGCCAGACCGAACCCGAAAATCATTAGCGAGAGCGCGCCCACCCCAGACTTGTCCACCCTGCACACATTGCCCTATATGGAACTACATACATCACCAAATCTAAACTAGATTGGCTAATATAATTTATAGATCTCATCTAGATCAAAATAAATTTAAATAATACAGCTTTCAGGTCGTTACATATGTATTTACGCATCTGCTCATTCTATTCTTTTTGTAGAGCCAGATATTTCCCGTAAAATTTGGGGATATAAAATGAGTCCAGAGCCGGAGGAAAACCAAATGACAAAAGGCCCCTTTGCCGGGATATCAAGGATTTTGAATCATTTTTGCTGTTCATTGATATGTGTACAGCGATTTTGCCAGAGTATTACCAGCAATGGAAACCCTTCCAGGACACCTCCTTCAAACCCATGCACCGAAACCTCGTAATCATCTATGACTTGTTGGCAGCGCGAGCCTTGGCGTGAGACTTCTGGACCTCGTAGCGAGCCTGGAGTTGTATGTTAGTTGAACTGTTCGTAATTCCCCCAGATTATCCGATCGGGTGGGTCTAGGCGCATTACGCCAAAACCATCCCCCTTTCAATATTTCCACGTACCTGCTTGCGGAGGCGCAGAACCTTGAAGCGCTCGAAGTCGGAAAGGTTCTTGCGGCGCTCGGCACGGTCGGTCTTCTGAGCGAAGGAGCTCTTGGCCCACTTGCCATCGATCTCGTTCTTAGCCCAAAGCTTCTTCACGGGACCGGTACCGGCAGCACGGGGAAGCTGGGGAATGGTGAAGTGGGTGAGAGTGGCGTGGGCGAGGGGGAGAACGTGACGGGGCACGATCTTCTTCTCCTCGGTGGAGGGACCGTCGACCAGGACCTGAACAAAATCGCAAAGTCAATACACATTTCCAACTCAAGATATCTCCGAAAATCCGATTCTCCAAATTTGTATCGATTTCCGGATCACAGGGCGATTCCACATACACGGCGGTGGTCCACGATCTCAACGATGGCAGCAAGCTTGCCTTCGAAGGGGCCGCTGCGGATCAGCACTAGGCGGCCAACCTCAACCAGCTTCCACGAAGCGACCTTGACATCGATATCGGCCATGGCGAAATTCTGCGAGACGAAAAATTCAGCGTCGCGGGTCTGTAATATTTGGAGATAGCACACTCACGGTCGACAGGGGGTATGAGTCGAGAAGGGGTTGTCGAAAGAGTTCAATTGTCCAAGAGTTGTCTCGAAATTCGGATGTGCCCACACTCGCAACATTCTCGCTTAACCGGCCACTTGCAGGTCTAGGGCTCTGCTTATCTCAGCATTCGCATTAACAATTATCCGAATCCGTGCATTTATCTCGTTTTTTTTTAGCCCAGACCTTTTGTTATTCCCTTCAAGCTCCTCAGCTTTAGAGACTTAAGACTTTTGATGATGAGTCTTGCTTCTATTTCAACTTCAATTTCGACAATTGCTCAAATGTAGCATTTACTAAGGTATGCTCATTCTTTTCCCCCTCAATTTTCTGTCTTCCCCTCATTCCTCATATGATGCCGTAATTTGCGATTGACCCAGTGTCTGTGAGGCCCTCGCCGGGGCTCTCGATACAGCGCTGTCGGATGATATTCAATTTTCTTACATATTCTGATATGGATTATAACACTCCTGTTTATATTGTCAATGCTTTTGAGAGAAATGGCGCTGACTGTTTGAAGTTTTTAGGATATTGGATCCAACAGCTCCCAACATCGCAGCTCTCGATCTTTCATAGGGTACGTTCACACAGTCGTCCAGGAACATATCCCCCCAGGTCCGATGATTAGAAACTTTTATCACGCCTAGATAGTAATTGAGCTTCTCGCTATGAAATTACCTAACTACCAAGATCTCTGAGAACCTTATCACCTAGCACATTATTGCTTGTTACGTTGGTTATGACTCGTTGCTAACCTTCAAAAGAATAATTCTAGGATCTCTTGTGTCAGACTGGCAGCTCGCTCTCTTAGATAGACATTGAAATGAACCATATATTAAAGCAACTTGTCCATAAGTAGTACAAAATTGTAACTCTGGTGTCTCCCAACCCCAACTTAACTTCCCTTGATCCACTTATGCTATATATCTACAAGCACCTCGGTACAAATGCAAATAAGTTTTTATTACAATAAGTCGTGCTATATCGTTACCTCAGCCGTGCAATGCCCAAAGATCCAGAGCAAGCCACTTGTCCCTTCATGCTATGCCTTCCTACCAACCAAGTCTATCTCTCCCAAATAGCAAAGAGCAAATCCTTGCTTGACCCTCTGCACACCTAATTATGACGACGCAGAGCCGGCAGCTGCCGCAGAGGACGGTCCCTCGCGACTGAGCACCCACATGAAAATGAACTGAACCGCGTAAGAGTATACGAACAAGAACTGACCGCGTCGGTTGCGCTGGGACCGAGCCACAGCCTGCATCGAACCGGCATGCATGGCGGAGTCGGTCGAATCGGGAAGCAACACATATTTCAGCGAGCGGAGCTAGTTCGAGGATTAGCAACTGTTGAACGCACTGGAAAACTAGGTAAAAGTCGTTACTCACCAGGAAGAACGCATTGGCCAAAAAGGTGTATGCAAACACGGTCCAACCAACCCAGCCCCTAGTCCCTTGTCCGGGGTTGAAGATCTCAGATGCCACCATAGTGACAATGATTCCAACGAACTTATAGCCCGAATATGCCACCAGATCCAGCAGCTGAGAGTCATTGTTGATGCTCAAAATGTATGTCGCCAGCTTCAAGCATAGAATCTCGAAGGCGATCACTGCAATGGCTGTGGTGGTGATTGAGCCCAAAAGCTCTGGGTGGAAATCGCCTCGGAATCCAGCTAGTAACACCGACAGAAGAATATATGTGACTAGGGCCATGACGGGAATATACATGTCCGGCGAGTTCAGGTCGTCGCGAGGAGGCAGGAACATGGACGAATATTGTTGCTGCATAATTTGTCCACTTGGTCCAGGGGTTGGGGCCATTCGAGCTTGCTGTCGGGACCACGGTTTGTGTCGCCAGGGGAAGAGGACAAGGACCAGCTTCTTCAGGACGTAGGAGTTGGAGACGTTAAAGTAGTGCTTGAGGGCGGGTATAGAGACATAGCGATTGAACTGCAGATTATCCCCAAGTTAGATATAAGTAATAAGTAAGATATGTAAATATTGCATACATTACTCTCCATGTACTCCTGTCCAGCCGCCATTGCGCTCTTGCCGACCTGGAAGCCCATCTGCGCCGTGGGATCGTTCATGAACCCACCGAATCCAGGTGCACCAGGGGCATAGCTTCCACCGCCACCCTGGACGGGCGACGGTTGGTATGGGTTACCGCCATATCCAGCTCCAGCACTTGGGGGCTGCTGAGGAGCTGGTGGTGGAGGTGAGCGCATCATAGGGACGGTCGAGACATGTTGCGGGACGGGGTGGTGAAGGGGTGGCGATTGCGCGGGCGGCGGAGCGAAAGAGCCCCGATACATAATGCAACTAAATAGGAAAACGAAGATAGAAGGATAAGGGGGTGCGAAATTTCGGTGGAAACGTGTCGTCTGGATCGTGTGACGTGGGTTTGGGAAGAAGCGAAGTTGATAGAGTGGAGGGAAGTGTTTATACGTGGCTGAAGATCCAATCCGCTTCCGAGATCTCCCAACTTCGCCCCGTTCCGCCACCAACCAGTCACACCGGGCCTCTTCCCCCCTACCACATTGATTATTTGCTTCTCACATTCTACAATCACCGGAGATACTCAAAATGTTGGAGGCTTTTGAAATTTTGACGACCTCGGGCGTGGTGCTCTGGTCTAAGGCATATGCTCCGGTGGGCGCACATGTCATCAACAGCCTGATCAACGATGTCTTTATTGAGGAGAAGGTCGTGCCACAGAATGCGACAGCTGGTGGAGTCTCGCCGTCATACAAGAAGGAGAAATACACACTGAAATGGAAGAGAGTCAAGGAATTCGATTTAATCTTCGTGGTACGTCTGTCGCATGCGCATGCGCCTCGCTGTTTTAACTAATTCTAAGTCTATGCAGGCCGTCTACCAATCGCTGCTTCACCTTGGTTGGATTGATAAACTTCTTGAGAATATTTCGACAATCTTCATTGATCTCTACAAGGACCAGGTGAAGGGAAACCGCGCGAGAATCCAGACCTACAGGTTCGATCAATACTTTGAACAGCAAGTTCGGGAGCTTGAAGACAATACTGGTGGCTTTGTAGAGGAACATATGCCAGAGGCGGGTGAAAAGAAAGACCCGCTTGTTTCATCGGACAATGGAGGCCCACCGCCGCCACCGGTGCCTGGCCTGGTGAAAGGTATGGAATGACACAACTTCCGGTTCCAAGCGCATGCTGACCATCCCAAAGCGCAGCCTAGAGCTGCGCTAGCCGGGGCGACCTCTGATGAGGGTACGCCACCAGCTACACCAGAAATTTCTAGATCTTCGACCCCTCAGGGCCACATTCTCACAGCGAAAGCCGGGCCTGGAGGTCGTGGTTCCCGACGTTCACGCAAGGCTGCCAATTCGAGCGCCAACGCATCATCTGGCGATGAAGTCCGGAAGGGAAAGGCTGCTAAGACCCCTGTGAAGAAAATGCGCAGATGGGATGCCAGTGGGATGGCAGATGAGGATGACGGAGAGATCCTCGATTATTCTGCCCCCGCAGAGGAAGGAGAGTCTGCTGCTCCAGCGGTGGAGGCTGTCTCCGAGGAGGACTGGGGCCGCCGCACTGGAAGGGGCCAGTTCGTGCTGAAGGAGTTGGGCGAAGAAGTTCAATCCATTTTGGACCAAGCTGACGCGGAAAAGTCCAAGGGCACTGCTTCGTCCGGTGTCGTTGGCTCTGGATTCAATGCAATTGGTGGCTTCTTCCGTAACATTGTTGGAGGAAAGGTTCTGACAGAATCTGATCTTGATAAGCCTCTCAAGGCAATGGAAGAACACCTCTTGAAGAAGAATGTCGCCCGCGAAGCTGCTGTCCGACTCTGCGAAGGAGTTAAGCGTGAAATGATTGGCAAGAAGACCGGCAACTTCCAGAGTACTGATGCTGCATTGCATCTGGCCATGGAATCCTCGCTACGAAAGATCCTGACGCCGACTTCTTCTTTGGACTTGCTACGCGAGATCAACGCTGTGGTTGCTCCCACCACTAAGCAGCAGGCGCCTCGCCCATACGTTATGTCCATCGTTGGTGTCAACGGCGTTGGAAAGTCGACCAACCTGAGCAAGATCTGCTACTTTTTGCTCCAAAACAAGTACCGTGTTCTTATTGCAGCATGCGATACTTTCCGTTCCGGTGCCGTGGAGCAGCTCCGCGTGCACGCTGACCGCTTGAAGGAACTGAGTGTCCGCGAGAATGCAGGTGACGTGGAGATCTACCAGAAGGGATACGGCAAGGATGCGGCCAACGTTGCCAAGGATGCAGTTGACTATGCTGCGGCCAATAAGTTTGATGTCGTTCTGATCGATACAGCCGGCCGTCGGCACAACGACCAGCGGTTGATGTCTTCGCTTGAGAAGTTTGCCAAGTTTGCCAACCCAGACAAGATTTTCATGGTTGGTGAGGCTCTGGTCGGCACGGACAGTGTCATGCAGGCACGCAACTTCAACCAGGCATTTGGCACCGGCAGGAACTTGGATGGGTTCATTATCAGCAAATGTGACACTGTTGGTGACATGGTGGGAACCCTGGTCAGCATGGTCCATGCAACAGGAATTCCCATTGTTTTCTTGGGCGTGGGACAACATTATGGAGATCTGCGAGGGCTCAGCGTTCCCTGGGCTGTTAGTTTGTTAATGAAGTAGGGACGACTTGATATCCAAATTTGATATATCTTACTTGTTTACATTGTATATGGCTCCTTTTTGCTACTTAACGAATTGATATCCCTAGTTTGATATTTCTTTATGTAAAATTTACATGGATCCTTTTCCCGCTACTTCGTCACTTGCAGCCAGGTTGCTTAGTCTCATGATGGATTCCTTATTATAAAATCATAGAACGTCAACTATCCTATCGTACGTAGCATTATCAGCACCAATTCGACACAACCGAATCCTTCACAGTCTTGTGGGGGTCATTCTTGGGTACATATGCGCTTTGCTCGACATGCAGTCCCGACTAGGCATCTGTTGACCTGAAAGATACGTCACATCCTAAAATCAATATTGTTCTTACTCTTGGTAATTCAGTAGCCGCCCCCAAAAAACTACCTAGGTAGGATCGCCACTCAGCGGCATCACCCTACTTACTACCAAACCACCAGGGTAACTAACTACTCCGTACCTCGGCCAACAATAAAGCAAAAAGAAAGCTAGAAAGCAAAAAAGAAGTGACCGACGCAGGGATCGAACCTGCAATCTCTTGATTCCATGAAGTCGTAGTCAAGCGCCTTGCCATTGGGCCAGCCGGCCATGAAGAATTTGACACTGTTTTAATATATATGGGGCGGCAGACTTTTTAGGGCAAGGCCCCACTTTAAATGTCCGCATCGAGATTTTCATGCCGTGTTCAGAGGCCATTCTCTCTACCAATTGTGGGAATATCGGATTGACTGAACCATTTCAGGGGATTTCAAGTCCAAAAAAAAAAAAACCTGTGGGCCAAAAGAAAACTGAAAACATAGTACCAAGATGGGCAAAACAAGTGCAAAAAGAAATCTCTCCCTCGGGGAATCGAACCCCGGTCTCCCGCGCTTATCGGTATTAATGACAAGCGGAAATCATCACCACTAGACCAAGGAAGATGTAGCCAAGTTACTGCTCGGCCATTGGAATGGTTGATGGAAAATGCTGCATATTATAGCTCTATAATCGACTGAACATTGAGAACCACATCTTCGGACAGGAGCAGAGTGTCGAGAATCGTAGATAAATGATTCTCATGGTGAATGAGACAGTGACATATTACAACAATCAACAAAGAGATGGGAAGCAAATATGATATCTATCGATGGAAGTAGAAATATCTACCTATAAACCTCAAATGTAGTATGTTCCTGTAGTCAAACGAGGCAAATCAGGGAGGGCAAGGGTTTATTAGATTCACCCTTTTGCTCCACGTTCATAAATATTCCGTGCAATCGTCCGTGAGCTGCGGGTCATGTTGTAGAGGATGCTTGCCTATGTAGGGAATATTCTTCCCATAAGTAACTATGTATGTACCTATGTATCCTCGCCAATGGATCCTTACTCGCCTTAGGCCTTTATCCACAATTCTTCATTAAAAATGTCTCGGGTATGGGCGAAAGGGCCCACCCTCATGGTACAGTACCTATGTTGTACATAAATATAACGCTTAAAAGGGCGTCAAAATTAGCCATTTTCGGCACTCCATTTACCGTCCCTTGATGTTGGAGTGTAATCTACTCCGTACGGGGCCAGTAGATATGATAAAGCAAGGAGAAATAATTGCGAGAGTCGTAATGATTTGTATTAGTTATTGGTAAATGCGAACAGTATAGTATAACTATGTATGGACCGCAGTGGAGTACTATTAGCAGTATATATCTATATACATCCCTTGGGTGAGAAGGGTCAATGGTCATTAGATGGACGCCGTCACGATTGGCTATATATTTTGATGATTTATGGCCACTCCTACGAATCACATCAGTATGATGCTTGCATAATCCCGGCCCACCTAAATTGCGAACAGATGACCCGGGGAACAAGTTTCCATGTTTTTTACCGTCCTCGGATATTATGTTGATCTTGATTTGTAACGCGGTCTTTAGGTACCATTTGATAACTAACTAGTTAACTAGTTATTTGAAACTATTATATAATATTAGTGATTTGATCTTGGAGATAGGAATCAAGTTACCCAGCGAGTCTACCTTGGAATAACTTGTTGAGCCTCGGCAACCAAGAAATTGTAACACAACATCGACATATGCAAGGGCTATGAATATTCAAACCAATAAAGGATAGGCAAAAAAAGATATGGCCCTGGAGATAAATCTAAATGAATAATTGTACTCCGTATTCCGTATCACTGCCTGCCCAGGTGCTTCAGGGTTTCAGGGTTTCAGGGCTAGAACAAATGACTCAGCATATACAGGCTTACATCATCATTGTGTTTCCTGATCCGGGTTGCGGTCTTGCAGCCAACTTCAACCATCCTAAGCTTCTCGACACATTTTGTTTCTCAAACATCAAATTATACCTGCATTCACACCTTTATCACATTTATCCGGCAAATATACAACTACCGCAAGCTAAAACCGTACCAATAAGCTCACACGACAGTATTGCATCTACAGCCAGGCTTTCCGCACGACCTTCAATCGCATGGTTAGTTGTGACAAGACTTCATTCAGTCTTGATTTTGCTGGTGTGTCGCCAGAATGACGGGTCCAGATCGGGCTTCGCTCAATCGCCGCTCCTCCACGCAGCATTACCAGACCTTCGATACTCCACCGCCCAAGTCGCGTGGGCGACCTAACTCGGGCCAGTCCGAGTCTTCTGCGGACGGCTCACACGATCCCCGCCATGACACCGCTGATCCCCCGGGAACATCATCGCCACTGCCAAAAAAGCAAATGATAATACTAGCAATAATTGCACTAGCTGAGCAAACGGCGTTGAACTCGATCAGTCCATACCTCCCGGACATGGCATCGACATTTCCCGAAGTGGAACAGACCCAGGTAGGCGTATACGTGGGCAGCATTGCATCAGCCTTTGCGCTGGCTCAGTTCAGCACAAACTATTTCTGGGGCTGGCTATCGGATCGTGTTGGCCGCAAGCCGGTGATCATGCTTGGCACCCTCCTGACTGCGGTGTGTTTTATTGCATTCGGATTCTGCAAGACTCTTGTACAAGCTATAGTTGTGCAGGCGTTGATGGGTGTGGTAAATGGCAATCAGGGCTTGGTGTCCACGTGCCTTGGAGAAATCACCGACCGGAGCAACCAGTCACAGGCTTTTACCTACCTCCCTGTACTATACGGAATTGGAGGTATAACGGGACCTCTCCTAGGAGGACTACTCATCTTTGAGACAAACCCTTTTACTGGCAACAAAAACCCGTATCCATATCTCGCACCAAACATACTGGCCGCCGTTGTCCTCCTGGTGGATCTCATTTTGACAGCTCTTTTCCTGGAAGAGAGTCTCGAAGACGCAGACAGTCTCCCAAAGATCGGCAAAAAAATTCGCAGCCTGTTCGCATGGCTGTGGCAATTCACCGGCAATTCCCGCCATCCGACCTATGTGGAGGTCGCACAAGCAGTGCCATATCCCCATGGCCGCCGCGATTTAGAGACCGAGGATCATGACAGTGATCTAGACTCTGCGTCTGAGGTGTCAAGCATCCATGGCCATCACGAGGAACTCTCTTGGGATGAGATCTTCAACCGAGACACACTCTTACTTCTTTTGACGTACCTCATCTTTGCTTTCTGCAATGTTTCTTTCAATTCCCTGTTCCCAATTTTTGCGCAAGCTAAGCCCCCGGCCGGACGTTCACTCACCCCGTCTGAGATCGGCCTGGCTCAAGGATTTGCTGGATTCGTGACGATCATTTTCCAAATTTGCGTCTTCAACCGTCTGCGAGACAAGATGGGCAATCGATGGTCCTACCGCGCAGGCTTATTTGGCTTTGTGATCTCGTTTATCTTAATGCCCTTCATTGGATACAAGAGCAAGGATAGCGAGGGCCTGACTGGAAAGTCGGCTATTATGGCTGTCGAACTTTGCCTCGTGTTACTGGTCAAGACCATTGCCTCCGTGGGTGGTCTGACCAGCGCTCTGCTTCTGGTAAGAACCTCGGGCTCTCTTTGTAAAATCTACCGAAACTAACAATTTCTCCAGATCACAAACTCGGCGCCTAATCATGCCGTCCTCGGCGCTTTGAATGGTCTTGCACAGACTCTCTCGGCAGCCGGACGTGCAGTGGGGCCATTCCTGTCTGGAGGACTGTTTTCCCTCACAGCGAAGATCCAGCCGAAAGGAGAGGCACTAGCATTCGGAGTCTTTGCTGCAGTCTCCTTTATTGGCTTTATCATGAGCTTCGGTATCCGCGGTCGCTCACTTGAAGCAGATGGCTGGGGCGAGGAAAGTGACGGAGACAAGTCGGATGAAGACGAGCCAAGTGGTGTTTGATTAAAATAAAACGGACCTATAAAATGTGCCGACATGACGATGTGACGAGTTTATGCTTTCATTTGAGCCTTTTTTTTTTCTACATTTGAATATATATCAGCCCCTTTTAAGATAGATTATTGCTGTTGCATAATTTGCTGAGAAGTCGGGTATTCGATTCAACCTTGAGCCTGATCGATTTTTTGTGGGGAGTAAGAGGTGACTGTGACTCTGAGAAAGCCTCCTTGGTAGCACTATAAGCAGGGGCGTTATCCTAATTAACAATACCTGTCTCGTATTCTATACTCTATCAATACAGCCCTCGATATATTTCTCAGCGTTGATCCCCTTCTGTTCCTTTTGCTAGAACAATAACGATCCTTTAAAAACACCCCTAGATAGATCCCTAGAATATCTAGGGTATCTTTCGGCGGAGGGTTCGAGCCGAACAAGGGAGATTTAACTCAGTTATCACCTCTTGTATTGTTATACGGCGATTCGAGATATCCCTTGAGATAAAAGCACGTATCTGATCAATTATTAGACCCGCAAAAGCCGGAGGACGCGGAGTACGATATCTCGTGGATTTATACGCAAGCAGATCCGCCAAACAGTATGGTATTTCACACAAACCCGCTGCGCAATCTGACAATTTATTCAACCGAAGCCTCGAAGCAGGATTATCTCACAAATCGTATTGGCGTTGATCCTAGCACCTAGTACTTGTAAGCTGCTTGCTTGCTCTCTCGCAGCAAGCAGATAGAGCGCAAGCAGAGAGGCAGCAAGCAGGGGGATACTAATCGATCTTTCTACAAGCAGAGAGGGATCTATCTCTCTCTCTGCTTGCTGTCTCTCTGCTTGCCATCTCTCTGCTTGCCATCTCTCTGCTTGCCATCTCTCTGCTTACCATCTCTCTGCTTGCGCTCTCTCTGCTTGCTCTCTCTCTCTCTGCTTGCGCTCTCTCTGCTTGCTCTCTCTCTCTCTCTGCTTGCTCTCTGCTAGCAAGTGGTAAGGGAGCAAATGCCAGAGGTAAAGGCCTCGATTGGCAGATTGGCCAGCGAATTTATATCTATGAAAAGATAAAGATCAAGAATAATAGTAAAGGGCTAGTTGTACTGATTTTTTTGGTTCGGCCTTCGATACTTTGATTAGCTAGTTTTTATGGTTCAATCTGGAGGGGGTTGATCTAAACGCGCCTTTTTCATACCAATTATACGGAGTACAGATCATACAGATCATACAGATTTGACGAAATTTAGACGCGCTTCTATTAAGCAATTACTGTATAATTAGTATGCAAATCGTTTGATCTGAAGCAAGACTATTGGATGTAATATTTAGCGATAATTAGCGATATCCCCCTATTTTGTATACTAAGCTGTAAAAAAGTCTTTTTTTAGTCATGTGACTATATATAAATTAGGAAGCGGTATATATAGGCAGTAGATCAATTGATGGTCTAAACCCACACCATTGCGGGATTTGTTTCCGAGTTATCCAAGGGTATGTAACATTTCTTGGCACAGACAATACAATTATTCAGTTCCCCTCCTAGACATTGTATCTTACCTGATAGGCCTTACACCTGAAACCTGTATACTCTTATAAAAATGGATTTTATCGTTTTGTTAGAATGATATATATCTTTTATGCATCTTTATGCCAAAAACGGGGTTATATATTTTGACACTGGGTTTTACCTTCGACCTAAAATGGGAAGCCTAAACCTAACTTTTCTAATCGTTGTATCAGTATACTACTCCGTATACTCCGTAGTATATACATATTTAAAAGATGTAATTATCTGAGTTATACAGCTACAGTACCAAAATCTCCTTGAGACTGCAGTACTTGTCAAGGTCTAGTTTTGAGACCGGTTCGTACGACCCTAAGGCTAAAGGCCACTATATATGATATTGCCAACTTATTCTGTAGCGGTAAAGATGACATTATAAGTGTTCGATTTTGAAGTGACCATTTACCACATGAACATTCCCTGAATTCCTTTCTCGTGAGCTCCAGGAATGGGCATGGCTGAGGAACTTTCGAACTTCTTGAAGATATGATAAGCAAGAGGCAATTGCCTCATCGAAGTAAATTGATTCATCAGAAACTAGTTGTAAGAAATGGCAGCATATAGCCAACTAAAACCAACCTTCCTTTAGCAAACTATGGTTTTAATTCTCCTACCTTGCGCTACTCAACAGCTTGCCCGCTGGTTTCGCCTGGTTTGCGGACAGAGATCACCCGCGAAGCCCCAGACTTTCCTATTTAGGTGGGCTGCCTACCTATAGGTACCCGTGGACAAATTGATACCTCACTAACCGCGATGGACTCTGAATGAGTAATTTCAATCAGCGCCGAATTGTTGTGGAGGCATGTTGATTGATTCCACTCCAGTCCGGTTGGTTGGTCAAAGTTGCGTCCAAAACGTTTGCGTTAACTTGGAGCTGGAGAAATCAGGTGGGAATTATGCATTAGTTTTCCACGGTTCACACCTAGGACATTACTAGTAGGATCTCTAAACGTCGCTTTGTACCCTCTTTTTCTCTCTGCTCAGCACCTGAATTTTACGATTCACCTCACCTGTCTATCAACTTCATCAAAGCGTTTCATTTCTTCAGAATCTTGAATCTGCTCAACCATCCATCTCCTTTCCTCATCGTGATGTCCCAGATTCTTAACTTTGACCACCTGTGTGGTACTGAAATTACACTCGACCAGCCTTCCCTCTCGCCCCCTCGCACGTTCGTCCTCGATGGAAAGATATCCGAAGACTATAAAATGATGACCCAGCAGGGATATGATCAAGGGTTGGGGGCTCCGTTTGCCGTTATCAAGTTCTCTTGTCACAGCCTTCTGGATCCTGGTCAGCAGAGCTTCATGCGTATCTATATGCAGATACCTATTGATGGTACATTTCTTAGCGCTCCAGAAGTCCGAGCCCAGCAGGCTATCAGCCAGCACACCCATACGGAGCTCAAAGCGCTTGCGACTCTCGATCGCGAAAATTGTACAGCAGTACCGAAATTGCTTGGCTATACGGAAAGGTTGCAAGGTACTGAAGAATTAGTGCCTGGTGGCTACATCAACTACGTTGTATGGGCGTGGGTACCTGGTGAGCCCGTAGACTACTATTCTTTCTGGAAACGCGACTTTGAATACCGCCGGCAACTGCGCTCCGTATTTCGTGCCGCCTACAAGTAAGATCATTACCCCTATACTTCTATCCCTTAAAGAAATACCTATACTAATACAATAAAGAGAGCTCAGTAGGTGTTCTTGGCAACCTGGACTTACCCCTCCGAGTAAGCTTATCTACGATGATGTCACCAAGGCTATGTAGGTAGTTCTGGCATTTGATTCACCTGACCAATCTATATATACCGATGGCGATGACCTAATTATTTTAGGCACATTTCCGGATTTCGAGGAGCCTGTCTAATGGATACTGAGCCGTTCTCAGACGAGACCTACGCGTTATGGGGATTGGCAAAGCCACCCGACAAGTTGGATTGGTATCTTGATAGCTCTGACTGGACCTGGTAACCAACGTGGATCTTCGTACATCTCTGAGCAACGGTTTTGATAGTGGAGATGGCCTTCGGCATATGGGATTGTACTTTTGAGTTATTCATAATGCCTCGCTACCCCAGTATACATGTATTTGTCACTGGACTAGTGCTTTTAATCAGGCGATTATAGCACCTTTCCGCTACTGGTAGCCCTCTAAACTGTTGAAGATCAACGTAAAACACCTTTAGATTATTTAGTATAAAGCTATTCACTGGACTATCTGGTCATTTAGGTCCGAATACAGATATCAGATAAGCAGGGAAGTTTATCAGGATAGATCAACAACCCAGGGCACAGTCTGGTTGTTAACAGGATTGGCAGCACTTGCTAGAGTGCAGACGTAAAACATGCATTGCTTCATTGACACCTGGGGGAGGGCAAGATGAGTCGATTGGGGATTAGGAACTGTTGGTGTGTAGTAGGAGGAGGAGGATATAGGAGGGGAATACCACACTTCCCAATCCCCGCTAGGGGACTGAAATTGTCGCAGGAAGATGGTGTAGTTGTAAGTGCTGATGAAGCCATATTCACAGCCTAGGCTTTGCATATCCCGAACTGGTTGGGCAATCTTTTGTCGCAGGTCACGTAAACGGCGAATGGCCGTGTGGAGGTCATGGTTGAAGACCCAAGGCGTCTTTAATTCCCCAACCAGCTTGATATTAGTACTTCCACCCACATCTTGCAAACCAACAACGTCGGGGATGTTTTCGTAATTACTTCCCGAGCTTTTGAAGTCGGCGAAGTAGAGGTTGATTGACTTGGCCTCAAGGACCGCCCCAAATGCTTGGCCAATGGCTTGCTGAAAACGACCCTGAAGCCCATGTTCGTCCCCTATATGTACACGATCGGGTTCGGTGGTATGTGGGCCATTGGTGTAGGGTGATGTCCTTGGCCTTGCCCAGTTTTGATTTTTGTGCACACTCTCAACAGATCGCAGGAAATTGCTCCATGGGATAAGGGTCCCCACAAAGGACATACGCTGCAGTGCGCTTGAAACCGTGTGATAGGGCCTAATTTGGAGGGATGGGAGCGGACTTTCTACAATCTGCTTTGCTCGGATCGTGGATGTCATTGTGGGAACTTGGGATCTAACAAAGTGTTTCGTTAGTATAACTCTCTAAACGATATATGTATCAATGTTTATAGCAAAATGTGTCATACTGTATTGCTCTGAGATCGTCGGTTCGTAGCTTGAATAGGACGCATGCGAGGGCCCAACGCAACAGCAAAGCGCCAATTAGCCAAATAAGGGTTGTTGTGTGAAATTTGGGACGCTGTCTTTGACAATAAGAGGGATGGGGTTGGAGGTCGAAGGAAAGTGGGAGATTAGAAGGCCGCTGAGTCGCTTGTCATATGAAATTTAGCTATTGATACAGCTGAGAAAAATTGGCCCCGAGTTGCCTCACGAGAACATGATCTCTCCATAACATTGTTTCTCAACCATTAGCGAGAACCCTCCCCTTGGCCACCTTCATTCATCGTATTTTGCCTTTCGGCCATTCTTCTTCTTCGACCTTTAGTTCCTCGTCCACCTTCGTCAATCATCCTGTCACCCATTCACACACCCGTCATCTCATGTTTGACTAAGTTGTGGCTTGGAACATATATTTCCTGTATAAAAAACTGCAATTTATTCGCTAAATATGTCTGCTATAAATATTAAAAACATGAGATTAGTATTAAACAGACGTAAGCACATTTCGAGGGATAGAGAAACAGGGAAAGATCTTGGAGAATGATCTAAAATACAAAGAAAACAGGAAATTCAAAGATAAACAGCAAGGGTATATAGCACATAATGATCGTGGCAGGGGTAAATGGCGTGAAAATGCAGACGGAAAAAACAAGAAACAACAAGAAACAACAAGAAACAAGAACTAAAACACTGTCAAGCCCAGCGCCAGCCAGATTCTTGTGACTTTTGACGCTTAATAACATCCGAGAGCAGGGTATCACCTTGACCAAAGGGATTGCGCTCATTCTTTTTCCGCTGACGCTGAAGCAACTCCACAGCAGCAGGAGCATCAATCCCTTCACCAGTATCCGTAATCTTAAGAGCCCACTTAGCATCTTCTGTATGAAAGCCAAGCTGATTAACCATCATATCAATGGCGCGGTCAACAGGATCCAGAACCTGCAGCCGGAGAGGCAGAGGCATCATACCCGCTGGCGGTGGAGTATGCGATGAAGGAAGAAGACTGGCAAGATCGGCCGGGCGAGTCGGAGTATGAGGAGCCGTCTCAGAGGTTGACGTTGAGGACCTGTCAAGAACGAGCGCGGGCACAGATGGAATGGGCCTGTGATTTCGAATCGACCCGTTGAGATTATGGACAATAGTGCTGAACTCCGACATAGGGCGTTCGGCAGAGAAGGACAACCGGCCGTTGGGGTCGGGGGTGAGACCGCGCTCACGACGGCGACGAAGCTCGTGGGCGAATCCAGCCTGGCGCTCACGGGTCTCGCGGTCATTCTCGACAGGGCTTGTCTTTTGCGGGCTTATTTCGGTCGGGCTGTCAAGTGCGCGTTCTTCAAGTTCGTAGGCGCGCGAGACTGCTTCTTTCAGGAATGATGATCGACTTGCTTCGGTTTCGGTTGGCTCCCATTTGGCAAGACCTATTTCTTTCGCTTTGATGAATGTGGCGGTGGTGGTATCGGCCGGGCAGACTGAGCTGAGTGTTAAGACTGCACCTAGACCGAGTGTGAGAATGTATGAAGTCCACTCCTCTGTATTTCTGAGTTAGCCGTGACCAAATAGGCAGAATGTTGGTTTGACTTACCGAGGACAGTCTCTTCGAGAGCTAGCTCACCATCTGGGACGTTCATGCCATCAAAAATGCCGACCTTGCGAGCTTCAATGCACTTTCCATGCAACGGCTGTAATAGAACACCCATGCACGTCCAGATCTCCGTTAGATCGTACATCTGCTTCTGCGATAGACCGGAAAGGTTGCCACGACCGAACCCCTCGGGCGGTTCAAATAGAACGTTATTCATACCGAAAGGCTGTGTCATCGTTGAACTCGAGGTGGAATGATTTCTCGCCTGGACGCCACCCTTCAGCCAGTCCATTTGGCCAGCAATATCATTCTCTCGCCCCTTACCACTACCGAAAATCCGACAGAAGGTCCAGAGCCGCCAGAAGGCATCGTCGACTTCCTCAGCGCGGGTGTTATCCACGCCCGCCAGGCCACGAATGGTATCGCGACGCAAGAAGGGAGCGCACCGCGCAAGGACCAGCGCCTTCAGCTTGGCAAGAGTGTAGATATCCTGCGCGTACCTCTGCAGATACAGCGTGGGCGTATATTCTGGAACCTGGGAGTCGGGATCTATGAGTAGCTGCCACTCCATTTCCCATGGCGGACTCATCTCGCGCATCTCCCAAGCGGGTGGGGACATTTGGAATAGGGTACTTTTCAGCATAGACAGCTCGCGACGTTTGAACGCAGTGTAGATCTTTCTGTTGACGAGGACGAAATTGAAAAGGTCATCCAGAGAGTCAATGTTCTGCATGATTGACAGAATCAAATCCACCGGCATATCTTCGGGGAGGGGGATCTTGACTGGGACATTGCGCTTGGCTTGGGGATTTGGCGTGGATACAGGTGACGGGGGAGTAGCGGGAAGTTCATAGACCTGTTCGGTGAGTCTGATGCTGCTCGCTTGGGCAGTCGAGACCATAGCCCAACTCTGACGGACTTTGTTAGGGACTATGACCTTCTCTAGTTCCACGCCCTCCATGGCGACCGGGCCAGGGCTACCTGGCACAACTGCTTTTTCTGCAACTTGATCAAAGGGATTCCCGAGATGATTAGTTTGCAGGCGAGGCAATTGGAGTAACAGGCTGTTGCGCGTGGGGGGCAGATCGAGAGGATCGGCAGAATGCGATTCGACTGTCATGTGGAGGGAATCCTCCGACCGTGAATTGACATGAACTTCATCACGCGGCGCTTGGCTTTGCTTGCGAAATGTCAGGAAAGATTTCATGGATTTTTCTTTTTTGATGTTTTCCTTGGATGGATTTTTTGCGGGTTTTTCATCGGTTTCCTTGTCTTTGCCCGATCGACGAGGCTTGTCTTTCGCCTCCTTCTTACTCTGTTTGTGACTTTTTTCTTTAAATGGACTTGGACCTGTTGATTTGATTGTGTTGACTCGACTGTTTTTCAGTGTCGACTTCCCTTGTGATGTTTTTGAGTGAGGCTTCGTTGAAGGGGGGAGGGGCGCAGGCCGGGTAGCAATCAAGTCCCCGTTGTGGCGGCTGATCTGCAACGGTCCATCAAGGATGAGCAGCGTCTTATGAGTCAAATCTTGATCAGCCAGACTCGCGAGAGCATCTTCGAGTTCTTCGGCGGCCTGCGCTAATGTTGGCATATGGCGGGCTCGATGACCAGCAACCACCAGATCTGACCGTTGTCGACCTTGACGCGGCTGGCGCTGACTGTGCCCGCATGTATGACATGAATGTTTGGCTGGTCGGTGGGTATTTGACTGGTGTAACATAGAATCCTTCCATTCGCTATGGTTTACTGTGTTGGATTGTTTCAATGAGATCACCGAGTCTCTCTGAGAGGATTGCGCTGACCACTGTGGCCTGAAACGTGGCGAAACTGCCGAAAGAGGGGAGTCTTCAGGGCGATTTGGGGCCGAACTAGGACCGAAGGATGGCTCTAGTGGCAAGGGCTTGTTCTTGAGGTCGTTCATTGACATCTTTTTGGTGATATACATTGGGCGGACGATTTTTGGCACTTGCAGGTGGCAGGGAGCCACTATTGAGGAAGGCTGCGAGGAACAGATGGAAGCGGCGTCGTCAAAAACACCCGCGGCCACGGGAGAATAGATTGAGTATGCATCGGCTGTTTTGTAAGGGTGTCGTCCATCATCTCCCCAGAACGTGCTGCCCAGACTGGTAACTGAAGTGCGACGACTGTAGCATGATGAAGCACAATCCAAAGTCTCCTCAGACCCAGAAGACAAGCGGGGCTCCTCTAGTTGATCGACAGAGCCATTTATATCGAGAGCGATGTCCACAGAGCCACATGAATCAGGAGTGATGTCTGCAGACCCATGTGGATCGGTAGCAACATCTGCAGAGCTTTGATATAAATTCTGCACCCGTTTTTCTAGTTCCCGTTCGAAAAAAGAGGGCCCTGTCGAGCGGTCCATGTTGGAATCGGCGCTGATCGGGGAGACAATAGAGAAGTGCGAGGATAGCTCTGGGAAGAAGCGGGCCAAGCGGGAAGTTGAACGCACTGGATGGAGAGAATCCGACAATGGAGAAATTTCAGAATCATCGTCTGAATCTTCTGGTGATTCTAAGTTCATCATAGTGCCTAAAGGTTTCTGCGCGGAGGCAGACTGAGGGTCCCCGACTTCTCGGCTTGCGATATCTTCTTTGATACTCAAGCGGTATGATTGGTCTTCAGTCTCTTTAGTGTCAGATGCCATGTGTTCAGCAGGGGCCTCTGTGACTGCTTCAGACGGATCATGAGTGGTATCCACGATCTGCGCTAGCATTTTCTGTAGGTCTTTGTCGACTGTGGGACTCGGTTGACTTGAAACACTGCCTCGAACAGCTGTGACTCGGGCTTCTAGACCGAAGGGTTTCAGACAAAGCTTCAGGGATGGAGGACGAAAATATAGTTTCTTCCGATTTGAAGTCTTGGTTTTCTGGGTTGAAGGATCACGAGTCATAGGAGGCGCCATTAATAGCCAAGAACTCATAATCTCAGTTCTTATTCTGGATCTTTATTCGAGGGGCATTGTTGACCGAACTAGGCTACTCTTGGGCTTTGTTAGCACGCCATGATGTTGCTCAAAGAACCTCAATAACCTGCTGGACGCGCTAGAACATACCATCAATCGAAGTCTCGGCAAAGACAGCCTTGTAGAGGGCAAACTCGTGGATGGAAAACTCGCGGAGGGCGAACTCGTGGAGGCGAAGTGTAGTGGTTTCTTTGTAGAAAATAGTACGCCCCGGCTGTGGCTGTATAGAACAAAGAGTGACAAAGCCACCAACTTTTTTTTTTATCTCTGTCTCTCGCTTTTGCAAATATAGGAGTTCGCAAAGATTCAACGGAAAAGAAGCTCGGAGTGGGAATTCTTTTAGGGTCTAAAATCACACAACATTATTAGGCACCGGTTCCTATCGCCCTTTTTAGGCCCCCGAAACCAGCAGGTGGTCCTCTGTACAGAGAGTATGGCGTTTCTCAGAATGACCTCCAGGCCAAAGAATCAGACCATAATTGATTAGTCCATCGATTATTGGCTTAGTGTGCTGCAGCTAAACAGCGATCCTCTGGGGCGAAAGGTTCAACGCCCCAAATTCCCAATTGAGAAAGTGGTTACAACATAGGATACGGAGGGTGTTGATGTTTGAAAATTCTTCTACTCTTACTAGAGTGACTATTTCTATGAATATGTAGTTATATTTGCATCGAACTTCGTGTTCTCTCGGAATGAATGTTCTTTATTCTCATGTTGACAGGAACTATCAGGGGAAGTGATTTACAATATGGATACATAATGTACGAATAGCCGAGTCCGGCCAATGATATACAATGACACCTTCATCCACTAAATACAAAATGTGCATGATTGCCATGTTTCCCGCCCCATTGCCCGGGGCCCCAACCATGACCGCGAACTTGCAAGGTTGTACCAACTACTCCGTACTATGTATTACATATGTACTCCGTACATTTGTATACTTTGTACACCCTGTAGAAACCATGCTTATAACCTTGCAAGTTGTACCACTACATATATAGTACGAATATGTACTCCGTATTTCTCTCCAAACAGTCAATTTCATTCGATCTTTTAGTATTTGCTGGTGCAATCAAAAGTGAGTTTTACCTCCAAGTGCGTGTCTCACTTGACTGGCTGAACATCTCCCTCGTGTACAGTAATAATCTTGCCTGAATATTTCTGTGGAATCATGTGGTGGATATATCCCCCTTTAATGCCTCGAGCAATTGTAAGAACCAAATCGCAACCGACCTTGCATATAATCCAGTGTGGGTATCTGCTTAAATATCTCTAGAGCATTGACCTGATCGGGAAGGAGGATAATATCAAAAGACCAAATACTCAACTAGTCCAAGTGGGATGTAAGGGAAATATACGTGCTCCTCTCCATATTTCTCCCGCAATAGCGCGGCTATGATCTTACGGCTAATATACAGAAAACGGGCAAAAGTTGGGGGCGGAAAGGCCCGTTCTCGGGGATCTTTGTTTAATGCCACGTGTGAATTGGACTGGGTTTGATGCTAGATTCGATGATTTTAACTCCACGTCCAAGCTCCCAATGTTTATTAGATTGGTTACTGGAGTTTGATCCACGGGAGCTGGGATGGCAAGGCAAACGTATAATTGATAATAAAAAACAGAGGAGACAGAGGAAGGGAAATAGAGAGAAAGAGAAAAATAGATAACTGGCATTTTAAGCATACAGCAGATTGGAATTAAGTGACGAGAGCATGGGCAGCCCTGAAGAGGAAAGCAAAAGGAAAAGAAAAATTCATGCCTGAGGCAAAAGCATCAAGATCCCACTCCAAGCTGGGGCTTATCATGCAGGGACCTAATTATGCAGTGAAATGTACATAACTGTGTCTCACATCATTCATCTTATATTACTTGAAATCAATACAATATTCTATACCTAGACCGTGGCAAAGACTAAATCTGTTTATGACCTATATACTTGTCTGACACAAAGGAGTGTTTCGATATTCTGTTATCTATGCACTTGAGTATCAACTTGAAAGTGGATACCGTATATTAGGCAACCTTTTTGCTTATAGGGGGATCTCCGAAGTATTGGCATTTCGATGCCTTCACATACCGCCTTCTATATGTACAAAAGTAGAGTCTGTAGCTAGAGCTTGTTTTTTATTGCCAGCTTGAGTTCTTAATCTATTGTTAAAGATTGATCAAAATGGGAATTATAGGCGAAGCCAGGCTTATAATCGTCGAAAGTAATACAGCGGTCTAGTCAACCGCTAGATCATAGCAAAAAACAAGATATTTGTTTATGGCCTAATGAGACTTCATTCGTCTGACACACACTTCCCCTCGGTTTATTCTATATGCAATGGAACATCTTTGAATCATTTTCTTATAACAGTAAAATTAATGGTTATCAAACTTTGCCCACAGAAAATGTACCAACATGTGATGATGTGCAGGGTTACAGAGAATCTCTCGGCCAACGGGTAGCAAGAGCTGGATGATCTACAGGCGGGTCATACATATATTACCATCTCCATAGAGTAAATTGGATGCCAATCTCGGCACCTGGCCCAATGGGAATCGCCATATTATCCTCGGCGGACTGTCAGGGGTACTTTGTAATACGTTGTAAATGAATCTAGCCTTGGTCGCTCGTCTCAGGTGTCTTAGATCACTTCTCGTTTGAGTAAATCCTCTTCCTTCAAGACTCAATGAGGCACTATGAGTTAGACTGATGGGCCATGGGCAACCCATTGAGGGAAGGTTGTATCTGTGTGGGAGCTCGGATATGTACGTATAAGAACGCCCAACCCGGAGAGTGTAAGTGATTGAATACACAGCCACCAACCTTACTTTATATCAAATTAACTACTGTGCCTTCTACCACCATGCTTGGAAAACTCCCCTCAGTCGCAGCATTGCTGGTACTCAGCCTGAGCGCCCAGGCAAGCCTAATCTTCAAAAACATCGGCACAACCTCAGGCTGGGACAAAATCAACCAAGAACATCATGGCACCGTGAAGCAAGTGACAGACCAGGTGTATAAGGGCACAACCGCCCTCAAAATGACCCAAATCTACGATGCAAGCTACTCCGGCCGGTACCACTCGGAGGTGGTTAAGAACAATGTGTACAAGCGCGGCGACACAGGCGCATACGGATTCTCCTTCCGACTCCAAGACGACTGGCAATTCTCCCCTGTGCAATCCTACGGCATCGGACAATTCATCGCCGACTTCACAGATAGCGGCTGCGAGGACTGGATGCCCACAACCATGATTGCGCTCAAGGGCAACAAACTCTACTCGCGTGTCAAGCAGGGTACAGTCTGCAATCAGAAGATTAAGGGTTTCAACAACCTGGCCACTGTGACTGCAGGTGAATGGCACCGACTTGAAATTGAGGCGAAGTGGGAGTCTGGTTCGACGGGATACTTCAAAGTCTGGTTTGATGGAAAGAAGGTGTTGGATGAGCAGAATATCAGCACTACCGTCGAGGATGACCGGGCTTTCCAGTTCCGGGCTGGTCTTTATGCCAATGGCTGGCACGACGATAAGCAGATGAAGGGATCCCAGGGGACTCGGCAGATTTGGTATGATGAGATTGCTGCTGGGACTAAGCTTTCTGATATTGCGGCTGAGGCCGATATCCAAGCCGGCGAGTGTTGATTTGGGTAATTTCGAATACTCTGTTCTTAGTCAGGGGTAGTGTTGAAGGAACAATGGATATTTGTTTTTAGCTAGAACTGAAGCAGAATTATGGTTCATTTTCTCAAATACCAATGTGCTTGTGCTAGATTTATACTAGAGTTGCTCTTCGATTTGGAGTTGTCTATAAAGGGAAAAAAAAAAGACAAGGGCATATTATAGCTATGTTGTATTCACAGTCTCTAACTTGCGTAGGGTCATATGGGCTTATCAGGATATTAAACTAAAATAAACGGTCTATGTTTGCTGCCAAACGGGTTCGCTACGCGAAGTTGAGGATCACCATGAGTAACGAGGCCAGTAATGCGTTGAAAGTTTGGTCAATGGCATCAATTGTATCAATGTATCTCAGAATAATTTTTATATATACACGGAGTAATAAAAAGTTTGTTGTACCTTGATGTACAGAGTACAAATGCATTGTATTATGGGTGTGGCCCCTGTTTTGTGCACATGGAGAAGACCCTCCTTTGCCGCGTGGTGCCCAATTTAGAACTGACATCATCCTATATTGATCTCACCCTAGGATTTGCAATGTATGTTAATCGTGGCTGTACTACATTGTGTCACGCTGTGATATTGTATGCTGATTTGAGATGCTTTGAAGGTTTCTACCTTTAGATATCTCACCATCCCACGTTTACTTCAAATATTTACGATCTACTTACAAAATTCCACCTAAGAAATACCCTGCTCCTTCATAGGTATCTATAAGGATGAATTCGCCCGTAATCAGGCTTATTATTGAATTTTGAGATGGGCGTTGTTATAATTCGAGTACTCTGCAAAAGTTCCCTCCCACTTTACACCCACAGAAACACTTTCGCCCGATCAGACTTGGAAATAGCCCCTAGATAATACGTACACAGAGAAAGAGGCTGAAAAGGATCGTGTAGGCTAAGAAAAAAAGAGATCTTCGTGACCACGCTTGCGTTGACCTCGTTTGGGCTATCGAAAGATACCTAGGTCGGCTACCCGGGGATATTGTCAATTGTGTTGACTGCAGGGGAGACCATCTGCATCATTGGACCCCAGTAACAATTCTGTAAATACTATCTCTTTCAGACATGATATTTCCCAAGGTTGGGGAGGGGACTAATCCAGAAATGTTGCGTGTTGTTAATTATACATGCAGAGAGCCAACATTTGAGAAAATTCTAGAACAAATTGGAGGTGAAACACTAGAACAATTGTTCTAATGCAAGTTGCCAGTAGCAATAATAGAAGTCTACCCCAGGCGGCTGGCTCCAGGGCTGCTTTTAGTGCTGACCTGGATTTTGATGTGCAGAAATCTTAGGTGATTTTTTAGTTTTCCTAGTCTAACAGCATAACACTATGAATAGATTCCAATTGATTTTGTATTTGCAAGGTCAATAGTATTCTTTATATCATGTAAATAGGCTTTTTACTTCGGCTTGCTTTGTTGAAACCGGAGCCGGGCAAATTGCTTTCAACTTCGATACCGATCTTTCTCTTACTTGGTGCAATTGGGTATCTAGATCTCTCTACTATAATCACTCACAAACAGTGCAGTACTTAAGCACATAGTACTAAGCCTAGAGACTGGGATTAGGTTGGATTATTGGATAGCATTTCCTCTATAAGAAACAGAAAGTGTTTCGCTTCAATTTGTATCTAGAAATCTCGAGATCTTTCAACGATGCTTCCGAGTTGTGAAAGAAGATCTTTGTTCTCAAGTGAACCCAATAAAAGCCAGCCTTTCACATTACCCCGAATCCTCGAATCTCTTTGGTAATCACGAGTAATCTGTAATTGGTCTATGCGTGATTCTGAGATGATGTTCCCTAGACACTCAAACCTCAACTTGTGAATGTTGACTTGAGGAGAAATGAACGTCAACGACCACTCTACTCCATTAAGCACTCATTATAATTGATGTCTATGACTAGGCACATTTTTTTACTTCAAAAGTATGAATACGAGCTGATTACTAGAGGAAAGTTCCGTTCTTCGACTCTTTGTCCGTTTGTCCTCTTAGAATCATCCTCGTCTACTCTTTTAGGAGGTATTTAGGTCATTTATCCAATTACTGCGACTGTATCTATATTTATCTTCTTTGGTTCCTTTGATCAAACAAAAATGTAGAGAATTGGAGAGGTGAACAAGATATAAACTAGCTGTGCGTCAACAGCAACAGGTAAGTCTAAATTCTCACAATAAACCTTTTCAAGTTCATTCATCATGCTCCGCTTCGACGAAGAAATTCTAGACTCTTGGGGTCCAGCAGTTTGGGGAGTCATCTTCGACCGATTGCAAAGTGGAAACGTTAAAGGTGGCGTGTTGCAGGTTGCCTGGCCAAGCAACATCGACAAGAAAACACCAAATCAGCAGATCCAATGGGCTACCAAATTGCCTCTTCCACAGCTCCCTCAGAAGGCCCTCGAGATCATATATGACAGAATGGTTGGATTCTCACTGGGAGTTCGATATATGGAGGAGAAGAAGATCCACGCTATGCATGGACTCGTACAAAATACTGGACCCCTCAAAACGAGCGTAGAAAGATGGTTCAAACGCCCTGGTACTGTCGAAAAATGGAGAGAATTGATCCACTCCTACGCGGATTATGACGATGCAGTGGGCCATTTGTCGGATTGCAAAACGTTCCCAAGAGAAACTGACAACCATCCATTCAAGACCAACCCTGCATACGATGCCGCAATGCAATGCTCTTTCTGCTTAGAGTTCCTAGTCCATTCCAAGATTGTCACGCCCAATGGCTATGACTTATCAGGAAGAAGCTGGCTGGAGGCAGGATTGAATGGTCCCAACATGGATTTACTCACCTTCATTGTCAGCAATGCGGATCCTCAACATCTGATCAAACCCAGAGACATCAGAGAAACCCGCGAGAACCACATTCTTCTCTCACTCGTCGGTGTCGGCGCGTTTTCTCAATTTGTGATTGCCCTGAACAGGCTACGCCAGGCAAACCTCGTGCCGATCGAGGAACTTCGCACAATCTTCCACGACGCAGCGATGCATGAGTTCTGCGCTGTCGCACCAGTCGCCGTGGCGGAAGCACTATACCAACACGGGCTCAATATCGGAAATGTCGAGCACCAGTATCACGAACTTGGCGGGCAGCTAGAATCCTCCTGGCACATCGCAGCAGCATTCAACCCCGCCGGAGCTAGGTTCATGTCCTGGCTCGAAAAATTCTCCATGCTCAACGCAGAGATCCGAAACTCAGAAAATATGAACCCACTGATGTACGCCGCATGCTTTGACGAGCCAGCCGCAATTGATTGGCTGTGTCAGAAATGCGATCCCATGCAGCCCAGGTTGGATGGAGGCCCGAAGGGGTATGCCTTGATCTGCGCGGCTCGAAGCTCATATATTCACAGCGGCGAGATATTCGCTATTATCCTCTCACACTTACCGGAGTCGCTATTCAGCAACGAATACGGCAAGATTTTTGGCACTGAGATCGCCGAAGGACTGGCATCACACAAGCGCAAGCTCGACGATGGCCGAGCTACCGAGCCCACGCTAAGCGTGATGGAACTGCTCGCAGTGCGCAAAATGCAAGCTCTCATCCGCCGCCTGGGCAATAAGTGGCCTGGCAGTGAATGGCATCTAGCACTGGATGCGTACCTGCGTAATAATGATATGACTGTCCTCAAACACAGTATCGGTACAGGGACACGGCTGCTTCGAAGCGGTAGCTCGCGGGATAACTCACGCACTCGAGGTGATTGGAAAAGCTACCCCAGAAGCCCCCAGCTACAACATACCCTTGATACGTTACGCAGTAATTCTGGGTATGATGTGCCACTGATGTATGATGAGGATATGGAGCCGAATCCCGCTCGTGCGAATTCTATTAGGAAGAAGAGGCCGGCCCATATTACTGCTCGTAGTGGTGGAAGACAGACTCTTGGTCCTATCAGGGATCCTAGCAATATGATCACTAAGAATGTGAAAAGAAGAGGACGCCAAAGCTAAGAGGTTGTGTCTAGTCCTGGTACTTGCAGAGGGATCGGCTTTGCTTCTTGTATAAAGCATGGGAGTGCGCTTCCTGCTTATGATATATTCATTTCGTTTATTTCTGATGGATTTTAATTAGTTTATGTTCGGTTCTACGCTTGTGGTTGATTTTTTTCTGACTCGAATTTCAAGTCTTCTTGCCAGTTTTGTATGTTTATATTGAAATTTACGTATAGCTTCTGCTTTCTTTTCACATTCTGGAAATAGTATATCAATGTTTATTGCGTTACATATGTAACTTATCCTTTTTAAACTGCCCCCAGCCGTCAAGCCAATTGTTAAATAAACAGGTTGACCAAAGCAAAGATGAGAAATGAACAAATCTACCAGTCAAGTGCACTTGATGAAGTACCATTCTGCGATCCAGCGCTAACACAGTCTAGCTCTTTACACACTATTTGTCAATTAGTAGATAGTAGGACCTAATTGACAACCAAGTACTCACGTTGATCTGCTTTTTGGAACAGAGTGCTTCCCTCTGGCTTGTGCATGGCAGGAAGGATCTGACCCCCTCCCATCCGTTCGAGCTTTGTGTGCTCCTGGAGGAGACTCAAAATTTGACGAGCGTCTGGTTGATTGTGTTAGGTAATAGAAAATAATATCATATTCAAAGACCATACCTGTGTTTAACTCACTGGAAGTCCTATTTAAAGGATTAGCAACAGGCCTTGTCGGACATAAGATAGCATATCGTACTCACTCTTGCTTGGCTGAGATATATTGATATTCAAGCTCAATCTCTTCACTCAAATTTTTCGTCATGCTCTGCAGTACTTCAGACAGTTTCCGAATTTCCAGTTCATTGACAGCAGAGCGGGTGAAAAGGTCGTAGCGAATATGAGTCTTGGACTCAGACTCGGGAAAGAAGGAAAGGATGAGGTATATATCCGCATCTTGAAACGAATACATGAGCGTAATAGGAAACAAGATACACTCTTCTCGGGTTGTCTTCTGCGTAATAAACCTGACAACCTTCATAACGAGTGAGGGCCCCGATACTTCAGAAATTCTGCGATCTAGCTCGCTGGTATAAGCATTGAGGTGACGAGCCCGTGCTATTTTAGTATCAGCCATTGTATCTTACCATCATTGACATTGGTTACTTACTTCCGACCTTCCAATTGAAATCTCCCGACAAAGTCTGACCAGCAACCCAGGTGGAGTTCGCTTCCAGACCAGTTATGCGCGCAAATCCGCTTAAATTAGAAGCCACTTCACTGTCAAATGCAGCCGGCTCACTAGCATTGAGATTCACAAAAATCATTCCCTGATCAGTGGTATGCGTATGAACCTCAAATAGACTATTCTGCGACTTATCAAACCCGGGAACATCATCAAACTGAGGAGCCTTCACTAGCCGACCAGTGGTGTCATAGCTCCAGCCATGGTACCGGCAACCAAGAATAGCCGAGGCGCCAGTCTCTCTTCTAGTGATAGTATAGGCGCGATGGCGGCAGACATTATGAAATGCGCGGATCTTGTCATCCTTACCACGAATGAGAAAGACTGGAAACCCGGCAACGTCAAAAGATTGATACGCGCCAGGTTTTGAGAACTGAGAGCTGTGGGCAAGGTAGAGCCATGTCTAGAATTGCATGTTAGCAATTCTGTCAGGCCATATAGTACTGATATTTCTATTACTTGGCTGAAGAGTGCGCGCCGTTCGAGCTCGAAGACTTCCCGACCGCTCCACCATCCTTCTGGAATTTCGGGCTCTTTCGAAACGGTCAAGTCTGATTTGACCGGAGAAGTGATTGCAATAGACTTAGTGACTTTATCTGCTTTTGGTTGAGATAAATGAGGCCATGTTCGGTGGAGTAGAAAGATAATTGTCACCAAGGCGACAAGGACGGAGGCTGGAGAGGTGAAGAAATCTGCGTCGGTAGACTCCATCAGAAATAAAGCGCTGTTATTTTGAACAATAGAAAGTGGTTGCCATCTGCCACTGATATACTTGTGCTGTCACCCCTCCACGTTATAGTCTCCAAAGTTAGCGCATATGCCTCCCTATATTACCCGATTGGGTTGGAATTTCCTGACTGTATCACTCGGCTGACTTGTCACATCTGATTTTTGACCCTGTATGATTGGAGTTATCTTTATCATATGGTGAATACTGTGCTAAGGCATTAATAAAGATTATAGTTGTATTAAAAAAGAGCGACCACTATATTCCTATGAATCAATACTACGCTGTCATTTGAACTATGGAGGATGCAACGTGTTCCCCCATTCCAGACTCTTTCACTGTCTTGGCGGTCCTCTCAAACTCATGCTGTTCACAGACCATGTCAAATACTCGACTCTGGTAGTCTGGGAGAGATATGTGTGTTAGCATTATTGCACGAACCAACTTTAGGAGCCATAACTCACAAGACACGCCGTTCTCCTTATTTGGATTCAAAATTCCCTCGTGATAGACCCCCTTGGCTAGATTGCTCTGGGCCTTCTCGCAGAGCTCGAAGTCTTCCATAGCAACTTGGCGTACGAATTTAAAGTATTCTTCGAACTTGTCTCCAGATTCAAGATGGAAGTAATCGAATTCCATGCGCGTGACATGCGGGTCAGCGGTCGGACATACTCTGAAGCAGGACATTCCACCACCATAGACATTCAGCGTGCACGTGGGGAAGAAATACAGGAATAGACCGTCATCTGACTTTTTCGGGTCTGCGATATGCTGCGAGAAGTTGTGCTTGTTGCGCACGGTGTAGAAGGTCGGCGGGTAGTATTTGGAGAAAGACGGATGGGTGTATTGGCAGTGTAGACACTCTTGATATCCGTCGACCCTGATGAAATTTAATAAAATAATATAACATGAAAGGATAAGAGAGAATATTACATGGTTTTCCAGTTGAACCGGCCTTCATAGTTGAGACTACGACGATGTGGCAGCTTGGTGAAGTCGACTTTGCCGAGTAGCTCCTCAAGCTCTGGGAAGAATTCATGGAAACTGGGAGCATCGTCGGAGATAGTTGAGAAGAGAAGCCCCGTCGGGGTGAGATGGTTGCAAAGTTCTTTGCCCTGTAGGTAGCACATTTATTAGGAGGAACTTCACATTTCACCTGAATCCCACGAACCGTTTTTGTGCAAACAACCTTCAGCTCCTCGGCGATAGGGTTCAGGGTCTCCCCCGAGGTGCGAACCGCAGAGACAGGCCGTTGCGCAACTTCATATGGAACATGCTCACCCACAACCTGGAATCGGGTGACTGGACCAAGCAAGTACCAGGACTGCAGAACATGTTAGTCTCCAGATGTCCTTCAACTGCCAGGATACTGCGTTACATACTTTGAGAAAGACTGCCCGCCGCTCCATCTGATACAAGGGCTGGCTGCAATACCAGGAGGCAGGCAAAGTGCGAGTGAGCTCAGACATGATTTTTATGAAATTAGTGAGTAAATTCAACTATCAAATAGAGACGATTGAAGTTGTGAGATGCGACAGTGACAGCGAAAGAGATGCATTTTTATATCTCCACAGATTACGCTTTGCGTCAACATGATTTTTATCAATCTTAATTGACTAACATTCATTTTTTTGGTGGCAATAAGGCTGTCCAGCGTTGAGTGCGTTGGAGAGGTGCGGTATATCGTTTCCCAAATGAGTTATTGAGTCCCGTCGATGTCACGTCTGATCACACGGCTGACACACAGCTCTGAGATACCTTCCTGGCCGTTCAAAGTCCCCGATTATAGACAAAATATCTGCAGGGCCGATCTCTTGGGACTTTCATGAGTCGGATTAAGGGCGAATGACACCAATAGGCGACCTATGAGGGCGATATACCTAAGTAGGCATTTTTAGCCTGTCTATGCTTGAGCTAGCTTTAGAGGAAGATGTCAAGAGAACTAAAAATAAAAAAATCAGAATGTTCAAGGTAATGTCCGATAGCAAAAGTTGCTCCAATCATTTGCTGTGGTCTTCCAATTATGATTGATCTAAATGGGCTACCCCTTATTTACCCTATCTAGGTACATACACACATACCTGAATACCATGACCACCTGAAAACAACCAGAAATATAGATATATATATATATATATATTCGCAAATCGAATTGACCACATAGACGAAGAGAGAGTCCTGCGTATTCTATTTACCTCTATGTTGAGGTTCACTATGAATTTGGCTGCCTGGAGGATCCGAGAGTGGCGACCGGAGGCGAAAGAGCAAAATGGAAAAAGAGAGAGATGTATTCAAAAACTTCAATCCAAAGAAATCAAAATTGCAACAAAGATCTAAAGATCAAAAGAAAGAGAAGAGTGAAAGAGACATCACTATCTAGAGCTCTAACAGAAATCAGAGCATCCGTATCTTATCGGGCAATTACGTCTTCTCCAACTTCCAACTTTCAACCTCCAACAACTTGAAAAGGTTGGAACTTCTCAACTTCAAAGGTTCTAACTTTCTATCATGGCCCCAGTCCAATATACTCCTCCGCCTACACCATCACCTCCAGCATCTTGTTACGCCATGAGTGACGACGAAGAAGATGAATACAACACCATCACTCAGGCTGCCTCGAATAGAGGGGTCAAGTTACTCTTCTCTAAAAGCAAAGTGAGATGATTTCTATTCAATAGGAAGATCGAGCTAACAAGAAATCCAGGTCTATGTTCATCCAACTTCGTCATCAAAAGATAATATCCCTGGCTTTATCGCCCTTATCCAGCAAAAACCTCTCCCCACATCACATGCATCCCCGTCTCAATACAAAAACCCCGATACACCCTCCTATCTCCTCGCATGGGTTCCAGAGTCCTCCCTTGGAGAAGCCTACGATACATATGTGAAGGTAGACCTTTCTGAAGGTGACTCTCCGCCGCGCCAGAAGTACCTCGTTCCGCCGCTTCCGACCACTACCACCTACAAAGACCCCATCGGGTTGTATGCTTTTGCAATTCCACTATCAGAGATATACTCTCTGTTAGTACGACCGCCGAGTCTGGGATGGTGGTTTGGGAGCTTAGTGATTAATACCCGAGCGGGCGATGGCTTCCCCGCGCTATTTTTCCATGACGACGAATGCGAGTCGACTATTCTACAAAAGAGGAAGAGGGTCAAAGAAAATTTCGATCCATTCGGCAATGAAGGGGGTTTGTTTTGGGGCGGCGATGAGGTACTGCGATGGTTGCGGAGGTATGCGGAGGTACAGCGCTCCGCGGTGGACCGCAACGTTTACCTCATCAACCCGTCGCAAGAGGACCAGCTGTCCTTCGGCCAGCCACTGAGCCTGGGGGATAAATCCACCTTAGCAAAGGCACAGCCCAAAGCCGCCGCCGCCGGACCCCGGGCCCAAGCGCCTGATGCCAGCATGGATCCATTCATGAAGACTCTCAAGGAAACACGGTGGAAAGTGCTGGAGCAGCTCAGCAAAATCACCACCTTCACTCGTCGGACTGCCAATGATATTGCAGAAAATCCTCGCATACCGCCTCAGGTGCGCCGTCTAATGAAGAATCCAGAGATCCAGACGTTGCAAGATGAATTCGATAGCGCCAGAGTCTATTTGGCTCGTTGGGCGATGAGTGTTGCCGAGCAGAGCGACAAAGAGCGAAACCAGCGTATATGGACCGCGCAGGATATGCTGGAAATGGAGAATAGCTCTGTTGGCGACTTTGAGATATTAGAGCTGGAGACTGGGAACTTAGCTCTCCAGGAGCGACGCCGTGTTCTCCAACTAAAAGAATGGGAGGGCTTCTTCGACCCTACCTCGGGTAGACTCCAAGTAACGGCGGAGGAAGTCAAGGAACGGATCTTCCATGGCGGTTTGGATCCTAATGATGGCGTCAGAAAGGAGGCATGGCTCTTCCTTCTCGGTGTGTATTCGTGGGATAGCAGTCGCGAGGAGCGCCAAGCGATGATGAACTCCAAGCGCGATGAGTATATCCGGCTGAAAGCAGGCTGGTGGGAGCGAATGGTCGAGGGCAACTCAACGATTGAGCAGTTTGATAATTGGAAAGAGCAGAAGAACCGGATAGGTGAGATTAAAAAGCGGATTTGACATGGTGGCTACTAATACATGAATACAGAGAAGGATGTTCACCGCACCGACCGTACGATTCCTTTGTTTGCGGGCGAAGATATCCCTCATCCGGATCCTGATTCTCCGTTTGCCGAGACAGGTACCAACGTACACCTGGAGCAGATGAAGGATATGCTCTTGACATACAATGAATTCAACCCCGATCTCGGGTACGTCCAAGGAATGAGTGACCTCCTGGCGCCAATCTACGCCGTGATGCAAGATGATGCTGTCGCTTTCTGGGCGTTTGTGGGATTCATGGATCGAATGGTATGTTTTCCACGATGCAAAACGCCGCACTCTCTCACTAATGCCTCTGTACAGGAACATAATTTCCTCCGGGACCAGTCTGGAATGCGTGGCCAGCTATTAGCCCTAGATAACCTCGTCCAGCTCATGGACCCGCAACTTTACTTGCATCTGCAGTCTGCCGAGAGTACCAACTTCTTCTTCTTTTTCCGCATGCTGTTGGTGTGGTACAAACGGGAATTCGACTGGAGCGATGTCCTACGTTTATGGGAGACGCTATGGACCGATTATCTCTCTAGCAGTTTCCACCTGTTCATTGCGCTTGCCATACTCGAGAAGCACCGAGATGTAATCATGGATCACCTCAAGCACTTCGATGAAGTCCTGAAATACAGTATGTTAAAATATGGATGTAATATTGATCCCATTACTAACGTTGCAATCTCCAGTTAACGAGCTGTCAAACACAATGGATCTCGTACCCATTCTCACCCGTGCGGAGTCGCTCTTCCATCGTTTCGAGCGTTCCGTGCAAGCCATCGACAAGAAAGGAAATTTCCCCGCTGCACCAACTACCCACCAGCGTCGCCCAGGCGCAACCGGCCAAGATTCACCTTCAGGGAGCAAGGGAAAGTCACCCCAGCCTGCTATTGGAGCAAGCAGCGGAGTCAACGCTGGCCCCTCCAAGCTTCAACAGGCAATCGATGCCGACAAGCCAAAGGTGATTTCTCCAGAGCTACGTCAATTACTTCGGAAAGACATCCCCTGGAAACGCCAACAAACTTCATGATTGACATCGAGAGCTATGATGGGATTGTATGTCTCGTTTGATATGCATGTAATTGCTTTCCACTGTTCTCAAATTATTGACTATTCACGATTTATGATTACCTTATGTATAGTCTTCTTTGGTTTTTTCTTTAACGACTCGATTTTACGGAGTAAAGGGACATTGATGTCTTGGTGTTTTGCCATATCGCACTTTGATTTTGCAATAACGTCTTCATCCACCCGCATTCGAATACAACTGATGATTCTTATGGGCTCTTTTGCAATCATAGAGATGTCTACAATAGTTAATCTTCATATAACCACACCTAGTAGTGTATACATGTACCGGGCTTGAAACGAACAAAAACCAGGAAATACACCCATGTTGGTGGCCCAAACATGAGAGCTATGTATGTATCGAACAAGGGTTATACCCTTGACGAGTATCCCAGTCATAGCCCATTTGTTTGTCAATTCACCGGTAGTTGTGAAGCCCTTCTTTGCCCCCTTTGTCTTCTATAGGATGTATGAGAAGCTCATAAGAGTAGATCTACTTAATAGATTACATATTTTTACTTACTAATTTTCCCTGCGAACGGAAACTATGGAGAACGGTCGCTCTGTCTTGATCCATAAGATGTGAATGAAAGATATCAGGCTTTCAAATGAACAAATCTACGTAGCTAGGACTCAAGTCCTCGCATATTCGCACATTCGCTATATTTAATGGCCCTACTCCTCATCTGCTTTCTTTGCTTTCTCTTCTCTTCTTCATAACTCATTAGCTACTTTAGCCATTCACTGACATCCCATCGAATTATTATCATACGTTTCTCATCAATATTTATCACCTAATCCAACACGCCTGATATGAATAGTTACATGTACATTATCCACTGTGGCGTTATTAATTGATATAGGACAATGCTACCCCTCGTGGTATCGCGAGGGGCGATCTTGGCCCAAGCTGAAGCAGAGGCAGGCTGCTGCTGTTCAGGCAGCAGTGACGGCTCGTGCAGTTGTCACATGTGCTCGTGTGGATCGCCTTCGTCAAGCCGCAGAGGCTGAAGCTGCGGCACAGTAGCCGTAGTTTAGTCTTGACTTTCAACTCTTCTACTCCGTACTAAGTATGCTGATACAGTCATGAACTAGATAACCACTATTCTATAAAGCGGGCTGGTCCCAATTGATGATAACTAATTATGACTATCACATGCAGCTTAAACGGAGGCAGGAACTACGCCCAAATGCGAGCAACAAGCTGAGCTCAGTAAGGTGCACTTTGTGCCTAAGGCCATAGGATATTGCTTTTCCTTTTGGATTTTGTAGAAATATGTCTTGCTTTCTTAGCAACTTCTATCAATTATCCTTCTTTATCTTCTCCTTTGTCTCAACTCCGTGCAGAGTACTCCGTAAATTCCAGCTATTTTCAAATATACTATAAATAACGCGAGATTGCTCAAATACCCATTATGACAGCTCCGGCTCATCTATCCTCCCCCTTTTATTTTTCTTTCTCTCCCTTCTGCTGTCTTTCCCTTCATTTCTCCTATTCGTTCACACCTTACATCCTTTTCCGCTTTGATATCTTCAAGACAGACAAGCATCATTTAGGGTTACAACCCCTCTATATGGCGTGAGATTACACAAATATTACCCTTGTTTGCTGACATTAACGAATATAGGATCACCTTATTGCTGGGGGCCTTGCAAAGGAAAATAACCAAGCCCTAATCAGCGCTTCTTCCGTTGTTGGAGCAGAAACTACTGAAATTTTTGCAGAAGCGACAGCTGCAAGAGCCGTGGCTCAAGCTCAAGTGTTTCGAGTCCTTATAAATACCCTACTCCGAGCTGCAGAAAAGGCCGAAGCTGCTGCTCAACATTTGTAAGTTGAGTCTCTGGCTTTCAGAACTGTACTAAATATGCTGATAGGATCATGAACTAATCATCATCCTATATAGGGAGCAGGAGTTAGAAGCTGCTGAACTCAGTTTACTATTTTCCATCGGATACATCATTGCAAGCACGATATGGAACACGCAGGGAATACCCTATTGCATAGGGAGGGCGCTCCGGCAGATCACGACTGGCATGCGGTCCAACGTATACAAAATTAGGGGCCCAATCATGCACAAACATTGTAAATGTATGTGAATATTATCTAGTATGCTATGATTGACGAATATAGGATGGGGCTGCCGTTCGCGATCTCGCGAGAACTGGGAACACTGCGGATACGAAATGGGTAGTTTGCCTGCTCGAGCAAGTCATGATACCTCTACTGGAAACTTACGCACCAAGCGAGTACCCGAAAATATGGCAATATATCGGTTACTCTGAGTACTTGTACCTCAAAATACCCGAACAGTGCGAGGTGTCTCTCGGCATTTTCCATCCTCTGAACCATGCCATAATGGAAGTGAGACCACCGGAGCAAATGCGTGGCATTACAACCAGGACACTGTTGATCTATCCCCACTATACAATTGCTCGGCATGCTATTGGTATCGGTCTTGCAACGGAATTGATCGCCCGAGTAGGTCGTTCAATGGCTTTTGTGCCCGACCCTGTTTGGCCATGCTGGAATTGCCAGGTAACTGAGTCATCGGAATGGAGTTGGCATCTGATAGAGATAAACCATGATCTATATACGAGCCGTCGCATTCATTAATCAGCGGTTCTACAGTCCTAGAAGTAGAGGATGTTGCTGTGGAGGCAGAAGCAAAGGCTACACAAGCTGTGGTACTACCGGTTCACACAGATGCTGTAAAGCAGGGAATTCTTAAGCTGCCTAACAGCCGTAAGTTCTCGAAATTACAATCGTAGAGCCAAGAAAATATAGTCTATTAATAGGATTTCTTACAGACAACCTTGGAAAGTACACTCTTTTCGCAGTAACCAGAGGAAACTCTGTTTGCCAGATTTATAGACCTACTTGGTGTGTGGATTTTAGTTCAGTTTACAAGTGGACATCTTTTACATTCTTCATCTGTTTCTGATAATACTCCATATACTATCAGGTATAAAGTTTTGATATAAGATGGAATACATATATTATACAAGATCACACAACTATAGGAATTCGATGGCTAGGAAGCTGTGAAGCACAGATGACTTCCCTCTCACTATCCTGGTGTATTATCCGCCACTAGTTAGCAAGTAGGGAATATCATATCTATAACACTCCTATCTCATAAAGGTTTATTATATGCCAAGACTTTTAGGCTAGCTACTAACACTAACTAACTGGTTGTTTATAAAAGTGAAACCTTTCCCTCCTCTCTCTAGCTGACGCGAACTGGTAGTGTTCTGCTGGAATTTTTCGCATGGAAGTCGAGATATCGTAGATCTTTGAATTACCCCGGAAAGCGCAGTGCACAGGAAATATAATGCAATATATATCAAACTATCTGCAAATGCAAACATCATTCTATCAACCAAATAACTATAGGGTATTGTTGAGCTCTAACACCACACCGAATCCCGAATCAAACACAAAACCAACTGAGAACAGATTCGCCACGCTGATGCAAGTAGGGGAGAAGATAAAAACCCGAGATAGAAGGGACGGTGTCAAAAATGTACTGCCAATGTCGATATGCCGAGGGTCCAGGATGATGCGAAGAGAAAATAACTGCAGACCCATCCGTGATGGGTAAAAACCGGGGAAATAAAAATATGAGAAAATATGGGAATCAAAGATATCAGAATCTATACGCGAAAGATCACATCTGTCGAAGTTCACGACGGCGAGACCCAAGACCTTTCAGCACGACCCGCCTGCTTGTGCCGCTAGACCCGATATCGCCAATGCTGCGGACTTTGGGTAAGGAGTGTCCCGCCATGCCGCTGTCGCCGATATCAAATCGGTCATCGGCATCGTGGTCTGGGGTCATGCTCAGTGCAAACTGGGGTGGATTATGGGAGCTGGAGCAGCGGGTCTTTTGGAGAACATCTGCAACCCAGGCTTCACCTTCTGGGCTCATGGATTCGTACCGAGCACGTGGTCTAGGGCCAGCTAGGCCCAGCGGGGTGGAGCGGGATTCGTTGGCGGTTGAGGAGGCAGCGATGTTGCCGGGGGAGTGAACATCCCCGATTGAATAGCCGGAGGACACTGACAGGCGTCTGCCTGTCGAGGAAGGAATAGGGGCGACAACTGGTGGGGGTGAGGTGAAGGAAGGTAGATGGCCTGTTGTCACTGCCCTGGTGCCCATTACATCTGATGCGGTTGAGCCTCGTCTTTTCTTGTGAACGGTAAGGGATGAAGGGGGCCGAGCACTGAGCACGGATTGTGGTCGGGACGGAGTAGCCCGGCCGGAGGCAAGATACGAGGTAGCTGGAGTCAACATGGTACTTGGAGATGGGTAAGATGGCGAGGAACGTGATTTTAGGCCCTGCACCTCCACACGGGGTGTCTCAGACACCTTGCGGCGACCATGGTGAATTACATATTCGCGAAGGTATTCGCCAAGGTCAGCCCATCCACCGCCAACACGAACCATCACTCGCTGCCCCTCTTCCCCTACGGTGCGAACGAACAGTTTTGTCGGTGCGGACTGGCCCCCGTGGTGGAGGTGATAGAGTTTGACGCAGCTATCCTCTGTCTTGTAGGCATGTGAATGCCGTCTCCGGGCAGCGGGCATCAACGTCAGAGAAGGTGCAGGAGTGGTGCTGCGAGTGATTGGTCCAGTGGGGGATTCGGATCGGTACCGCATTCGTCGATCCAGGGACGACGATGACGAGGATGTGTCGGCTTCGTGGTTGGAGTCCACTAAATGGATATGACCAGGCAAAGAGTTGAGAATAGAGTTAATCTTTTCGTCGAGCTGGTCTCGCGGTTGCTTCGTGTGTTTGGTTGGCGAGGAAGCGCGGAATCCGAAATCAGTGGGTTCAGATCCATGCTCTTCTACATAGGATAACTCTTGCCTCTTCACACCCAGACTTTCGAGACTTGGATGGGCAGTCAGTCGCTGTCGCCATCGGAGAGATTTGGGCTGAAGAAGGTGCTCCATGGCTCTTCGGGCGGAGTTCATCCCAAATGTCTTTTTGTTTCGTTCCGCGATTTTTGCCATCTCATTTTGAGAGTTCAGGTCAGATGCAGACTTTCCTCGGGACAATTGATGATGGCGAGTAGGAAGGCGTGGAGCCAGAGGACTGGATGCAGCAGAATTATCCTGGAATGTGATTTTCGTTTGTGTCTAGAATAACGAATTAGCGATGAGCATATAAGCAAATCAACAGTTGGTTCACATACCTTTGGGGGTTTAGGGAAGTCGGCAGATGTGACGGAGTGTGTCCTGGTCCTAGACGGGTTCACGCTAGCCACACCTGGCGCCGACTCACTTCCTAGCCCCAACTCCAAGCGTTCATTAATAAACCGCTCAAGGGGCAGGCTGACTGTGCAAGTTTGCTCGAAAGAGATTCGCGGGTCAGGCTTTTGATTTTCCAAACGACGCAGACGATCCTCTCTCAAGGTATAGTCACCATGCGAAAGAGGATGTCTAGATTCAGGGGGAGATGATGGCCCAATAGGTGTCACATTAGAGGAAGCAGTACGCGGCTCAGGCGCCTCAGGGGTGGATATCAGGGAAGAATGGTCTGAAAGCAAGGAGCCTACAGATCCAGTAGATGTCCGACGACGATGTGTTATTTTATGCACCACTTTGCCATCTTCGTTGAGACCAGACTTCCCTGGGCGGGATTTGGAAAGTTTGATAGGACTCTGTAACGGCTTGCGAACTGTCCGTTGGGAAGATTCGGCTTTCCCTTCATTCAACGGATGGTGAGACTTGATGGGCGTATGATTTGAGCCTGACTTAGGCGACGCCACAGCCATGGGTATTTGTGAAATCCTTCCAGATGCTCTCGATTTCGGCACTTGAATGTCCGACCTGTTCGGTGTAAGCACCGGAGAGATAGCTGCTGCTACTGGAGTATCACACTGATTCTGTTCACTCGACCTGTCCGGGGATTTAGGCTCTTGGTAAACAGGAGAACTGATGGTTTCAGGTTCAGGCTTGAGTTTGGTTGGTCGGGAATGTGGAGAAGGCTGTTCTCTCGCATCAGAGTTCCTGTCTTTCTCATCTGTCCTAGTACCAACCGCCAAGTGTTTGTGGTCAGCAGAGGCCTGGGGCTCTTCGGCGGCAGGTACATCAACAGAAACAAGCACCTCAGGAATTTGGACTCCTATTTCAGATGCGGCTGAATGCTCAAGGAAAGGATCTTCGGCGAGAGCCCTATTCTCGAATAATGGACTTGATTTTGTCGAAGCCTGGCTGGGAGATGACACTGCCCCGTCGGGCTGTTGGAAGCCGAGCGGAAGAATGTTTTCCTTGTTTTCCAAGGTGCGATCAATTGCGCAAGGTATATGTGCAGGAGCCGAAAAGAGCTGTCGACTGATTGCAGAAGCTGGAGGAAAGTCGGACTGTGTTGGCGTGTCTAAGTCCTCTGCCATGGCCACAGGTGTGAGATCTTCATATTTCTCTTCGAGTGGAGACTTTAAAAAAGATATCGAGAGTTTCAAGTTTGGTGAAGCGTTCCCTTCGACCCGACCTGCGGGGAGCGGCGTTTCTTTAATAGGCACTGTTGATTGTTTAATAGGTTGTGGGCTAGCTGGTCTTCCGTCGCCGGGCGAGACTTCCAGGCCACACTGAAGTTCAACGGCCTGCTCCTGAGGGGAACAGAGATCATCTGAAGGTTCCGATACAGCTGTATCAGATGACGGGTCCTGCCGTGTTTCCTTCAATGACTCTGCGCGCTGGAGGCCGGCTGCGCGCATTTCAGCCATTTGAGACTCAGCTTTTGACCGCAACCACTCGTTGCGAACTTTGCGTTTATCAGCCTCCACCACCCATGTGGCAAAGTCAGACTCGATGGCTTCCAAGTCATCAATCCATTGTCCAGGCAAAGAATCTGGGCGACCCTCCAACGCGTCGAGAACTCGATCCATCCGCCTCCCGACAGCCACAACTGCGGACTCCAGTTTAACATGATCGGCAGCTAGGGATGCATCGGACGATTCGTTTGGATCGGAGACAGAAGAATGCGGGGTTTGTAAGGCGTGGAGGGAGGAGTCAAGGGCGGAGCGGGTCAAGCTCAGCTCTCTGAGCAGAACAGGAATTTGGCGCAAGACAAAAATGCGAACTTCCCAAGTGGCAAGTAGGGCAGTCAGTCGCGAAAGGTATGGCAGAGCTCGCAGGATTGTCGCTGTAATGACAGCTGTGAAGTCACTCAGCTGTACATAGCTGAGCGGCGGAGGCACAGACACGCAGCTTGTGGCGGAAGAGGGTCGAGACCTGGATGGAATGTGAGCATTCAAAACGTGTTCTTTTAATTCTTCCACGTTAAGATCGTCCATTCCATCACGGATTTCATCGGATCTCCTCTCATATCGCTCGACCACGCTGGCTAACAAGCTTCCATAGTAGCTTTGTTGGGTGTTGCTAGGGGGAGCCAAGAACATCGGAGGGCTGGGATTTCCCCCAGATTGCGACACAGATGGAGGAAGGAAACCCAACCCAACCTTCGCGTCGCGTTGATTTGGCCAGTCCCATGATTGAACCTCTTTGTACCACAAATTCAAGTTTTGGGCAGCTACCGCTGCGCGTATCCCTAAGGCGCGTTCTGAAGGCGACACTTGCGAGATACTTCGTGCGAGGATATCATGGGCGCGTTGTTCGTTCGAAGGTACTGCATCGGTTGATGTGAGGGCTTGAAGAGTTGATTCGGGAGAGAGGTTGCTGAGGAGAGGGTCGAGTTGTTGGTAGACGGAGCTAGGCATTCTTTCAAGTGAGGTTGAGCGCGAGTTATTTCGGGAATGGGAGGGGGAGAGGCGGATAGAAGGGTAATCCGGATTTATTCGACTGGCTGCCATGCCGAATAGATGCTCAGCCTTGGTCGGGGGTGTAAAGTCACAGGAAGCCTCGAGTGGCTCGAGGATGGCATGTAAGTGACGGACGTCGGATCGAGGGCGGGAAAGAGGACTGTCGAGCCCGCATGCTGAGACGCGCGTCTTAAGAGGGTGCAGAACTTGGCGAGCAATAAGCTCTTGGGATTTGGAGAGAAAATAAAGAAATGAGAAAATGATTGAAGGTTGACGAGGGATGTCGAAGTACAAAGGTGAGAGGCGAGAAACGAGGGTGCGGAGAGAGAGAAGGTGGCTGGTGCGAGGTGGGCACAAATGAGCGACAAGGAGGAGAAAGACCTGCTTTCTGATCACAATAAAATATCAAAACAATCACAATCAAAACAATCGGAAGATTTTCTGAAGTTGAATTATTTTGACCATTGAGAAGTGGAGATCGGATCAGGGGAGAGGCCCTAAGGTCGAGTGGAGTTGCCGACACGAACCATTGCCGGGTGATCCGCCTTTACTATGTATGGGGGAAATTAGTTACTATTCTTCATTGATTTATTAATTACTTCATTTGGTATAATTTGAACTATTGAAGTGTGTCGGAGGGGTAGAAAAAAGCAATATTTCATGTTTAAACTGTGAGGAAAGCAGATATCAGAAATTCCAGGAAGGGGAGAATAAGACTATTTGAAAATAGATTCAACTGTAGACGCAAGGGGAATATTTTTTAATATTTACCCAATTATTTATACACTCCGTAGTGGATATGAATGAATGCAGCAAAATCAAAACAAACTAACTCTTTAGATCGATTTCTACTACAATCACTATGTGGTCATGATGGCGTTAGTCGGAACTGATGGCACATAGGCCCTGGAATAGAATCCGGAATATCCCCGACACTCCAAAATCTGCAGAGCTGCATAGCTGCATAGATGCAGAAGTATCTTCTAACAAGCCAGTCATCATGCAAGAGCTTCGATACCGCTCAGAACTCCTAGAAGGTGTTGCCGAAGAGCTCACTAAAGAGCTCAAGAAATATGAAGAATGGTTCTTGCTCGAGCCGCACAAATTGAAGGTGATCTCAGATCACTTTGCTCAAGAGCTGGAGAAAGGTCTTACAGTTGAGGGTGGGTCTATTGTGAGTATCAATTGGACCCATAACAATTTGAATATCGAATAGATGCTGACTGGAATATTGACATAAAATTGAAGCCTATGAACGTCACATGGATCATGAAATATCCAACAGGACGCGAAAAAGGACGCATTCTTACAATTGATTTGGGAGGAACCAATATCCGTGTATGTGATGTCTGTCTTTCCACGGGGAAGGGAGAATTCGAGCAACGTCAGCGAAAATACAAGCTTCCGGAGGAGATCAAGACAAGCACGAAAGAAGTCCTGTGGGATTTCATTGCGGACCGAATCGGATCATTCCTCAGTGAAAATCAGAGCGGTATTAGTGCTTCAGATCCACTCCCACTGGCGTTCACATTTTCATTCCCAGTGGAGCAAAAGTCTATCCGCAGTGGCATTTTGCAGCGCTGGACCAAAAACTTCAATGTTTCCGGAGTGGTAGGGCACGACGTAGTACCCCAGCTGGAAGAGTCACTTGCAAAGAAGGTAAACTCACGTTGAATACAAAGAGAGTTGAAGCTGATCAAGCTAGAATGTCCCAGTGAAACTGGTGGCCCTAATCAACGACACGGCGGGAACCCTTGTCGCATCACGGTACAGGGATCAGCAGGTAAAGATTGGTAGCATTTTCAGTACTGGCTGCAATGCAGCGTACATGGAAGAGTGCCGGTTGATCCCCAAACTGCGTGATTTAGGACTGCCCGAAGATGCAACTGTAATCATCAACACCGAGTACGGCGCCTTTGATAACGAGTGCAAGGTGCTGCCCTTGACTCCATTTGATCGCCAAATTGACGAGGAGTCCGCCCACCCAGGTACGCAGATCTATGAAAAGATGGTGGCTGGGTTGTACATAGGAGAAATGCTGCGCCTGGTAATGCTGAAAATGCACGAAGGAGGTATACTCTTCAAGGGCCAAGACGTTTCACGTCTTCGAACCGCGAACTCATTAGAGACATCTTTTTTGTCTACTGTCGAGATGGATATTTCAGACTGTTTGACTGATATGAAAGGGGAGTTTAAGGAGAGCCTCAATTTGGAACTCACGTTGGACGAGTTGAAGGCATTACGTCATCTGATCGGCCTGATCGCGATGCGTGCCGCGCGTCTCTACGCGTGTGGAATTGCGGCCATCTGCAAGAAGAAAAAGATCCGGCAGTGCCACGTTGGGGTTGATGGCTCGGTGTTCAGTAAATATAGTATGTTAAAGGGACGGGCAGTGCAAGCCCTTCGTGATATTTTTGATTGGGAGCCAGGCAGATTGGACTTGATTGCTCTGAACTCGGCCGAGGATGGATCTGGAGTAGGGGCAGCTTTGGTTGCAACGTTGACTCTTGACCCAAGTGAAATAAAAGAGTGTAACATGGATGATATTTAAAATCGCAAGCTGTTCTAAAGTTGTGAAAAGAGAGTTGCAGACGTGAAATCCTCTATGAATGATAGCGATAAGCACTTTAATTGTCGACCTTTCCTCCCTCCATCAACAACCCACACAATGCGGTTCCGAACACAATTAACAGACAGCAGGACCTTCTCCAGTAAGCCCAATCATTAGAATAAAGGATCAAAGCTGACCAAATCAGAGCTCACAGCGTCACTATCCTCGCTAGGCAAGGTATGTTGGATGCGCCTGGAGTACGAGGTGATCCGTTTTACCATCATACCCGACCAAGGCACACAAGTTTGGGCATCAATACCAGTGGTATGGTTAATAATATCCAACCTATAGATCATGTTATCAATATATTGACCGCTTGGCAGGCAACCATTTTCGATGACACAACCTACGAGTTAGAATCAAATTCCGACGCTATCAATATCGAAGTCAACATCAGCGTTCTAAACCGAGCCCTACGTTCCGCCTGGGGCTCAACGCATACACAGCTCCGCCTAACTAAAAAAGACAAAACCCCACTGTTGGCACTAACAGTCCTGGCATCAGAATGGACAGACGGAAACATGGCATTAGCCACCAACAAGGACGCAGATGGCTTTGGCGGCAACCCAAACACACCAGCTCCAGCCGACACGACAGGCGATCGAGGACCACGCGAGCGCCAGACATGGATCACGCAAGAAATACCAATTAAGATCCTTCACGAGTCAACGGTCGAAGGCCTGCATGAGCCGCACTGCCCAGACCCCGAAGTACACATCATTCTACCCAATCTGGCGCAGTTGAAGAGTATCTCTGACCGCTTCACGAAACTCGCGTCCACAGATAGCAAAGGCCGACAACCGGGCGTGATGGCGCCCGATGCGCCGGGGATGCACTCTGTTTCTTTTAGCGGACCGGGCACCAACGCAGCTGCCACTGCACTGTCCACCAACTCGTCTCCCAAGCTTGAATTATCTGCTAATATGCATGGCTCGCTACGACTGGCTATTGCTACGGATGAGCTGCGCATCGCAAGTGTCTGGTCTGATCTCGTGAACCCACCGTTGGACCCTGCGCAGATGAGCGAGGAGCAGATGAGCCAGCTTCCCAGTGAGCTTAATCGGAGGCGAGAGGTGAGTGAGGGATTTGAGTCCGGTTGGGCTAAGGTGCGGATTGATGGAAAGGATTGGAGTCGGGTTCTCAGTATTGGGAGACTGAGTCCCAAGGTTGTTGCCTGTAAGTCTCTTCGATGGTTGATACCTTGAATTACCCCCCGCTTGGTGCAAGGTGACTGGATTTCTCATTCGTTATGGTTAGGTTTCGTCAATGAAATGGCACTGGTTCTTTATGTCTATCTGCCAGGTAATGAGAAGGGAGAGGAATCTTGTTTAACGGTGAGTTAGTATTACCCCAAGAATGCGTTTCCCAACAACCAAGCCTTCTAACACTCGCGTTTTAGTATTATATCAATTCATTTACCACATAATACTGTGGTAATATTTGGGCTACAATGTCCATCTTCCAAAGTGCAGGCGTTTGAAGGTCGGAAATGAATTATTATAAATCGTTATTAAGACAGGTGCATGCCACAAGCCATGCAAGAAGAAACCTCCAGATCCAAAAAGTTCAAGCAAGCAATAAAATGCGAGCCCAAAGAGAACATCAACGGGAGGAGGGTGATATACACAATGCCAGGAGTACGAGCCCTTGACTCCATGGATGACGTCGCACCAAAGAACAGCAAATATCAAGCTATGCGCAACAGCAAGGCTTCAGATGACGTTCAATGAGCGAGAATGCAGAGGGACGGCGTGTCTGCTGGGGCAAGAAACAAGACACATGCAAGATGCTAGGGCAGTGACGAATTTAGTAACAGGGGGGGGAGGGGGGTTGTATTATTCAAGGGTAGGGGGATGCGGTTCATCAATGAAATCATGTGAAAACAAATGAAAGGCATAACGATGAAACAAACATAACGGAACAAAAGAAAAGGACATTATAGCACGTAGCTAGTCGAAAGACTGGTAAGCACTACATCATCGGACAGTCGAATAAAGTCCGATAATTATTGAGCCATCACGTCAACGTAACGGCCCTTCTTCTTACCGCGAACAGTGTTGCCCTTGCGCGCCTGGGGTGCACCGATCAAATCATCGATTGAGCTAGCATGAGTCAAGGATGAAGAAGGCCGCAGCGGTGGGCCGCCGGAACTACCGGGTGGTGTTGGCATAGCCGCTCCTGTAGAAACAGACCGAGGGAGAGGTTGAGGCGCAAGCCCGGAGAGGCCTGGGCTGGACGAGAAAGGCGGGGCGGCAGCTGAAGAAGACTGAGGTCGGTTGCCAGAGCCAGACATTGGGGGCATCGGAGGCATCGGAGGTGCACCGTTCGGCGGCATGCTGCCCGAGCTCGCGGTCCGACTGGGGGGAGCGGATCCTCGAGGAGGAGGTGGAGTGGCATGGGCCGGCGCGCTACTATTGGGATCTTTCTTATTGACCCATTTCTTCAAGTCCTTGTCGTAGTAGAAGGAGCTTTCTTCGCCAAGTTTGGCTCTGATAGGACCACCACCGGATTTGTTTTCCTCTTTCTTGGCTCCGCCGAACCAACCACCAAACCAGCCCTTCTTGCCAGATTGTTGGGCATCCTTCTTAGCTGCAACAAAGATCGGATTAGTAAGTGAGCTAAGCGATAGGCGTTGTTAATACATACCATCTTCCTCGGCGGCTTTCGCGAACGCTTCATTTGCCTTGCGATCATTCTCTGCCTTTTGGAGAGCCGCTGCCCGGGCGGCAAGATCGTCGTCATCGTCATCCATGATTGACTTCTTCTTGGGCTGTTCTGCAGTAGGTGGCACATCCTCCTCCTGGGCAGCATCATCTACACTAGCCGCAACCGGTGTGTGAGAAACAGGCTCGTAAGACGAGCTTGCAACAGGAGGTGCGTACGGTGATTCGGAGTCTGGTATACCAGCTGGCATACCAGGAGGGCCTTGGTAATAAGGGGATTCGCTGGATGTGGCAGCCTGCCCTGGAGGCTGATAAAAGAGGCCATTGACCATGGGCTGCGCGGCTGAAGGAGCTTCACCAGGTGACATGGCTTCTTCTACCGGAGCAAGAGGAACGTATGAGGACTGGGGCGGCGTCGGTTGGTACCCACCCGCGTTTGGTGACCCATACGTTGGAGCTCCATAGGACATTTGTTGATCAATCGAGGGGGAGAGTTCTTGTGAGCTTCGGCGTTGTCCAACAGGCGGGAAATAGGAAGCAGATCTCTGAGAGTCCATTGAAGATCGGCCTTTGAACTGCTCCGGCGAGGCATTGGGTGCATATTGGCTCGATGGGTGATACTTGGACGCGCCGCCTACAGGAATGGCCTGCGCTCCTACTGCTGCCCCAGGATAAGAACCGTAGATGTCAGATACAGATGGTGAGCGGCTAATTGTTGGGGTGCCAGCTACGTTGGCAAAAGGACCAAACTCCGTTTGCTCGCCACCCTTACCGGATCCAGTCGATGCGGCATCGCTATCATCACCTGCCACGAAGCTATTGAAGCGAGCCCACATGGACCCCGAGACCTTCTCCATGCTTGGCCTCGATATCCAAGAGCCACTATCGCTGGCTGTTTGGCGGAGACGTGCAGACAGCTCTTCAACCTCTGCAAACAAGTGTTGGTGATAGTACGGCGAGGGACGAGTGGTAGCTTTCAATGCCGCTGCCACTGCATCGCAATAGCCTTGTGCCTCTAAATTGCGACCCTGATCAACGAGGCACCTGGCGTTCAGGATCTTGAAGGCCAACAGATGTGGCAGATGGGCTGTAGGGGAGGTGCCGAGAACAGATGTAGCATACTCATAAGCCTCGGTCAGCAAGATAGCATCTTCATCCAACAAGGAAGAAGGGCAGCGCTGATGGTCAGCACCAAGGAGAACAATGTCGGCCTGTGGATAATCGGGGCCACCGAAAACAGCAGCACGCGAAAATATGTAGCAGATGTGAGCCGCCTCTGTCCGTCCATAGGAAGTAAGCAGACGACCGAGGGAAAGCAGGGCCTGGTGATCCTCAGAACTCCGGTTACTTAAAACCAGTCCCAAAGTATCTTTCCACTTGTCTAAACCTTCGAGGACATTCTTAGTAGAGCCCTGGCCATCGGCCTTGCTAATTAGTTGCAGACCTGCTCGGGCAGACGGGGGCACGAGTTCGTCGATGCTTTCTTCAATATTGCCAGCGAAGATCTCGTAGAGGGCTGCAAGTGACTCAGTATTTGCGGCTTTAGATCTGACCTCGCGGCGGACAAATTCCTGCATGACCTGTTTCGAGATCGACTTATCCATGGTGGATGAGATGATCATCGCATGTCCCCAAAGGCGTCGATCTACAGCACCCCAGACGGCCTTCTCCCGATCACCACGGATTAAGTGTAGGCGAAGCTCCTCCAGCCACTGTGCATCAACAGCATCAGGCTGCGAAGGCATTTCCGAAGTGACAAACCCTCCAGAGGTGGCTAAACTGCTTGTGTATGATCCGTCTGCGTCAGAATCTTGCAGGTTGGGAAATATTATTTGGCGGAGAGACGTTTGAATCTCTGGGGAACCCTCCAGGTTACCGTCATTCTCCACCAGAAGCTTGACAATCTTCCAGAGGAGAATTTTCTCCTCCCGGCGTTTGTGCGCATCAGACTGAACCTGTTCATAGCTTGGAAGATCTGAATTTTCAAAAGCCGCAATCTTGCTAGAAAGCCAAACAATCAGGTCTTTCTTCTTTGACTTTGCCTTGAGGGGCCCAGGGTGCTGGACGATTGTATCAGTGGAGGGCAGCCATTCGCTCAGTTGAGAGATTTTTGGTTCACCAAGAGTGGGTTGAATCATTGGCGCCACTTGGCCAACTGAGTAGCGAGGAACGTGCTTGGGGAAGCAAGAGACTATGGATCCCCCGAACCCGAATTTGAAGATCGGGGCTCCCTTCCATCTCTCCAGGGGATCATGGTCCAGTCCATCATTAGGAGCGATAAATTGCAGGTGCTGAGTTGGAGCACGGGGTTGAGAAGCAGCCTGCACAGGAGCATATGGATTCACTGTTTTAGTCGGTGAGCCTGAAAATTGCACCGAAGCCGGCCGTTGGAGGGTATCGATGTTCTGTCCATAGGAACGCGGGCTCGTCAAGTCCCGGGTAGGTGACTGGGTCTGAGATCGGCGAAGCGGACCCATCTGGGTATCGCTGGGTGGTGGAGACATATATACATTCGGCGCGGGAGCATGAGGAGCAGCAGCATATTCCGGAGCCGGTGCGAGACGCTGAGCGAACTCATTGAGATATTCCTGAGGGGCATAGCGACTTTGAGGCGGAGACGACTGCACAGGTGAGCCCGCACTTCCTCTCCGCGGTAGGGTAGAGGGGCCGTTAAGATATTGCGGAGCACTAGGTGGGGTTTGTCCGAAGCTAGCTCCTTGCCCGCGCGGCGGAGAAAGATTGATCGCAGGCTCGAGAGATGGTAGTTTGTGTGATTGATCGGGCTGATAAGAAACCTTCTCATGGTGTGCAAGCGGACTTGACGTCCGTGGCTGGAAAGGTAAATTTTGGCCAGGGACATGAAGTGGCTGTGAGGCATAACGATTGCGAATAGACGAGGTAGGAGGGGGCGCAGGGGAATATCTAGGCAACGAAACTGGTTTTGCGGGTGCTTGCAAGCCAGGAGGTTGGGGAGAATATCTTGCAACGGCAGGAGGTCCGGCCGGGGCGCTCGATGCTAGGCTAGCATACGGATCCAGTTGTTCAGGTGGCTGAAGTGTGGATTGGATTGGGAGCGCGATAGACTGTTGAGTTGGTGGTGCGGTAGGAGCAGATTGAATCTGGGAAGGAAGAGGCGACCCAGTCATCGTCGACGCCGCCTGCGGATTAGGGGTGTACCGGCCTGAGCTGGCAGGCCTAGACCTTGGTGGCGCCGGAGGAAGTTCCTCGTAGAAATTCTTCGGCGCAGGGGGAGGGGCCACAGCTGAGGGGGAAGCTGCTGCAGGGGGGAAGCCAACTGCAGCAGAAATTGGTATGCTAGAAGCGCCTGGGGGAGGAGGTGGAGGCATGCTGGTCACTGTTGGTGGAACAGGTTTGTGAGTAACGACCGGCTTTCGGGGTCGGGAGATATCATCTGGAAGATCGTAAGGAGATTTGTAACCCTGTTTCGACCGCTCAGCAAAGCTCTCTCCTCTGGTTGTTACAGGGTTCTGCTGTGGTTGCGAGAAGTATGATGGCATCGCTGCGGTGGCTGGCGGCGCAGCTCCTAGGAGGGGAATACCCTGTAATAAATCGCCGGTGGACGGTTGATGAGGTGTGTATATGCTAGGAACAGGTCTTGGCTGAGAAAAGCCCTGAGGTGTCTGGAAAGGACTGTTCAAGCCAGCCGACAGAGCATCGTTGGTAGGCTGAACAGGGGTTTGGTAAATGTGCTCATGTGCAGGGACAGGCTGAGCGGCTTCAGTCTCCAACAGTATATCGTCATCGTCCAATGCCGCCTCCCAACGAGCCGCCAGATCATCATCCGGTAAATCACCTAGCTCGGCTTCCCACCGTGCCGCTAGTTCTTCCTCCGAGGGTTCGGCTGTTGTCTGGGGTTCCAACGACGCAGCCTTCAGGGCTTCATCGAACTGTGCTGCAGCCGAAGCGTCACTAACTGGGGAGTCAAGAGCAAACCCAGCCGATTCCAAGACCTGAGATGTACTCTTTCGAGTGAGATGGAGTGTTTGCTCCTGAGCCTCTTCCTTTGAGGTTGACCGGAAGAAATCCTCATCGTCGTTCCGATCTTCTGTCTTCGGAGCCGAGCTGAAGAAGCCATCTGCATCGTCCCCGTCGTTGGCAAACACGTTGTCGATGGATTTCTCTTCTTCTATTGGGTGCAGAGGTGAAGCCGGTGTAGACTCATCTAACAATGGGACCCCTTCCTCGAACCTGGACTCGGCTTCTGGCGGTGCAAATATAGGCTTTGTCTGGGTGTTGAGTTGGTTAAAAAAGTCGTCCTCGTCAGAGTTGACTTCACCACTCGGCTCGTTCGTCCATAAAGGTTGATTCTGAGTGGTTGTATCCACGCCCGCTGGGGCCGGATCTTGAACAGCATGGTTATTTTCGTGAAGAGGGGTAGCCTCGGTAGAGGGCAGCGTATTGCTAAGGTCCTTCTCAAAGGTGTCCCATGGATCTTTGGAATCGGTATTGCCCTCGTCTTTTTGTGGGAACAGCTCTTCGGTGGGAGTGGACGACTGAGTAGTATTTCCATGTTCAAAGGTGTCTAACATCGATTCAGGTGCCATTGTTTGCTCCTCTCTTGGAGGTGTTGTAGGCTCTCTCGCCAATGTCGACTCCGGGTTGGTTTCTTGTTCAAGTGCGGCAGTGGGAACGGCAGTATGAGAGGTTTCAGTTTGAGAAGAGGGTGGCTCGTTTGTAGTGGTGGGAAAACTATTTCTAGCCTCCGCACCGGATGTGACTGGACGTGTTTCGGTCTGAACTAGCTGCGTGGGTTGGGTCTCTGGCAGGGTCGGGGTTAGGACGGCATCTACAGTCTCAGTAGATAGCTTGGTATTTGTGTGAGCCGTTTCAATAGTCTCATCGGGGATTTGACTGGTTTTATCGACAGCATCAGTGTCTAGGCACATAGCCTGGTCTACCGCCGGTGATGCATTGTTCACTGGCACGTCCAAGCTCGTGTATTGAGGCTGAACCGGGTCTACCTCATCGGGAATATCCCACGCAGAGAAGTCCTCACTCTGTGGAGATATGACATCGGCGAGGGACTTGTCCTCTGGCTCATCTGCCGCAATCAGGTCTGACAATCCACCCTGGATTGAGCTCATCGTAACAGGAGGGCTATTGTCCTCGGGCCGTAAGGCTGGATTCCATGACTCCGAGTCATTGTTGGTCGGTTGGTGCGCCATATGTGCAAAGTCGTTCTCGATTGCGAACGTGACTAGAGATGGGGGGCGCGGTCCGGAGGGACCAACCTGACACGTCTCCAATGACGCCTCAGGAGATCAACAATCGCAAAGGAAAACAGGGTCGATGGCGTCAACTTATCAGTCCATGAAACAATGTAGATATAAAACAGAGCAAACAAAACTCAAAGAAACAAATCAATCATGAATCCATCAGTTGATGGCGAGGGAAAAAAAAAGCAGTCGGCTTGTCATGGAATAATGCGACAGTAAAGGGTTCCCCGTGGGCCCGCCAAATGCACGGGCTGAGTCATCAGAATGCTGTCCCAAATAGGAAAAGCATAGACCCGTTATGCGGAGAAACTGATATTCCAGCTCTTTTATGCGCAACCTTAAAAATGCAGTATTATGTCATCTAGTTATCGCTGCGAGTTATGCACTCATGTGATTGCTTCCACGGGTGGGTGGCCGAACAGGCAGTCATCGATTGTCCTTCAAAGACACTCCACTCGGTTCTCCGTTTGGTATATTTCCCAAATTTTATGATTGTGGTGTTGACAGCATTTGACACAAAGAAGCGTTTCGTTTCCTCTTTCACCCTCCCACCATCCCTCTATCCTTTCATCATCATGCTGCATATTGATTGATCAATACCACCGCACATGACAACATATACTTGAGATGAACCTTCCTTCGATGCAAGGCCCAAAAGCACCACCTTGCATAAAACCAGCAATTGATTTGACTTGAATCATACCAACTTTCTAATTATGCCTTCATCATCCGACTACCTACACCCCCTAGACCATCACGATGCGCCAGACGCCTTCTCGGACTCGGACGATGACTTGGATCTAGAAGAGCTAGATCCAAGCACAACATCGCCTCAGCAATCTCGTGAGTCTCAGGACTATACTGGCCGCAAAAGAAGTCATGGGCCGGGTATTGCGCTACGGAACTTGCGTGTCGGAGCGGCAAGTCGGTGGAGACGCAGTGCGTCTGGACGCGCAGATTTAGAGGATGATACGGATGCGCTTTTAGAGAATGGGGAAGAACAAGGCGTGCGGGACTCACATGCAAGCTCCCGGAACTTGGAAGAGGATGATATGCCTCTCCTAGATCGTAGAGCCTCGACTCGCGATTTCAACGATGAGCCTCCCAAGAAAGGCAGCCGCTTCCGCTTCCCGGGATTCAAGACACCCGTATTTCTGCAGGGCACACCACATCTATTTGGATCAAACGACAACGACTCTGATAACCAACCTCCCCGTGAAGTACTTGTCGGGCAGTACCAAGCGATTAAGTATCCGGCCAATGTGGTTTCGAACGCAAAATACACACCCTGGAGCTTTCTACCGAGGACCCTTTACAACGAATTCTCCTTCTTCTTCAACATCTACTTCCTGCTTGTGGCTTTATCACAGGTCATCCCGGTGCTACGAATTGGTTATATGTCGTCATACATTGCGCCCTTGGCCTTTGTGGTTTCAATATCGTTGGGTAAAGAAGCACTCGATGATATTCGTCGGCGGCGACGGGACGCCGAAGCTAATGCCGAAGAATACTGCATTTTAGCACTAGGAAGATCCAACGCGACGGAGGTCACAAAAAAATCACGAGACCTGAAAGTTGGTGATGTGCTCAAAGTTCGTAAGAACCAACGTCTTCCTGCCGATGTAGTGATTCTGAAGAGCATTTCAAATGACTCTGGCACTCCTCGTCATTCAATAATGGAAGAACCTGTTCCTGAGGCATCTTCCGAACTGCTCGAACCAGGTCAGGGATCGTCCGAGCCCACAACTAACACCGCATCAAAAAGTGGTGAAGGTGCTGGAAATTCGCCTGCGGGTGATACTTTCATCCGGACTGATCAATTGGACGGCGAAACTGACTGGAAGCTTCGTCTGCCTTCCATGCTGTCTCAATCTCTATCTCTAAGCGATTTAGGTCGACTACAAATCACAGCTAGTGCCCCCGATAAGAGAGTCAACGAATTTGTTGGGACTATTGGGCTGGGTCCGCCCACTGGATTTTACGATGCCCATGTTGACAAATCATCTGGGCCTCTAACCAACGAAGGAACGCCTGGGCCTGTGGAAAATCAATCGGCTCCTTTGACAATCGATAATACCGCCTGGGCCAACACTGTTCTTGCGTCCAACACCATCACCTACGCCGTCATCATCTATACAGGATCTCAAACCCGCGCTTCACTTTCAACTTCCGCTTCCCGGTCGAAGGTCGGCCTGTTAGAACTCGAAATCAACAACCTCACCAAAATTCTCTGCGCCCTCACACTTACTCTCTCGTTCATCCTTGTCGGATTAGAAAGATTCCAGCCAACAAACGACAAGAAATGGTACGTTGCGATCATGATATATCTCATTCTCTTTTCCACGATCATTCCCATGAGTCTCCGGGTCAATCTGGACATGGCCAAGTCAGTATATGGGCGGTTCATCGAACGGGACAAGGACATTCCAGGGACGGTTGTCCGCACCAGTACAATTCCAGAAGATCTGGGAAGGATTGAATATCTTCTTTCAGATAAAACGGGAACGTTAACCCAAAACGAGATGGAGCTCAAAAAAATACACGTTGGCACTGTATCATACGCCAATGAGGCAATGGACGAAGTCGCCTCATTTATTCGCCAGGCTTTTGCGTTTTCAGGCAATACCTTGACCACCCCTTCAACTGTCTTTGGAACTCAGGCCGGCCATGCCACGGCACCACGGACAAGGAGAGAGATTGGCTCCCGTGTCCGGGATATCATCTTAGCGCTTGCTCTTTGCCATAATGTCACACCGACCACAGAGGAGGAAAACGGCCAGAAGGTGACGAGCTATCAAGCTTCGTCGCCTGATGAAATTGCCATTATCCGATATACCGAAGAAGTCGGATTAAAGCTAGCATATCGAGACAGACAAAGTATCGTCTTAGAATCCACCGACACCAAGCAGGTTGTCGTGCGGGCTCGAATTCTCGATATCTTCCCATTCACATCTGAGTCCAAGCGAATGGGGATTATCGTTCAATTCCAGGATGATGAAAACATGCTTGAACCTGGTAAAGACGATAGTGAAATTTGGTTCTATCAGAAGGGTGCAGACACCGTCATGACAACTATTGTTGCAGCGAATGACTGGCTTGACGAGGAGACTACCAACATGGCTCGGGAAGGGTTGCGAACTCTCGTTGTTGGACGCAAACGAATCTCCGCACAGCAATATCAAGCCTTCTCTGCCGAATACAGACAAGCGTCACTGTCTTTCCAAGGGCGAGATGCGGGTATGGCGAAGGTTGTGGGCAAATACCTTGAGCAGGATTTAGAGCTTTCTGGTGTGACCGGTGTGGAAGATCGGCTGCAGCGCGATGTCAAATCCTCCCTCGAGCTGTTACGCAATGCTGGTGTTAAGATCTGGATGTTGACGGGTGACAAAGTGGAGACAGCGCGTTGTGTGGCTATTTCTGCCAAATTGGTCTCCCGTGGCCAGTACATTCACACAGTGACTAAAGTCACAGACAAGTCAACTGCCCAAGAAGCTCTTGACTTCTTGCGAAACAAGACTGACTGCTGCTTGCTAATTGATGGCGAGTCCCTCGGCCTTATGCTCGGTCAATTCAAAACAGCTTTCATCTCTGTCGCGGTGCTACTGCCCGCTGTGATCGCATGTCGATGCTCCCCAACCCAGAAAGCTGAGATTGCGGAGCTGATTCGCCAGCACACGAAGAAGCGTGTGTGTTGCATCGGAGATGGCGGCAACGATGTCTCGATGATTCAAGCAGCCGATGTCGGAATTGGTATCGTGGGCAAGGAAGGCCGCCAGGCATCTCTGGCCGCTGATTTCAGTATCACGCAGTTCCACCATATCACCAAGCTTCTAGTTTGGCACGGCCGCAACTCATACAAGCGGTCTGCTAAACTAGCACAGTTCATCATGCACCGTGGGTTGATCATCAGTGTTTGCCAGACGATGTACAGCATCGCCAGCCACTTCGATCCCAAAGGCTTGTTCATCAACTGGCTTATGGTGGGCTACGCGACTGTCTACACCAACGCGCCCGTTTTTTCTCTCGCCTTCGATCAAGATGTTGACGAGCGTCTCGCTAATCTCTACCCAGAGCTTTACAAGGAGCTCAAGACAGGGAAGAGTCTAAGCTACCGCTCTTTCTTTGGCTGGGTCTTCATTTCTGTCTACCAGGGTGCAGTGATTCAAGGTCTCTCTCAGATATTGTTGGATACTATCTCAGGGCCGCGCCTAATCAGTCTTTCCTTCACAGCCCTCGTTCTCAACGAGCTTGGCATGGTTGCTACTGCAATCACAACCTGGCACCCGGTCATGATCTTCTGTCTGATCGGCACACTGCTTGTATACGCAGGAAGTGTCCCCTTCCTGGGCGAGTACTTTGATCTTAGCTACGTGATCACCCTTGACTGGCTCTGGCGAGTTTTCGCTGTGCTAGCTGTGTCTCTGGTTCCGGTCTGGGCTGGGAAAATGATCAAACAGTCGTGGCACCCGCCAAGTTACCGAAAAGTCCGTGGATAGAGTTGGTCCTTGTCGTGATTTTTGTGTATCATAGTTGGTCACTCGCTTGGACTTTTTACCTCGCTCTTCTTTCTTTGTCATAGCTACCACCGATTTAGCATCATGTGGCTCTCTGTATATTACTCTTAAGCATCTTGTCTTGTTGGACGGAACTAGCATCGGGCTACTTCCATACTATTAGATTATAAAGAATCACTTCAGTTCCATCCTTAGAAGATTGACCACCCGGGCAGTACCCGGGATAAAGTTCACGTTGTGTCGAGAATGTGTCCGTCAATTCTTCCTGGATGATATATACTTACTCTCGGGTTTTCATATTGCATACGTGCGTCTGCATACGGTATTAAATGATTTTAGCCCTATAGTTAGTAGTCATTCAAGGCTCCTAAACAATTAAAAAAAAAAAAAACAATTTACATAAACTACTACATAACTAGTTGACTAACTACCTACCTAGGTACGGAGTAGTGGGAAGTCAATCTTGGAAGGCGGATCTCTCCGAGATCCAATGACGTGGCGTGGAATCGATAAGCAAGCACGTGACTACCTTACTCAGGAAGGCGGTCAACACGTATCGAATCTTTTTTTTTTCTTCGGGGTCAAGCATCTGCTGGATAGACTCTAGGACCAACCACTTTTTCGGTTGCCAATTCCTTGCCCATCATGTCTGACGAAATTGTCTGGCAAGTTATCAACCAGCAGTTCTGCTCATACAAACTCAAGTCAGTATTAATCTTCACACGCTGTCTATTCAGTCCGCGTAACTTTTGATCTCCATTATGCATGGATAGAAAAACAAGAACATTCCATTAACCATTCCAACCTTCTCTCTAGGACGACGAAAGACCAAACCTTCTGTCGCAATGAATACAATGTCAGCGGTCTGTGCAATCGCCAGTCTTGTCCACTAGCCAACTCGCGGTATGCGACGGTGCGAAGCGATCCCGAAACGGGCGTCATGTACCTGTATATGAAGACCATCGAACGAGCCCACATGCCCAGCAAATGGTGGGAGCGCGTGCGCCTATCTTCCAACTACGCCAAGGCCCTCGAGCAAGTCGATGAGCGCCTCATCTACTGGCCCAAGTTCTTGACCCACAAGTGCAAGCAGCGTCTCACCCGCCTGACGCAGGTCAGCATCCGCATGAAGAACATTGCCAAGGAGGATGAGCGTCTCGGAGAGAAGATTGTGCCCAAGCTGGCGCCAAAGATCCGCCGTCGTGAGGAGACTCGTGAGCGTAAGGCTGAGTCTGCCGCTAGGGTCGAGAGAGCTATCGAGCGTGAGCTTATTGAGCGTCTGCGTAGCGGCGCTTACGGTGACCGGCCACTCAATGTTGAGGAGGGTATCTGGAAGAAGGTTCTCCGTGGTCTTGAACGGGCTGGTGATGGTCAGCGTGATGTGGACATGGATGATGGCGAGGAGATCGAGGAGGAGGAGGAAGAGGGTGTTGGCGAGGTCGAGTATGTCAGCGATCTCGATGAAGAGGAGGACCTCGAGGACATGGAGGACTGGCTGGGCGTTGACTCAGCTGACTCCAGCGACTACGATGACGATGACAGCGAGGACGATGACAGCGAGGACGACGAGGAGGAGGCTAGCGCGGATGAGAAGAAGCCCAAGCCCAGTGCCAAGCGGAAGCATGCTGCTCCCCAGGCTAAGCCTCGCAAGAAGGGTCCTCGCATTGAGATCGAATACGAGACTGAGGGTGCTGGAAAGGAACAGGTCATGGCATGATTTTGTGGAAGTTAGAGGATTTGGGAAAAGTTTACCTGATCTTGCATGGCGTTTGGGCTGTCATTTCTTTTGTTCTATATTCTTATTATGTTCTAGTGATCGGGCATCATACCCTGCTACATTGCATCCACTACAACTCACGATCCTAGATCTTCCAATGTCTATTTTTGTCTTCGATTGTACCGCTTGATCTCTATTTTATTTCTAGGATGCCTGAACATTTATTTGAGACCTGACCTGACTTGTTGCCTCATTTAGGTGAAACACGTGATCACGTGTTGACAATCACCCAATGAATGCTCTCCACCGTCATTGCTTTCATTTTCCTTTGAATGACTTCACCTCACCTCAGGAGCCGGTTCTTCTGTTAATTACCCCCTTAATATTCCATTGCAACCATCCTCATCTCTTGTCAAACTCTTTGACCCTGAATCCCTTGCATTGGGTCCCCACAATTAAAGCTCCAGCTCCGCCAACCCACCCCGCATCGACGCTGCCATTCTGCAGACCGCGCATTACTCAATCACACAACTCGGCTGCTGCAAGATGAGCTCATACTTCTCATCCTTAACCACCTCTTCAGCCATATCTGGCCTGGGCTCGCGGCTCACCAACCTTCGCCGTGCCATTACCCTAGGCGACGAGGGAGACGACCCCGACAATGAAGACTGCTCCCACATCTCCAACGCCCTTCGAGCCTACTACACCGAAAAGGGTCGTCCATTCCCACCATGGCTCCCACAAGATCCCAAGGCTCCATCTCCGGCACCCTCCCGCCCGATTGCGACTTCACAGCTACCCTCCGGCAGCTACAGCCAAGGGTCTGCCAACTCCAGCCGGAGCGGCGCTTTAGGTGATCTATGGGGTGACTCTCCCACTTCCCAAGGATCAATCCCACAGACAGCCAGTCTCCGTCGCGGACGTGGCGGTACAGCACCACCGCTCGCCTCTGCCAACAGCGCGCCGCCGGGTCCCTCCCCATCCCCTGGTCCGCCCCTAACACTTTCTCAAACCTATTCGCCTTCTGGATCGGGTTCCCCTTATCCATCTGGAGCGCGGCCATTACCAAGCCAGCGATCTGGGTCGAATCAGTCTGCCCAGGGTCGTCCAACTCTCGACCGCGTTGGGTCTGGTGGTGGTTCAGCCCAGGACCGACTGCGCGCCAGATTACAGGGAGGAAGATCCCCTAGTCCCAATACCAATGTTGACCCCAGTGTTCGGAAGCCCGTTGGAATGCCCGGGCGACGGTGAGAGTGTAGATGGTTACATTGCATGGTCGACAGCATGGTGTCGGGAGTTATTTCATGTCCACCTGGGCAGTGTTTACTGATTATGTACATATATCTTAATAACAAAGTTCATTCAATGGTCAGAATACATTATAGCAAGATATTGTAGCATATTCTGGCGAGAATTCACGCAAATTTGCTATTTTACCTTCAGCTCTCACGTTTGGGGGATATAGACATATATATTGGGCTGAATCACTCAAACTTACCACTGATAGGGCGGATATCACCCTTTCCAACCATCACCCAACGAGCCAAGTTACGCAATGACCCCCATAATTAGACCTCACCCGGACTTACGCTAGTAGCCACCAGCGCTAAGCAACAACCAGCGAATGACCATCTCGGCTTGCGCTGGGGAAAATCCCGCCCTTTACCCGACCCCGACGGGACTATCCCGTGTTTGACTTGGGGACCGTAATCCTCCGATGTATAACGCAACTCGGAAGCTAGTTTCCCTCTTTTCATACCTATATATACAGGTCATCAGCCAAGCGAGAATATTTGACGGGTCCTAGCCCTTATTTGAAGCTTAATTCACCGAAAAAGTCAAAAGATATCCCCATTTTCCCCGAAGTGTTGCCGATGTATTGCTGTTCTCTCCACGGGGACCCCAACTTCGTTGGATACCAAGTCCTAGCGTCATTCAAGTTCCGGATTATGTCCGAGATGGTGCCCTTGATGAAATCTTTTCCTGTTCGGCTATTGACATATTCGCCGTCGAGTGTCGGGATTGTCTGCAGAAGTTCCGCAGCTTACACTTAAAGGTGCAGATATAACTTGGATCGTGATATCGCTACGCCAACACAACGGGAAGCCGGGAAGATTCGAGAAGTATGATTATAACCATCTTTCACAGCATTGCCGATCTGAGGTCTGAGGGTTAATCCCACGGACTGTTGTGTACCCTGTGGAATGGTCAACATAAGCTTTCACGGCACACGATTCGTCAAGAGCCCCGATGTCTTGGATTCTCCATGTCCCTCTATGTCTCTCTGCATTCCGATCCCTGCTTTACACTGCAGATTTCCAGCTTTAGTCCTATTTTTGCCTCCCGGTGAGCCCGCGTTTTCGTTCTTCCCCTTCTCCTCAATTTGATCTCCCCGGACTGGCTTTGAATCTCCACTTCTCTCCACACATGGGAAAGTATGGAGTGCATACCCCAGGCCGAGTCTGGCTCATGACTCGGCAATCTCTACAATATAGTGCCTACCCGGGCGGTTTATGTACTTCGTTTTTCGCCGAACCCCACATCAAGTCTTTGTCGTGCGTAATCGAACAACTGTCGCCGTGATCGTCATTGGGACGGCCTCGAAGAGTACTGGTTTACCCCCTTGAATCTTTCAGCTGGTTCCATCGTTTATTCCGTATTTTCTCCCCATTCTCTATAAATCCTAGTCCTCGCCTGCCCCCAGCAGAGTTTAAAGTGACAATTCCATTCCACTGTTCTTTTTTATATCATTTAGTAGATCCACCAATCATCTCCTGAGAAGGAGGTCTGGTTCATCATGGCCGACCTCAAAGATGTCGAGGCGCCCCAAAACGCTCACAGCGAGGATAAGGACGCCGTTGCGTTTGAACTGGATGATGTGGCAGACCAAAAGCTCGAAAATGGGATGACCGAAGCCGCCATGGACGCGGAACTACAACAGCTCGAAGAGCAGGTGCACAGCCTTCCTAAATCTGGCTTCGAGATGACCTTGTCCAATCCTGCTACCTTCACCTATGTCCTCGTCGCTTTTGCGTCCATGGGAGGTATGCTATCTGGACTTGACCAGTCGCTTATCAGTGGCGCAAACCTCTACCTTCCCGTTGATCTGGGCTTGTCTTCAGCAGACAACAGTCTAGTCAATGCAGGAATGCCGCTCGGGGCCGTTGCCGGTGCTCTTCTACTTTCTCCGGCAAACGAGTACCTTGGTCGTCGTATGGCTATCATTGTTTCCTGTATTCTGTACACCATCGGCGCCGCCCTGGAGGCTGGCGCCATCAACTTTGGAATGATCTTCGCTGGTCGATTCATTCTTGGAGCGGGTGTCGGTTTGGAGGGTGGTACCGTCCCAGTTTATGTCGCAGAGTGCGGTATGTACGTCATCATGCCCAAGCCACCAGTGTCCCCAATTCTAACTCCAATACCCAACAGTTCCTCGCAGACTTCGTGGTAACCTAGTCTCTCTGTACCAACTAAATATTGCCCTGGGCGAAGTCCTCGGCTACGCCGTTGCCGCAATGTTCGTCAGCGTTGAAGGCAACTGGCGTTACATCCTCGGCTCTTCATTGGTATTCTCGACAATTCTCTTCGTGGGTATGCTCTTCTTGCCAGAGAGTCCTCGGTTCCTGATGCACAAGGGACATGAGATCAAAGCGTACGCAGTATGGAAGAAGATCCGCGGGTTCAACGACTTCGAAGCAAAAGACGAGTTCCTCGGCATGCGTCAAGCTGTCACAGCCGAGAGCCAAGAGCAAGCCCAGACGAAGAAGTACCCCTGGATGGACTTCATCACAGTGCCTCGTGCACGTCGTGCGATGGTCTACGCCAATATCATGATCTTCCTCGGACAGTTCACCGGCGTCAATGCCGTGATGTACTACATGTCAACGCTGATGCGGGCGATCGGCTTTGGCGACAAAGACGCCGTCTTCATGTCTCTTGTCGGTGGCGGATCGCTGCTGATTGGTGCTGTTCCGGCTGTGCTGTACATGGAGCGGTTTGGTCGTCGGTACTGGGCGAACGCGATGCTTCCTGGCTTCTTCATTGGTCTTGTGCTCGTTGGTGTTGGCTACACTATCGATGCTGTTAAATACCCCGCTGCAGCGCAAGGTATTTACCTCACTGGTATTGTGCTGTACATGGGTTTCTTTGGCTCATATGCTTGCTTGACGTGGGTCGTGCCTTCCGAAGTCTTCCCTACGTACTTGCGTTCGTATGGAATGACCACAGCCGACGCAAACTTGTTCCTGTGCTCGTTTATCGTCACGTACAACTTTACCAGGATGATGGATTCTATGCAGCGGATTGGTCTGACGCTTGGGTTCTACGGTGGTATTGCCGTTCTCGGCTGGGTTTACCAGATTATATTCATGCCGGAGACTAAGAACAAATCCCTCGAGGAGATTGATGAGCTATTCTCCCTTCCTACTTCTATTATTGTTAAGCGGAACTTGAAGCAGACTGCACAGGTTCTCCGAGACTTGTCGCACTTCCGTCTCAAGAAGGTGTTTTCTCCTGAGCCATACAAATAGACTGGTGGTCTATCGTTGTGAAATTGGATGGTGAGGAAGGGATCTGGTTTTAGATATGGCTTATGCTTCGGGTTTAATAGGATAATCGCTTGATATCATAATACGCCCTAGGCACCTATATACATATGTAAGTAGGGCTATTTATTACATACTCAAGTCCTTATCTTGGGGGTTATTCTTGTTCCTAATCACTCGAAGGGGATTTTTGTTAATATAATTATATGATAGGTTGATATAACGGCAAACATTTTTTTCTACTCCTCGTCTTCTTATGGCTCCCAGTCTCAATCTCTACTCTTAGCCCAGTTCCTCTCAAGACTTAGCTTCCATACTCCTTCTGTCCTTTTGTCCTGCCTCTTTTCCAAGAATTTACTGGCAACTTCTCGTGGATCCCTCGGTCTTTGCTCCGACATGACAGTTTTCTAACGCCCGCTGTCATGGGCTCCCAACCGAATTTTCACTTATTTGGGGACTGTTCAATCGAGGCCCCAAGCAAAGAAGAGTTCGACAAGATATCGGACTACATACCTCTCTTGAACGCCTTTGAGGCGTCGCTCAAGACTCGTATGTGCTCTTATTTCTCGACAGCCCCCCTCCTCAATAACAAACTAATATAAATATAGGAGTGAAAGAGATGTGGGACTTTGGAACTGCCTTCAAGGAGCTAGTTAAAGAAGATACTAAGGTTTGGAAGAGCCTGGGAGTAGACCGGTCACCTCATTTCGTGCAGCCCAGCGGCTCACTCAGCTCTGCTCTTGCTATCCATCTTTACAACCCGAATTTTTTTGTTGCAGATCCACAAAGTACCGTGACTGACGACCCTACGAACCCGACAATTCGCTTGCTATATGAGTGTGGTCTATCATTCGAATACTGTTTTATGTTTGACGGAATCTATCGCCGTGAGCGAACCGATGATTGTCTTCTTTTCTACACGGAGGATCCGCGCCGTCCCCACCGAGAATTCATCCAAAAGATCCGAGAAAATATGTCGGCAGCTGTGGAAATCTGCCTTGGAGAAGAAGTTTTCAAAGAGATACGCAAAACTGCTCGTTTGGTCCGTTTTCCTTTGTGGGGAATGTTCAAGTCTGTAAGACTTTGGCTCGAGCTTGATGATTCGAATTTGGGTTCTATGAAAAGATTCGTTATCCAAGCCTATCATCCTCAATTTTTTTCGAGGCCTGGACGTTTCAGTAAGACAAGTTCTGAGTTTTTTGAGACTTATGGGAGGCCACAGGATCTAGCGATTTTGATGGCTATCCAGCTTGCTGGGCTACACCATCGAATCAAGCTCAAGCCTAATTTTTTTGAATCCAATTTCGTCCGAGGCAAATATTCTCGATTAAGTCCTAAGCAGGACTTGGAAAGACGAGACCATTTACGAGAGGCTCTAGATGCCTTCCGGGTAGCATTTCCGAAAAAGTTCAAAGAGTTCGAGCTCAGACAGTCTCGCAGAAAAGAAGAGAAGGATCTACTAAAAGGAATCAATGATATCCCATCTGGATCCATAGTGCCCATGCATACACATCCAAATGGCCCCATTTCTGAGCGAGAACAGGTAAGTGGTATTCTCCCAGCTTCAAAGATTTTGTCTAATCAATTAATAGGAATTTCGTCTGAATGCGAGAAATACCAAATTTTGTTCTATAATTGCATCTTTTGAGCAAGTTATGGAAGACATGGATCCTTTTCACTATGAGGCGAGCGATGATTATGTCGAATCTGAGATTTTCGACTATGGGGATATTCCGACTCCGCTCCAATTATGGCTCCAGTCCCAGGATGGTCTGAAGATTCATGGTGTGCCAATAACAAGTTGAAAGACACTGGAATCGGGCTTCTCGCTTCTTGACAAAGGCCGCATGTCAAACCTCAATAAATGCTCGGCTGAATATCTCGCCTGCATGGTCGGAATCATGTACATCCGGAAGATCACTCGAGCTGAATCAGGATTGAAGCAAGTCAAAGCAATACCGGGAGAGCCTGGAAAATTAATTCACCTGAAATGCAGTGGTTGCCAGAGGCCCGTTCTGGATGACGCTTTTCCTTTCTTTGTTGCGGATTCTCCAGATTGTTATTTCATCGAGGTTGCTCGCAGTGCTCAAAAAGGTGGCAATGGCTGTGGGCAAAATGGCTGCAAAGGAAAACCAGGTCTTATCCCTGTTGACCACGGGGCGCAGGGCTATACCCGTATGGAAACGAGGGCCATTGCCCAGACTATGCGCCGCAAGGCAAATTGGAAGGCACCCCTATGCCGCACAGGAAAGGATCTGGAAGGGTGTGCCCAGACTGTTCGTGTACGCTGCAGAGGCTATGGCCAAGGTAACCAGAAGGTAGAATGCGGGCGTGAAAGAGACTACGACACGCCAGAGTGGACGATTCACTCGCCCGCTCGCCTTGTTCAGCCTCGGCTCAAATGCGATTGCGACGAAAGGGTTAAAGATCACTACTTCGAGCCCGTGGACAAGAAAATTGACATGATTTCTTTCACAAGCTTGAGGAAAATCTATCGGGGATTTTTGAAGGCAAACTGCGACTTGGCTAATTACCCTAAGCTCCCCGACACAATCTTTGACCTCGAGCCAAATGGGGACCCCAAGAAAAAGCAGAAGATGTATCGAGAAAGGTTCGAATGCCTGAAAAATGCCCAAAGGGCTTTGACTGGCTCGAATTAAACACCCTTACCACATGAATATGAGGATGCTTATGGTCACAGCCTATGTACGGCCCCTAGATACACTCGATTAAGATGGGCTCAGATAAATTGTATGCGTCGAAGGTTGCTCAGACGTCTCGTTTGCCAGGCTTAGATAGGTAACTAGGTGTTTGTCTAGTTAGCCTAGTTCAATAATGTATGTTTGTAGAGAATGGATAACTTCACCATCTGCAATTAGACGTAGTTGCCTAAGATCCGTTAGATGCCTTCTAGTCACACATATTCAAGATTGAATAATCCTCACCATATATGGCGATAGGTCAGTTAGGAGTAGCGTGCGATTGAAGTTCGCAAGGCCACCGCTAATCTCGGCTCACGGCATTTTTTAGTGTATTTCTATTTTCATTGCCTTCTCCTTAGGAAATTTAAACAGCCCTTTGCCACGCCATACATCGAACATGGCTGGACTGTGACCAAATACTAGGTTTAGAATGGTATAATTGCTAGCCATGCGTGTATAAATTGGTTGAAAACATAGTAGTTTCTACATTTCGAACCCAAAACAGGTAGCAGCACAAATAATTTAGGACTGATAACCACAGATGCAAGACAATCAGACTTCCTCGTGTTAATGCCCCGACTGCAGCAATGCTGTGTACAAAGTAAAACGTGTTTATAATTCTATACGGAGTACTATCCACAATATCGCTGAATCGATCTTGCGCATGATGAGATCGGACGATCAAATCACGTCAGTGTTAATTGTCAGTTCTCCCCCTGTGCCGAACTAGGCAAATACTCATTTCCCACGCGTGGAATTGAAGTGCCTGGTTAATGCTGCTAGGGATTCTTTCGCCAGCTGGTGGTAAGCCGGGGAGGAGGGACTTGCAAGACGCTCCAGCGACACTACAACAGGAGCTATAGATTCATGCCAAGGACAAGGAACTTGATAGGCTAGATTTGACAACTACCATGGTGATCAATCATCAAAATTGAAGTCCATTTTGATTGAAGCCTTTGGTCATGTTCATTCTGAATCGCTAGAAGTGCGAATTGATAGACTTAAAGCAAGCCGGACTTGAAAGAAATCGAAGAAATCAAACCCGCATAACCTTGAACTGATACCGACACTTAACCTTCAATTTAGTCTGAATAACCTCAATCCAGCTGGTTGACTTTTCCTTATCATAGCCTTTTTTGTTAACCACCGCTGTCAATACCGAATTGAGCTTCTCGCCACTTTTGAGAAGAAGACTTGTGATAGCGGTAGAATCGTGCTTCGGGAGACTAGCTTTCTGGAGATTGTCCTGATAGTAATTGGAGTTATTTCCTAGTTTATCCGGCACGGGCAACTGGCCAGCCGTAACTTCCTGGGGTGTGGCATAGGTATAACCGCTCGAGTTTTGATTGGAGTCGTCATCAAGCACCAGCTGGACGAAATCTGCGTCGTTTTGGAAAAGACGGACGTCGTCATCTCCAGAGTAGAGGTTAACGCTTGTGTGCGACAAGGTAGCCTCTCTCTTGGTATTATTCAAGCCCTCGGTCATGAGCGTCGTGACACTGTTTGCGTTGACACTGGTACTGGAAATGGAATATTCCAGCTGGGTCTTTGGCAACGGATCAAAGCTCTTGATCAGGGCGTGTCCAACGTTGTTGATAAGATCTTGAATTGAGGAGGTTGGAGGTTGCCTGGTAATGAAGGGATTGACGAATACTTGAGTAATCATGAGGACTATCCCAGTGACTGTGAGAACAGTCCCAAAAATTGGAAGAACCTCACTCATCGTTCCAATGATGGCGATAACCCCGGTCTCGGCGGCGAATTCGACAATATCCAGTAGAACAGTCAGCCCCTGGACGATAGCGCTCAACACGCCAAGGATCTTGCCCGTATCAGACATGGAATTCCAATCATCGGCCAGCGAGAATAAAATGGCTAGAAGCAGGCCAACACCGAGAACGACATTGAAGATTTGCAGTATATTTCCCGGAATATTGGACTTCTTGGCCGCATCTTTATACTCCGGAAGAATATCCTCGGCGTCATTCGAAACATCCTGACCCCAGGTTTCGTTAGCTCCACCCTCCATGGGAACTTCTTCACCGCAAATGCCCCCGCCTATCGCTGTGCGGAACTTTTCACCTCCTAATATCTCCTGGGCGACATTGGATAGCCTCTTATTGCTACCCCGAGTCTTGCTCAAACGACTTTCATCGAGGGCCTTCGTATTAATCTGGCCTGCGGCTGTCAGGGCAGGTTTGGATGCGAAGGACTTGAATGCATCGATTGCCTTGCCGCTTGCATCAGTCACCATCCCAATGGCTTCAATAATCACTGTTGCTTTCCCAGCATCAGATACGGAGTCCCAATTCTCAACTAAGCCCCATAGGCTCACAGAGGCAGAGACTAGGCTGACGCTAGTCTAGAGGGAAATGTATATGTCAGTTTGACAGTCTCACAATGTGTGCAAAAACTGACTGACCATGCATATGCTAGAAAGACCTTTTAGCTTGCCAATCCCCGGAAGCTTGTCAAGAATTTTGGAACAGAGTTTGTCAAAGGCTTCCCCGGTCCCCTTAAACAACGCAGATCCTCCAAAAGCAGCCTTCATTCTTTGATCTGCGAAAGAACCCGAATTCTTTTGCGTTCGGCCAGGATAGCGACATACAGAGGCTGGGGCGTGCTTTTCTTTGAAGAAAGCCTTCAATTTGGACGGTAGATTATCCACTAGACTTTCTGGGATATCTCGGTCTATAATTGGCTTTTCATCCCTGAGGATCTGTTTCCTTTCTTTATTGTCGATGTGATAGTGCATCATCTGTTGAATGTACTGATGCATGTCGTTGTATAGCTATCCACTCAGTTAGGCATGCTTCCTTTTCAAATCCGGGATACAAGGTCCTACCACTGCTACTTGATAGCTAGTCAGCTGCATCAAGTTGTCAATGGTTTCCTCCGTAGCTTTCAGAAAGTTCTTGATGACTAGCGCAGGCTGGAGCTTCTCATCCAATAAGCCAGGCACAGCCAGCTTGAAAATGGATGCATAGGCTTGTGAGATCTTGAATCGAACTCTATCTGCTGCAGATGAAGTTTGCGCAGTCCCTTTGGCGAGAGTTCTGAGTTTAATCTTAGCGCCCCTTGCTCAGTATGCAAGTAATATCACAAAGACTCACCGTTCCCCCATGTATCCACGCTTGACCAGGTCGTATCCAAATAAATAACCGGTGAAGTTTTCATACTTGACACCAAAAGCAATATTCATCTGCTGGAAGAGCGTCGGGAGAGTCACATCAATATCCAAATTCGGCTGGAAACCGACACAGAATTCATTTTTCGGATCGAGCCAAGCAGCGGAAACAAAATGAACCAACGGTGCACAGCTGGAAAGCACTTTGAACGACTCCAAGCCATCCCTGAATTGTGAAATGGTCTTGTAAAATAACTCCAGTTTCTGGCTGAATTTTTGGTTGATCTGGTCCCGAAACTGCTCAACCAGCGGCAAACACAACGCACAAGATCTCAAATTTGCTGAACTGACGATATAACCATCTTCAAAAGTACCCTCATCGATCGGTTCTACCAGTTTGGTTTGTTCAGTGTCTGCAGGCCATAGACTCTGATCCAGTGTCACATTGTATGTGCTTAGAACCTTCCATGTGTCCTCTGATGCATGCTGGGTGGTATGCAATGTCTTTAGATTTTGTGCATGCGCTAGAAATAGGTGAAGCTGATCCCGGACCAGCATAGCCTGGGCGTCTGGGTCTGGGGATAAGTGAATGGCACCATTTCCTGAAATTGTTCGAAGGTCAATCTGGACCGACCCGTCTCCGAATAAAATTTGCTGCTTCAGCTCCCTCGTCCAGTGGAAGCTTCTGTCTTGGAAGTCGTAAGCGTTCCAGATCTGCACTTTGTCTTGTATCAGGAGATAACAATCAGCTAGGATAAGAGTTGAGAGCTCATACCCAGCTAGCAGGCGGCTGGGATGGTGAGCTGTAAGAGAAAACCCTCTCGCGATGCACTCTATTGCAACGCGTGTTGGCCTAGAACGCACTTGCTCTATCTTGGGATGATCTCCAAATGATGCCGACCTCTTTAACTTAGGACTCCTGTCGTCCGGTGACTTGTACTGCCCAAATAGCTCCCAGTTTAGCTGTTCGTTGATACACTGACTGCCGAATCTCTTGAGCATTGGCCGCGTCTCTATCCAATGAGACAAAATACCCAGTATCCTGCTATCAGGCACTTTGCGCAGCATATAGGTGGTTTGTTTCAAAGTGTGGCCTGGAACGTTCGTTTCGAGCAGATAGCCGTAGGTGTGAAGAGCTTGCTCGTATCCGGGAAATTTCAGTATACAGACACGATCCAAAGCATTTTCCTTCGTTTGCTCAATTCCCTTCGTATGTACCGCGTCATGTTCGTCTTCCTGGGGGTGAAAAACGATATGTCTCACGTTCAGTTGACCGATTTGGAATAAATTCAACCTCTGCGCAGCCTCGCGGTTTACTACCCGCAGCCCAGTCGGTGAATGGAAGACCCACGAGCTTGGGAAGGAGAGGCTCTCTCCGTCTGGATTTATTCGAGTCAGTGAAATTTGCCTGTGCTTTGACTTTTTGGATGAATACACTCACTGAATCTGATCAATTTGGTTTGCATTGGCCGGTTAATGATATACCCAATGGCTGTAACAGAGCTGTTTGGACTTGCTTGGGTCAAGATTTGATCTGCGAAAGGGACATCCTCCACCAGCCATGGTTTACCATCGCAGGGTGTGATTAGAACCCCAGCACTAATTCGACATGCTGGGGTGCTTTTGCTCCGTTTGTCATATTTATTTCCCAGAATGGGTAGATAACTATCCCACAAATACATATTCCACTGATTATTGGATGCTATACTGGCAGTTAGAATTGTATATTTCCACAGCCACAAAAGCAGCACTCTGTTCAGGTGTAACTTACCGGTAGCTATCCAAAACTTGACTTCACGAGACTTTCCATCTTGGAGGCGGAACAATTCTGCGTTCCAGTAGTGTCGGACTTGAATCTCCCAGCTACTGGTAAGGGCATCGCAGTAAGACTTCCACTCGTTCATGACCTCTTGGTTGTCCGCAAGTGGCTCCAAGCTATCCTTCAAGTCCTTGGTGTGTGAAACGTCATTAGGAGTTTTTATAACCTTGATGTAGAACGATTTGATCTCTGTCGTGACAGGTGACGAGCGCTGTAGGCCAGTGGTGGCGTTTGGAGGACAAATGCTGATCGTGTCCACTTTTCCACAAAATGTCGCGATTTTATCCATTTCGGCTAGGTTTCCTTTGTCTTCAGTAGCCGGCAGGTTATACGACCATCTAATCATGATTTTTTGGCTAGCTTTGTTGTCAAATTCGGGTCCTGGGGCAGGGGAAATGCGAAATGCAAATTCCCTGTTCTGAAAGTAATCCGCAAGTAGGAGCCAGACAATGCTGAAGAGATCATTACCCCTCGCGATGAACTCGTCAGCTGTAATTTGGTCCAACACGAAATTTTTGAACCCTTCTATCTGATAGATTTCATTCAAGTCGCATTTACCCTGAGATCTGAGCTGTGTGTTGACGTGTTCTCCAAGACAGAAGCTCATTGGATTTATCAAAGGCTTGAGATATCGAAGCTTTGAATTTCCCTGCAACAATTAGCCATTATTTCTAATATATCTTGTAAATCAAGGATCAAGTCATGGCACTGACGAATCGCTTCAGATTGTCGGAGTCAAGATTGCTATCAACACTAGCAATTCTGTCACTCGCAGCTGACAACAACAGCCCGTAAAGAAGATAGTATGCTAAAAATCCGTCAAGGTAAAGACTGTCGCCGTCAGAACCTTCTGAGAAATAATGAGGTGCCCTGTCGATGTGTTTTTGTACTGCGTCACTGTTGTTTTCTGACCCAATACATGCTCGGACCTTGTTATGCAGTCGGTTGACGAATTCATCGAGGGGGAAAGCCTCAAGGGCAATAGTCCCTTTGAAGACCACTTCTTCAAATGCTTCGTCTGGCATGACAAATCTTTTTTTTTTTTTGTGTTTTTCAGGAAAGGCAGATGGATGATTTTAGAGCAGCTCAGACTTGATCTCACTTTCTCGGATGGGCCTTCTTGAAGACTCTGTAAGTATTCTCATGGCCTCTTAATGTAATTGGACAAGTAGTTCCAAGATCTTCCAATTTATGCAATGGGTGGTAACACCACGTCTGCACAAAAAAATGCGACAAGTTGCTGAAGTGAGAGGAGGATTTTGATGCATTTCAGTTAGTAAAGAGAATTTATTCGGTTGGCAATGTTTCCCAGATGCAATATAGGGTTGGAATGCAGTTGAATCAACCCCATATTCCACAATACCCCTCAATTGTCCAGGTTTAGATCGACATTGATATCATAAGGCAGCAGTGCATTTACCAACCGCCACATGTTGCATATCTGCGGATGCACGATGCACTCTATACTTCGGGTCATACTCCCTGTTCAAATATCAACAGCATGCATTGCACATCGGGCCGTTCTGGGCCTGGGATTAAAAGAAATAACTCTGGAGAAGCTACGGGAGAAGTATAATCCATGTCAATCACTCCACTCTCTGCCTATTTTGAACCTGCATGTCTTGTAAACGCGTAAGACAGATTTAAAGAAAATCTGCTAGGGTACACCATTTGACTGCATTGCGACCACTGGGCACTTGGGTCATACATTCACAGCTTGAGTGTTCGCCGTCTTCGAATTTCTATATTTCAAGTAATCAACCTAATGAGAAATTTCTACAAATTTACAGTAAATTAGTCATTTATATAGAAGCATAACAGCCAATCATCTGTGCTATTTCTATAATTAAGGATATAGGACTTGGATAATCTAAATATCAAGCTAAATTAAAATAACATCGCAGGCATTATAATTACCTAGGGTTTCAATACATGCCTATTAAAATAACTTGCCGCAAAATATTGCGTTATTCCTACAAAGCGACTGCATATCGAGGTGAGTAAGTGCTTGTTCAATTAATTATCACGATATAATCAATTTGAAGACAATTTCTACGGGTATATGGCCAATTTTTGCTGGCGATACAGTGCAGCCATATCAGGCACGTTTTGGGCAGCGTGTCAAGAGCCACCGTTTCCTGCCTAAAAAGGAAAACGTGGTGCTAGGACAGGTCTATCGAAGTCTCAACTGCATGGTGCAAATTTGAGTTGAAATGTTCAATAGTTGAAGAAGCTTGGGTCTATACTTGAAATCTAACAAAGGGGCACAGCAGTTATAGCTCCACTACCAGCTTCGTGGCACTGACTCCCGTCTTACACTTTTCCAATGCAGATTGAATATGCTCCAAGCCCTTACCAACAACTAACGGGGCTGGGAGGCACTGGAGCTTTCCAGAATGCAACGCAGGCGTAACATATTCCTCCCAGACAGGCGTCGCAACATCGTTGACCGCAAAAATCATACCAGCATTGACATTCGGGGGAAGGTCAATAGGAGGAGGAGGAGGGTGCACGGAAGCAAGGTACCCTCCACCCAGCTGATCAAGAATAGTAATGTCGTGAGCGTAAGTCTCAGGTGTACCTATAGCATCAAAGATGCCAACGAACTCGCCACCATTCTTTCGAAGTGCATCGATAACCTTGTCAGCAAGTGAAGTATCATTGCGATCGAATACTTCAGCTGCACCGCACCGCTTGCTGAGTTCAAAATTGTGTTCCCCAGCAATGGCTATGACGTGAATTCCGGCCGCTGCGGCAAGCTGGGTTGTCATCGAGCCAACGGAAGATGAGCCACCATAGATAACAAGAGTCTTCTCGGAGGATGGCACTTCTTGTAGCGAGGGGTATGGAAGGCCGAGTGCCGGTGTAGATACACCGGGCATGGCAAACCCGGGCTCCTTGAGGGAAAGCGCGCAGACAGCTGCCTCCAATGCGAACGGCACCACAACACCATTCGTGAAAGATATCTCGTCGGGTAGTATGGCCGCTTTGCTTGCAGGAATTACTGTGTACAGAGCGTATGCACCATCCTGAGGGCGCCCACTAGTCAGATTAATAGCATGTCTGTTGAAGAGAGGTAAAATTAACTCAGAATCATCCGACCTCAATATGCTGCATATAACATACCCAATAACACGATTCCCTATCTTGAATCGTTCGACATCCTTTCCCACTTCATGCACCTCACCGGCAATATCGCAACCGAATATTGCGGGCCACTGCTGCACGAAAACTCCGGAGACTTGCATATGACAGTCAAGAGGGTTGATGGCAATCGCGGCGTTTTTAACGACGAGTTCTCCTGGACCAGCTGTGGGCAGTAGAGCATCATCCACTTGTAGGGGAGAGCCAGCTTTGATGAGCCACGCAGCTTTGTTGTTTGGGGTGGACATTCCGATAGAAAAATGAGGCAAGGTAGATTTGTTTTGGAAGAAAGACGAGAAAATCTAAACCAACACCTATAAGAGGTTTGACTTGAGCAAATATTCTAATGTTGATATTATGTACAACGTAAATTTGGGCAGAATCTGCCAGACTTTAAGTATTCCTTGAGTTTGCACCTCCGATGGAAGCTCAGAAAATAATGGTCATCACAGGCCCAAATTATCATTATTTCAAAGCAGGTGGTTAGTAAATATCAGCAACGCAGTAACTATACCAGATGTTAGGGAGAACCACATGTACCGTTCCCAATAAGAACCTTATATGCCGTTCCCTTAAATCCGGCTTAACGCCGCACTAAATTACATCCGCGACAAATTACCACTAGGGCTAAAGAAGAAAGCCCCTGAGTTTTAGTATCTATGTACAACAGACCGATGGAATTGGATGTAGATAGCTATTTAGTGATAATACATCCCTACGTACGAGACCTTACCGATTCAACGTTGAACTATTCATTTCGATCAAGATCTCATAATGTTTCTGTTAATAGTAGTATGTAGTCCAGCACATGTCCTTTCGGCCCCCCGCGTTATCTACAACACCTCATCAATCGCAATCTTCCGTCTATCCCAACCTCCCACCCTGAAAAAAGGCTTGCCATTTCAAATGCGGCTCGGTCCTCGAGAACTACTTGAGTATAACTCAGAATACAAAGTGCTGATATGCCGAGAATGCCACTACGCCATTCAGAAAAATGCGTTGGGGAGCCATTTGCTCCGCCACAAAATCTACCGAGAAGAGAGGCTTTGTTTATTGTCCACCATCTATCAACTCGATATCGTTGAACCAGGCGATCTTCCGCTACCGAGCCCAAGTACATGGCCTATTGATGGCCTACCCGTAGTACCTGGGTATTCCTGTACCATGACCGGGTGTGGTCATCTCTGTGCAAGCTCTAAGCGCATGAGACGTCACTGGAGTGATTCTCACGGTGTTAGTGTGCCGAGTAATATTGCCTCTCATGCGCGCTCAGTGAAGCTTCAGACGTTCTTTCGCGGTACAAAACTCAAGTATTTCGAGGTATCTGAAGCAACTAGGGCCGCAGATTCGCAGGGTTTCAATGAAGGGAGTGGGCATGACAGAATGGGCTCTGATGCGGATAAAGTGCCATCACTAGCACAGCCGATGTCATTTTCTGAGTCTTCTCTCGTAGTGGACCTAGAGACGTTGGCCTATTTCCACCATTACATCATTACAACATGTCCGACACTTCCTAAAATCGAGGATTCTCTAACAGCGTCACAACACTGGGGGACATATATTGTTTCGTTGGCTCTACGACGACGGTGGTTGATGTGCGGATTATTGGCCATTTCCGCGTACCATTCAGCCACGCTCGATGAGGAGATAACAGTACAGAAAAAGCATTTTGAGCAAGGAACAAAGCTCCGTTCTGAATTCTTCATTGGATTCAACGAAATCATGAACAATAGTTCGAACACTATGTCCATCAAGACTTTCCAGAAAACTAAAAGGGCAGCAATTCAAGTAAAAAGCATCATGAGCTGTGCGCACTGGGCCTTGACTGGATTCACTTCAAATTACACGACTGTCCTGGGTCCTGACACAGTCCTGTCTCAGCTACAATCTTTACTATGCGACATTCAAGATTTTTCAAAATTAGGAAACTCTTTAAACATCGAGCAGAGGAATGGCAATGATCTCCAAACATCTTTGGGTACAAATGGCTCACGAGGTACTGCCACAGCACCAACTATGCTACTCAATCGTCTTCAGATGCTACCTTATCGCATGGCCGAGATATTTGGGAAACCAGATCATGAACAAGATGCCCCCGCTATTTTACTCAGCATTGCAGCCTTGCTCCAGTGCTGTAGTGGTGTCTTTGAGTCAAACAATTTGTCAGGTGCGTGGAAAGATATATGCGCATGGTTTGAGAAGACCACGGACCATTTCAATTATATGGTTTCACTTCAAAATCCAGCTGCGCTTATTGTACTAGCATACTGGGCGGCCATTCTAGTTAAACAAGCTCAAGTTTGCGAGTGCTGGTTCGTACATGGCTTTTCAAGGGCAATCGTTTTGCTTATTTACGAGCACCTTTCTACAGATGATGCAGTTCGAAGTTTGGTTGAACGTCTGTTAGAGTGAATGAGTCTATGCGGCTCTTCTAAGCTACTTATAGATTAATGGCACTTACTAAAGATGAAAGAAACAAGGATATAACGTAACCGCGACTATATGCATCCATACCTGCAATTGAATATAACTCAACAAACAAAGCCTATTTATATATGAAATTGTTTAAGTCTACCAGATGCAAGGCTATAGATAGCGTAAAATAGTTGGTTATTAACCAGTAGAGAACGGATAAAACATACAAGATTCGAATTCTAGTAAAACTCAGTACAAATTAGGTGTGTTTATAGCGGGAAATCATTATCTAAATGTAGGTAGCAGGAGATTCATAGCTTCAGTTTATTAAATTGCAGATGGAAAAGCCGAGGCCAGTATGGCTTCGAATCCCATAACTGCAAGCTTCACGGGAGAGCTTATAGGATGGAGTTCTATGGCAGTCTCGATAAAAGTCTCTATGGAATATCTCAGCTCTAGAAGCTCTCGCTGAGCACAGTTGATAACCTGTCGTCATAAACTCATTCTCGTCATTCTCTCTCTGAGAACCAGTTGGTGGACCCCAGTGTTGATGTGTCTCAGATATCTCCAGCAAAGGGTCAAGAAGCACAATTACTGCATGACCCAGTGTCCTGCTACTCCTGCTTTATTTTTCAATGCGAGTATGATCAGAAGAGGGAGTCGATAAGAATAAAAGGTTCAGAACCTCGAAAGAAGGCGAAAGGGAAAGAAAATTATGGGTTGAGCTAAGTTGACGGCACTCCAGGAGGAGCAAAGGCCTTATCAGCCTGAGGCAGAAGCCTCGACAATGATGGATGCTATATACAAGGCTGAGAATGGGAACAAAAGATCTAGGGGTTAGACGTTGAAACGTGTGTAACATCAATCCCTCAAGGCTTCAAAGTCCTCTTGAATTGACGAGCATATGTGATCAACCAATGACATTTCCTCCGCTATCGGCACATCTAAGGCCCCAGCTTGCCAGCTCACCGTGCACATCAAGCTACCTCCTTTGACACTGATAATATTGAAAGCAAGTGGCGCACTGGTAGCGTTTCCAGGCTGCGTAAACACCATCTTGGCCACCTTGCACTTTTGATCTGCGCCGTCGTCCATGTTATCGAAGGCAAGCAAATTGCTCAGTTCGTACGAGGAGTCCCGCTCGTGTCCAAGTTTACTCAACGTCCAATTCCTGATGCTGGGGACATATCTCAGCAGGCCTATTGCTTGATCCTGCAGCCTCGCACCACATTCAGCGAGCTTTTGGGTCATAGACCTTGCAGCTTCCCACATCTCCTCGGACAACCCAGGCTCCGTCACATTTAGTACCCGTGGGTGTACCTCGTAAAGGCCAGACACGAAAAGACCCCATGTGAGACCAGGTGTCCCAATAGACGCTCGCATATCAACAGGCGTACCTGAGACAAAATTCGTTACGTTAGGGCTAGGAATGGCCCTGCTCAGCGCTCGAACAACCATCTGGTGCACCGTTCCCGTGAGCTTGGTGCCATGGCTTCTTGACGCTTGCAGGGCCTTTTGGACCAGCGGAGCCTCAATCTCGAGGAGTCTTACTCTACTCTGGAGGGTGGCCGCTGGATCGAAGAACATGGGCGGCCCAATCCAAGTACCGGCATCTATCGTGCTGGCAGATGCGCGGAACCCAAGAAGTTTGGCCACAAGCTTTGGCAAATAAACTGCCAAAAATGGCTCAAGGAGGAACTTCCAGGATATGGGAAGCCTTTCGGGTGTGTCAAAGGGTGGCGGGAGCATTTGACTTGGAGGTGTCATTAAGAAAGAGGCTTTCTCCTCCATGCCAGTAGGCTGGCGCCATGCATCTAGAAAGGTCCGATGGAATGCAACTCCGACCATGCCGTCTCCAAGAGTATGAGAGAACGCAAAGGCGATGAAGCATCGCTTCACTGCGGAGTCTTGTGGTGACACCAGAGGAAGGACCACGATTCGCCAAGGTGGAATATCAGCAGGCCATGGCCGGTCAAGTATAGCTGGCAGAATTTTTTGAATTTTTGCCGCCTCGTCATTGCTACTGGTTTCGTCTTCATGAATTATAGACACATGATCGTGGAGATCAATACTAGAAACTGCTTCGAATGCTGCCTTGTCGGTATGCTTGTCCTTGACTACCACACTTAGGTGTGGGTACTTCTCGATGCAGCGTCTCAAAGGTGCAATAAATGACTGGGCAGAATTAACATCTATATCCTCATTCGCAATGTCGTAAATTGCTGCGATGACGAGCGCGTTGTAAAAGCCGACATCTTCGCGACTAATTGTACGGCGTTCATTGGGACCTGAGGGTCAGGTTAGTGCCACCGATATAATTCACGAAAAATAGTTCACTGACTTGCAAGTCTCATGAACTTGGTAGGGTGCGACATCTCTATACAACGTACCCCGTACAATATAGAAAAACATCTGCTGTCAAAATGCAGGGGAACATGTCGGCACAACTATCATCCGAATACATTAATTACATGATCTATTTTGGGACACCCGGGAGAGCCGGGAAAAAACGGAAACACAGCGCGACGTAATAGGGAATTTCGTCTTTGAACGAGCTGTGAGGCTGTATGGGGTGACAAGTCTGGATATCGTAAAATTATATTCATCAAAAAAAAGTTGTTTATTCTGCAATTTCATGGCCAACTGAGAAGACTTTTCACGATGATTCATGCAATGAAGACCCTTGGAGTTGATAGAATTGTCTATGTTGAATATGTGGTCTAGCTACTTCGCCAAAGTATACTAGACATTTGTCCCGCTGGCAAGGTACTCCTTGCTGAATGGGTAATCCAAATAACCCACTGCTGACTCAATGGCATAAAAAGTATCTCTGTTGTACGCATTGAGCTCCAGACCCTTCCTAATCCTAAATATGAGATCCGGATTGGAAAGGAATTGCCGGCCAAAGATGACGATGATTTCCTTGTCCGGATACTTCTCATCCACCAACTTCTGGGCCTCATGTGATGTATACCCACCAGCAATCAGAAAAGGTCTGTTCCATAGATCGTATGCAAAATCCAGTGTTTCATGGCCATTATAATCCTGGGAGCCGGAGATACGCGACTCGACGAGGTGAAGATATGCAATATCCGCCTGTCTAGCTTTGTTGATCACATCCGTGAACTGCGGGACCGGATTCTGCATTTTCATACCCTGGAACGTACTCCAGGGGCTCAGTCGAAGCCCGACACGCTCAGGACCGATGGCATTAGCAACAGCTTTAACCACCTCATCGAGAAGGCGAGATCTATTCTCCACATTTCCACCGTACTCATCGTCACGATGATTGCTGACGTCTTGGATGAATTGGTCGAGCAAATATCCATTTGCGCCATGGACCTCGACTCCGTCAAAGCCAGCCCGAATAGCATTCTTCGAAGCATCGACATGATCTTGGATTGTCCGTTTGATCTCGTCGGTAGTCATGGCCCTAGGCACTACAGCGTCTTCTCCCATGGGAATAGCACTGGGCGCTACAATTTCGACGCCTTCTTTCCGTGCTACATCGATATCCGCAGCGCGGCCCATGGCAAATAGTTGACAGAATATGAAACATCCTTTGCGATGAACTTCATCAGTGATGTTTCTCCAGGCGGCGACTTGGTCCTCACGCCAAAGTCCTGGTGCGTGTGCGAATCCGCCACAGGTTGCTGAGATGAATGTTCCCTCGGTGAGGATCAAGGTACCTGGCACTGCGGCCCGTTGGCCGTAGTATTCCTTCATGAGAGATGTTGGCACTCGATCTTCGGTTGCTCGGAAGCGAGTGAGTGGCGCCATTCCGATGCGATGTTTTACTTCAATGTCGCCGATCTTAAAGGGCTTGAAAAGGCGTGATTGAGGCATTGTCAAGAATCTTTGAATGGCTGTTCTTCGGTGGGAGAGTTAAGACTTTGATCCATCGTTGAATCTCAGCGAAGACCAGGTATTTGTACTCTATATTCAGTAAGAATCTTCTGTAATCGTTGGGTGAATGTAGAATTTCTCTATATAACTAGGGTAAAGAGATACTTCTCAAAAAGGAAAAAAGATACTTCCTATTACGGAAAGGTTAGCAAACTTAGCCATTTGCGGTTAGAGTTATCGATATTAGACCAATCACCCATGTGGAGTATAAGGCTAGTGGGGAAACAGTATCCGGAGAATTTCTGTTCACTTTCAGCCCTCGTAGTAATCGCCAACTGGGGATACTTGACCGATGACAAATAGAAGGTGTTCTAACTTTAGAAGGTTATCGTAAATTAAGTTGATTAGATATGATTTGAAATCAGTATTGATACTTTGACAGCTCTAGCCAGATACTTGCGCAAATGGAACCCTTAGAGAAGTTCTCTATTGAGCTAGTTTAGATAGAATTTTCTTCCCAAAATACCTTAACCTGTGACAAAAATGCTTTTTCAGACCATATAAACTGTTTAAGAATTACCAGGAGTTCCGGCCATGATGTATACAACCATCTGAATCTACTACGGTTCAAATGCAATAGTTGCACGTAGCCTTGTCGTATAGTCCCGGCGGGGGCAAAAGCGCCCCCGATATGCAAGAGCCAAGTCAACAAATCAGGCGAATCGTCCCACACTGTATTATCTCTCACTGCTTGTAACTTGCATAGTAATTGTAATGAAAGTTGGGACTGATGATATTTCAAGTTAGCACAACCCGATGTGAAACCGAGACATACAAAATCAATGCGATTGACTTACGGGGATGGTTGAAGTCCGCCATAATTTGCAGCGCAGCATAGTCGAGCATATATATGCCGCTTGGCGGCAACATTCTGAGATAGGTGAGCAAATTGGCAAACTCACTAGCCTCGACTGGATAGACGCTTGGTGGTTATCGATATGTGCCATCGACATTGGACCCTCTGTGCCGAGGATTGGTGAATCTCGGATACATTGCAATGCAAACACGTCCCTGAGTATTTCAACAAAATTCTGGTCCAGCAAATAGGAGCGACTTTGAAATCCAGGTGGTAGAATAAAGAAGTCCGGATTGGAAGGATCTCTCCTCCACTGGAGCTCGGAAAAGGTTGTGTGGTCAACAACTCGACTTGAGCCTGTCATTACAGACCCATTTAGATCTGACCTGTCGGCCAGTGTAAGATTTCGCCGTCAGCAAAAGATCCAGACTACTTACCAGAAGACCGCACGTTTGATATCAGCACTCAAATATATGCCCTTTCTTTGGCATAAGTCCAGAATGTGTTGTATTGCCTTCATGTGGAACTGGACTTGGCGCGTCATCCCAAGCCTAATCTTTATGAGGAAAGTTTTAGCTTTTGATGGGAAGACTCCTTCCAAAGATAGAAAAATTGAAGGAAAACTTGAACAAACCTCTATGCCGGCGAGCAGCAGAATGGCTCCTATTGTAGGCTCCGTGGCAGCCTTATCGGGAGAGCTCATTCTTTGGCGGACAGATCTCAGAGTCTCATTTTGGTATTCGAGACACTCCATGCTGCTCATATCTGCTGTTGCCGTAAATGAAAATGTGAGCATGACAGCGCTCAAAAGAGCGTTATCACCTAGCCCTTTTCGAAGGACGGAGCAGAAATTTTGAAGAACAAGTTCATCGGAAATACTGAAGACTAGCTCCATAGCTTGTTGAGACCTTTCTATATCCAGATTTTGCGTGAGTCGTTGTCGGGCACCAGATGGCTTCCAGAATCTTACGTCGGTTGAGCAATGCCTGTAGTATCGGCGACTCTGCAGCCAGCATTTGAAACGGATCGGATGATCTTGCATCTATGGAGGCTTGTGGTGCGATAAGAGCCTCCCCATGTTTTTCTTTGATCACGGATTTGCTCTGATCGTTTGCTGGGCATAGAACATGGAAATGGAAATTATGGCCCAAGCTTTGCTGGAGCCTTCTTTTTTTCCGAAGCCCGTGTGCTACAGCATGCGATCGGGCTAAGCGCTTCGCTATACGGTCATTTGAGTTTTGTATTGGAATGAAAAAGAATTGATCACCTGAAAAGACAAGGTTAATCATAGTGTATGGAGTCATGCTCCCTTCAAGCTCTGCCCTACCTGAATTGAGCTCATTTTTTATGGCCATTGGAAGGGAACGGTATTTTCTGTGAATGGACCCCCTTTCATAAGGCCTCGGGAGTGCTATAAGAGTTGGATTACTCTGCACTGAGCATGTTGTCCAGGATCGATGGCCCCCAGTGTTGGTAGATTACAAATCAAAACCCCTCCCCGGTAGAGCCTGCGATCGGCTTGGTATCTCATGGATAGGGCGCATGGGTTGCAACGCACAGACATACCAGTGATCAGGTTTTCGGGTGAGATCGCGGCCCGTTCGGTGAACCAAAAATGCCGACCACGAAAATGAGACCTCGGGACTTTCACTGGAACCTTACAAGGGTTACAGTCCTGGAGCGAACACACCGACTGTCAGGACTTCCTCTGGGGGATCACTGATCAGATCCAATCTTGTATCGGTGGCAAGGCTTAAAAAAAACAACTGCCATATCCCCTCTCGCAGCAAACAGTGAAGTGGTGATCAGATAAGAGGAGGCTAGACGATAGAGAAAACTAGTTATATGGATAACTATGGGAAGAAAGTACTTCAAATTACAACATGAACGCAGGATCATGAACCCCAAAGCTATATCAATAAGTAACCAGTTAACCTTCCAAGCCAACTTTGAGAAAGTACAGATATATCCAACAAAATGATAGACACGATATGCATTGCCATGTACAAAACCCACTACCAGGCTGTCATACCACCATCAACCCGAATATCTGCAGCAGTAATATAGGAGCTTTCATCTGAAGCAAGAAAGCTAGCCACAGCCGCAATCTCCTCTGGCTGGCCACTGCGGCCAAGCATGATCTTCTGCATCACACTTGAAGTCCACTCCGCACTTTCAAGCAAAGGCGCAGTTTGCAGAGTTTCGATAAGGCCTGGTGAGATTGAATTGGCCCGGATACCATGCTCGCGTCCTTCCATGGCCAACTGGCGTGTCATGGCAATAATACCACCTTTCGCAGCTGTGTGTGCGATGGCAGGCACTGGACGAATCGCAATCCAGCCGTTGGAAGATCCAACGTTGATTATGGATGCACCAGACTCCTTCAGATGTGGCCATGCAACACGAGTCAATAGGTAGACGAGGTTTAACTCCTGGTCAATTGTTTTGTACCAGTCGTCATCATTGGCATCATCGAGCCAGCTCATGTAGGCCATTGCCGCATTGTTGTACAACGCATCGATACGTCCATAGGTTTCAATGGCTAGTTTGACCAGTTGCTCGCAGTTTTCGCGTTTTGTGAGATCGCATGGGCACATGGATATCATTTCACCACCCAGTTCTCGTACGGCTTCGACGGTTGCTGCGTCGTTTACGGCGTTGATGTCACAGCCGACGATTTTAGCGCCTTCCTGGGCAAACTTGAGGGCTGCTGCACGTCCCATGCTACCGCCTGTGCCTGTGATGAGGCATATCTTGTTCAAGAGACGCGGTGCCATAGTGATTGGTTTGGGGTTGATATATGTTGAAAGAAAGATTTGGAAGTATGTGATCGGAATATTTATAATATAAGCGGGAGGCCAGGAAGAGGGGTGTGATCGGTTAACAAGGATCTGGTAACTAACTATGTATGTAGAATTCATAGCACGGGTTAGTTACACTGCCTTGCCAGCCCGGCTGAGAAGGGACGCTACTGCATGCACGCCACGAGTAATAAATCTGGTGTTCTTTCAAACAAATATATCAAATTAAATACAAAAAAAGCTATGAGCTGCATCCATACTAACAATCGATTACTAGTAGTAATCGTCACTAGTATTAGTATTACTGGCAAAAAAAAAAGCAAGTTCGTACATACGCATTAGCGTCCCTTCTCGGCCGCGTTGACAAGGCAGTGTAATATATATTTGAATGTTTGCTTTTTCTATGAATCCAATCAAGAATACACTTGAATCTATATCTTGTTGGTTTCTCCACATAAAGTAAGCGCTACACCAGTAATGAACCATAAGCTCGGTAGGTGCATATTGTGGCTGCACGATGCACGATCGAAGGGGCTGATTATTTATTATGTGGACGATTGGATTCAATAGCGGATTCAATAGCGGATTCAATAGCGTGTCACCTTGGTATTATCTACCATCGCTTTATAACCAAGAGTACCAGGCTTCTTCAAGTAAAATTAGGTCCTAGTCAATTGATAGAGGGAAAACTAAATAAAGACCACGGGTATCAAGGGCTTTCCCCTCAAGTCCCACCTACTTTCCAAGCCACGGCGCTAAGAACCACCACGTTACGCTGGTTTGGGGTGCTGTTATCATGGATTCAGTCGACATCACAGCTGAATATCACAGCTGAATACTACCTGAAACTCATTAGCCCCTCAAAAAAAGCTCTTCCAGGCCCGGAGGATCTTACTAGACTTGAGACTACTCATATATGTTCCTTACAGGTACGGAGTACAGACGATGCATCAGACAAAAAATGGTATACCAAAAGATGGGGCGAGCCGGGATTGAACCGGCGACCTTGCGAACTTCAATCGCACGCTACTCCCAACTGAGCTATCGCCCCATTTGATGCTGATAGATTGCTTATTTGGAATTACTATTTTAACCATTAGAAACAGACGCATTAAACAAAAAAGGTACACTAAAAATGGGGCGAGCCGGGATTGAACCGGCGACCTTGCGAACTTCAATCGCACGCTACTCCCAACTGAGCTATCGCCCCATTTGATGCTGATAGGGTCCTAATTTGACAGTATACTTCTGGCCATCAATTGCTGTTTACGGTAGTGTAGGTTGATAGTGAAGAAGAATCTAGAATTGCTGGTGAAATACGAATTTGATATTGGAGAAAATAAAAAGTGAAGGAAGATTGTGGTTCCCTTGTCAACTTTTTGTCAACTCTCAAGTGTCTAAAACCTTGTCATACTTCGTGATGAGAAGTTAGTATAGCCGTGCTACCGCACCTATACCTTGTCCCACAATACGGAATTTATGGTATCTTTTGTATGTTGTGTCCATACAAAAGGTACATAAATATGGCATAAGTATAATAGGAATTATCTTGATCCCTAGAAATAATTAGGGAGGGTATAGTAGGGTATATATGGGGTAAAGGAAGTCCTTTCTATTTAATAGTAGGATTAGAAAGAAATATTCAGTACTCCATAAGTATCGAAGATTTATATTTCTACACACATGGTTTTTTTAAAAATGACCATAAATCCTCTATAAGAGATATCTAGGATTAATCTTAATACCAAATCAATTAGACCAGACTAGACTTACTTATTCCTTGGCTTATTATTGCTTTAAATAGTTAGGGGGTTAAGAGGGTAAAATACTTATACATGTACCTTTATACGAGCATCCCATACAAAAGATACCTAATTTTTACAATTCCGTTTACTGGGAAAGTTCCGCTATGTGGGACAGACCCTCCCCAACTTGTTGGGGTGGGACAGACCCTCCCCAGCTTGTTGGGGTGGGCTGGTAAGACGGCTATCTGCAAGTTTGAGATACCGTTGGTGTAGGTAGAGTTAGACCGCATTTAACCCTTGGGCCTCGTTTGGCTCTGTGTGATCTGATTTCATTTTGTAGTACGCATATTATTGTTCGTATCTGCTAGGGGGATAAGGACATGGAGCCAGCTATCTAGGTACAGACGAGCCGGTCAGAGGGCAGGAACCCAACAATGGCGCACGATATTGACCCCGGAGGTAGGGATGGTAGGGCCAGAAAATACATCTGTACTGGGGAATCTGCATTTGGGGCTGTGCTTGTGTAACGAACACCAGAGGGGTATTTGAATGAATGGTGTATCTGGACTCTCTATCTATATATTCAACTACGCCGTGTACTATGTATGAGATGGCACCTTTGAGGTCTAGCTTCGGGGTAGTGACAGTTGATCTCAGGCAAATCAGTGATCTCAGTACTTGATCCCATATGTTCATTGTATAGGATTGCACGAAACTACTTATAGCGCTGGGGTAGATACTTATTTTGAATGTTATTTTAACGCTACAAATGAAATATGTAATAAATGTGCATCCATCCGCCGTATATATACCCCCCCGGTCGTAACCCTAGCTATATGTATCCACGGCCAGCCAACATCGCCACCTAAACCCCTACATTTGTACCGAGTCCATGCAATAAACAACTAGTGTCCATTGTTACACCATGCCCAGTGGAAAATGTGATTATACCGCAATTCAAGAAATCTGTTTATACATACTAGTACACATTGTATTGAGGGTGGCGAGATTTCGAAAGTTCCACGGTCGCATTTCTACAGTCCGCATCTGTTTTTTTTTTTTGCCAGACAGGCAATACCGTAGATTTATACTACCACTTGGTTTCATAGTCGCTATTTGAAAGCTTGAAAGCTTGAAAGCGACCAAATATTCACATAGGTAGCCTCCTTCGACTGTCTATGCGTTCTTTAGGGTTATAAATGTTTTCTGCAGACAAATTTTTATCACATGGGGCGATAGCTCAGTTGGGAGTAGCGTGCGATTGAAGTTCGCAAGGTCGCCGGTTCAATCCCGGCTCGCCCCATTGTTTTTGAATTTTACCCCCTTGGGTTTTCTTAGCCTTTACGAGTGGATGCTTTGTAGGAGTGAGTACGGAGTACATAGCTGATATTATTGCACCTACCTACTCCGTAGGGTATCCCATGGTATTGGTATATTTTTGCACCCTTCAAATCAAGTTGCGTTTGGCTCCTAATTCCTTTTTTAAGAACAACATTGTATTTCACGCTGTTGGTTTCGCCCAAATCTAATAATCACATACCTTTCGTCCTACCCTACCGTAAGCAGCAATTGATGACTAGAAACATAATATCCAATAAGCTCCCCATCAGCATCAAATGGGGCGATAGCTCAGTTGGGAGTAGCGTGCGATTGAAGTTCGCAAGGTCGCCGGTTCAATCCCGGCTCGCCCCATTTTTTAGTGTACCTTTTTTGTTTAATCGTGCCACCGCCTTTTCACCACCTACCCGGTGTTGGTGGGGCCCCACCGGATCCCGGATTCTCATCGGATCCCCGATTTTCAATTAACAATGCATTCAATATACTATTTACAAATAGCCACCACGAATATCTATATACCAATTTCTACAATTGCTATCCTTACCGCCATTAATGCTTTATACTCAGCCTCAGCTCAATCCCTTACCTCTGGCGTAGACCTGGCAGTGACCCTCCATTTGGACCCGCCAAGGCGCTAAGGAGGGTCTAAAGTCAGGATCCTAGACCCGCCAAGAAAATTATGTATACATAACCTATCCTAAATAGGAAAATCATGCTTATAAACCACGTTTTATGTATATTTATGTAGAACTCCAGGTCTTGGCGGGTCGCTGGACCCTCCGAGACCCTCGGAGGGTGCAAGGTCATGGACCACCCGGAGGGTCACTGCCAGGTCTACACGGTAGTATAACCTAACTATCGGTAGAGATATATTCAATACCGGTGATAGACTTATTTTGACCACCGGTAGGATTTATATATACACCGTATAGAGTAATAACTTTTTAACGCTTTCCCTAGCCAATCTAGTAGCTAGTTATATCCCAATTGAAGATCTTATATCTTTTAAAACTATATTGATCTATAAACTTTCGAAGGCTATTAAACCAAAGTAGTAATTCGCTGTAATTCTCGCTTTTAAACCTCACTTTTTCAGTCGGTTTTAGGCTAATATACGGGATATCTAGTAGGAGGCGCTTAATAAAACGGTATAACGTATTTCACCACCGAGTGGCCACAACCACCGAGTGGCCACCCCAACCCTACATATTAAATTTAAATACATTTTTCTCAACCAAAACTCCATTAAATTAATTCAACTAACTAATTGGTCTATCTGGACATATTTCTCTTCTATACCCTGGCAATCTGTATATTCCATATCCCCGGGGGGGCTTTATACGTGGTTGTAAACCCGATTCTCTAGGTATGCCGGCGGCGGGGGAAGGTGCTTCAGTTGCTTCCAGTTGCTGCATAATTAATGCAGATACTTCTTGAACTGAGAGGCCTTCTTCGGCGGGTATCTGCCTTCGGGATCGAGTGCGCTTTTACTTCTGCTTCTCGTTGGCGGCGCGTAAATCGCTTACTTCTTTCTCAAGAAGTGCGGCGGATTGCATAGTGATCTGGCACGCCTTTAAAACCTGGTTTATAGCGGAATTGAGAGGACTTAGAGGGCTCCTTGATCTTATACGAAGCAATGCTTTAATTGACGAAGCTTGTTTTTGTAATTAGACGTAGTTCGAAGGGGTTTTTGGGTCCCAATCACTACCCCGGCTCGGAGGGGGGGTCGGGGTTCGAAGACGAATATCAAGCTTTGAAATCACTCGATCGGGTGCAAAAGGTATTAAACCAGCTGCTCCGAAGCTATTTTTAATAGTCTCTGATTTAAAAGCTTCAATTCGTATAAGTGGGTATACTTCGAGGAAGTCAAGTTTATCGATATAATTTATCCCACTCCGCATTTTGAATTCAACAAACCGACCGTACGCACGTTTTAGTACCGCAAAACAGCCGATATCGAGAGGTTGTAAAAGGTGAGAGGAATGCGGAGGTATACAAATTGGTATAATACCATTTTGTTCGCAGATTTCGTCGAACTTCGGTGTTAAATAGCTTCCGTGACCGTCGAGTACTAGAAGCCGATACCTCCCCTTCGTACGCGAAGAAGTCGAAGGAATAAAGAGCTTTTCGAGCCAACGAAGTCCAATTTTATCCGAAGTCCAACCGTTAGGGCTTACTTCAAAGCGCCAGTCATTCGGGACGCTTTTAAACTAAGATTCGAGGAAGACTTTGCCTTTAAAAATCATATACGGAGGAAGCACCCAGCTAGAAGCACCCGTATATTCAATTACTGTCACCCACTCGCGAGTTCTAGGTTGTAAAGTCTTACGCCGACCGGTTATATCACTTCTCGTAATAACCTTCGCGGTCGCGGTTAATCCTAACGCGAAACCGGTCTCGTTAAAGTTATAAACGTCATCGGGGTCGATTCCAAATTGAAGGATCGTCTTTTGAACTAGATTAAACCACTCCCCAATGATTTTAGGGTCTTCGTATTTCGCACGCTCGTAATTATACCGTTTCGAGAATCGGGAGGAGAGGAGAGGATATCGTTTCACGAATTTCGTAACCCAATTTTCGCCGACCGAAAGAACCGGGGTAGTTCTACGTTGTTGAAGAAGAAGATCCGCCATTTCTCGTACGGAAGAGGGCCGGGGGGCTGCTCCACGAGAATCTATAGAGATAATCCATTTTTCAAGAGATTCCTCTTCAAGTTCTGTCAATTTATACGAATTAGCGCGAGAAGTCGCGCGGTCTTAGACGCCGCTAAGGCGGCGGCGGAGAGTTGAACGCGGCACATTGAAAGTGCGAGCAGCGAGAGTAATATTACTGATATCTCCATTTTTAAAAGCCTGGATAGCTAATAAAAGCCTACCCTCTTGCTCAATTGAATTTTTCGAGCTTTGAGAGCGAATTAGTGGCATAGTGGGTGGTTGAAGAAGAAGGGATTAAATTAATTAACGCGTTTTGGGTAGGGTGGCCACTCGGTGGTTGTGGCCACTCGGTGGTGAAATACGTTACCTAACTATGTAGTTAGTTATAGCTAACCGTCCGGTCGGAACTAGCGGTCTTTAAAAGGTGATTTGCAGAGCGCTCAATACGCTCTGGGGTATTTGTAGTATATAAATTGCGTAGGGTATAAATCCAAGATATCAATACTTTTTCTTGAATTGAATTTAATGCCTTGCTCTGGCTAGCAATAGTCGAATTGGACTTCCGACCGTGGACGCGACCGCGTAGTCGATCAATTGGAACCGCGAATTCCCGCGCTAATTTAGCTAAATTAGGCTTATTGCTTTTCTTATAGGCTTCTGCTGCCCGTAGAGTTCTTATTTCAACATCTTCAATTTGATTTGATATCGTGGTGTAGTAGAAAAATGAGTAGGAAGTTGATAAAAAAAACGAAAATCGGGGATCCGATGAGAATCCGGGATCCGGTGGGGCCCACCAACACCGGGTAGGGGTGGTGAAAAGGCGGTGGCACGATTAATGCGTCTGTCTATGATGGTTAAAATAGTAATTCTAAATAAGCACCCTCGAATATCAAGTGGGGCGATAGCTCAGTTGGGAGTAGCGTGCGATTGAAGTTCGCAAGGTCGCCGGTTCAATCCCGGCTCGCCCCATTGTTTTTGAATTTTACCCCCTTGGGTTTCCTAGCCTTTGTAGGAGTGAGTATATAGTTGATATTATTGCACCTACCTACTCCGTAGGGTATCCCATGGTATTTTTTGCACCCTTCAAATCAAGTTGCATTTGGCTCCTAATTTCTTTTTTAAGAACAACATTGTATTTCACGCTGTTGGTTTCGCCCAAATCTAATTATCACATACCTTTCGCCCTACCCTACCGTAAGCAGCAATTGATGACTAGAATCATAATATCTAATAAGCACCCTATCAGCATCAAATGGGGCGATAGCTCAGTTGGGAGTAGCGTGCGATTGAAGTTCGCAAGGTCGCCGGTTCAATCCCGGCTCGCCCCATTTTTTGGCATATTTTTTTTGTCCTTTCCACACCAATTCGGCCGGATTTGATGCAGAGGACGACTGTTAATTAGGTATACGTAGAAGATCGGACATAAATTTCAATATGTAAACCACAGGTAGTAATACGGAGTCGTCTTGACTGGTGCATAATGTGCTGTATAAGACAACTTAATCTATCCCCTCATTTCTTTGTCGAGAGGCTTGAAAGGTTTTGGGCAGTGAAAGCTTTTATGATCACTGTATTGAGCCCCTACAAGACGACCATATGTCTGCAAGTAGTTCACTCATATGTTGTAGTGAGAAGTTGGGAACATCTATTGCCTACATGTTTGGGACATATTTAATAACGACAATATCAGCAGGCTAGCTTGCCAACAGGAAATATATATGGATCCGTCTAGAGAGCCGGTGCATGTTGGCCATAGAAGATCAGAAGGACTCATCGCTCACATAATCCCCTAGCTTTTAGCAGATGACGTTAAATTTATAGTCTTTTTTACATTTGTATGATGCATGCACTGATTCCTTGTGAAGAGAAAAGCAAAGTATATGTGAATCATGTAGCTTTAAGTATTGAATGTGTATATACATCTTGCTTCTGGACTATGGAATGTAATAAGAAAAAGAGCAAGTTAGCAGCTTATTGTTGCGGCCGCTAGCCGTCTAAAAAGGAGGAAAGAGTAGCAAATGGATACGGCCGGGAATGATCGCTATATTGGCTGTATATAAGCATAAAGACAAAATACGGTTGATGAGCACCTCGATACCTATCGTCATGTCCTGTCACAGTATCTCGACTGTTAGCCGATCATTGTATAGCCAATCTTTAAGGTGCGTTTAATTCCATTTCTGTCTTATCCACACTCTAGCCCTTTCTAACCTTGAGTAGTGTGATTGAGTCTCAAAGTTCGGTATGGAGAACCGTTCTGTCAAATCCTACGGCCTGGAAAAGTAGATCGGAATCGCGAGGAGTAATCGCATGGTCACGGCTTGACATGGAATCTGACAATGCTACACCGAGGATGGGGATTGATGCTGAAGCCTTGCGAGTCTGCGTCTTCCTCGCTTCCACTTGAGCATCAATATCTTATCCTATACTACCCTGCAATTTGTAAAGCTACCCTTTGAATTTGTATCGTATATCGTCCACATAAATTTGGCTTTAAAGTGGTTGAGCGGAAGAGGAGCACTATTTTCTAAATTATTTCATCGTATCACCACGTATGTTGAAATATCAGGACGAGCTAAAAATATGAACGTAAGTTCGAAGAGGAGAATGCAAATATCTAATTCCCAAATATCTCGAATGGACGGTGTGATTTCAATCCCCCAAGATAACTATAGAAATAGAAAGTACTCGAACTAAAAGCACAGCACAAATAATAAATATGGCAGTGAAATTGACTACATAACCATAAAACAACAGAAAAACCACAGTGGGTATAGAAAGCACTCTCATTGATCTCATTGCCTCACAAGACAGGGATCTTACGACCACCCCTCCATAGGCAGCGGCACACCCTCCCATTCACTGCCCTGCTGCATCATAGGTGCACTGATCTCCTCATCACAAGTCCCATTGAGTATCTCACCAGCAGCACCCCAGCCCATAGACTCAATTTCTCGAACGAAGAAATCACGCTCTTCCTCCATCATAGAAGCACCCTCATCACCACCCATGACATCCTTGTACTGGCGCAGATGCCACCAGTGCGTAAGACCACGAAGCGCCTGTTCCAACGGCAAAGCCTCTTCAACCTCAGCATCCACGTCAGAGCCAGCGAGCCAGTCGTCGCGAAGCTCGGGGCGGCAGTAGAGGTAGATAGCCGTGATGACGCGCATGTTGCTCTGACGCCATTTGCGGCCGCAGTACGGGACTTGAGATTTAAAGAGTTTGAGGGTATAGAAGCGGAGGTGTGGGTCTGGGATTTTCAGACCCTTGCGAAGGATGTTGCTTGATTTGTACTGCACTAGAAGCAGACAGCGGTGGGCTTTGTTGCGCGTGATCTTTTGCATGATGTGTAGGTAGTTGATAGCGGAGAAGAAGTTGCGGAAGGAGAATACTTTGATTGGTTCTTTGGGGAGGGGCGCGGTTGGGTAGCCTAATTCGTCGACTTCGGGGCGTGCCGGTCCGTTGAGGATATCCGTTAACGATTCCTCTTCGGATAGGCCTGGCATGCTGCCGTTTGCTGTTGGGTCGTGGCGGTGGCGGGATATTGGGGGTGGCATGGCTTCGTCTTCGCTTTCAGTGTCGCCGCAGGAGTTTTCGTCAGTTTCCAGGGGAAGGTCGGTGTTGCTTTGACAGAACCGGAAGAAACTGGTTTTTGTGTTAGTGGATGAGCTAGCTTCGCGAACGAGGTTGAGTGAGTAACATACGCTAAGTCTTCGCGGTCATTTTTATGTGCCACCGATTGGTCAACGTCTTGGTGTGCGAACATTTTGAGAATCAAGGGGATGTAATTCGAATCAAGTAACAGCTGTGTCATGTATTCAAATTTCAAGATATCTTAATGGGTTAGCGACATGTCATTCGCAAAAGGATCCGGGGCCTAACTCACGAGATCGCTTAAACCACTTCAGGAGAAGCAACAAAGTCCCGGACACAGCTTTCCCGGTGATCTCGCGAAGACGAATGTTGTCTAGCTCATCAATGGATGCATCGGAGAGGAGATCGTGAGAGGAGCCATTCATGGAAAGACTGTTACTAAAATTTATGTTAGAAGACATTCGTTGTTATTTGAAGTGTCCGAGCTCACCTCATGCCCTGCGTAGTCTGGCTAGTAGACTGGCTGACAACTGCGCTGACATTTGTCAGGATGATTTTCAAGAATACAATGGTGATGGACTGAAGGTGCGATAAAGTATGGGTCTGGTAGACAGTAAGCAAATGTCGAAATTGGGGCTCGAAAGCATGCACTCACATAAAACGAGTCAACCGCATCCAGGCGCCGCTGAATATCGGGATCGTCTGTTTCTTTTTCTACTGGCTTGGGTTTAGGCTCGGCCTTCTCTTCGTCGCCGGACAAATCTAGATGTTCAAAATCATCCGGGAGATCATCCGAGATGTTATCAGGGAAATGAGCAGCGTCCTCGGAGTTCCAGCCACGGTCGTACTGCATAAAGTGTTCACGCTCCTGCCAAAGCTGCCGCATTGCACGGGTCATTTTCACATGGGTTGAAAAGAGCTTTCCGGCTTCAATAATTGACGCAGGGACATCACTGCCTTCCCATTTCTTTCCAACCAAGGTATCCTGGCGTTCTGTTGAGCCCTTCCCGCCAATGCGGTTGCTAGAATCATCTAGGGGAGGGTACATGAAGGGGAAATTCTGGTTGGTCTGATAGTTCTGTTTCTTCCCAGCTTTCCCTCCTGGACCGGCGGGGGATGGTGGTGGGGATGGGGCAGGGGTTGCAATATGAACGGCCTGTTGAAGGATAGAGCCATTTCCACCCGAAATTGAGGGAGCAACACCGCAAAAGATACCACTGTTGGAGTTCATTCTGGCTGAATTGTGTGGAAGAGGGGGTAAAATGGAATTGTTTTCCAATTCCAGTGGAACGACAAGTGGCGGAGGGTTGTAAGCGGGGTATTTGGAAGTGATTTCCTGGCGGAAGAGATGGTAGTCTAGAGGGGAAGCGTGTAGAAATGGAGTCCTACGTTTGGAATCATCCTTCTCAGGGGAAACAGCAGGCTCTAGTACTTCCTTTGCGCGCTTTAAATCATCGGTCCCGCCGAAGACGAGAAGTAGCGACTTCCACAATAACAGAAGGATCCTGGTCAGCGGGATATTGGCCGATTCGTCCCAGCGCAGTCGAGCGATGATTTCAACAATGGAGACTAACAGACTAGGATTTGAGCTGGTCAGTGCATCGCGGATTGAGCTGCACTGAGAGTCATGCGCCTGTTGCCTGCGACCTACTTCCACGGCGAAGTATAAACTTGTAAGCACCAAGTTGGCCTCACGCTCCGGCGCTGCAATATCGCCAGGGTTAATTCGCTCGTAATCAACGTCACTGGAGTCCGACCCGAGTGCTGAGCGGGTCTTATCAAAAAGGCGGCACATGTACTGTACTAAGGCGGTAACGCCGGAGCATTCCTGGAGAAGGGAAACATTTTGCTCGATGCACTGGATCTGCATTGACTTGAGTAGTGGCGTTTCGGCTGTTGACTCGGGATTTCCATCTGAAGAATAATCAGGTGCCACCCTCCCACCGCTGATACCCCATACGCCAGTGACGACATAGCAAATGGCTTCAAGGGCTTCCAATCGAGCGGGGACTTCAGGAAGCTGCAAATCCTCAAGCATCTGAGAAACAAACGAACGACGTAAGTCATTGGATGCGTCAAGCCAAGACATCCCGGGCATGTCTCGCTGGTGTTTCTGGCAAAACGCAGGCCATTTCTGGTTAAAAGTCGCTTTCATGCCAGTCAACATGACACGATCAAAGGCGTTATACTGGAACCACTCGTCAAGCTCATCGGAAAAAGATTGGGCGTCGGAATATTCAAAAGCATAGGCTGGTTGCTCGATCTTGGGCATTTCACCAACAAGCTTTCGCAACTCTGATAAGCTCAGAGAGCTCGCACCCCGATCCGTACCCTCTTGGACGGGAGCTGGAGGGGGCGGCTGCATCGGAGGTGGTGGAGCAGAGGTCTCACGATGAAGTTCTGGTCGTTTCATGGATTTTTCGGGCGCAGAGGGCGCCATCTCAGGAGCGGGTGCGGTCTGTGAGGCCTGTTCCTGGCGGAGCCCCTCAGCCACCTTCTCCATGAGTTGGTCGTCTGAAACTGGCGAGATATCGGTCCCAGTTTGGTCAACCTCATCTGCCTTGACAATATGATGCTCCTGCATCGTGGCTTCGGGTGGATCTGAAGACATGTCCATCATTGGGGACTTGCTGAGTTCTGTGTTCCTGGCAGAAAGTTGTTCGGTGGATCACCAAGGTACCGACGCTCCACACATGAGGTGAAAGAGCAAAAGAGGCGCAAAAATGAATTGAGGCTCATGCAAATGGACTACTACACATTTTGTAAGACTTTGTAGTGCACGAGGGGTGGTGTAGCTGCGGTGTTGATGCGGGAGGTCAGCTGACACGTGACCAGACTACAAAGCCATTGTGTAAGGGCTGTTTACTACGACAATGAGTCGAAAGAGATAGAATACAATTGATCCCAAGTATTTTAATCAACAGGTAGATGTTTGCTCGCTACTATGGTAGGTATATGCTAAGAAGGGGCACCCCTTACTTTGACTTCTTCTTACTAAGGCTGCGACGCTTCAATCTCTGAGACTCCCAACGTTGCCAGCCAGCCTCAGCCAGGTCTTCACTTACGACGAGATCACGGATTCTGACCAACCGAGACACAGTAGTTTCCATGGCCCATTCAATCAACCCGGTGCTTCGGAGTAGGCTGGTAATCATGAACCAGCCACAAGCGCATACGAATCCAGTAGCACAGCCGGCAAGGACTTGTCTCGGGGTGTGGTAGTTGAGGTAGACCCGGCTTGCAGAGACAGCAGCAGCTCCAATGCAAAGGCCTAACATAACCAGGACTCGTAGGAGGACGGCGACATTGGGGTAGGAGCTGGCAGAAGCTTTGCTGTGACGGAACAGAAGGAAGAAGGTGAGGTAGACGGAGAAGAAGGTCATAAATTGGGCGTGTGAAGATGGCATTCCATATCCCTTGCCGAACATTTCTGTGAATTACACACGTGTTAGTTTGGGAAGGTACACATGAGACCATCGACATGGACATGGACATCGAGAACTTACCCTTCGGTCGCTCTTCCTTGATCAAACGTTTGAGGACAAAGTTCAAGGCTTCACAGCCCATCTGTCCTACAAACATTAAGATGACTTCAACCTCTCTTGTTGACCATACCAATGTTGCATAGGAGACACATAGTGCCTGTGGGATGAGGGCCAGCCATGCTGAGATAAAGGACAGTTGGTCCTCGGGGTTCTGGGAACTAGTCAGTTGTGTTAAGACAGTTGATATAATGAACTAACTGACATAGTGGACATGAGTCAGAGACAATGACGCCAGCGGAGTGTCTCCCATTGTTAAAAGAATGAGTAATGGGAGGTTCAAAAGTTCAAAAGTTCCCAAACCGTCTAAATTTGGAGATTCCCTTTTCAGGGATATCAGGATCAGGGCCAAGACCAATGCCAAGACTCTTTTCTTATCGTGGCGATAAGGAGATTGGGCAGCGGGGACCTTTTCGACTGGCAGATTATTTCCTCCATTTTTAGGCATCCGAGGGGGATTTGCCATTCTTTTTTGGTTATTTGGCGTCTGTCTTTTTGTCTTCTCCTATTTCTTCTCTTGTCTACCCCATCTATTACCTTCACTTTCAAACAATGACGCCGTTGTTCTCTCTTCAAACCCCAGACTCTCTATTGCATCATCTTTTAGACCCCTCCCGACTTTCTGCCGAACATTGGCCCATAGAGCGAATACTCGGGACATCTTCATCTTTGGTTGGTCTGATTTTTTTTACCAGGATCTCAATCGCAACGCTGATTCGAAGTGATCTTCCTGCAGGATAGAACCCCCCCTTTTTGTGCCCGATCGTCCTTAGTGACATTTCACTTGGGATCGGTCATCAATATTACCTTTCAAGGGTTTTTTTATATTTTTTTTTACGATGAGCCAGTGTTGCTAAGTTTTATTTGCAGGAGACACCCATTGTCTCCAAATTGCGATTCACTATCACATCAGAGGCGGCCAATATCCGACCCCACCTGAGAATTCTTCACAAGTGATCATACTCGGTTTCATCCCGCCATGACTGAACTCGACTTCCCGGAGGATGACCGCTCGGTCGAGCTTTCCTCGATTGCTGCGATCTTTCCAGAAATACAAATCGATCCTTCCTCTCCGTTTAAAGCCGTTCTCGATCTTCCAGTTGCGCCTTCCGCCCCAACCTCAATATGTTTTCAGCAACCGCTCGATATTGCAGCCGCCATCACCCCTCCAACCTCATTGGACGAGTCTAGGGGAGAACTAGACCAACCGCCCATTAAAGACGTCCATGTCCTCTCACACTTGCCTCCGCTTAACCTCGAGATTGAATTGCCACACGGCTACCCAACTGAAAAGCCGCCTATCGTTCATCTGAAAACGATCCCCTCATGGCTATCCCCCTCGGTCATCGATCAATTGTCCAGTGATTGCCACCGACTCTGGGAAGAATGTGGAAAAGATCTGGTCGTATTTACCTATATCGATCACCTACAGCAGCTTGCAGAAACAACTTTCAATATCCAGGATTCATCTGGGGAAATATGTTTATCGCGGGACTTGAAGATTGGACTACTGGACTACAACAAAAAGGCCGAGCGAGAAAAGTTTGAGCAGGGGACTTTCGAATGTGGGGTATGCTTGGAACCGAAAAAGGGCACTGTTTGCTATCGATTGCTTCGCTGCTCCCACGTATTCTGTATTCAATGCTTGCAGGATTTCTACAATTGTTGCATCACGGAGGGTGATGTTGACAGTGTGAAATGCATGGCGCCGGATTGCGAGTATAACAAGAGACCTGCAGCTGCACCAGGCGACGGCCAGACTCCGCCCCGCAAGAAGCGCGATCGTACCCTGGGGCCAAGCGAGCTACTCCAGATTCCTCTAGCCACTGAAACGGTCCAAAGATATGCATTCCTCAAGAGAAAGAAGAAGATCGAAGCCGACAAGACCACAGTCTACTGCCCACGACAGTGGTGCCAGGGAGCTGCACGATCCAAGAGACACCCCAAGCCAGAAGATCCCATGTCGGATGACTTGGATAGTTCGGATGAAGAAGATGGATCCGAGTCCCGCATGGAAGTAAAGGATGGAGAGCTTCCTCCCATGGCGGAGCGTGTGGCTATTTGCGAAGACTGCAACTATGCCTTTTGCTGCGTCTGCAAGAAGGGCTGGCATGGCGAGTTGGTCCGCTGCTTCCCACGCCGCGACGGCGAGCCCACGGAAGAGGAAAAGGCGACCGAAGAGTACCTGCGTCTGTACACTACCCCTTGCCCGACTTGCAACGTGCCCTGCCAAAAGCAAATGGGATGCAACCACATGCGCTGCTTCCAGTGTGACACACACTTCTGCTACCTTTGCTCGGCCTGGCTGTGTGCAGACAACCCGTACAGGCATTTCAACGACCCGAAGGGCCAATGTTTCAATCGCCTTTGGGATTTGGAAGGTGGCGATGGTATTAACCCCGACGGAGCCGAAGCACTCCATCGCATCCCAGACGCACTCCTAAACTTTGACGATGACCCACCAGTGGTGGCTATTCATGAAGAAACTGACGAAAGCGATGATGACCGCCCTGCATTTGAATTTGATAACGACGAAGACGACTTCCACCGACACCCTCCTCCTCCCGCCCCCGTTCCACCTCAAGTAAACCGCGGTGGTGGCAGACCTGGACAGCTTGATCACGCAGCTGCCCGCGCCGCTGCAGCTGAACGTCAAGCCCAAGCTCGCGCTATGGCCGAAATACGAAACCGAAATGCGAGGCGACAAGCTAGACGTCCTGTCCGATGGGCGGAGATTCCTCCCCATCGTCTCCCTCCACAGGCAGGTGATCCCAGACGTCCTGTCCGGTGGGCAGAAGTTCCTGCAGAACCATTGGCAGACGAAGAGGGCCCCATCCGATGGGAGGCTATCGCAATTCGACCAGGTAGAGCACAGGCACATCCTGGTCTACAACGGTTTTTGGATTTAGTACAAAATGACCGTGAAGACGAATGGGATAGTGATGAGATGGACGATGACTTCTAGATTGAGGTTCTTTGGATGTTACACCAACTCGGCATTTGACCAGGCATATGAATTTTGGTATTTTATTCCCATTGAAAAAGCGTCTTAATGACATCGATGCATACAACGAATTCATGCTTCTTTTATTTTACTTTCTTTGTTGTTCTTCACGTTTTCCCCTTTTTCCTTTTCTAATTTGTGTATTGCATCAATTCCCCCTTCGTCTGCTTTCACACTGCGTTTTATTTTACTTTTGCCTATTTCTTGTTTTCATCTCAATTTGCTACTTATAATTTCTCATACACTTGCTTTTTGCTTGCTTTCATACATTAGGTATTCCTTCTCTATCCAAGCACAGGCAATGTCCGTACATACTTTCCTACACATACAGAATGTGTCGCTAACGACTCGTCTATTTGATATTCTGCGTTTTTATGTAACAATGCCATAATCTCACCGTGGGTGATTTCTTGACTCTATTTTTATTTTTTGACTGTAAAACAGGGACCCGTGGATCACTCAACCTGGCCAGATATATACAACAGGTTTACATCGGTCAATTGGACTCAATTTCCGTTGTATACTGGACTTCGGGTGAAAATGTGGAAGCAGCTCGACATGGTGGGAGTGAAGGATAAGGATTACGACAAGCTCGTGTCCAACCCGCAGGCCATCCGCTACGTGGCCAACTTTATGCACCGAACAGGCCTCTTCCAGCAGTTTCATCACGTGGGACTCGAGGAGGACGACGACGAGGAACCGACAGGCCTTGCGGCAATGGAGCTAGGTGTGGAAGACGATGGGTGTTAGCTAATGACGAAAACGAAGCTGGGAAACAAGAAGCTCAGCCAGAGTCGACAAATATGCCAGGTAATTGGCCACGAATAATACAACACTAATTGCAACTGGAGCGGGGGGAGGATACAGGGAGGAGGAGAGAGAGGGAGGAGGAGAGAGGGAGGCGGAAGGCGGAGGGTGCACTCCGCCGCATTCATTATATATATTTCTGGGTTCTTCGGGTTGTGGGTTTACAATATGCAGGAATGGGCTGATTTCACAATCTTTACAACCCAGCCTCTGTGTTTACTCCCGGGAGTGATCCCAACTCCGCGTTTGGCTACGAATTCTTGCTTCAGCTGGATGAAGCGCCTGCATAGTCATACGCAACTAGTTAGACTGCAACAGGTTAATTAAACTTTGATTGATTGATTGTCAATTGGACTATGTTTGCAGGTTGCCTAATATTTTCCAATAATTTTATGCGCGTATAAAGGTGTTTTCTTGAAAGACTGCATGCAGTACTACAATGTAGTTAGGAGGTAGTAATATACCAGGAGATATTCATTGAGAGAGATGTATAGTGAGGAAGGTTGATTATTGAAGTGACTAACACAAAGTTCTATTGCATTCCTAAATAATGACTTGCTTGGTTTCACCACAAAGGCTACTTATCCTGAACACCACGTAAAGGTGCAAGTCTTGCTCAGGTGCTGCAGACAGGACCCGTGCAGCTGGGTCGGTTGAGGGGGGGAGGGGGAGGGGCGGCTCCTGACACGGTCGATGGAGAACCCAAGAAAGTACAGTCTGTATCCACAGAGGCGTGGGGGTACTAGGTCCCAGATCCATGGGACTGTTCCGGGCCAAGCATGCTTCGTGCCATTAGACCAGGACCTAGGGCCCCAATCTAGTTTCAGCCTAACCTGGACCGCGTCAAAGATCCGAATCAGAGTCCTCGGGACGCCTTCACTGAACAACAGGGACCACGATGTGCAATGTGGGACCCGGAGCGCGCCGAGAGAAGAAAGAAAGAGAAAGAGAAAAGTGGGAGGGGGCCAGGTATTTATATTTACCTAGTGGCTGAAGATAATGAGGGTGGGTGACGAGTTGAGCTAAAAAAGGAAGCAACCAAAAAGGGAAGGCACCTGCCAGCAGTTGAACGTGGGCATCTTAGTGGGAGAATACATACTCCGTACGCAGACTCGGCTCGGAGATTTCTACGATCCTGGACATGTAGATTTCTAGAGTCACCTAGGACGAGTCGACAACTTCGAGGGAGTGAATCACTTAGCTATCGTATGGCTCAAGCTTCGGGCTATGTTACAGCATATTCTCCCTCCAGGGGTCCTAGAACCAGTGGATCCTACTTTGGGTACTATCATAAACTGTGTCAACATAGTATTTTTGCCATGACTACCGGCTCCTCAAATTTAAGAAAACTGTGTTTGACTGCCTCGGTTCTACCAGAAGTAACTCTAGTACGCATGGTCTGCATACAAAGTCCCAGTTCCCTAGGGCAGTGACCAATGCTTTAATCCCACCACTCGAATCCCTCATTATACTCTTCCATCTTCAACCCTGCCACTGTCAATCCTAACTTGGAATAAGTCTCACAAATCTCTTCCCAAACAACCTCATCTGTACTCTTCTCATAATCAGGGTCATCCGGCTCAAAATCTGTACATGAGCTCGAAGTCCCCGTCATAAGCATAAGATCAAAGTCCGCACACATAATCCTCCAATCTTCGTTAATATTATCCGCAAAGAGATAAGTGGATGGACCCATGATCTTAGGCGGCGTATTGAGAGGTTCAGCTCCACCTAGACAAATCGCAATCATCGCATCATTCCACTTATAGCGTCCCAGATTAACAAGCCATTCGAATAAAGTCCCCATACGGAGTCCCTCATCTTGCCGTGCTGCCCTCTTTTGGTGCCAATTAAGACCCATTGGTCCAGTCCCCGTACTAAACTGTCCAACCGTGAGGATCGGCGGTTGTTGCGTCAGCATACGGCGCCAGCTCGCCTCGGGCCGGAGATATATCTCTCTCTTAGTCGGGCTTTTTGCAAGATCGAAGTGACTGAGTGCGACTTGCTTCATGTTTTCTGTTACTTTGCAGCCTTTTGCATTGCTGGGACCTCGCAGGTCTTCCGATGGGAAAGCCGAGTCAAATACTCGTGCCAGAAGGGGATTGTAGACTCGTGTGTTTGTCCCGCTTTTGTCGCTGTCTGGAATAAAGAATAGGGCTTTTTGCAGTGAACGTAATCTGCGGATTGGGTCTGCCCAGGCATGACAGACACGTTGGGCGGCGATTAGGGTGTCCATGTCCATTTGGTGGAGGATCGATATCACGATCTCGGGGATCGCTAGAGCCCTGGTCTGGGCTGAGTGGTGGATGTGCATCTCTATAGTGTGCGATGCTTTTGTAAAATTGGAGCTTGGAAATCCGGTCGTTATATGATGATCTGCGCTGGTTGAGGCTCCGGGACTTCCAAGGTAATTTATTGTTGTTTTTTTATCATCTGATCGATCCCAGCTAGGCCGAAAAGGGCTCCAGGGCTTGACTACATTGGGATACCGGTATTTGGAATTTTGTTATAAAAGAGTAATCGATAACTAGCCTTGCTCAAGTGGGAGTACAGAGTGACTCATCGATTCTTTTATTGCCAAATAAGCTATGGACTGTCACCGGGGCTCATCAGAAGCTGTTTAAAATTAATTATCTATTAGGCTGATACAGCCTAAAGGCCTATGGAGTTGATTCGTGGGGGGAAAAATGAAGAAAGAACGAAACCACCATCTTATGAATGATATCAAAGGAAATCATCTCCGAGTGGGTTACGAAGGTGTATAGCGGCCAAAGTCCAAATGCCTGATTTTTCAGGCTTGATGCCTTAAAGTGCCTAAGGATGAGGTGCAAATATCTATAGATGGCTTTATTTACAATACAGCGTATAGAGCGGTGTCCAAAAGCGGTCTGAAATAAGGCATCTTCAGGCACCTTCAGGCATTTTCAGGTGTCAACCCTGAAAAATCAGGCATTTAGACCTTGGCCGTTATACACCTTCGTAGTGGGTTCTCTCCACCCTCATCCCCAGTTCAACCCCACATTCAGTATGATCATATTCCACATGGAATTGAAGGTCCGAATATCAATCAGTGCGGCTGACACGTGCCTCCAGTCACGTATGGGTTAGTCACCTTCTCAGTGAGATTTTGGTCCTCGGTGCAACACACGGGGTTGCCATCTGCATCCGTGATTGCTTCGGAATCACCGTTGTACATGCAGTTGTCCTCTCCATAATAGATATCAACCCACGACTTTGGCCAGGAGAACGTAATCTTGCAACTCGGCTTGACCTTAGGCTCGGAAGTGTTGCCTGCATCAAATAGTCCATACAAGGTTGCACTGAGCGTATCGCCATTTCCTGGGTCATCAACCGCTACAGATCACACCGTTAGTATGCTTGACCAAAACCAAGGATGGGAGATGGGAGTAACCACTTACTGAACGTATCGCAGACAGCCGTATTTTCATTAGCGGTAATCCATCCCTTATTCACATGCTACACTGGTGATTAGCAACTGGTACCGCCGTTTGAAAAGAGAGATTGAACGCACAATGGTAGTTCCTTTGCTGTTGAAGCCCTCAGGCACGTCGCAAGGCCAGAATGGAGAGTTTGAGTGGTACTCCTTCCTGATAGCCTGTTTGGTCTTCTCCAGGCCCTCACATACAGGGATATTGAAGAAACCAGGATAACGGACTCGTTTCCCATATTGATCAGCATTCTCATCTTTCTCAAGATCTTCTGACGTCGGTGACTTGTAGCCGTTGACGTAGCCAGCATTCTCATATCCGGTCATTGCACTTGCAACAATGTCATCAATTGTGATGCCTCCCCATTTATCGCCGGAGAGGGTTTTGTGAACGGTACCGGGTAATGGTGTAAAGTTGATTTGCTTTTTGATTTCCCACTCATTAATATTCACAAGGAAAACCAGCTTGTCCCTCCAGCACGCGCGTGTGTTGACAGAGTCCTCGTCGGTCATGATATCATAATCGCTGATCTCAGGGATCTTAGCGGCCTTATTGTCACAAGGGAAATCTGTTGTCCTGTGGTATACATTCTGATTAGCATCATTTGCTCAAATAACGATTTGAGTCACCTTACACAATTCTCGGGAAAGCACCGATGTTATCAGAGGCAGTCTTCCACGCAATAGGCATCAGTTGACCATAGAGGACAGCCTGCAGCTCCGCTGCCATTAAGTCCTGGTCGAGCTTGTTTGGCAAGAAGTTCATTTTCCCATCCTCAATGAGGAATGCAAGGTTGCCCAGAGATGAATCATCACCCGAAAATATGTTTTTTAGATAGGAGGCCTCGAGATCCTTCCAAGACGCAAATATGTCGCCAAGAGCGGAGCTCAGTGAGTTCTGAGCTTCAAGTGGGTCATTTTTACTATTCTGATCAGCAAGCACAACCTCTGAGGGGGTTTAAGGGCCATGTATATACTTACGTAGGAGCATTATTTCTTGTCCAGGCCGCCGTCATGCCATAAAGCTGGTATGACATGTCGTTAGCATACGCTCTACCATCGAATTTATACCGTTCTCCATTCAACGCCTCTTTCGTCTTCTCGAACGTCTTCAATGGATACTCCTGAATCTCAGGACGAGGAACAGGGCCCTCTGTTCCAGCCTCGCGATTCCTTGGAATCGAGACACGGGCAGTGCTGGCACCCTCGGCTATTTCTGAGACATCCTTTCGAACTGCACTTTCGTTAATCTATAATCTGGAGGTATTCGCATCCAAAAGGTGGCCTCTATACTTACCAACACTGAAGGATGCTGAAACTGAAAAGCCCATCAACATTGTCAAGCCGTCAAAAATCGCCAGGATCATTGCGGTGTCATCACTTTGCGGAGCAAATATACTAGAGAATTCACCTATCTTGCTCTGTATACCAATCATCGCTGTATTGAGTGCACTATACATCTCACTATGTAGCTGTAAGAATTTTCCGGTCAATATCGCCTGCTTAAACGTTGAATTTCGGGTACTAGGAAGAAGAAATTACCTGATGAATACCAGAGAAAGAATTCAAGATAAGGTAGCTATTCTGCTGTCAGCATGACGGTAATCGTACCAGGCGAGGCCTATAAGTCAAAACATACCCTGCTGGGTGATCGACGTCCTTGCACTGGACAACAGAAGAGCATGGGACGCTACCAACATCTTTACAGTTCCACTGCTCTGGACCGTGGAAGTAGTAACTGACGAATTCCGGAAATCCGAGGTTGCGATACATGCCATTCTTAGCTTCAGCCTTCCACTCGCCAATCATAGTATCCCAGGCCCCTGGAACGCCTGACGCATACCATCGATCAATGAAAGCGACAGTAGCATCGTCAATAGAATTCTGGTCACATTGTGCTGTTTCCCAGAGGCTTGTGATATTCAAATCAGCTTCTGCCACGTTAGATGCTGTTCCAGTTGGCACAGCCGCTGCGAACCCGACAATGCGGGTTGCTGGGACTGATGCAGAGGATAGTGGTGCAGAGGAGACTGCTCGGGCATGAGGAGGTCCTCCATTATGCCTGACTACTATACCAGTGGCTGGAGCCAAGAGGTAAAATAGAGTACCAAATTGGCTGAAATGCATCGGAACGTATCACCTTGAAAGATGAGCGAGGAAATAAAACAGCCAGCAAGTCAATAAACGACTGAAGATGTAGTTTCTTTGGAATCCAGATATGATAGAAGCAAGGTACCATATTTATACACACTGAGTTAGATGGCCCCTGAGTAGCTGAATCTAGCTCATGACGCGAGAGAAGGCCCATAGTACTTGATATTGCTACGAACTTCCTATTTGAGAAATTGCCCACAGGAGCGTTCTACCTAAGACATGTGTTTGTGGATACCCGAGGTATCTTCAAGTTGACAACAATGATCAGTTGACAACTGTCACAAGCTATTCGTACAAATATATGAGAACGAAGGTATCCGGTACTCCGTAGTTAAGACCTACGTAGAAGTATCACATACTCTATGCTTGTTAAACGATACCAAAATATGAGATTCTCTACCAACAGCTCTTAGCGAAATATCCCAATTGTTGCCTATCATCGACGATCATTGTACATATTGGTATAGTCTCTCCACTAGTGGTACACAAAATACGGGAGGATTCAAAACAAGTTCCAACCTACGAACTATCGGAATGGGATATACTATTCCGTGCAGTTATATACGCATACGGGAGATTTCCAGGGTCCTACCTCCGAGGAGCTCTGTCCACTTTGTATAGCACCTCTTATCAAAAGCCACAGCCGCAAACCCCAGAAAGCCCATAAGCCACCTACGGCCCCATTTGCTCCACAATATGTACAATTAATTTTCGCCTTAAATTACCATACGACTTCAATTACACCGTCTCATTTCTTTTTGCTATATACTATTATGTTGAAATGACTCTTATGCTACAACTAATATAGTAGACTGACATCTGCTTAGATTAAGATAAAACGAGTGTAATTGCTAAAATGAAGTGAGTGCTCAACTCAATGATTTATAGAAAGTTTATAGTATGTACACATTGTACTTATAATGCCACCATGTTCCAAGGTTACCGCTAAGGTTAATGTCAGGGGCAGTAAGTGGCCCAAAGGGGCCGAAAAGTGGATGTCGCTAAACCGATGTAGTAACTGGTACATCATAATAATGAATGGTAAATGAACGGTAAATGAATGGCCTATTTTGACTGACACCTTGTGTTTCACACTCTAAAGCGAGTGATAACGATAACCTAACCGAGTGCATATCTATGCATGTACTCTGTGCTCTATCTAGTTATCGAAATGCCTCCCATCGGATAGAGCCCTCTTCATTTGCCCATAGCTCTACAGAAAACTTTGCCCACCACACAGGACATTTGAGGTCTTCGAGACGAGTTAATTCCAGTCGCAAACAACTCCTATATCTGGACCCACTATCGACGACGATTTGCATCATAAGACTTGGTGTGATTTGTCAAGTGCATTCTTGAAGCTATCTGTAGAATTGTGCAACAGAGCGCATATAATGGGGCGAGTCGGCGACATTTGGAGTGAGATTATCGCATTGTGATGGTATGCAGGTGGGGCCTTTGTGACTTCTAGGATGTCAAGCTCATCATTGTTGGATACCATTGGTTGGCCTGAAGTTGTGACTAAGATTGCTAACCTTTTGCTTTTGCTTGCGGGCTAATATAAGGATAGAGTAAGTGAGATTTTTTTAGAGAGATAAAAGCTTAACGGATCGGACGTAAAGTAAAACTATGAAGGATGTAGAAATGATCAAGATATATGTACAATGGGCATCTAACTATCAGGTTTTTGCCTTCCTCTTTCTGTATGAAATCTGCAAATCCTTCGTACTACCTTTTTATCATGGAATTTGAATCAAAAATAACCGAAGTTGTGAAAACCCCTCCCCCCGAGATCGTAAGGTTGTCAGGGCGGACTCTCAAGGCACAGCACACCGCGTTGTGGAATACATTCAGCTGGGTTTGGAGACTGCGCTTGATAACCAGATTATATGAGGGTAGTATCTTCGAAGGCTCTAAGAAGGTTGATATCGAAGTGCGAGCCTTAAAAAAAGAAAGAGGCCTTCCAAGGTTCTTTCAGGTGACTGAACTTTGGATTTAACCTTATTTTGTGGGAACCAATCAGGGTTGCCTCGGTTAGAGCCTCAAGCCACCGCTGTACGAATTAACCACGTTGAAGGATGACACATCTCTTTATGCTATTTCTCGACTACGGATATTAAATTGACATGGAAGAGTGACGCAGATACTTTGTATTGCTTGATTAATTTGATTTGACATGCATTAGTACAATTAGCTACCAGCACGGGTAGATCTGTTAATTTGGATGAACATGCCTCTTGAATCCATGATGCAAGAAGAGTAATCTGGTTTGGTGATTGCGATCAACCTCGCCAGTCGTGCCAGAACTCATAGCTCATGACCTTGAGATCACAGAATAGCAAAAGCAACCTGTAATGTCGGGAAGGGTGGTAACCATGCCAGGTCTCATGAGGTTGGTAGATGTCCGAGGCATAGGCGTGGGTTTCAGGAATCGTGAGGTTTGGGTAGTGGGTGTAAGGGTCCGGCTCAGAGGGAGTGGAAGTCCCGCGTTCGGGCGGGTTTGCGACACAAGGCTCATCTTTATCTGGGTTGAGCAGACGGTGGTTGAATCTCAACCGATCTGTAGGGTCGACATCCCGAGGGATGCAAGGGATATCCGGTGGTATCTCAAAACCAGGCATGGGGCTTGCAGCAATACCCATGAGAGGTGGTGTTGGGAAATCATCATCCGGCTCCTGGGCGGGGAAAGGCAGAAGCCAATCTAGGCGAAAGGTGTGGCCAATTTCCTCCTGCCATGTAAGAGTGATGATGGCAACCCCACCGGCCTGGGAGGCGGCAATAACGATCCCAAGTTCAGGGAGGTACTTGACCAAGTTTAAGCGATCACAGGCAGAGAACATAGAATATTCTATTAGTGACTGAAGAGGAGACCGAGAGAGCGTTCGCGACCCATGGTCTAATGGATAAGGATCTAAAGTGATGTTATTTCCAGAGAAGTGGAGAATAGGAAAAAATCGAGGGTTGCGCGCTGAAGAACATGTTAGCACTCTAATCCAATACACCTAAGCACATATCTCACTCACGATGGGATACAAAGCATCTCAGAGCATCCACATCGATATCATGATCCACATAGTATTGCTCATTTTCTTCTTCGACCAAACTAGTAATACCACGTCTTGCACGAATCGATTGACGGGGTGAAGCCACCTTACTCTCTTGTGATCCTTGAGCGCTTATATCAATGCTGCCACTGCCAGTGGCAGAAGACGTAGTTCCAGAGGTTTCTAGAGCTGTATGATTATGCTCTGAGCTCGATCGTTGTGGTTGAGATTCATTGAGAACTGAAAAGTCAGGAGGGAAAAAGTCGTCTGGCAGAAACAGGCTCGAAATTGTTGCATATTTCTCATCATTGACTTTCTTAGCAGCGAGAGTGGATCTTTCTGCGACATGATTGGCCGTAGTAGACACGTCAAAAACCATCCGACCATTCATGATTTTTGGATGTGGTTCGCATCCACAGGCATCAAACTTGTAGCGGTGCTGCTGAGCTCTGCGAGGATGCAAAGGCAAGACAAACCAGCCCCTTTGCTCTCGACCACCCCTTGAATAATCATAAGTGGATGTTTTGACAGGTGCCAGATTGTCCCAGACTCTCCATACAAAGACTCGGTTTAGGATATCGGTGCTGACCATCCACAGGCCGTTAGGGTCCAATTCAAAGTTGGCAAATGACACGCACGGGATATTGTCGAAATGGCCCCTATAGCTGAGGCGTAGGTTGCGTGTTCGATGATGGGGCATGTCCTTTTTCAGCTCCTCCATTGACTGTGCACTGTCTATTGATACCCATGTGTTTTCTAACACATCAGAGCACCCCGCATTTGAGATGTCATAAGAACCGGGAGTGCTAACATCACTGTCAGACTCAACATCCACCAACGCGAAAGCAAAGACTGTGATAACGCCTGTGTTCGCGCTCACGGCAATCAGCCGAGCAAATTTGTGGATGGCCAAGCCCCATGCACTTAACTGAACATGTTCAACGAAGAAAGGTTTGACTTCATGCGCATCAAATGGTCGGCTGCCTCCATATTTGGTGTTCCTATTGATTGCTGAAAAAATAGCCTCGACATTGTAGCCAGTGACGTTTCCAGAGTCTGTCGCTAACAGCAAGACCTCATCTACCCCCAAATCGTCGACAATGATATGATTGATTGTGTGAGGTCTGGAACGATCAATGTATCCAGGCGCGTTGGGTTCCTTCATCACTGGGTGGATGATCATCTCGGGCTGGGAGCCAAGGAGCTGGCGGGGTCCACTGGGAATCCATACGTAAATGTCGTCGACATGAGCTGTAAAAAGCAAATTTCGGCGTTGTGAGAGGGCCGCCTTTCAAAATCAAGGTCAGAACTGAGGAGAAATGATACAGTCGAAACAGCAACAAGGTCAGCAGGTACTCACCAAGTTACACCTCCAAGAAGATACAGTTGGCCCAGAATCCTCACTATATCTCAATGATAATCAGTAACAGTGAATTTAGGTAGTACAAGCAGAAACACCCACCTAGGAGGAAACTATGTAGCACTAAGTCAGTTCATAGTTCTCACGCGAGTTAACTTGAATATAAACATACGCGTTCCTCTTCTGTTTCAACATTCAAGATTTGTATCTGGGGTCGATATTGTCGACTGGCCGTTTCAGTGTTCGCAAAATCAGTCTGCTCAGCGAGAGGAGAAGACATTGCCGCAGGCTAAGGGTGCTTGTTCCCGATAATAACGGAGCGCAGAGAAGATATTTCCCTTGGATCTGAGTAGAGAGTGTCGTGGATAATAAGAGAAGAAGCTCGTTCTGTCATTGCCGAGGGCGGAAAGTCCAAGCCACAAAAGACAGGAGCGTGGGAGCCTTGTAAATAGATCATGATCAAGCTGGTCGAAAGCACCTCCATAGCTGCGGGGAGGTGCAATCACCGGATGATGGAATGACTGACCGCCCGCGCACAGACCATCCTTGAGTACGTACAGTTTCCAAGTTCGAGGGCTTATGCTTCCTCTTCCTACAACTAGTTCAACAAACCTCTCTTGCATGATGGATCTGGTTGCTGGTGTACGCAAGGAAGGTAGCCGGTAAGTTGATGTGCTGGTTGTCGCATTTTGTATATGTTGAAGCTCGCTAATTTGTCTCAGCGGCGGCCGCAATGAGTTCAAATGGTCCGACGTCCAAAGTTCCGCTCACCGCGAGAACTACCTGGGCCACTCAGTGATGGCCCCAGTCGGCAGATGGCAACAAAATCGTGATCTTGGCTGGTATGCCAAGGGAGACGAAGAGGAGGAAGAACGAATCCGCAGAGAGCGAGAGGAACTTCAGCGTGTCAAAGAGGCTGAGGAGGAAGCAATGGCCATCGCTCTGGGCCTCCCGGTGCCCCCGAAAACATCCGAAAATGCCAACATGGTTCCTTTAGGAGGTTCTGGTAGTACTGATATGGTTTCAAAAGAAGAGGAGATGCCAGATGCTACAACAAGGGAAAAGGACCACCGTTCCAGTCACCGACACAGACGTGAGCGAAGCCGAAGCCCGCGACGGGAAAGACGGCATGACCGAGGTGATGACCGTGCACGTGACCAGGACCGGAGGCACCGAAGACATCATGACGATCGGGAGCGCCATCATCGCAGCCATCGTCACAGATCACGATCTCGCGGTCGAGACCACTACAGACGACGATCAGTTTCCCGTTCTAGAAGTAGACCCAGCCGCAAAGATGAGGAGCATCAGAAACGGCGACGCATGGAGCGCAGCTACTCACCGGCTGAGCGTAGGCGACACCCCGAACGCAGACGAGACCGAGACGACCATGACCGCCGTTGAGCTACAAATCGGGATATGAATTGATACATTAGCTTGGCGTTGGAGGAGTCGATTCAAATGTCGAATAAATGATTGCGTACAACTATCAGAATGACCACTATTCAATTTACACGACGGAATCTTCACATCGAGCTTCAAGAGCTTACAACTCGTCATGAGTGGTCTTTGCAGATTCGGCCAAATCGGGCATCGACATCATGTTCACCACCATACTGGTCCAGCCGGTAAAGTGCTGTGTCCGCTGGCCATTGCCCGAATCAGGATTGTACTGTTCCCAAGCGAACCCAGTCTTCTTCCACTGGCGGAACACATTCTCGACCAGATTCTTCCGCAAGTCGGAGTACATCGCCCGCGCCTGTTCCTGGTGAGGACCAGAAACTGTTGCAGTGTCCTGTAAAGGATCTGTTAGATCTTGCGGGCAAATAAATCAAAATACGGAAGCACTTACATAGAGATTCTTCAACACCAAGTAGTTGATGTTGATCCAGACAGGGCTTCTCCAATAGTTCTCATCGGTCTCGTAGAACTTATCCTTTTTGCTCAAACTGCGGATACCATAATCACTCCACAACTCCTGGGGATCACGAATCAAATCCAACACGGCCTTGAGGCGCGGGCTGTCAGGACCCAGCATACCGGTCAGGAAGGGGAAGATGGAGATGTAACCCTTGTGGCAAATGTGAACACTCTCTTCATATTCATCGATAGTCGCATCGCAGAACGTTTTCTCCTTCTCGTCCCAATGCAAGTCATCAATGTTACGAGTGATAGCGGTCTCATAGTAGGCGAATTGCTCGACGTCTTCTTCCTCGCCTAGATTTTCAGCGATGCGACGCATAGTGCGAGTCATCATTCCCATCCAACTGATCAAATCGACATGCAGCTCACCGGGGTGCGGCGGTTGAGCTCTAGGGTAGTCATCGATGCCAGAAGTGAGGATATGCTGCACGGAACGTCCGCGCCAGCGGTAACCTTCCTTGGTCGAGAACGCTTCGCGGTCATACGAGGTGATGTCGCCGCGCTGGGTGTTCCTATACCAGTTGTAGTGCTTCTTTAGGAGCGGGTAGAATGAGCGAAGGTATGCCTCAAATAGTTCCGGGTGTCGGACAGTGGCAGAACGCAGGCTCGCGGTCGCATCTTGGTTGTCCAGGGATTCGAACTCGGTACTCTTGTTGCTGCTAGCCTTGACTTTATCCATGAACGATTCCAAGGCCATGAACAGAGTAGGCGGGTTGGCGTAATGGGGATACTGGATCGTAAACTCCGGGGGAACCTTGCTGCGTGCCTCTTGTCCTAGAATCTGTTCACGGGCAATCCATCCATCCTCATCCATCAGGTGGAACCAGCTCTTGATAATCTCAAGCCTATAGAAGTTAGTATATCAGCCAAACCCAGTCAATGAAACAAAGTAGGTCTAAACGTACGCAAGATCGGTATCGTATTCGATGATAGGAATCAAATGGAAACCTTCATCCCAAAGGAACCCTCTGGGGAAGAACGGCCGGGAGGGAACGCAAGTGAAAAGCTCCTTCGGGCCTTCGATAGCAGGCTGTGCGGCAGCCCTGGCCTCGGCAGTCTCTTCCCAGAAGCCCTCATTCTCCTCTTCGTACGCAGGATTTGCGGACCGATCCACAACATCATCGCCGTGGAAGAAGCCAATGCCACCAATGAGATTAGACAGCATTGCCTTAGAAAAGCTCGAGTACTTTGGCGAATCAAACGGCGCCTGTGGCGGGAGAAGCTGCTCAAAAGTTTCAGAAAATGAAGCCGAAGCATCATCAATTTCCTTAGTAAGAGTTTCCGAAGTCAACGGTTCGGGGGCGGAGCCGGATGAGTATAGGACATCAAACTCGAATGCACCTGTAAAAACCTTCTGGACAAGATGAGCATTGCCCTGGCCAGGCTTATGCTTAATAGTAAACAGCTGGGCCGGGGGTGGAATGTTCTCTTTTCCATATTGCTCAAGGGCATCATCAACCTCCGCCTTCAATTGAGTGAAGAAGATCCCCTTTGCTTGCCAAAGTTGCTCTTCTGGGAAGGTCACACTAGCTACAATGCTGCGATCCAATGGCTTGTCTGTGGAGCTAGGGTGATTGTAGCGGGGATGCGAGTTGGTCTCTGGCCCAGTGGTGACATCGATAGAGAAATCGCCAAGTTCTGTAGAGTATCCTTCGAGCTTGACATTGCCTTCCACGCCAGTGGAATCAGAGGATGCAGCATCAGTTCCCAAGTGACCGAAGCCCTCGAGAGTAGAATAAAAGATCATCGAAATGGGCTGATCGGGATCTGCGCCCTCTCTAGGCGTACCTTTGACTCGGAATCCCCAGCTACCTCCGTGCTGGCCACCGGGAACTTTGATGAAATCAATTGTCAGGTCCAAGTTGTTCCCAGCATCATGAATAGTCTCCTGTCCACCCTTCCGGATATCGTACTCGTCCCAGCCATACCCGGCCATTCCTTCATTCTGTTCACATGTGTGTCTAAAGTCTTGAGTGGATGTTAGCTTCACGGTCCACCAATGATACCAAGATGAGCATACTTTGTTGAGAATTGGCATAATCATCAACCTTTCCCCAGATCAATCCCGCCGTGAGACTCTTCGGAATGCGAGGACGTACTCCAAAGTAGAGATTCGACTTGTAAGGGCCCCATAGTAGGGACTCGTTGTTGGCCCGCCCAGCCTCTCGAATCAAGACAGATACATCATTGGGTTCTTCGCTTGCAACAATTCCAGCTGCATAAAGGAGCGACGTCAATAACACTGAAATTCTGAGATGACGCATTATGTAGCCTCATTATTCAATTGACTGTTGTGCTCTCCGCGGGATAGTTAAGCTATAGGTGTATGCAACTCCACTTACCGCCTACTTAATAAAGACTAGTCCCACATGCGTACCGCACAATGTCCACGGACGTCACCCACCTTTCCATTTCCGTTTTAGTGCTCACCTAGTCTACACGTTGTATATGTACATACAATATCTCGACAATCAATATGTGTTTAAGAACATAGAAAAAGATGTGCTGTATTTTCTGTTATAATCATTGTGGTATCAATGTATTCACATGAACTCGCGTGGATCCAATGAAGCAATGTTCGCACTCTTCGCCTTCCCATCAAATACAAACTCACTCATAAGCTTGCCTGTACCCGGGGCATTCTGGATACCCCAGCAGGTATGGCCGGCTGCAATATACAGACCCTTAATATCAGTCAGGCCAACTAGTGGCCCAGAGCCAGAATCACAGTTCGGCAGATAGCAAGCCTGGCGAGTACGAACCTCTCCGTCGCGCAGCTCGTCGGAAATACTACCAACCTGGTCTATAATTTCCTGGCAGCGTTCCTGGTCAACCTCGACATCTGCCGAAGTCTTTGGTAGCGGAACTGTTCTATCTCCATCGCCACATGCATAGACAGTAGCATCAGGACGCGCGTAGATCTCCGGCGCAGCCACAGTTGGGCGTGACTTCTTTGCCGGATTGAAGTTGGCCGGAATTTCGATATTTGTAAACAAACAGTATGCACTGACTGGTTTCTTTGGCTGGATCACTACGCTGTGGGCCCGCATCGCTGAGATTGGGACCTCCGGGAGGATAGTCTTCGTCCAGGGACCAGCAGCAACGAGCACATCAGTAGCAGCAATTGTTTGTGTTTCGCCTGATGTTTTATCAGTGTATGTCACTGACTCGACGGAACTCTTGGACCGAGCGATATCTGTAACCTGTCCAAGAATGATATTTGCGCCCTTCTCCTGGGCGAGCTTTGCAATGGACGTAGTAAAGAGATACGGGTGCACTTGAGCGGTTTCACCTGGTCCACTCATACTTTCATAGGCCCGCAGAAGTTCTGGCTCAATCCAATCCAAGTCATGGGGGATTTTGGCAGACCTCAGCTTAGACATAGCGGCCGTGCTGCGTTTCTGTAGAGATTCCGTGTTTCCGCCCCCAGTTTTCCCCGCGGTGTTCTCGGTAAGAGCACGACCTTTCACGACGAGTTGGCCGCAATTGACCTCTCTGTATCCCCATCGGTTGACACCATCATGCTCTTTTGCAAGCTCAGCATGCAGCTTGTAGCTTAGACCGACGAGATTGCTCGGGAAAGCCCATTGTGCCAGCATACCACCCGCTTTTCCCGATGCACCACCCGCAAGTTCGGAGGCCTCAATGAGGGTGATTTTGTGGCGGGCAGGGTCATAAGATGGGTGTCTAGTAAGATAATATGCAGAGCAGCATCCGATAATGCCACCGCCTAGGAGTATTTTGGTTAGCGAATTGTGAATATACGGTGCGGGGTACCAGAGTCGCAAAGAATATATTCTTACCAACAATAACAATTTCACGCCGATCTCCTATCGCTGACATCTTGAATTTCCGCGTTATCCTGGGCGCCAATGAGCGTATTGAAGCCACTGTGTAGGGAGTTGTAAATGATAAGTTCGGACCGTTGGCGCTCATATATAGGGAGGCCTACGTCACTGAAGATGCATGTATGTCCAGTCAGATGTTGCATCCGCAATCAGTCCCCTATGACCGGTTTTCTACAGGTTTGACCGATGAATCATTCAGATATGTTTTTTTTTTGGTTCACTAATATTTGAACTAATGGGATTGGTAGTAAATCCACAATGGCTTGGGCCACTGTATGGAAAGGTAAAATATCAAGCCAACAAAACCATGCTCCACAAATGCAAATCGTGTCGAAAGAAGGCCGAAAAATGTCAAAAATGTCCAGTGATTTTGAATACAAAGAAAATATGAGGCCGTAGGAATACATGTAGTAAGAATTCATCGCGAGGGACTGAGAGGCCGGTTGAAACCGCCCTGGCGGTTCATGTACTGTCGGTACTCGATCTTCTTCTCCTTCCGCACACCGTATATGTTGTTTCCGGGGATTTTGGTGTTCTTTGTAGTCCGGAACCTGCTGAAACCCATGGCCTTTCGCATTTGTGCTTCCATTTCGTCTTCGTCCGCATCTTCGTTGAAGTCCACATCCATCTCATCCTCATGGCGAACCGGTCCTGGTTGTGCGCCAGTTGCCTTCCGCCTATCATCTCGCGACTGAGGGTCTTTGCGGTCACTCTTGGGGCCTCGAGGAGGTGACCGGGCCCTTGTGCCGTTGCGATGGGGAGATCGGGAGCGCGAACGTTCACGGAACTTGACATTTTTGGGTGCATTACCTGACATTCATGTGTTAGCAGGGAACAAATACTCCAAGATGTTGCAGATTTTACCAACCTCGTCTATCCTGGTTGCGCTCCCGACTGGTGCTCCTCTTTCGGTCCTGGGCCCCACGCCCTTCTCTGTCTCCGTCTCGTCGGTCCCGGTCGCGGCGATCTCGAGACCAGCTCCGTTCTCGCCTTCCATCCTTGCGTTCTCGGCCGTCGCGTCGGTCGTCTCGGGGAGCTGGTGAACGTCTGCGGTCGCGGTCTGACCCTTGCTCTGGTGCATAAAGGCGTTTGTCATTCGAATCCCACATAATTGAGCTGTCGGCTCGGCGAGCACGCTTTGCAGGTGGCTCCGCCATTATGAAAAAGGTCTGGTTTGGTCTGGGCGTTGCCCCGTACGGCGTGGGTGTTTGTTGCAGCTGGGGGTAGATGAGGATGGCTTTGCTCAAATTTCGAGAGCTTGAGCAAGTATAATGAGATTAAGGAGTAAGAAAGCGAATGCTGATAGGGATAGAAATGTAGATGGTATCAAGTTATCGCAATGGGCGTCGGCCTGAATCTCTCAGGACCAAAGAGAAGTTTATTCCGGCTGCGGCCAGAGACCAGTTGCGCAGTTTATGACATGGCAGATAACCGATCTATGGATGTATTCACCTGGTATCCCTTCCCGAGGTCCAACATTAGAAGGTGATAAAAATAGTAAATATGACTGTATTGGTACTGCTAAACTGTGCGCTCTCTTATGGGAAAAGGAAGAAGAAGAGGGAGAGGAGCACCTATCACGTAATCTCAACAGAAGGTTACAAACAACACAGACTTGTACAGCTTTTGTTCATTTTAAAGTATTTGAATGTTAGTGACACCTGGGCATTGACGCGATATTTGATCATCAGAATTCATAGTTGCGGATAAACGCAAGGAAACCATCAAAGCCTGGATATATATATGCACGTTCACGATAGTGCTGTGTTATTCTCCCTTTCTCTTCTATTTTTCTCTACTCAGTAGTCCGTCCACTTTTTCCATAGTGAATGAGGCATACTCTTCTATTATGATTACATATGTATTTATCCACATCCCCCAGGGGACATAAATGTGATGCTACAATACGAAGGTAAAAAGGTCAAAGGTACCTAGTAAAAACAATATACACTGTGCCTATACTATTTGTGTTTTTGGCATCAGCAGTGTTTTGACGGAACTTTTGTTAGGCACACCTGGTTTGACCCAGCAACCAGCCAAGCCAGAAATCCGATAGCTAATCTCGCAAAACTGAAACCAAAGCTCGATTTCATCCAAAGTCTTCAAGTAGCTGTGTTCTAACCTCAGTACCGGATTTCCCGGAAGCGAGATATCGAGATCTCTACTGGAACATCCAGAGATCAAATGCGTCATCGGCCTTGTTCGGGTGAAAGACGAAGAGCAAGCCCGGCTGAAGGCTCAGAAATACGGCGAACTAGATCGGTGGTGGCAGCCTGGGTATTAAGATTGCATCGAAGGCTGAACCGGATATTTGAGGAAACCTCAGCTTGGAATAGAACACTCCAAATAGTATCGCCTGTACTTAGCGAACGAAGCAGAACGCGTCGATGGGATTATTCACAAAGAAGCCGTGGATGGCGTTCACCATTGGTTCATCGAAAACCGTTAGTTAGGACCTCCACCATCTCACTGCGGTAGGCGTAGATCAAGTTTCCAGTCTAATCACTGGTGCGTTCTTGCACCAGGAGCAATATTCACCAGAAGCAACAACTGTGGATAGAGTCACCGTTTCCACATTCTCCGGTATTATAAGCAGGCAGCTGCAGGTGCCAGTTCGAACAAGGAGCACCCAAGAATGAATGAAGTTATTGAAAACAGATACGGAGGAAGGAGATTTTGACCATCCCTTCATACCATGTTGAGTTGGGTTGAGGAGAACAACTGGCAGTTCATGACAATGTCCCACAAGACTGTTTTTCTTTTTGAGCAGAAAAAAAGATTGTCGCGTCGGAGAGCAGTGTAATGGATATTGGATATCTCACGCAAGATAACTCAGCATAAATAGCTGGACAAATCTGCTGTGTTCAACAGGTCCAGCACTTGATAGATAACTCGGAAGACTGATGGAAGAGTGCCCATATTGCCTCAATACCTTTTGCCATGCGTAGCTTTATTGACCAAGCGTCATACTGATAGAAGCAGTCCATTTATCCAGTCTCAGGGAAAATAGCTGGAGTATTGGAGAAATGCCTCATCAATCTCTGGTGTTTTATCGCCGATGCGGCTCATCTCCGCATAGTTGAAGTTACCATTCATCCAATTATCAGACATAGACTCGGGAACTAATTCAGTGGAAGGCTCTTCAACTGAGCTGTCGTTTCCGGTAATAATGGACAGTGATGATTCCTCACTCGTAGAGCTCGGAACAAGAGGTCCGGGTTGGAGGTTGAGATGGACAGTGATAGGGTCTACCATGGAAGGCAGGGTTTGCCCTATTTTGGTAAGCAGCAGTGGAAGGAACCTTCGGCGGCCTCCGGGAAGATCGTGGATGAGAGTGAAGAAGTGCTTGAGATAATCCTGCGGGCCAAGCTTGAAGCCTGAAGAACGCAGCCCAGCCGCCGAGAGGCATGCCATAACATCAATCAAGGTACATGCCACCTCAAATACTTTTTCGATCTACAATATGTTAGAATATGCTTAGCATGTTTATAAAAGTAAACCATACAAGACCGATCCCATGAGTTTCCATACTCTGCCTGGATAATTTCCATGTTGCGAAGCAGAGATCTTGAGCAATTAGGAGAGGATAGCGAAAATCCATGCATTCATGGGTAGGCTTTGTTGAAAGAAATCCAGCAGTTGTAGAAAGCTGCCATATCATGATACGCAGCCATTGCTGGGACACACGCAAGTCGGCCATGAGTATATCAGGCAGACCAAGGTCCGCCGGGACTGCACTTCGGATGCGCTCCTCAAGGCGAACTAGCGACTCCATCGAGCATGTTGTATTCTTTCCATTCCAATGACCCAAAAAGCTTTCATCAAATGGGAGAAACAAGTTTACTAGACACCGAAAGCCAATAGCTGACGCATTTGGAAGTGGATCATCTTCCAATTGAGGGCTTTCGGGAGTGACCCGGAGGGTGATTGGTCTATGTCGGCGGATTGCATGAGCTCTGTCCCTGTATTAGAAAAGAACCAACAAATAGCTTGAGAAAATACCTCTCGGACACCACTAAGAGCCAAAACAATTTGCCTGCCAAGGAAGGGTCCTCGTCATCTTGCGCCGAGGATGATTGACTTTCAAGCGCGCTGGCAGTATAAAGCGTTGTGGATTCGCGGAGAAAGTAATATGCATGCCGTTGGTTTCCCAGTCCGATATGACATCCATAGAGAAGGAAAGCGATGATAATGCTTTGCCGTACAGGATCTGTGAATGGATCAATATGCCTTCGAGCTTCGGTGGCTTCCTCAATCAGGGAATTTCGGTAGTCTTTAGTACAGAACTCCCGAGAAAATTCTAAGGATGAGTGCTCTGCGGCAAATCCAGTTTGAGTGACCACAAAAGCGCAGAAAGCAGTGACTAAGCAATAAGCATGGAGGCATGTATCGGCAAGGTCCACCTGTTTTTGAAAGCTATCGGGCTGTAAAACTGGCACCGTTCCTCTCATTCGCGAGAAAAAATATACTGAGCAGGCATCGACGAGGTCCAGGTTTAACAGGCCCGGGGTTTTCGAGAACTGACATCTTCCCGCGGCTAGCAATGACTGGGGTGTTGGTATATTATCCCTAAGCCTGAGAGCGGCTGACGGCGGGGAAATATTCGCATCCCGGACCAGCGCCTGTGCAAGCTCATTGGTTCTGAGCTCATTGAGAATATTGGCTGTTTGACCCTGTCGCCCCTTTTTCTGTCGCTGCGAAGACGTCCGGCAGACTAGGCCGGCAGCTCGACACTGCTCACACGGTTTTGGAAAAATGCATTTGACTTTACGTCGGCGACATGCATCACATGCTTGTTTAACCGGTGGGTCTGGCATTTAGAAAGTCAGGTATGTACAAATATACCTAAAGAAACAAGCACTCAAAAATCCGGGGTTGCGGGGGGGATTCGGGGAGAAGTCGGGTGCAGATCCCATCCGAGTGAAGAAATCAGTATTTGTGGCCTAGCTTGTCAGGCCAAAACACCCCCGCACTGGTCTCCTGCAGGTCCCTCTTTCCTGAATCTGCCTAGGCAGTGCGGCTGTTTAATTTGTAGTGGAGATATTCTCTTTACCTTGTTTTATATTTTAATAAATCGAAAACGAAATTCTAGAAAATCAGCCAAATCCTCTGGGATTCCTGATGGGCGGCTATAAGCTGTGGATTGCTGAGAAACTACTGATATCGGAGAATATTATGACCATCAGTAAGAGGTATTATGTATAATATTAATTTTAGAAGAATGAGATTTTAATCAATATTCATGGTAATGTATTGTTGATTGGTCTGTGGGATATTATACTATTATACTATCTCAGATATAGACACGTCCCTCGAAGGGCTTCAGGGTTTCCAGCGACGTATCTGAGTAGTTGCCCACAAGCAACTTCATGCCCGCAGTTCTCTCAGTCTGTGTGAATGGCTGAGGTCTATCAGTGAAGTTCAGAACAACCAATGCTCGTTTATCATCTCTCGACTTTACGAAGCAAAATGTCTCTTGATTCTCGTAATCAAGCACTTCAAATGCACCGTGGATAAACAACTCCCGGTAATCTTTCCTCAGACGGAGAACATCCTTCCAGAAGGACAACACACTTGATGTATCATTCTCCTGCCTCTTTACATTGATTTCATCATACAAATCATGAGTTCGCATCCACGGTTTCCCGGTAGTAAAACCAGCATGTTCCGAGTCATCCCACTGCATTGGCAGCCTGGAATGATCGCGAGCCAAAATTCGGAGGCCATCCATGATCTGCTCCTTGCGAGTGGGATCGGCTCCACTCTCACTGCGTTTCTCTGCTTCTCGGTAATACCCCAATCCTTCAATATCCTTGTATTCCTCAATGGGCCACTCGCGCGGTGCATTGATCATACCAATCTCCTGTCCCTGATAGATGAACAAAGTTCCAGTCATGGTGACCATCATTAATGCCAGCATTTTGGCAGAGATCTCCCGGAACTCGGCTGCATCTGATCCAAACCGAGAGACAGAGCGTCCATTGTCGTGATTCTCACAAAAAGCGGTGGTCCAGCCATCCGTTCCCTCGATGAAAGACTGCCACTTCTCCACGACAGATTTCATCTTTGTCAGCTTCCACGGCGTAAAAATGTACTTCTCCTCCAGGCTGGGTCCCATGCCAATATGGCCAATGTCCAAGTGGAAGACCATGCTTAGCTCCTTGGCTGATGCTCCCACATACTCGAGAACGTTCTTGGGATCGGGTGTATTGGCCAGTTCGCCCACAGTCATAACATCTCCATATGGAGCAAATGACTCGTCATACATTTCGCGTAGGAACTCGTGAATCCGGGGGCCGTTGCACCACATTCCGATGGCGGGTTGGATGTAACTTTTTGGATCTGTGATGGGGGCATCGGGGAAGTCTGTGTGTTTGCTGTACTTATTCACTGTGTCCACTCGGAAACCATCGACACCTTTGTCTAGCCAGAACCGCACCGCGCTGTTGTATATAGCCTCGCGCGTGGCCTTGTTATCCCAGTTGAGATCGGGTTGCTCTTTGGCGTAGAGGTGTAGGTAGTATTCCTCCGTTTTCTCGTCCCAGGTCCCTATGCAGAAGCTTGTTAGCTCAAAGATATTGAGTATCGTCAAGTATTTCAACGCACATGTGCTTCCTGCAAAATAACCCCGATAATTACTCGGAGGCATTCGATTCCCTGCCTCATCATATCGAGGAGGGCGCCAGAAGTACCAATCGCGTTTGGGATTGTCCTTGCTACTCCGGCTTTCCTGGAACCAAGCATGTTGATCACTGGAGTGATTGACGACAAGGTCTAGAATCAGTTTCATGCCTCGCGAGTGACAGGCTTCCACAAGGTTCTCCACGTCTTGTACGGTTCCATAAGCAGGGAGTACATTTTCATAGTCGGAGATGTCATACCCCATATCGTGCATGGGCGAGTCGTACATTGGTGATAGCCACACGACATCGACTCCTAGCGACTGGAGGTAATCGACCTTTTTGACAACACCTGGGATATCGCCCCAGCCATCACCGTTGGAGTCATAGAAGGAGGCCGGGTATACCTGTAAAGTCAAGCACACATTGTCAATGTCATGTCTCAGTATGCCTCAATCCTGTGGCAACTAACCTGATAGACAGTGGCTTCTTTCCACCAGTTATTGGTTCCCGTAGGAACAGCTGTATCCTGTATTGCGTGTGGTGACATAGTGGCTTGACACTTAAATTTTCCATGCCGACAGCTCTCTTATAGCTTTCCATCATAATTCGGCACCAATTCGGTTGAACAAATGCGGGGATATCTTCAGGCAACCCTGCATACCCGACAAGCCTCCGGTGGGATATTTCATTTTCCGACTAACCACCGACTTGCCCCCGAAGGCCCCTTTCCCGCATGCTGATTCGCCACGGTTACCCCTCCACACTCGGGTTTCCCCAGTTTTCTCCAAAATCCCGAAAGCGAGTAACAGCCCATTTGCATTTTCCCCGGATCCGCGATGCGCGTGAACTAAACTATGAGTGTATTTTTGCTCTGGGATCTTTTGTATAAATCATGCATCACCCCGTGGTCTATCAGCCTTGATAATGCCTAAAAAGTATCCAGATATTGTCAGCCTTCGATTCTGATCAGGCTTTGAAAAAGAACTGCTTACTGTCCAAAATTTCTTGTTAAGCCTGTGATATCTACTAGGTCCACCTAACGTTAAAATCACAACTCAGTTTTCCACTGGCTTCAATGGACGACGAATCTGCGAGGATGGACAGCAAAGTCTCCCCTGCTCTTGCAGAGGGCAGACAGGCAGCCAGGAAGGAGCAGTCCATGACCCTTTTGCAGGCTTTGCGGCTATACCCTAAAGCTGTTGGCTGGTCAGTCCTCCTTTCGTCTACTCTGATCATGGAGGGATATGACCTCGCATTGCTCAGTTCAATGTACGCTTCACCTGTGTTCAACCAAAAGTTCGGAGAACAGACTGCCGCGGGGAAATGGGCTGTTCCAGCATCCTGGCAATCAGGTCTTTCCAATGGTGCTCGCTGTGGTGAAGTTATTGGACTTCTAATCAATGGTTTGGTCTCTGAACGCTTGGGGTACCGCAAGACCATGGTCTGTGCCTTGGCTACCATCACAGCAGTCATTTTTCTGTTTTTCTTCGCAGTTAACGTTCATATGTTGTTGGCCGCCGAGATTCTCGCGGGTATCCCTTGGGGTGTATTCCAGACTTTGCCAACTGCCTACGCCTCCGAGGTTTGTCCGGTAGTCCTGCGACCTTACTTGACAACTTTCATCAACATGTGCTGGGTATTCGGGCAGTTTGTGGCCATTGGCGTCAACCGTGGCTCCATTTCTCGCGATGATCAATGGGCCTGGCGTATTCCTTTTGGTGTTCAATGGGTGTGGCCAATCCCAATCATGATCGGCTGTCTTTTCGCACCTGAGTCCCCTTGGTGGCATGTGCGTCAGGGTAATTTGGAAGGAGCTCGACGAGCGTTGCTGCGGTTGACATCGTCCAACGACCCCAATTTTGACCCTGAAGAGACGATTGCTATGATTCAACACACCAACGAGTTGGAAAAATCGCTTTCTCGTGGAACCACATATTGGGACTGTTTCAAGGGAACAAACCTTCGCCGAACTGAGGTAGTTTGTATCGTCTGGTTAGTGCAGACCCTCTGTGGCCAGAACTTGATGGGTTATTTCGCCTATTTCTGTGTCCAAGCAGGCCTGCCCACCGTTCAATCTTTCAATTTGTCACTGGGCCAATACGGTCTCGGCGTTGTGGGTACAATAGGATCGTGGTTCCTGATGTCCTACGCGGGCCGACGAACCATCCACATCTCCGGTCTCGCCATTCTTTTCGTCCTTTTGATGATCACTGGATCTCTATCTTTTGCACCAGAAGATAACAACGCAGCCAAATGGGCAATCGGCGTGATGCTCATCATTTTCACATTCTTCTATGACATCAGCATCGGCCCTGTTACATACTCCCTCGTCTCAGAACTATCCTCCACCCGTCTCAAAGCCAAGACTATCGTCCTCGCCCGGTGTCTGTACAATATCAGCAACATTGTCGTCAACGTCCTGACCAACTACCAGCTTAACTCCACGGCCTGGAACTGGGGTGCTCGGTGTGCCTATTTCTGGGCTGGCACGTGTCTAGCCTCCCTAGTCTGGGCATTCTTCCGGCTCCCAGAGCCGAAGGGTCGCACATACGAGGAACTAGATTTGCTCTTTGAGCGCGGAGTTCCAGCAAGGAAGTTTGCGACCACTGTCGTTGATCCATATGAGGTAGAAGCGGCGGAGGTCCATGAGGCACATGTAGATAAATATTGATAGTTTTTAGCGATGTATCTAGTTCTCCGGGGTACATAAATTCTAGGATATTTACGGAGTACAGTCATTATCCATACCACAAGATCACGATCCTGGAATTGGCTTCTTTCTTTCTTTCATCTCACGTTAATTCAAACTTGACAGCCATAAACAGAGTATAAATTTCATAGTATCCATTTCACAATCAGAAAATAGGTTGTATGAACACCAATTTGTATGATATTTACATAGGTAGACCAATAACACAACACCACGCCATAAAGTCGAGTCAGTCCGACTATCAGAGTTCGTATTCAATGCTCACACAAGCCGAAGTCGCCCGACTCAAAATGCCTGTTATGTTTTGCTGACCTGAGCCCACGCTCCTCCATGAGCTCCAATCGGTACTCTTTGGCCTTCTCCATAGTCATAAGGGGGTCCAAGTCAGCATGAACGATATTCTGCAGCTCCACTGGTAATTTTCCCAAAGCCTGATTCACAGCATTCTGTCTGTCGTAACCCCAATCCTCCTGCTGTGGAGGCACATTGGCCGAGGAGATAATCCGACGATGGGGATCAACCAAAAATAGAGCAAGGATCTTGCGATGGCCAGGCTTAGATGGGTCGACTAGCGAGAATGGGGAGACCCGATGCTGGACAGTGTTAGGGAAAGTGAGTAGCCGTCCTTCCTTGCAAGGGACCCCCCAAGCTCTTGTGTGATATCATTGTTATCCCCGTTGCCTTCGACCTCACCGCCAAAACCAAAGACAGCCTGTAAGAATTCGAACCGCCCTTGCTCGTATCCAATATCTAGCATATCCATCATACCGCGTTGACGAAATGCCAATGAGTTATCGGTTATGTTTTCGCTGTCGTAGTAGTAGATTGCGGTAGCACAGATACGCTCGTTCTGTTCAAAATTAGTATATGAAGATAGTTAACCAAAGGGTGAGAAAATCTTACCAACTGTCCCTCAATGTGCCAAGAGCCTCCTTCATAATTGGGGTTGTCTGGGCTCAATTCAATGTTCGCTAGCTTCACGATTATCTGTAGCTTCCTATCGGGAAATTGCTCTCGTAGGTTGGCACTATACGTTTCTTTTCGAGGCTCAAAGTTGGCTGGTTCAGGAAGGAGGATAGGGCAGGTACTTTGCCACTCTTCATGGAGTTCCCAGAACTCTTCGTCGTCATCATCACCCTCCGGCTGGGCAGGCTCAGGGTCTGGATGCTCACCATAGTCGACCGTACTGTACTCGATTCTTGGAGTGCAGATCACGGACAGACTCCGGTTCCAGAGCGGGATGGCCCGAGCAATGACTTTCTCAACGGCCTCATAGAGAGGCTTATGGTGAATAGGGTGGGCATTGTTGATGTATGAGATGATTCGACAGCTAGCGTTATCGACGAGTTCCACGTCGCACGGAAGCCATTGAAACTTATCGCTGAAGACATCAATGCTAGAATGACGGCGGTAAAAAGCTTGAATTTCTGAGATTGCGTCGTCATTTTGGCTCGAAGGAACTGGGATAAGATCTCCCTGTCCCACGCTTCCTAGACAGTCATTGAGACCAATGACTCTGTCCGGAAGCACGCGAGTTTGGCCATAGATCACAGGGTATAGTGAAGGATGCACCAGATCAACCACTTTTTTGTCAGAGCCGGGATGGTAATCTTTCTCCGGTACATCCTCGAGAGATTTTGCTGCCTCTTTCAGCATATATTGTATCTCTTTCGAAACGGTAGTATCGGAGTAGACCACACCTACATCAAAAACACGGACATAGCCCGTCTCTTGAAGGATGTTGGCTTTCCATTGAAGCTCTTTGATGATCCAGTCCATCATACTAGGAGTCACATCTTGACCGCTTTCCGCAATCTCGTTGCGCCATTTGGTCGTGATGTCCTTGTTGAAGACCTATAGGAGGTTAAAACCGATTGTAGAAGATAAATGATACCAACATAAACTCAAACATACTTTCTGATCCCATTGAGGCTTATTGACAATGGTATTCATCACTTGCATCATCAGAAGTTCTCGATGAGTCACCAAGTCGCTGGAGAGCAAGGTCAACTCGAGATTCCGTTGATAGTATCATTGAAACATACCTCATGCCGCCTTCTCCCTGGTCTAGCCCATCCAACGCATTAGGAAAGCCTTTAGACCACTTGTTCATCACATTTTTCTAGACTGTTAGCAAATGACATGCGTGGAAAGAATATCTAAATTCTCACATCAGGCTCACAGTTCAGCTTTACATTGAACCCTGGCATGCAAAGCTGCGGATTGGAATCTGAAGACATCTTGATGTAGAAGACTGGTATGTATAAGGGTACTCAATCATTCCGCTGTCGCATCCATGTGGTACTTATATACTCCGTACTCGGGTGGTCTTGGCGGGGCCCAGGCAGAAACGGGCTAATTTCAGGCAGATGAGGCACTAAGTCCATTTTGGGCGGAGCTGCCTAGAAATCGGTACCCGGTTCTTGCCAAGCAACCCCCTTTCGGGTGTAGGGGTGCTTGGCAATAACCGGGTATAGGCGGCGGAAGAGGCTTCGCAACAACATTGCAAGATTGCTTTGAAATAAATTGGGAAGGGAATACATACTCATTCCGGACTAGACTGATATGATCGGAAAAGGCAACATAAGTGACAGCGGTGGAAAAATCGAAAAAAAGAGTTGGATCAAGTTGTATTTTTTCAGAAATATGCGCATAATAATTCGTCATATATCTGATGAGAAATACATACATCTTTCCATTCTGGTTCCATTTCCTTGGAGATGTTCGTTTTCATTTGTTCCTCAGGGACTACGTATGTAGTAAAAAGCTTAAAAAGAGATCAGCCTATGGGAATTAACGCACTGGAAAAATCTCTTGAGTTGTGTGGATAGGAGAAGAGACTATATACTGAGAACTTGGACTATATGCCTAGGAGCAAACAGAGAAGTCACATGATACTAACACAGCTATTTGTTTGTCAATCTCTCAGGCGAGTAATGACGGCTTGATGTCGAGTTGAAACCTCGATATTCCATATTTGCACTCAAGAGGTGAAATAGAGTGAGAGCAGTTGCTTGCTTCGCTAGCAACTGTTTTCTTTAAGCCTTTCTATATCCTACATGTAGATCTATCGTCCCACTATACGGCTCTTTTGTCTAATTACCTACAATTATAAATGTTAGTATTAGTGTACCATATGTGTTAGCTTCAAACAGCGGTACTAACTATCGAGCTGATGACTCGGCTCTTATTGATAGGTTGTTCTCTCACTAATGAAGAGGATACTGCCATTAGAATAGGACACTAAAATTCAGAAAAACCCGAAGTTATTAGGGTGAATTTTATTATATAGAAGTGCATGTTGGTACCGGAAACCTATCTGGTGGTATGCTATCTTCAAGACTCGTGTGTATATTATTATATCACCTCTTCCGCTTCCATCGGGCGCGTTGTGGAACAATGAAAACTTCCAGGCGAGACTCCAGGAGAAAAGAAACCCGGCAGCTGTGACAAAACAGATGTACTGTATTTATTTAATTGCACACAGACTGCCCTAACAACCTGGAAAGGCCTCTACATCGTAAAGACAGTAGTACAACCCAGAGGCATTGCCCAGGTGAACCTTGAGACCTGCAGCCCGCGGGCCGGCCCGTGGAGCCTCAACTTTAAATTCCACAGCGAAATTTTCGCTGTGTAACCCCACTTCCTGTGTGGTCATCAACCTACGTCTCCAGAAAGCAATTGGCCAAGAACAGTATCTAATATCCAAAAAAGATGGCCCCCATGAACCTTTCACACAGGCGCACGCACAATTTGCTCTTGATTTCGAAACTCTTGAGCTTGCGCGACACTGCATCGCCCCTCACACTCGTCTTGGATTCTTTGGAGCAACCGGCTACGCCGCTGCTGAAAGAATATATTAGACGTGCGAAGGTATATTGTGTCAAAAATGTTACTATACGTAACGCCTGTGTTGCCAGACATGGGAGTGAGCTACCGTACTGACAAGTTTGACAGCTGTCCAAAGTCCATGTTACGCTCATCGCTTTTGAAACCCTGAAGCAACCCGATGGAGTCGATATTTTTGTATCAACACGCCGCAAGAGTCCCGCCGATATAATTAAAGAAGTGAGCGCGGGTTATCAGTCTGTTGCAGCTTCCAACCCCTCACGCAGTAAGCATTCATTGTTCATTCACCCCGCTAGTGTATTCATACTTACTGCCTTTTTAGGGCGTCTTATCCTCATTGATTCAATTAATCCTCTTCTAAACTCAAAACGAGCTGACCCTGGATTTCACCTGGCCTCTTTCCTTGGGTCGTTCATTACTCCCACATCGCTATCAGCCAAGGTTGATGCGTCACTCGTGGTGGTATATCATCAAGATGTCCCCGAACTTCCACAGCAAAGCCCATACTCGCCGTCACCTATTTCTGTACTAACATATCTCGCTACGAGCATCATCACCCTCCATTCGTTCTCGCACGTTCTAGCACAGAAGGCTGCTCGCGACCGCAGTCTGGCTCCTCCAGTATTCGGGCTTGAGGAAGAGCAAGAAGGCGTTCTCCTCGGCCGTTTGGACAGATTGACCGGTACTGGGAAAGCCGAGGGAATCGTCATTGAGCTGGAGCACCGGCGGAAGAGTGGTCGTGGTGTACTGGAATGGTACCTTCTCCCACCTGCGTCGCATTATTCACCCCAGCATCTAAAAGAGGTTGTGACATTGCTTGACGATAATATTTTGTACAACCCTCCCATGGAGCGAGACTCAGGCGCCGGTGACGAGGAACCAACATCGACCTTTGAGCTGGGTCTCACCGACAGACAGAGGCGCGAAAGAGAAGGTGTCGTACTACCGTACTTCGACGCACAGCATGGCGATGGCCCGGGCGAAGGAGGCCGGATTCTTTACGACATGGGAGAAGAAGACGATTTTGACGAAGAAGAGGATGAGATCTAGACATCATCAAATACGATACATGTTTATGCAATTTCCCGCATTCTAGAATCGGCGGATTGTAACCCGCAATCACCGAGGTATTAACTATGCGTACATTCATACAGCGAGGTCCATGAGCATGGCCACGGAGAGTAAGAAATCAGAAGAATCGCCAGAAAAGAAGAATGCAAATGACAAGCCCGACACCAGCGAAAGGTCCGTACTGTGAGAGGATTAGCCAACCGACAAGGGAGAATCAGGCACAAGGTATAAACCCACCTGTTTCAGCAACAATTCCCAGTTGATGCGTACAGCCGCTTTTCTGTACTTCTTGCTGTCCTCGCGCAGTCGCCCTGAAAGTTCGCCCATCCGCTCCAAGCTATCACCTCGATACAATAGATCCTCAATGTTCTTCGTCATCACTTTGGTGACATCACGGAGCTCATCGTTCAGCTTGTCAAGGTTCTGAGATGCGCGACTATCTTGGTATAGTTTCTTTGTGCGCTGAATAAAGGTATCAAACTCGACAAAAGCATATGGACGGAGGGTGGGCGAGAGATATTGTGAGGAGGAATAGGTGGTCGTGAATTCGGAGGCCAGATCAGCAAGATAGGTGAAGGCGAGTTTGCGGGGGTAGGATTTGTCGCAAATGCATAGGAAACAGATATCATCCTGGATTGTGTAGCTGCGAACCGAAATGAGATATTGTGCATTGATAATATTTGTTGATTGATGGGTACGACTTACTGTAGACTGTACTGGCCAGACTCAATACTGGCTTGGGGTGCGGAGTTACGATTCAAGCGCCGAAAGATCATTTTAGCCTGACTCTTAATTTCAGAGAGCTCCGATTCAGCCTATAGATGCCGTAAGCTTATGACCAGCTTAAATAATCGTTGTCACGTACCTGCTCGTCGTCGACCGAAGCTGCCAGCATAAGGCCTATTTCACTTTGACATTAGTACCTCGTCCCCTCTCAGCCTCCTATAGAATTCCTCACCATCGAGCCTTGCAATCTGCGTTGACCGGACCATCCTGAAAAGTTGCTTTCTTGTTCTGTAGGACAGCGCTTTCTCCTTTATTTTACCGTGGGAATGGCACCGAGGAAGAGAGGCACGAAGGCGGTAGCAAAGTCCCGTGTGGCAGAAACACGACGTTCGGGGTAAGCTCCGCATTTGCTTATTACCCTCTTTTTCACTGACATCTTATAATAATGCCCTAGTCGCGCTGCTGCTAGTTCTGCCAATGTAGCAGAACAGTCGGGTCTCGCCATGTCGACCCAAAAATCCGAAGCAAGCTCACGAGCTAGAACCCCAAGAAGGCCTGCGGTGAGAGGGAAATGGAGCGAGGAGCAACTGTTGACGAGTGACAAGTCCCTCCTCATTGACTTTGATCTAGTGGTATGAGCCAACTTACCACAGACAAAATACCAGATTACCCAAGCTAATGATAAGCTTAAAACATCTAGAAACTGCTGGCGCGACCTGAAGCATGGAATTGCCTTGAGGAAAGTGACAAGCGCGAAATCCTCGATCTGCTTCCCCCTGAGGTTCATCCGGAGGCACAGGCTACATCGGATGACCCAGATGCGAAAATTCGACCAATCCCCGACTCTTTTATCCGATATTCAAATAACTGGCGCGACGGCGTTCGACAGTTCCAGCTCGATCTCCAAAACGGCCGCTACGATCCTGAATGGCTACACCAGGCGCAGGAAGCAAGACAGGAGCGCAAAAATGGCGACTTTGATGACTTCAAAGAGCGAGAATATGAGCAGTTCTGGGGACAGAAGCAAAAGTCCATCTGGAGGGCACTTGCTGGAGAAAGTGCGCGTGTGAAGATGGGAACTCTTATCGATGAAGGTGTCATCCAGTTGGGTGATATCTGGAAATTCTATTATGTTTACGGCAGGGGCTCTGGCAGAATTGTCATCGAAAAAGAAGTCAGGGTATGTACAGATCGATATGCTCCGCATAAGCTTCGCCATTTGCTGACTGCTACAGGTCCATGACCGTGATGGAGTTAAATTGACCTTTGCGATTCCACCTGGTGAACGAGTATTTCTTCGCAGCAATTTCGACAAAATAGAGCCAATTTCGACACCAAAGAAGGGAAAGGAAGATGTGAAAATCAACCTCGATACAGAGCCACATCCAGTGACATCATCTTGGAATGATAAACAGTTGAAAGATGAGGGCCCAAAATCACAGATCACCAATGCAACTTCCAATAACGAGGAGATGAAGTTCGATGCCGATCAAGTGCCACAGCAGACCCTTACTTCTTCCAATGACGAAGAAATGAAAATTGAGAATGGCGGAGCGCCAGATGGGATCCTAGTATCTTTCACTGACGAGATGAATATTGACACCAATACCGCCACACAACTAGTCATTACACCTTCAAATGACGAAGAGGGCCAACAAGAAACCCCATTCAGCGTTGTTATCTTTAGCCCTGATGGTACACGAAATCAAAAGCCCAAGCGCACAATTCCTGAGCCTAAACCTCAACCCCCAGTGAAACGCAAGCGGGTCGGACGACCACGTAAAAATCCACCAAAGCAGCCAGAACCGGAACCGCCCCAAGAACCAGAGGTGTCTCAGGAAACAGATGTTTCCCAACATGATGAACAGAACCAAACTCCTACTCCCTCTTTCATGTCCATCTTGAATGCGAAGATCGAAGAAAACTGCAGGGCTGCAGCAGAATCCTCCCAGACAGAGCATTGTCAGCCAGATTCCCTTTTGTCGGTGCTTCCTTCCACACCTAAATCCCCCAAGCTCCACGCGCCAGAGTTATCCACGTCAGTAGAGGAATCTTCCATTGCCAATACCAATGGCAAAAATGATAAAGCGGAATTATTGGACTTATCTACGGCTCAGTCGGATACTCCTATGCCTAGCGTTGAGGCACCCGTCGAAGCACCTGCCGAGGCTGAGCAGGACGAGGTCAATAAACCCACAACCACCGAACAACATAAAGTCCCAGTCCCAACTCCATCTCAACTTACTGCCAGTGAGCCAGACGAGATCATCGTTCCAAATATCTCCTCGCCACAAGCACTCGTTGTTAAGATCCTACAAATTGATGGCCGCATGCCGAATGGCCGTACAGCGAATGCCTGGAAAGAAATACGGTGCTATCGAAATAACCAGGATATGGGCAGCCTCTTTGATGTGCGTGAGGCATGGTTCCTCCAGCATGGACGACTTGAGTAGCTATCCTCCACTCCTAGCATGGACATACTGATACTCCAGACCATTTGATTTTCGCCTACACTACCCTCGATATCATGTGAGGATCGGAATGGAAAATAGTCCATACATGGCTCGAGTTACCTAGCTTGCAATGAACGAATCCCTAAGGTCTAGTGATCCTCCAAGTAGAAAGAAATAGGGGTCTAGTATGGATGTAAAGGAATATATTCTGACCAGCCTTGAAAAAGAGTTATGGGCTAGAAATAATCACAACGACCTGCGGAAGTTTCTTGCCCTTTCTAGCACGCATATGCTTTTGCGCTCCATATTCTGCAACACTGCATTAGAAGTCACAAGAGTCCTTGGGTACCCAAAGGAGAATCCAAGCGTTGAGTGAGTCTCGCTGAACAAGGGAATTGTCACCCGTTCTCAATGCATTATTTTTTTTGGCTTCAGAAGTCTGCTATCTTCATTTTTTGTTATAATCAAGGTAAATTACTTGTTCAAACCGTGAGATATGAGCGTGGTTGAACAGAGTCCTGGAATAGACTCTTGATTTTTGGAGTTACAGAAGTTGAAATTACGGTAGCATGAAAATTACATAGCTATCGAAATTCTGAGCTCATGGATTAATCGAGAGGGAAATATAATCGCAGGCTGATACTCTTTACTAAGGCCCGTCGTTCATTCCAGATATACCAGGCATAGGATCCGAGTCCGCAACAACATCAACAGCAAAGCTGGCCTGTATGAAGTCTTCGAGCTCTTCACTCACAGTCTTGAGCTTCTCCTTGACACTCGCAACACCTTCTTGCCCAACGATATGTCGCGAAGGAGGGTTTTCATGGCCACCAATTGATGTGATGGCATAGACTGTCTCAGAAACCAGCACCTCAAGATGTGCAGAGCTTAATGGCGGGTGCATTGAGACAACTTCTGGAGCGGAGAATGGGCCATTTTCAACGGAGTTGACTCGGGCATTTTCATCGTTTGCTCGACTAGGTGTGACTGGACTATCAGATGTGACAGACGCATCAGGAAGTTGGGGGATAAGGTGGTTGAGGATGCCGCGGAAGAGAGGCGCTTGGTTGTTCGCGGGTGAATAGGCTGGGAAGATTGGAGGGACGCTTGTTACTAGGTTGGTGAGGATGCCAATTTCAATGCTGCATTGGAAGATAGTGAGTTTGACGTTGAATGGGGCAATTTCGTAAGCCAGACTCTGTGAAGTTGGTTAATTTCTGTGATGTAGATCATTCAATCAAGTACGCATATAGAGACTGACATCACAGAATCCTTCAAGGGCCCAACCTGCTGCGCAGTACATTCCTAGTCCGGGTGTACCGATGTGTGCCGCTGTATATCGTTAGGCAAATATCCAAGCATTCAGCGAGATATCCTTCTTACTGATCCCTGATATTATCATCATATGTCCCGCTCGCTCTTTCCTCATATGGGGGAGTGTGGCCTTGATGATATTGAGGGGGCCAAAATAGTTAACCTCGAATTGATCACGTACGAGATTCATGGTTTGAGTTGAAGCAGAAAGTTCCTCAACTGTTCCAATAAGGGCTTGGGAGCAGGTCAATATATTGTTCAAGGGTACCTTCAAGAATGGTGGGTCACCTTGACTTGTACAGCATAGAAGTATGTCTACTCTTCCAAATGTTGCGACTGCATTTGCCACGACTGCCTGGCACTCTCCCATCATCCTTTTTCGGCAAACCGTCAGTCATAAAATCAAAATCCATAATTCACTTGGCTTGATGTAGCGCACCGGATATCTAGGGGAACCGTCTTCATGCGCTGTGCCCAGCCATCATGGTGCTCCACTTCACCAAGAAAAGCTTCGAATTCATCACGGCGACGTTCATCGCGCTCCAAAGCTGAATGTGCTAGTCCAAGAAATGCATAATCTCCATGCGCGAGGACCTGCCGCGCAACTGAGAGGCCAATAGGCGAATCGCCTGCGGTGATCAGCCATACTCGAGGCTCATTATGTGATGGGAATTGCACACGGGCATCAAAAAGGGGGTTATTGTCCATGAGGGTCAACGCCAATGGCCGAACGCGCTATCCATCACGCGACTGCAATTTCAAAGCTACTTAATAGCAAATAAGTACTCCGTATAAGAATGGAAGATGTCCGGAGGGTCGGAAGACAAATGCCAAGACCGCGATCTAATCGCGTGCTAATCTCCCACGTTAGCTGCCATTCTGGCTTCTTCTCTTTTCTTTTCCTCATCCATCATGTCGGAACAGAGGCCACGCAGACAGGAGGAGTCCGGTGTACGTGTCGCTGATTTATTGTTGTCGTGTTGAATTTACTGACCTCCTCTAGTCGGGCTTCAAGGGTGCCCTTCAGGGTCTTGGAATCTTCTTGTTGGCCCAATTTGCGATCAGTCAGTTCATGGGAAACAAGGACAAGGCCTCTACCAGCGCGAATTCTGTTGGCATTCCAGCTTTTGCCGATCGCCCTGATCCTAGCGAATTTGCGGAACGCAGTACTCTCCCTGAGCTCATCGCCCCCATCTGGCCCTCGGACAGCGCTATCGATATCAGTGTTTATGTAACTCCGTCTATCATTGTACCTAGCTTCAAGTCGCCGGACAGTATTCTTGTGCTGGATGAGAAGAACTTCACAATTGGAAACTACAGTGACACCCGCGAAATCGACACTACCATCAAGGTCCCAAAGCAGGTCCAAAATAATGGAACTCTCTGGGCTCACTTCTTTTTGGCTCGCACCGGACACCCACTAGACCCCGCCGCTAAGAACTACAACACCGCTGATGCAGTCCACTTCCTCCGACCCCTGAACCAGTACCTTCCCAAGAAGAAAGTCAAGAAGCTTAAGAATCTCCTGTCGGACCCCGAGAATGAACATGACCAGGAGGAAGATAACACCCCTGATGTTTCAACTATGTCATACTATCACCCCAACTTCACTGTATCCTTGATCCCGGACTCCGGAACTCAGAAGTTGGGCCAGATGCACCCCGCGGTTCGCCAGTATTTGCAGCTGGAGCGGACTGATGCCCGCGATGCCAGTGGAAAGAATGGATGGTACTACCCCATCGCTTTCATCAACACCTTTTGGCAACTGAAGACCCACATGACCGAGTTGAACTCTACCGTCGAGACCTTGCCGATGCATATTACTCTGAACAACTTGGCAAACTGGAAGTTCAGCCTCCTGAGTAGTATTGATGAAGGTTCGAAGCAAAGTTCCCGCCAGGCTGCCTATGGTAATCCTGCCCCCGGTGGTGGAGATGGAACTGAGTGGGAGATGGTGAAGGAGATTCTCTTGGATACGAACATTTGGCTCCTCTGCACCACGGGTGTGGTCACTGTCTTGCATATGTTGTTTGAGACTTTGGCCTTCAAGAACGATATTGTAAGTGATATCTCACTATTAAAAGGTATATGGTGTCTGGCATCGCTAACACCCTCATTTTCTAGGCCCACTGGCGTAAGAAGAAGGACATTGTTGGTACGTCAGTTCGGACAATCCTAGCAAACGTCTTCATGCAGGCTGTCATCTTCCTCTACCTTATGGACAACAGTGACAACACCTCTTGGATGATCCTGGCCAGTCAAGGATTTGGGATACTTCTAGAATTCTGGAAGATCACTAAGACCGTCGACGTTCGCTTGCGCCCGCCGCCAGCCAACTCATGGTTGTCGTTCTTGCCCTATGTGATTGTCTTCGAGGACAAGCACAAGCTTAGCGAGACCGAAGAAAAGACTAAGGAGTACGATGAAATCGCTTTCCGCTACTTGTACATTGCGGCTGTTCCCCTTTTGCTCGCATACGCTGCCTACAATTTGGTCTACAACACCCACAAGTCGTGGTACTCTTACGTTATCCAGACCCTGGTGGGCAGCGTTTACGCCTACGGTTTCCTCATGATGGTCCCCAGTCTCTACATCAACTACCGATTGAAGTCTGTTGCTCACATGCCCGGCAAGGCTCTGACCTACAAGTTCCTTAACACCTTCATCGATGATCTCTTCGCCTTCACCGTCAAGATGCCCTGGCTCCACCGCCTGGCTACTCTTCGCGACGACGTCATCTTCTTCATCTGGCTCTACCAGGGCTGGAAGTATAAGGTTGACTACAAGCGAGTCAACGAATTCGGCCAGGGAGGTGACAGTGATGAGGAGGAAGAGCCTACGCCTGTCATCGAGGGTGACAAGAAGGAGGAAATTGCTACCCAATCCTCCTCCAAGGCTGCTTCCAACTCATCTACTCGCAAGAGGAAATGAACGACGGTTTATATGCAGGTCTTGTCGGCTAATTACCCGATGAACCTGGGCTCAACGCCTTTGCATACGTAGTGAAATACTCGGTCACTACTTTTGGCATGATGCTGGTGAGCATCGAATCATAATTATTACGATGTTTTAGCAAGCAATGTTTAATTCCGATTCTTTAATTAGGATTCTTAAGAAAACCACTTTAGAGTTCTGAACTTTACTTATACAGTATCATAAAGTAGATGAGACAATTTTCTAATATGATAGTACTAGTGTATGTTAATATTAGAAGCCGTTGTTGATGGTTACCCGATTGGGTTTAAGGCCATTTTCGTATCTCCGCGCCCACTCGTTCTTCTATGCAACTGTTGGATCTGCACCAGAAACATTCGTTCCATTAGTTCTACTAGGTTCAAAATCATCTCCAAAAATTGCAGCCGACGAAACTTCTTTGTTGCATTTTTGACGCGCGCAATCTAAGACAGCGCGGCATTGCGCAACTACGCGCCAATACCACCATCCCGAAGCAAAATATATTCTATCATTCTGGACGACACTAATTGTGGGAAATTTAAAATAAAATCCGTGTAAATGGATATTGATACAAGTAAGTTGTGGTTATATCCTTCCAATTGAACAATGCTAACAATTCTTCAGGTAGCAACCAACCAAGCGGCCTGCTTGATGCGATCGAGCACTTGGAAGCCGGTATGGACAAGAAATTTTCTCAAATGATATGGATTGTAAAAAATGTTAATAATGAGACCCGACAGTTGCATTCGTCCCGCCTAAGCAGCGATACACAGATGCCAGTCTGCTTGCCAAAACAATCGCTTCAAACGCGTACGAGAGCGGCATTCCGCAACCCGTGCTGGCCCGTCTCCTGAAGATCCTAACCACGAAAAATAACCTGGACCAAGGCACAGTTACAACACTGATCAAAAACCTGTACCCCGAGGAGAGAATCGCGTCCAAGAATGTCACTCAAGTGGTGTGCTGTCTTGGGCCCAGCAAGAACAAACCGAGCCCCGCCACACAGGCTCTGCTATTACGCTGGTTGATTCTTGCCTATGATATTCTTGAGGATAGGACACATCTTGCCAAACTTTATGCTGTTCTTTTCAACTATTTGGACATGATTAGTTTGCGGAAACCACTGTGTCACCTTCTCTCGCTTATTACAAGACGAAAACACGTCAAGCCATTCCGCATCCAAGCCTTGATGGAGTTGATCCAGACTGCCGGTGGTGAAGACAGAGAGCTTATCAGCCTTCTGAAGATTTTCAAGAATTATTACCCCGACATCATTCTCGGTGAGTTTGGAGGATCGAGGAGGAATGCACTCTTCTTCAAACACCTAGACCCCGAATGGTCAAGCCATGCGAAGATGCTACAAGATCAGAACATGGAAAGAGCGCAAGCCGGCCAGGGATCCAGTTTCCAAGTCGTTCCTCGAGGGACTGTGAAAAGAAGTAGGATTGAAGTGGTTATTCCGACTCTGCAAACTTCACGGGTATCTCATAAGCACACATCCCTGGAGGAACTTCGTGACGTTGGCCATTTTGTCGACAAACTCGACAAGATAGAGTTACCAAATCAAATCATCTCAACTTTGGGCGATGCAATGGCTCAGAAGTATCTTCATCTGGTCCAATCCGAACTTGCACATCATCGTCTAAATGAATGGCTGAGAAGTTTCCTGGAGGATAAGTTGGAGACGCTGCGTGAGGACGAAGATGATGACCCCGAGACATTATCATATGTGTTCAATTTTGTTGTGGGATATGCATCCTATACGAAGGTGAGTTCTTGGGATAGATCGCTGGCAACTCAAACACTGACAAAATATTAGGACCTCCCATCCCCAATGCGTTCCTTTTTGAAGTCTTATCTGCAAATATGGAATGGCAAGGATAATCTTGACCATGTCTTCCGACTTCTCCAGTACATCCCAGTTGAATCTTTCGGGTCTCTTCGAAGTGAATTATTGTCACCATTAGAGTCAGCCGTGTTGGATGAGAGTCTTCGTTCCAGAACAGTGTTGCTAGGTTTTTATTCAGCGTTGATCAATCAATGGGGTGTGAAACTTCGATCACAGTCAGATACAAGAGAAGAATCAGTCCATCTGAGTCAAATCATCGTGCACGCCGAGCTCCTAGCCTCTTCGATTCTGGAGTTCTCAGTGGAGGATGAGGATAGAAAGTCCAAGCCAGCTACAGTCTCCGTGCTCGACTTCTACAGAACCCTCTCAGAAATCTTTTCTCACGCACCCCAGGACGCTCGATTCCGCCTTACACTTCCGCACGCGCAAACCGTATACACACTCGCCTTCACACCCAGTGTCGCTGTGATCTCAACCCTCAACTCCATCTTGGCCATTTATAAATCTGCATTCGAGGCTTCTCTGAATTCTCAAGTTCTCCAAGCACACAACTCCCCAGCTTATGGAACAGAACTCGTTAGCCGGTTCAACGGATATGTCATGGACATGTGCAATGTACTATGGCGTAACCGTGCACTAAACACCGAAGACCCGAATGCGCTAGGCTGCCTTGTCCCAGCACCGACCACCACTGCTCTGACAAACTATATCAAGAACTTGTCCGAGGCGGCAAGGCATTATGACCGTGAAAGTGCATTCCATATGAATCTTACATCGATATTCTCCCTCAGTCACCACGCTGCATTCTGCAACCTGTCTGCGGCTTGCTTCGCGGAACTGGAGGAGGACCAGCAGGTTGCGGATCACCGCCCGAAATTGAGAAAGCCAGTCATCCAGAAAGTGCTACTGGCATTGGAGAAGGATGGTGGTGCTAAGATTACATGGCAGGAATACCGTGTACATATGCTGAATTGGTTGGATGCGATTGGGTGTCGGGGTACTGGTATTCTGATGAGAAGCACAATGAAGGCTTTGCGCAAGGATTAATAATAATAGTTGGTGAGATTTGACGCCAAACCAAGAAATGAAAGTTCCCATAACGCCATTGAAATGCTTGGTATCGGTGTAATACATATTGTACATGCTCGACCCTTGATATCGGACAGTCTTAGTTTGAGACTCATCACAGCATAGCGTTGAAGAGGTCAGAACTTCTCTATCGAGTTCAGGTATATTTCTTGAACACTTGGATCTTCTCGCAGAGTACTCAAAAGGTCCTCAAGATCTTTCACCTGTTCTTCGTCCTTGACCTCGACCATGCTATCCTTGTTGGGATCCCAGAATATCTCTAATTCCTCAATTCTGAGGCTTGAGAGCTTCGCAAATGTCTCACCCACAGTTTTTGTCTCTGACGGATCCGTCAAGATCACGAGGCGACCCTTGTCATCAGTGGTGATATCCGCCGCTCCTGCTTCGATTGCCTGGTCCAAGTAGTCGTCTGCATTCACGCCGTCTTTCTTCTCCATAACAACCCTCCCCTTCCTCTCAAAGAGGAATGTAGTCGGGGTTATGATTCCTCCATTGTCTTTAATCATATAGCGAACGTCCTGTAGCACGCGCGCCTTCTGATCTGTTTGGCACTCCACAACTGCAGCCACTGAACCAGGCAGCATGGCCTCAATTGTCAGAGATTCTAGTGCTTGACCTGAAACACTAAGTCCTTGTCCGCGAGCAATTGCTGCCTCGATAATGAGTTTCGGGATGGAGGCTCGTCTCGCATTCGACAGCGCGAGGGCTAGACGAGGATTGTACTTCGTGTCAGGTCCCCACACTAGAATAGAAGATTAGGATCAGAGATATGCAGAATTGAATGATCATACATACTCTGTGTAGCACTGGCAATTTCCTTTCCTACAATTTGACGTTCCCGGCTCTTGGCCTTGTCGTTTTTGGCCTTGTCATGCTTAATTGTGGACCATTTGTTGTGACCAGAGAGGATGGTCGATGAGGTGCTGAAGTAGCGACACTCATGACAGGTAGAATCGACCCACCGTGGCTGCCGCAGCAGCCTACTAAGCCTAAGAGCCATGGTGCTTTTCCTTCTCTGTATATTGTAGATGAAGATCTGATCTCCATTGAGATTCCTTCGGGCGGCTGTTTATCCGATCTCCGCTGGACAGTGAGGCCACAAGATAAGGAGAACATGGGGTTGACGCAACTACTGTGAACTAAAACATTCACACCTTTTTTTTTTCTTTTTCTTTCTTCCTTATGGGGCTACGTTTGCCTTGAATATATCTCATGTCTTCGTCCGATACAGCCCCAGCAACCTCCCCTCCACAAAATGGGGCCCCGGAGCTTGATATTCCCAAACTACACGCCCTCCCCTCCGAACAACAAGAGCTGTACATGCTTACGTTCACCTCCGACCTCGTACGCTACATATCTGGATTAGAAGCTGCAGAAGTTACATCGCAACAAAAGGATCTTAAAAAGGAATTATTCAAGATATTGAACCTCCCTTCACCGACTATCACTCGAGTCCTACGCAACAATCTAGGGCGATGTTTTGGCACAATACTCAGCAAAGGCGATCGCGGGATCCTCTTCGAAACAATCACAGACCTGCTGGCAATTCTGAATGCTGGCAAGAGTGAAGCTGAATTGAAGACTAAATTCGCTGCAGCGCATTGTCTAGGGGAGGTCTTTGCGACAGCCGGTGAGAGCGCGTTCATGCAGTCCAATGTTGCGGTTTCAGGCGCACTCAAACTGCTGAAGTCAGCAAGCAACCATACCGGTCTTAGGGGAGTTCTCTTTGCAGTGATGCGCAAGATTGTTGTTGGAATTGGAGTTCCGATCGATGAAGGAACCGCCCGCGACATCTGGAAGCAGGCCCGAAATGCTGCTATCAGCGATAAGTCCATTTTCGTTCAAGTCCATGCGTGCCGCTGCCTGGAGCAGTTGATTGCCACGACACCATTCTTCGATAATACACATGACTTTGAACACCTCAAAACCCTTGTATGGAAGGTTATCGACAGCCCCGTTGCGCCGGTACGCCACGCCATAGCTGCGGTTCTCGGCCAGGCACTGATCAATCTACATGCTACGGATGCGCACATCACGG